CTTCGAAGCATGGAGCATAAATTTCGAAGAGACCAAATGCCACGGATAGGCGATCTGAGAAACGACGTGTCCGTCTGAAGATCATCCCAAAAAGGTGAATTTGCAAGCCAGACAAATGTGTGTGTCACCGCCAACTGATTTCCAGATTTTTCCCAGAACTGGGGTGTCGTTGAATTATTTCATTTCTCCAGCCAATCTTTTCTTTCTTTCCCCTTTCTCTCTTTTTCCCATTTATTTGATTTGTCAAAACTGAAAATGGCCCAGAAAAATTTTGTTGAACTTACCCGTACTAATGACAAGATGCCCCTGGTTGGTTTCGGCTGCTGGAAGGTTGATCAAAAGGATGCCGAAGAAACCATCTACAACGCTATCAAAGTCGGATACCGTCTTATTGACGGTGCCTGCGACTATGGCAACGAGGTCGAGGTCGGTCGTGGTATCCGCAAAGCCATCGCTGATGGCATCGTGAAGCGTGAGGAAATCTTCGGTAAGTTGGTGGCAGATTTTTATTTCGAGGCACATTGGTCTCATGATTAACTTGACGTGCTTAGTCACCACCAAATTATGGAATACCTACCATAACAAGGCCAACGTCCGTCCTGCTTTTGACAAGCAGCTGGCTGATCTTGGTTTGGACTATGTCGATCTGTACTTGATTCATTTCCCTATTCCTTTGCAGCACGTCGAACATGATGTGTGCTATCCTCCTGGCTGGGTCCATCCTACCAAGACGAGCGGCATTCTCTTGGAGGCCTCTCCCATGCAAGACTGCTGGCGCGAAATGGAGAAGATTGCCGAAGCCGGACTTGCTCGTAACATTGGTATTTCCAACTTTAACGTCCAGTTAATTTTGGATCTTTTGACCTATGCCAAGATTAAGCCCGCTGTCCTCCAAAGTATGAGTCTTTCTGTTTCATATGTCTTAAATCCACGTGTATACTGACCTTATTTATTGCGAATATTTCTGTCATCCAGTTGAATTGCATCCTTATCTTCAGCAGAAACGTTTGGTTGAATGGGTCCAGTCCCAGGGTATTGCTGTTACTGCTTATTCCTCATTCGGACCTGCTTCATTTGCCCAGCTCACGGACGATGGACGCAATGCCAAGCCTTTGTTGGACCATGAGGTGATTCAGGCTATTGCGAAGAAGCACGATAAGACCACCGCACAGGTCTTGTTGCGTTGGTCCGTTGAACGCAATGTCGCTGTCATCCCCAAGAGTATGCATGTTGAACGCATGACCACTAACCGTGACTTGTTCTCCTGGTCTCTGGGTGCCGATGATATCAAGGATATCACGGCCCTGGAAATGGGTTTAAGATTCAACAACCCTGATTCTTACGGCATGGCACTTCCTCTTTTCGCTTAAATTATCACCCGGCAACATGTCACTTTCAATACGGGCAAAAAGCAATAAAGAAATCAGAAAATTTATATGACATGTATACTTAATGTCAGTTTATTGAATCACAATAGTTTTATTTATTTATTGTTTGCTGCTATTGCCACGTCTTTTAGCACGTTCAGCAGCAAGAGCTGCACCGGGGAAGGTGGTCAATTTGGCTGTGGGAGATTCGGTAGGTTGCTGTTCTCTGGAGTGGAACAAGTGGTGTTGAATGCCTGCCGATTGCGCAAGTCCCACGGAGCCCACCATGTCGTGCTTTGTCAAAGGAGGCTGAACTTTACCGTCTTTGCAAGGAGCGTATCGACGCAAAGCATTGAGTTCCTCCAATAAGGTTTCGTGACGGAACTGCACACGGATATTGGGAACATTCGTCTTTTGCATGTCATTGCCCGCCACGCCAGGTTTGTACCATTCATGGCCGATCCAGTGCTTCTTGATCTTGTTTTCCCAACCACTCTGGATCACGGAGTTACGAGCCAGCTCACACATGTCGGTAGAAGAAAGTTTCCAAATCTATCCGATGCATAGGTTAGAGCCAAATATTTCCGTTTTTTTTTCTCTTGTATATAAAAAGCGAGTTTACCTGAGCGGCAACGCTGTATTCTTCAATCAAGGGTTCTTTGGTGAAATGGAACTGCAAGGGATCATCGGTGGACAGCGAGATATTGAGACCTCGTTGGAAGAATTGCGGCAAGGGATTGCGCTCATAGGTCAGGAACAGAGCATTGTTGGAAAGAGGCGACATGGCAATGCCGACCTGAGCAAGATAATACAAATACTGAAGAGCGGGGACCTTACGAAGAAGGATACCGTGACTGATACCGTGGGATGTAAGGAAGGCAGCTGTCAAGTGATCGGTATCGCCAGCTTCACCACAGTGAGGTCTTAACACAAAAGTATCTGATAGGCACTGTTAGCGCTTTCATTCATGCGCCATTTGAAGCTTTGAATCGTGAACACTTACTGAAGCCTCTAGCAGCACGCCAATGATTCAGTGCCGCCATGTTGGAATAAGAGTAGTACAGATAGTAAGTATAAGGAGGATTGGATGAGTAAGTCCATTCCTTAGGAACAGGATATTTCTTGAACGTGCGTCTTTCCGGCTTGGATTCGTCATCGACGGAATCAAAGCCAATCACTCGTTGCAAGAAGACATGCAATTCAGGGTGGCTAGAGGGATCTTGAGTGACTTCAAAGAGTGGCTCATAGACATCTGTTGTTGAAAGCGAAATGTTAGTTGAGGATTGTTCCCGCAAAGTAATACAGCCAAGTTGGGGGTAAAACTTACTGCGGACAACATCTTCGAAACTGTCAATAATGCCTGAGGAACGGTAAACGTTGTACAAACGTGGAATTTGGATTAACCAACGCACATTGGGCGAGAATAACTTGTTGTTGACGACCCACTTGGCAAGCTTGTCCCATTCGTTCTTGTTTCTATTTCAGCAAAAATGTCCCACGTTATTTCCCGTTCCGGGAGAAAATCGTCATTGTATTACCTTCCGTAAATGGAAACTCTGTATTCCACCATCTGGTACTTGGACGATTCAAGGTCAGATACGACCTCTAATTGGACAATTCACAGCATGAGATCTCACGGGCTCCATCAAAAGTTTCATATCTGGGGTTCCCGTACCTTTGGTGATTTCGGCCAAATATCTTCCATGGATGAAGTTGTCCGTCTTCATGAAGATTTCTCTGAGACGCGATTCGCCAATAGGGTTATATTTGAGATTGAATTTATCAAAACGATGGAACGAATCTTTATGAGCCTAAACAGAGATCTTTAGATCAGGAAACCACGGGAGTTATGTTGTGTAACCTTACATGCATGTCCAATGTATCAATGCTAAGATCGTAAGCCGTCAAGTTCAAGCTCTCAAATACACCTTTCAACGTCAAATGTTGATCATCACGATAGATTACAACATCCTGGAAACATACAAAGGCAGTTGGATAATTAGTTCACAGTTCCTTTGCTCAATTGCGTAGAAAACTTACATCGGGAGACTTCTTCATTTTGGATTTGATGAAACGCAACAGATGCTTTTGGTTCATACAGCTTGAATGGTGCACGTGAGTATCGACTTTACGGACATTGTAAAAGTCTCTGTGCGGGACCCGCTTGAAACAGATCCATATTAGTTTTGGCTGGAAAAACATTTTCCACATAGATCATCTACTTTACCTTGGAATCCGCCAGTTCCTGGAATTCATTCAGCAAAATATACATCTGCCATTTGCTGTCCAGATAACGCAATCGTCTGAAAGCGAAACTCTTGGCAGGACCATCGCTGATCATCGATAACACGTAATCCATATCTTCGTAGAATTCCTTGCGGCTAGGAATATCCCAAAGTGGGTTATCGGCATCACGATCTGGTAAAAAGTTGATAGATGCCGTTAATTTCCCGCATGTTTACCAGCTTCAGATCCAGTTAAACCAACTTACCCGCTTCATCCTTGTAGACTTGGAAGAAACCTTCAGCGCTCATACCGTAAACGAACTAGATCGCAAAATAATGAGATTCGATACACGGAAACACGATCTTTCAAATGGAACATACATTGTCCTTTCCAGGAATTTTGCACTTTTCAAATTCAAAATCACTGCCTACTGCGGCTACCGGATCATGTTCACGCTGCTTTTCGATTTGCTTGCGGTGCGCCAGTTCTTCCGGGGACGGAACAGGCCACGATCTTGGTGGGGGAGGTGGATAGATTTCCCAATCGTCCTTGTTTTTAGGATCGTCCATCAACGTCTGCAAAGAGCAAAGCATGTACTTTTCACGCAAGTCAAGACAGCCCTGGAACTGGCTGTACAGCTGTTTCAATTCACTGGTAATGGCATCGTCTGCAAATAAAAAACGAACATCAGTGAAACGCGCAATACTGTCATGATGTGTTAACTCACCTTGGGATTCCGAGTGCGCTTTAGGATCTGCGCTTTGAGTGAGGGTGTTATCTACGGCCTGCGCGGCAACACCTGCAGTGGATTCCGACGGTTGCGGGCGTGCTGGATCTTGGTTGGGCGAGGTTGAATAGCTCTGGCACAGGTACTTGCTATCATTCTATTGCGTTCGCACCGTTAGTGTCGCGCCATTGAAGGCTACCTTTTTAGCGTATTTTGAGAACACCTACGTTTTCAATCGACTTCAAATGATGGTACTTGAAGTAAGGGGTACCATCGAACGAGTTGACACCTTCTTCCACTGGAGTCTGAGGTGACTCTCCGTTATCGTTTTGCGAATAAGACATTAAAAAAAAAAGAAGTGTCTCACTGGAAAATGTGCAAACTTATAGGAAAAATTTACAGTCACATCGTTCGTTCTCCGACCAGAGGGCTGAACAACGGCAGTGTGCACATGATGGTGTCCCCTGAGTTCTGTAAGCCCTGGCTAAAATATGGACATATTTAGTGTATTTTTACCCTTTTACATTGCGTAATATATATCATATGAGTTACATTAGGCATTAATGGTGTGTGTGTTGCCAGTTGATGAGACATCATCCGAAAGATGGGCCTTTGACGAATCACCCAATAAAATAACCCCGATCGCATGGTTACGGTGAGACAGGCAGGTTTTTAATGTCCGTTTTTGCAAGAAACCATACATGTTCAAAATAGCATTCTGTTGTGTCGAGATCTATTATCGTTCTTTTCTTTCTGACATTACTACTTATAGTTATTAACAGTATTTTGGGTTTCAAAGATATAAGAATGCATAATGAGGCAGCAATAGCAAAAGCAATAAGCTAATGACGGAAGGTAGCCTGCTGATGTATAGCGAGTGACTCATACGGTCTGCATGGTTTGCCTCATTCAAACTTAAACTGCTCTGAAGTGATGTCAAATTATGAACTGCAAGATTTACCACATGCTGGAAATCAGTGCAATAAGTCTGTAATGGATATTTGGGCTCGAAACAAGACCACCATTCTGTGTACTTTATCTTGTAAGCTATTTCCGTAAACTGGTCCCTTTGGGATATACAATACTTTGTTTATCAACATTTCCAGTCCCTACGCATTTGCCTGCGATTAACATTAGTATAAATGAACATGCTTTAGTTGCTTAAACTAAGAGATCACTAGCAATATCACCCACTGTTTGCCCGGATCAGAAGAGTTACTGTCAAAGGGTATTAAATTTCGTTTAAGCTGATCGAATGTATCGACTCATGAATCTAATGTCCGATAAGATGGTACACGCTCAGTCCCTCAGTGAAATGATCATGCCTTACTATGTGCTTCGGCCCCTACTTGGTTAACGGTATTAATTTGCATGCTAAAATGATGCATCTGGTGCTTATTAATATCATTGCGCATCAACAAAAACAGTGCTGCGTCGAAGTACTATGCCGCATAACGCGATATGGCCATCCGTGAGAGCTGGAGTTCAAATATTTGCGTTAAATCTATAGCGTTATGAATAACATGGTGAATATATATTTGTAGTTAAGCCTGCAGTGGGAGCCATTGCAATCAAGGTCATGCAAATTTGACGATTTGTGAATGTTTATTTGTTATTAGCCCCATGTTTGTGGATCTGATGGACGGCATTGATACTGCATCATGGCTGGTTTATCTCAACCTTATTAAAATGTTTGCCTCTGAGTTGCCATATTTGGATATATTCCACCGTCACATTTGTTTGCCGACAAAAGACCGCTGATGATTGGGTAGTTTAAAACTCAATGAACGTTGATTGGATAAAACTATTGTAATCACATGATTTACGATAAGATCTGAGCGGATGTTGAATTATGGCTCCTGATTTGTGCTTCCTTTTGTGAATAGATAGACCGTGATACATACACGGATGCAAGAGATCGTGTTGCTTTGCATTATCCAGGCCTGTTCCTTTCTTCTTTCTTATTCTTCCTCTGTAAAACTAATTCAATGTCATCTTCAAACGTTTATTGTGTTTCTTGCAGTTTGCCAGGACATGCTCGCTCCACCAACCGCAACTGCCCCAACAAAGTAGAATTACTACAACCCAAGGACCAAACAAAGTCCGTTGCGGAGCTTGCCAACAACTGGGTCATCAGCGTTCCAACCATTTCGCTTGCCCGTTGAATCCAGCAAGATTGGCTATGAGGGTGGCTGGAGAAAGTGACACTACGGAACGTATTCGTACTTTACCTGCGCCCGTTGCCCAAGCAGATTTCGACCATCATGCTAATACGCTGTCAAGTGAACAATCAGGAACGCTCAACAGTGGCCGAAATAACGAGTGGGAACTTCGAGAGAGACATACCTTGGGACGCATGAATGTTGTCTGCAATTTCTGTCAGGCACACATGTGGGCCAAAGAAAGCTCCTCTGAATCGAACTCCAATCCGCAGTTCCAACTCTGCTGTGGCCAAGGTTCCGCTGTGCTTCCACCTTTGGAGCCTACACCTCCAACCATCGCCCGTCTCCTTCGTAGCGACAATGAAGAAGGGCGAGATTTCCGTGAGCAGATCCGCGCCTATAATATGAATTTGAGTTTTACTTCGGTAGGCGCCCAAATAGATGAATCCGTGGCCAACAATCCCAACGGAGCCTACTGCTACCGTATCCAAGGTGGCATTTACCACCAGATCGGTGGTCTACTACCACCAACCGAGTGTCATACCCCTGCGTTTGCCCAAATGTACATTTATGATTCCAACACACAACTTAGACACCGGCATGCTGTGGCACCCTATCTGCAGAATGCCACCCTTCTCATTCTACAAGATCTGCTTACCGAAGTCAACCCGTTCGTGCCGTTGCTGCAGTCGATGGCCCAGGTCTTGCGTGAATCTGAGGAAGCCGTAGATGTGAGGCTACTCATAAGTGCGGAAAACACGCCTGATGTTCGTCGTTACAATGCACCCACAGCTAGCGAAGTTGGAGTGATCCTGGTAGACAGTACGATCACACCAAACAGTAGCCGCGATATTGTGCTCCGATCGAGAAGCTATGGGCTTCAACGCATCAGTGAAATGCACCAGTACTACGGCGCGCTCCACTATGTCCTCATGTTCCCGCATGGTGATCTCGGGTGGAACATCCACTCACGCTCGCCAAGCGGTCGAAGCATTACCGTCATGCAATGGTATAGCTACCGTCTGATGATGCGCGATAACAGCCACGATTTGCACCTGTACGGCCGATTGTTCCAGCAATATATAGTGGATATGTATGCAAAAATGGAACAGAACCGACTCACGTATTTGCGGCTAAACCAGGCAAACCTGCGCACGGAACTGTACCGAGGTATCGTAGATGCGGTAGAACTCGGCGACAATGACCTCCAAAACGTCGGGCAAAGGGTCATTCTCCCATCCACCTTTATTGGCAGCCCGAGACGCATGCGCCAACTTTACCATGATGCGATGAATATCGTACGTCGATGCGGGCAGCCGGATCTCTTTATTACTTTCACTTGCAATCCTCAGTGGGTGGAAATTCAGGACGAGTTGGCTCCACTCCAGACAGCTGTTGATCGGCCCGACCTTTGCGCTCGAGTTTTCAACATGAAGCGTAAAGCTCTCATGGAAGATTTGACCAAGAAGCATGTTTTGGGTAGGGTAGTTGCCCATGTCCATACCGTGGAATTTCAAAAACGAGGATTACCGCACCTCCATCTGCTTTTGGTGTTACATCTGGACGACAAGCTGAGAACACTGGACGATTATGATCGTATCGTGTGTGCCGAACTTCCGGACAGAGAGAGATTTCCTGATCTCTACGACAAAGTCAGCATATGTATGGTGCACGGTCCGTGTGGAACAAAGCATCCGAGGTCTCCCTGCATGGAAAACGGCTCATGTAAAAAGCGTTACCCGCGCTCCTTCAATGAAGCTACCGTCGAAGATCACAGGGGTTACCCTTTGTACCGTCGTCGCAACCAAGGTTCATCTTTCAACCATGCCTCGGTCCCCATCTTGCAACGACAACGATTATCAGCGCTCTACAAGTCATGGTTGCCCAAATTTCTCTCCACGAAACACTTCCACGAATAATAGGCGAAACAATCAGCAGCAAGATGCCGTTTGCGCCAGTTGTGGTCAAAAAGAGCATCGTCGCCGTTCACATAAAATGTGAGTGGAGCTCTTTTTTGAAGAAAGGTGATTGAGGATACGACGATCTGGTGTTTTGTAGCATCATTTAATTTGGGTTATCTGTCAGTTATACTGTATATGCCCTTTCATTCTCTTCAGTAATCGAATGATACATGGAGCAGATATGCTTCGATCTGTGTAGCTCATCATTCATGCATCAGTGAGGTGACTATTGTTTCATCCATGGAAAATCACATATTTTTGTCCGAATTTTTTCTTCTTCTTTAGTTTTGCATCTCTTCTGTTTGCCTGGAAATCCCTCACTATCATTGCATCCATCATTCATCATCCAGACTATGGCGTGTATCTGATCCGGTCGATTCGATTATTATGAAAAAAGGTACCTTTTGTGTGATACGACTATCCGTTTTTCGACAAGAAAAAATTTACCTGTCCTTTTTCTCTATTCTGTCTTTAGCTTTTGGTTTTCTCTCCGGTTTTCTTTTGCCTGGCAAGCCATTCAAGCCATCCATCCCTCCAAAACCTTTCTACTTTGTTCGGCCACCAGATTGTGGCCAATCCGGTTTTTGTCGTCAAAGGACATCTTCGGTCGTGTGGCTCTCTTTCTCATCGGGAAACGCTGACGCGTCCTCCTCATGTTGCCCTCATTTGGATTCCTACTCTTGATATCGTCTTTCATGTAAGTATTCTTTTCGCAGTCTTCCCTCTTTTTTTCGCCACAGGGTTTTTTGTGAGATTTTTACTGACGCAAGTTTTATTTTCTTTTTACTCGGGAAAACTATCGATATCTGGCCTCCAGCTCGAAATTACCGGCACTTCTGACCACATCAATATCTTGGCCCTGCTCAAGCTGACACCACCGCCCCAAAAATATTCCGCCGCTTAACTGTTTCTGCAAGCAATTTTCTTTTCCGCATCGAAGAAGAAGCTTACGTGTGGTCCGTATACATATTTTCTTTCGGCACAATGTTTGATTTAAAGGTAAACCAACCGCAAATGTTCCACTTTTTGGCCCATGTGGTTGACCTGATCATCATTCTTGCATTGGCAGAGTGACTATTGTTTCATCCATGGGAACTCATTCATTTTGTCTTCAATTTTTTCTTTTTCCTTTGGTTTTCTCCCTCTTTCCGTTTACCTGAAAAGCCCTCACTATCATTGCATCCTCAGCCGCATCCACATCCACCATCCATCATCCAGACTATGGTGTATCCGGCGTCTATCTGTAACCGGTCAAGTCGAGTATTATCAAAAAGGTACCTTTTGTGTGATGTGACTATTCGTTTTTCGACAAGAAAAAACTCACGTTCTTTTTTCTCTACCCCTTCTTTAGCTTTTGGTTTTCTCTCCGGTTTTCTTTTCGCTTGGCAAGTCATCCATCCCTCCAAATCTTTCTACTTTGTTCGCGCTCAAATGTGGCCAAACCTTTTTTTGTCGTCAAAGGCATCGTCGGTGGTGTGACTCTCTTTTTCATCGGGAAACGCTGACGCGTCCTCCCCAGGTTCCTCTCATATGGATTGCTGCCCGTGGTATCGCCTTCGATATTTCTTCCCGACCATTTTATTTTGTAGTTGTAGTATGTATTTTGTATTTTAGTGAATAGTCTTCTTGCAGTCTTTTCCTCCTTTTTTTTCCCACAGGGTTTTTAGGGGGTTTTTACAGACGCACCTATTGTATTTACTTTTTTTTTTTATATTTGTATCCTTTCTTTATTTCGGTCGGGAAGCCCTCGGTATCTGCTGCATCAAACATCAAAGGTAAAATATCTCAACGAAATTTGAATCAACCAAAGAGCTTACTAACTCATTTTTTTTAAATACCCAACATTCCCACACATCTTTGTAGATCTATCATAACCTTGGGCGGGACAGAACGGAGGGGGTCAATAAGTGCTGCTTTGTTCATTAAAAGTGTTTCATGGTATGCCAGAGTATTGACATTAATATACCAAAGTTCCATCAAGAGTCTCGCCCAGGTTATGCCGTATTGCGTTAGGCTTTTTGTCTGACGAATGTCGCTCAATGTAAGAGTGCGGCATCCAGTAGCAGGTGGCATCCATTGCACAGCGGGTGTACGGCTTGTTAAATAACACAATGATACATATTTATTTTCAGCAACTCGAGGTCGCTTTTTGCAATTGATGGTATGGTATGGTATCAAAAAAAATAATTCTACAGTATATTGAATGGGAAATAGCGATGAAAAAGCGGGTAACATTATACGTTATCTTGAGTCTTCTGAACTATTTTTTACGACATCGAGACGAGGGCGTGTTCTTACGCTGAGAATCAAGGCTTAATAACCTTAACGAAATTGTATATGTGTTCATTCGACCTTTTTCTTTTTTGTGTAGCAACGGCGTACCTTGTTTGGTGATGTACCGTTCTTCGCACTGATTGCAGCCAGTGATAAGCGGCGTTTCTTGGCATGAGGGTTGGCAAGGTTCCCGATTTTATCGACATGACTTTTTTTTTTCTTTTTCTCCGAATGGCGGTTTTTCTTACTCCCATTCGATCGGAGACCCTTACGAGAAATCGGTATCGTCAAACAGACATTTTAAACTTTTTTTACAAGAAAAAACTCAACGTCATACATTCCAATTTTGGAGAACGTCAGAGTGCCGCTTGAAACTTTGGCGTTAGTGCAATATTAAAAATTTGATGTGAATTGATAAAGTGCCTCGCTTTTTCCCCTGGATTTACTCCAAACTATTACACACCTAGATATATCACTATGGTTACAAACGTCCCTACTATTAAGGTGAATTTAATCAGACTTTAACAGAAACGTCGACCATGATCAATGATAATGACCTTTTTGTACGCATGATAGTTGAACAGCGGATACGATCTTCCTATGATCGGTTACGGTACCTTTGGAGGCAAAGATGCTCCTCATCAAGTTTACGACGCTACAAAAGTGGCATTAGAGGCTGGCTACCGTCACTTTGATACTGCTTTTCTGTGTAAGTTATAAATTCAATATCGCGTCAATTACTTTGAAATCGTACGTTGTTGCTCATCAGATGTACTATTGATCTTTAGACGAAACCGAAGAAGCTTTGGGTAAAGCTATCCGCGAAAGCAATGTTCCCCGAGAAGAAGTTTTTGTGACAACCAAGTTATGGCAAACGTTCCATAAACCCGAACATGTTCGTCCTGCTTGCGAGAAATCGTTGGAACTTTTGCAGTTCGATTACATTGATCAGTACATGATGCACTGGCCGATGGCATGGGAATTCCGCGGTTACGAATTTAAGGATATCAAGGTCAAAGATGAAAATAACGATATCAAGTGCATTGATGTGCCCATTATCGATACATGGAAAGCCATGGAACAGCTTGTGAAGGATGGTCTGGTGCGCACGATCGGTGTTTCCAACTTTACTATTCCTATGCTCGAAGATTTGCTCAGAAAGTGCGAGATTCCTCCTGCTGTGAATCAGGTGGAAATTCATCCTTCGTTGCCTCAAGAGGAACTTTTGGAATACTGCAAATCCAAGGGTATCGCATTGACAGCTTATTCTCCTTTGGGTAACCCTGGTTACTCCCAAGGCGGTGTGATCAAGACTTTGGAAGAACCTGTGGTACTACAAATTGCGGAAAAGTACGGCAAGACACCCGTACAGATTTTGTTAAACTGGGGTGTAGCCCGCGGTTATGCCGGTAAGTGGTGTCTATTGCAAGCGAGATGCTGACAGGGGTCCTAAGCTTCGTATCATCCTTTTCTACTTCTACAGTGATCCCCAAGTCCGTGACGCCTTCGCGTATCAAGGCCAACATTGAGTACTTCAAAATGGATCCCGCAGATGTGGAAGCTATCACTGCCATTGGTCGCGGTAAGCCCGTCCGCACGTGTGATCCCGTAGTTATGTTCGGTATTTCGAACGATGTGTTCAGCGAACATAAAAAGTAAATAGTTTTGTCATTCCAAAGTCTGTACATTATCCAAACAACGTATTCTTTTTCACCACCTAAATCATTCTTTATTTTTATTTGTACTTAAGTTTTTGTTCGTAATTGATCGGCAGATTGTGCAAACAAAAAAAGAGGGTAAACCTTGCAGATCGCCAATATGAGATACATCCCAAATTTAAAAAATCATGGTGCTAGACGGATCAAATCAGGCTGGCCTTTACTTGTTCAGCCATACGTCATTACATCAAATCAACGATTATGTATGCAGGAATACACATTTATTCAATGTTTTTTATCCGAATTCAACAAGGGTCGGTATTGGCTTCAGGAATTTCTGGAAAAAGTACCCGTCCTTTACGAAAGGTTCATTAATGTTAATAAATAAATCAATTGTCTTCTTCTCTCTGAATCTTATGCCATATCACTCATGCAAATATGTCCGACCATAGTTTACAAAGCTCATGAATGGTTGGTGGGAGGTAACCGCCCTGCAGGGCGATGAAACAATTTTCACCGTGAACTGTGACCTTCGTGACTTATGCCGACGGCAAATTGGCCGGAACTAGTTGTGTTGAAAAGTTAAACTTGTTTTGACCGAGGGTTCCTTTCCAACGTAGATGGTAGCTTAACTGAAGATGGAAGATGATGCTATGAAAAGGTATTCTGTTTGTGATGTTCCATTTCCGAGCTACCCAATTAACGGCAGCAGCATTGTGCAGATAAACTATGGCAACGAGGATGACGAGGATCATTTGGTCGTATGCGTCGAGGAGGTATGCTAACATTGTAAGCTTCTATCTTCACTTGCAACTCAACAAGCTGGTAGGTGCTTGACGCCGCCTATGGTTGCTATATTTGGCCATCAGCTCTTGTCATGGGCGATTACGTCTGGTACCATCGTCATGACTTATTTTCGAACGCGGTTGTACTTGAGGTAATGCAAGGCGAGACATAATCAGGATCCGAGATGGTACTGAAAGTATGTTGCTTGTTGTAGATGGGCGCTGGTAAGGCAACATTGACCGTGACCCATAAACACAGGAGAAACTTAATGGATGCGTCAAAGGAACTTCACTGCCGTCGCTTATCTTGGCAAAAGGACAATATGCTTCGCGTCTTATTCTAACAGACCTTCCATCTGCTTTACCGGTGATACGATCCTGTCTTTCATGCAACAATATAGAGGAATCAGACAAGTTATGGGTGCGTCCTTTATTATGGGGTGAATTGGGAAGCGAACACGGAGTCGATCGATTGGTTGAAAAAGTGAAAGCTCAATGGCACACAAGCGTTGATTACATCCTGGGCAGTGACACATTCTATGATCCAGCAGGTTTGTCCAACTGTTGACCGCCAATCCGTTGACGTGTACATGCGGCTAATGATTGCTTATCTTAGATTTCGAAAAGCTATTGATGACAGTGGCGTATATCATCCTTAAGCATAATCCAAAATGCAAATTTATCACATCATACCAGGAGCGGAGGCAAGAATAGAACAAGATAACGATTGCTCATTTAGGTTTTCTGATCTTGTTGCTATAGTGCTAAGCGAAGTATTCAATATTTACTGGATCGCTGGCAGTTACACTGTCGCTTAATTCCGCGTGATTCCTTTTTCAACGAAGATCGTTTCTCGGGACATGAACATCCAGTAGCTGCAAAAGTCAATGCTGGAACACTTGCTAGTGTATTTTTACTAGAGATCAGTGCAAAAAACTGAGAGATTTAAATAAATTGCACATGTTCATAAACAGCCAACTCAGACCATTCTCAGCACTCGGATTCCGACGTATTCCCCCTGTGACTCGATTTTCGCTGGCAACACAATACTTCAAAGACGAGAGATTGTAACAGGGACATATTATCTCTATCTTTCCGTGGACCGTATCCAGATGACATGGAATACATCGGCCGACAAGGACGTCGTTCGATGCGGCAAACAAGTGTACAATCACTTGGGGCTTTACGATCGCATTGCTCAGCTGTCGCGTAGTGTCGCATCACTGCCTGCGGAAATTCAGAAGATGCAGACATTATGCATGACCGATAAAAAGGAGCTCAACGGCGTAGTAAGAAGGTTTCTGCAATGGAATCCTGGCAATGGCAGGAAGAAATGTCTCGATGACTTGATCCAACGAATTGACGAAGCGATAATAGGCTTCTGCAGTTGTAAGTTGGACTTGTGAGGGTGCCCTCTGTTCTTGTGCTTCACCGTTAACTAACACGCGTTTGCAATTCAAAAAGTAGACGATGAAGACATGGATGACATCGGAGACATGGAAGTAGCCGGCCCTATCCCTCAGTCCTCCACGATGCACAAGCGTCCAGCCAATACAACCAGTGACGAATTGGCTCTGAAACGTATGAAAACCAATCTTGACAGTAGTTCTCGCATCAATCACGTATCATCCTCCCGTTCGACACCTTCTACACCATCGACGCTATCCGTCGCTTCCTTCCTAATTGCTTACGACGAGCGTGATTATGCGGCCTACAATGTACTGTGTCAGCCAGTCAAGAAGACCGAGTGTTTCAAAGACTTGGCATGGGTGCTTCAGTATGAAATCGCGCGATTCTTGCACACATACAGTATCCGATGGAGTCAGCTGCCTTTTGAAATGCTGAAAAAATTTATGCATGTTGGACAAACCAATCCGCGTGACCTGTATAATATGATGGTACAGTGGTATGCGCGTTATCGGCAATCCAACAACCAAATGGACGAAATCAGTGCTGTCTATGGACACATGGAACGATGCTCAGATCATGTATGGACGCACCTGGAAACCCCAGCAAGAAATAAGCACCGCATGATTCACTACAATGGAGTTGTCACATTGGCGACAGGGAAAAGCCCAGTCGTTCAACTACGTGCACCAAAAGTCGGCGCTTCCAATCGTTTTTTCCGAAAATATGGTGACACTCGCTTCTTGGAACTAAAACTTGCTCGTCGATCGCATCCTTCCTTGGTTCGAAAACATATGGAATATTTTTTGAAACCGTTCTTGTTGATGGAGCGTACCTACCAGTTTTTATTCGTCAAGGATGACTCGATCATCTTGTTCGCAACGCAAGCTCGCGGCCTACCGACTATCAGTATCCGCGACGTGATCAATTGGCATATCCCAATCCTGGATAACTGGAACATGAGCATGAGCAAATTTGCCAGTCGTATCGGTCTCGGTTACAGCAACAGTATACCTACGCTGACATTTGAACCCGATCAAATCCGATATGTGGACGATATTTACTCTGAAAATCGAGGTACAGTGGAAGCGTGCATGACAGACGGATGCGGGATCATCTCTTGTGCTGCCATGAAAAAGATTATGGGTGCGCAACATCAGGACGAACTACCGTGTGCCATTCAGGGCCGTATCGGAGGAGCCAAAGGGGTGTGGATCATCTCTCCTGATTTGGATTTTAGTTCGGGGGTATGGATAGAGATCCGGTCGTCCCAGCGCAAGTTCAAAACGGGGACTCCGCAGTTCGATCTCAGTATTGATCCATTGCACTATACGTTTGACCTTGTGAACAATTCCGTGTGTATTCATCCGTCCAACTTGAACACGCAGCTGATCCAATGCTTAACAGCTGGAGGCGTAACTAGCTCGATTTTCGTTGACTTGCTGAAAGACTATTTGCGGCAGCTCGTTAGCGTCGTTACTGAGGATCACAGCATCAAGTTATTACGAGATTGGGTGGCCAAAGCCGGAGGCATTATGCGATCGCGATGGGAAATGGAAGATACGGAAAAATCCGTGTGGCGAGAACAGCTCATCGATAGCGATTTCTTGGGACGCTTTTTGGACGAAGAAGAGGGTGATAACGCGGAGATGAAGCCCGCTTCCATGAAAACGAACGATTACTGGAAAGTGAACGCGTACTCGGGAAACCCTTGCGGGTTGCACGAGTCTTTGATACGCTTACTCGATGCTGGTTTCACGCTCACCAATACCCACGTGGCTCACAAAGTTACCCAAGTGTTCCGCGATATTATGCATTCTGTCACCACCAAGTACAAGATCGAAATCCAACAATCGTGCACAGTCACCTGTATACCGGACCCATTAGGCGTGCTGAACGAAGATGAAGTCTATCTGCACCTTTCTACCCGCACCATTCAGGACAAAGCCAACGTCTGTGCAGGCCTTGTATTGGGCAATGTGATCGTGACTCGCAATCCGTGCGGTCTGAAAAGCGATGTCCAAAAAGTGAGAGCCGTGGACTGTCCGAGCTTGCGCATGTATACCGATGTCATTGTATTTCCTACAAAAGGCGAAAGGTCCCTAGCAAGTAAATTGGGCGGAGGTGATTATGATGGTGACCTTGTACGTATGTGAGCTGTACTGGCTTTGGTTACTGAATTACTAACATATGTTTTTGCATGTAGATATTCTGTTGCTGGGATGAGCGTATTGTAACACCGTTTCAGTCTTCTCCTATAGCCGAGACATCTCCAAAAATTCGAGAAGCGTTCGATGTGCACACAGCCCGAGTGAAGCAAGAACTTGCGCGATGCCGGGATGAACCAAGTCAAGAACTAGCTTTGCAGCGACGGTTTATTTCTGTCGCTATTCCTGACGGTACTCTAGGCATTTATGAAAACTGGCGTACCATTTTGACAGAAGCGTACTCGTTTGACCATGAAGACGTGATCTACTTGGCGCATATGTGTGCCAAATTGGTGGATGCTCCAAAGCAAGGGTTGGCTTTGAAAATGACTACGTTGAACAACGATCGTGCTCGTTTCTCTGGCGTCACTCAGCCGGCCTGGTTTGTCGATAAGCGTCATAAGCAGCTGGGATACGAGCAGCCAACTTTCGATGATAACCCCACCGATATCGAGTCGCTACGGAAAACTGCGGTTACGACAATGGATCAACTGTATGTCGCTTTGCTGGAAGAAACGGACTCATTTACGCAATACGCGAAAAGCATGCTTATTGAAGGCGACGTACCACTACTGGATGCTGATTTGACGAATCCATGGGTCAACGCTCTCAACGCAGCCATCGAACTCAAAGATGCACAGATGGAAGCCGATCTTCGACTTATACAACGTGAAATCAACCGACATTTCGATGATTATATCCGCGAAAACCAACGATTACATCAATTGCACGAAGCCAATAACCATGGTGATGGAATTGTGGACAACATGGATGATGATAAACAGTATAATACCCTATTTCAACTGGAAGAATTCTTCGCGCTATCCTTTCAGCAGATTCCATCCAGCCTGTCATCGTCCATTCTTCAGTTCGATCGCCAAGTCAACAAGAGCAGGATGATTCAATTCATCAAAGCCAGTTACGCTTACATGCGAACCGTGGAGCACGAAAAGTACTCTAGGTACTGCTATATCGTAGCATTTGATACTTTACGACGCATCAAAGCGGACGCACGGGCATCTGTAAGAAAAAAAAATGGGTTCTGTGAAACAGTCGTCTCGCCCATCTACGCTGCCATGAATATGAACCGTGCATGGATTCGAAGAATGAAAACCCTCAAAGCAAGCGCGAAAGCCACATCAAGTACCGAAGAATCTCCCTGTTTAGGCTCCAATCACATTTAAAAAGAGACACCTTACGTTGAACATAACACACTGTAAAATATATGTATCTATGTATTATATCATAAAAATCCGCCTTCATTTCTCCTAACCATCATTTTCTTATTTTTCTTCATCTTCATGACTGGGAAAAAGACAATCTCTGCTAATAGCGAAAGGAAAGCAGAGCATGAAATGTCTGTGCAGAAGAAAGTAATTTATTGGTACGTCACGTATGTAAGCTTAGTTTTTACCGCGTGCTCAATCCAACGCTTTCAAGGCGCGAATACAGCGCGACGTTTTTGTAGGATAAAAGGGGTATTACAGCCATATGAGACTCCGGAAACTGCAATAATAAACATCGAAAGAGTGTAGAAAATTTCCAAAGCTTTGGCAATGCAGTGACAATGCGAAACTCAAGAGCGACATCAACAGTAAAGTAGCGATGCTTATGTCTCGTTCATGGAAGCAACTGCCAACTGCACGCTGTACAAGAAACCTTGGGTGTGCGACCCTAGTGACGGTCAAGTTTGGTGCCATCTCCGCTAGAAATTTGGGAACTTTCTGTCTTGGAATAGAAATATTCTGTTCTGTGATTCGTAGAAAGCAAAAAGATTCAACAAAAATCTGCCGTCTGATTCGTTCGATGGATGGAAATTTCTGGTGGCTTTTGGACGGTTAATCCCTAAATGGGTTAATCTGTGACTACTTATTGGCGCGGCAAAAACTATAAATAAAAGGGCAGACCAGCGCCGTTGTTGCTCCTTATTCTTGTGCTCGGGCAAAACCACGCGCGTGAAGTACCTACTGATGCTGGTTTATTGCTGGTTGAAAACTACAACCAATACCCGTCTGCAGTACCTTCGGGTGCGGCAGCAATTTTTGGCAGGCCTCACGGCCTTTAAACCTCTATTCTAAAAAAAAAAAAAGGAAAATGAAAAAAAAAAGTTTTGGTGAACACATAAAGTGCTCCATCAGACTAAAAAGTGTTGCGCAGCTATACTGCCATAGACTTCTTCACACACCTTATCTATAAACGTTGACGACGTTTGTGGATGGTCCACCAGATTATGTGTCCCCATCAATCGTTTCAAACTCGTACCTCTTACTTTGAGTGTTGATGTTAAGCTACAAGTGGAGGCGGTGTAAAGTAAAAAAGGAAAAAAAAAAGTATACAGAAGAACTGTAACTAAAGGACGGCTAGTCGCTCAGATGATAACTCTGATTTAGTTTATCACTTCCCTCACTTCAAGAGAACCATTTAAGTCGTATGCGTGCAAGTCCATTCGACTGATGTTGGTGCCGCCTTTGAGCAATCAGTGACTCGGCAGACAATTGTTTTTCTGTGCAGCGGTGATGGCTCTACCAAGTTCTAGCTACAAAGTGGGTCGTTTTGTGCGGCAAGCAGCTGAAATTTTCGAACAGCATATCGGAGGAGGGATGCCAACCGTTGGAGCCTGCCAAGTTTCGCTTAAATGGTGTCTCAACTAGAGTCATCCGTTGTTTCCCAGAAAACATATTATTTGGAAAGTACCCTTTTAGCCTTAGCAACACTGTATATGACTTTTGCATTACAACATATAAACCGACTAATTCAATATACATATGTACAAGATACCATATGTCGAAAGCGAATGTGCGATCATTCTCTGGCGACGTGCCGCTGTCACTGTTGTCTGTAGTCATAGTTATGAAGCAACATGGTGCATAAAAGACAAAGTTCACGTTCAAGACGAAAGACACTGGATAATAATGAATAGGGCTCAAATATGGTGAACTGACGTTTTTGATTATGAATGCTAAAATCAAAAGTGTGATATACAATCGGGAAAAAGGGTTGTAATTATTAGTATTATTGTTGTTGCTGTTGCTGTTGTTTACTCATTTCAGCGAGATGGGCTTCTTTCAGCGCCAATTCCTTCTTCAGATTCTCAATAGTGGTTTCGAATCGTTTCTAAAGATATGAAGAGATTAGCCTGGTGCGAAACAAAGTACAATAAAAGAAAAACGATGTTACCTTTAACATGGCATTGGGTGCGGTTAATAGATCCCTTGTCTTTCTCTGTATTGCTTGTTTAATTTCGGCAATTTCTTGTCGTTTTTGTTCTGCGCAGAGATCCGGCGTTAGTCAAACATTACTCAAAGCACAATGACAAGCATGAGGAGTAGAAACTCACCTATTTCGCCGGTCTTGCCGCCTTCCTCTTCGTCCTCATCCTCTTCACTATCCTCTTCTTCGTCATCTTCATCATTATCATCCTCATCATTATCTTCGTTATCTTCTTCCTCCATCATCTCCAGATCACGGTCAATAGCCGCCGCTAGGTCTTCGTCGCTTTCACTTTCAGCATCGCTCATGCCAAGGTCGATGTCCTGTGTACCTGCGTCCGATTCCATCTCCATCTCTGTCTCTCGGTTATCAAATACTTCTACAAAAGTGGATACAGATGTAAGTTGCTGCTCTTGCCTGTCGGGAATCATATCACGATGTTTACCATATTGTACATCTTCTGCTGTAGCATCCACTTCTAATAATCGTTCAACTTCCCGTTCCACCTCTTCAATTGCCTACCATGTCGACAACGATTATCAGTCAGCCTTGTCACTGGGTAACCGCCTTATTTCAAAATACTCACTCTCTTGGATAACTTCTTCCTAAAACGTCTTTTTCGTACGTGCTTCAGTGGCGGCGTCAAGCCGTGGGGATACATGTATGGATCGGCACTATGTCGACCACCGGCCTGCAATGACTGCTGGTCTTCCCGTGACGCACCGTCAACAACTAGCATCTGTCACGGCAGGAAACACACAATCGGTCAATCCATGGCTCCCATCCACAGCGGTTGAATAAAAAAATAAGCAGTGAAATCGTTACCTGGGAAATGTCGGCGATCTTGTAGAACTGCTTCTTATCTAGCGTTCTCTGTGATTCAATGACAGTGGGTAAATCGACCAGTGTGATATCGTGTTTTTCTCCTTGGAAATAAAAATAGCCTCGTCGACTGTCTGGAGCAAAAGCATCGGTTAGCTTTTTTTCTTGCCAATTGGTTCTTGCCGTCAACAACAAAAGAGCGTCTGCTAACCTTTAAACTGCATTTTAACGTCATCAGGGACCTCTCGTTTGCGTACATATTCCCGCAGTTTATCGCACATTTCGCCGGCTGGTAAACGTAAGATCAAGTGTTCTTCAATGGTAGGTTCTGGTTCATCGTCGTCGTCCGAGCCGCTGTGAGTTGTACTTGTGTCTTTGGTGGTGAGTTTGATTTTGATGGAATGGTGGGTATCTCCTTTGCTGGACGTTTGCCGTGAGCGTTTAGTCTTTTTCTCTGACTTGGTTACGATATCCATGAGCAATATATGAGAAGCAGCAGGCGAAGAGGTGAAGTGGTGCTTGGATTATGAAGATGGCAAAAATTTGGATCACCTCGGACTTGGAAAGCCGGCGCAAGCTGTATGAAAAAAAAAGTGCGCCACAGCGTTACGGTTCATGCCTGCATAAAGTGTTTTTTCTTTATCACATAACCAGTCGTTCCAAATGTGGTTTGAGGAACATATAAAATCACTGATTTCTCAAGCAGCCGACGACTTTGATGACACCGTGGCTGCTGATACAGTGTTGCAGGAACCAGGTGACGGAGGTGCACGCGATCAAATGCTCGATCAAGTTTTAGCGGCACAGAAAGCACAAAGAGAGCAACTATGGCAGAAATTACACGAGGTACCTGTCCATTGAATCCATCATTTTAGCCCCAGAATCTAATCGACGACATGGTGCATAGTTGGAGGATACGTATAAACATGCTGTTCAACCGTCCTTATGCGGGGAAGATCAGACCCCTGAGAAGAAGGTAATCTTGATCCCCTTTGTCCAACTCGATGTTTTCTGCCGTCTTATACCCGAATTCAATAGCTGCTGTCTCAATATATGTACGAAGAAAGGGAGCTGTCGTCCGAACTGGAGAAACAAATGAATGGTAAACGAAAACCAGGGTGAGTTTCGTTCTCTGTTGTTGGATACGGTTCTGACTGCTGGTGTAGACGTCAACGTTATATCTCGTCCAAGTGATCAAACCATTGTTGAATTGCAGTTCAAAGAGTCTCTCTTTCGATCAACGGACCAACTACATCAAGCTCTAGCGTTTATTGAAGCAGAATTAAAAGAATCCGTCGAAACGTTGCAAAGGTACAATTTTTTCATCGCAGGATGTATCGCCAAGTGATATTTCGTCTCATCATCAATGTCACAGGGAAACGGCGGTTTTAAAAGAGTGTAAAGAAATCAGAAGCGTCCTTACCGATAAATTGGACAGAGTCAGAAACGGCGGGCAACATATAGCAGCACCTGAGTACGTGGCATTTATCGTACATGGTCTTCTTTGACATGATAGCTAATTTTTACTTAGCTCTCAAATGGAAAAAATACCTGCTATTCGGCAAAAGCATAATGCTACCATGGGTGATCTCATTGATTTTCTCGATATGTATTACCCTCCGCATCCCTGTGAGGTAAATTAAAGCATTGCTGTGTATAGTTCTTGACAAGATCATCACGCTCACCTTTTTTTTTTTTTTAATCCTCGGTAGTCACCCGAGCCTGCTGACGAAGATATGGATGGCGCGAGGGACCCCAATGCAAACTTTTGCGAATTGAAATTTATCCTGGAAGTAAGTATCGGATCTTTATCACATGTGTGAAAGACTGCTGTTACCCTAATTGTCTTTCTCTGTCGATATAGGATTTAATGAATCAAGTGGTGATGAATCCAAGTAATCCGTATATTACACTTGAACCAGGCACTTATTGGCCACCTTATATCGAAACATTGGTGAAGGCTGGCATCGCATTGCGACATCCGGAGGATTCCTCTAAAATACGCTTGGCAGACTTTCGATTGTAGATACCAGACATATACTTGTACATATGATTTTTTAATGGAGTTCGCTTCTCGCTTGAATATTTACGATCGCCCGACCCTCACAAATATCTCTTAACGCGTTTAATGTATTGTGATAAACAAATCTTTGATCATGATATACTATAAGTTAAGTGGGTTTGATAATGTGGGTACATTTTGTAATATGGGTGGGATAAAATTGGGCAATGCTGTCGAAATGAGCAAGTCTAGGTCCTTGAGACACCTTTTTCAGAAGTTACCCCAAGATAGTGTCGCTCCCGCACTGCAAATAATCAAAACTTTCGTCCATAATTTATCACGTGCTCCAGCGGTTGACATGTGGGACTTAATTTGAATCATCTTGCTGAAAGTGGTATTGACCTGTCCACTTCAGCGTACGACCCCTACTTGCAAGATCGAAGGACAATATAATAAAACGGTCATCTGGGGCGTATTGAGTAAAAAATCCTTGCCATTTGCATGTTAGGACCGATTCTCTTCCAGTCGAGGGCAACAGTGACCGTCCAGTTGCGATCATCGAAAAGAAGCATGGAATGCAATTCGTGTGCAGCCGCGGTTGCGGCGAAGTGAAACGGGAAGGCAGCAGCAACCACTCTTACGCCATGGACTTTGTTCGTTTAAGTGTCTTCAACAGGAATTCGATCGACGTTCACTTACTTGAATGTGCCCTCGCATTCCAAATCCAAGGTAAGCGCAATCATCACTCCATCCTTCTTCCATTTTACTCACTATTTTATATGATCAGGATTTACGATAACATTTTATCCGGAGAAATTGGTCGCGCCAGGACTCTACGTCATGTGTAATTTCCTCGGTGCTTTGGAGGATGTGCCGGCATTCGCAAATATGCGGAATATTCGACTGCTCCTTGCCGTCAGTGACGCATTCTGGACTAATTGCGCGGTTTCAAAGAACGCGAAAGTATAGCAGAGCGTTACAGTCCCAGCCCTGTCAAATGGCAAGAACTTGTGAACGATCAGCAGGATTCCACCCCATCCTTGCGCATCGACCATTGACTGATTTGCATTTCATACACTTTCTACACATTGTTTTCCATGGCTATTCATCTTTCTGTATCTATACATTTTTTTCCACACTGCTTGCATCCAATGAATAAGAAACTCGTTTGGCTTTGTGATTGCAGTATATCTTGCTGCATTGAAGAACTTTTGCTCAGTCCGTTCTTCATTTCGGAAATCCTCCATTGTATGATACGGGCATTGTAATGAATGGATATGATTGGATCATAAGTGGACTAATAAGTGGACAGTTATATGGACAACTTCGCCAAGCTGATGGTCCTTTTACTCTTTTTTTCTTAGTCTTCCCAAACTCAACGCCTTGACTTTAGTTTACACGTCTTAAATTTTAAGTCCCATGGATTATGAACTGCAGTACGTTTGCGGTCTTCATTAAAGCTAATCGCTCGTATGGAGCATATTTTTGCGCGCATTATCAATCAATTTTGCACGCAAGAATGTCTTATTGATACGCGCAGATCATCTCAAAATACAGTAAACAGCATGCAAATTGCAAGGAAACAACCCGCCCATTAAAAATGTGCAATGAGTAACGGGTTTACTGCGCCAAGCCTTGTGGCGCCTTTTTGGATAGTGCATCAAGCATTACATTCTGATGTGTGCCAGACAAATCGCGGGGAAGGAATGCTTTAAATAAGAGGGAGCTTTTGGTGATTCAAACGTCAAGTAGAGGAAGATGAATAACTTTCGTTCCTAATTGATGCATGGGACCCTGTACAAATGATCTGTTATTTATAAAAGTATACTCTTTGTTTTTCTTGAAGAGAACTTTGGAATTGGGGTTTATGTAAGTTTTGGGGGGTTTCTAAAGTGTCGAATTGCATTTTCTGATATCTGTTTGGGTTTAATCGTCATCATCGCTGAAGTCCAGCTGAATATCGGCGACGATCTTGCCCACCAGGTTTTCATAAGCCGACTTGGCCGACTTTTTACCAATCTCCACAGCGTCTTTGCTAATCGACACAGATTTTTCGATGTCTTGTGTATTGATCGCTTTTGGGACATTGGTTCCGTTCATTTTCACGGGAGCAGGATTGGAGGGCGTGGATTGTTGTGCGGCGCGATGTTTTGCCAACAACGCTTTTCGTCGTGCTTCGCTTTCACGTCGTTCGACTTCCTGAACTTCAATTCTATCTCGTTCTCTATTACGTTTGTTCAGATCCGCCCAAATATTCTGCTGACTGTCTGTCCATCGATTCGTGTGTTCGTCTAAATCTTGCAATTGTTTCGTTATTCGTGTAACCTCGTCAATTTCATTGTTGCTCTTCGCATGTTCCAAACGGGCCAAAAGCTGAGCTTTCTCCATCGCCGAATTCTTTGACGTTCCTTTGACTGCACGTTTGTTTTCAATCATTTCCGCCACTTCTTGATCGTTCAACACATAGCCTTTCGCATATTTCAGATCCTCTAATTTCTTTTCCACGTGGTCAATCGTAGGTAATCGCACTTTCTCAACTTCACTGGTCTGAATAAGTCGTGCATACTCTTGCTGTAGAAAAAGTCGCGAACCGTGAGCTTTGGAAATAAAATCCCCTATCGCTAAATGTTGCACTGACCTGTGTGACGGGTTGATTGGAAACAATATCCATTGGGAAAGTCTTTTCAGCTTTTCCATGCTTCACCTTTACTGCCTTATTACTCCACACGCCTTCCGCAATTTTATACACTTTATGCCATGGCACGATCTCTGTTAATGCCAATAATAAGTGAGATGATACCATAACCGAATATTATAACCATAACACCATACCAAGAATCTGGCAGAGCCGGTACACATGCATCTTTTTCTGCGGATCGGGACCAATAAAGATTCGTACAAAGCAGCCTACCCACCAAGGTCAACAACCTTCTTCTTTGAAGCGATTCACGTTTCTCGCTTACCTGCCGCTGTTTGTTCAAAAAAGGGGGCATAAAGCCATTTTTCAATCATTTGTCTGGTCAAGCCGACAGACTGAATCTCCTCCAAGGTCGGAACTCTCTTCTTAATCTACGCATGACGCCCAATGACCATTAGCATTTCTGTTTCCACGTTCTAGCGACATTGTCGAAAATTTTACCTTTTCCGCCGCTTCTTCCTCGGCCCATTCCTGGTCACTTTGTTCATACTCGCTTTGATCACTGTAACTGGATCGTCTTCGCTTTCGTCGTTCAGGACTAGGAGATTCTCGGTGGCGGCGTTTGGCCGAACGGCTACTCTTCTTTTCCTCACGACGTCTCGTTAATTCCGATAAAGCTCGCGATTTGTTGGTGCCCTTGTCGCGTGTAGATCCTATGGAATAAGGTTAGTCTACATATTTTATATCATCTGTATGCTTCCACAAGCTTAGGATCTTACTCCGTGCTGTATCGTCTCTTCGTCCATCTTTAAGCAGTTTTCTCACTTCCAGTCGTTCCAAGTTTCTCTGTCTTTCTTCCGAACGTTCGCTCAGAATACGTTCTCTCTCTACTTCCGGAAGAGCAAGAAGTCTATAAACATAACAATGCGCACGTCAGCTACTTGCATAACATTATATAGAGGCAAAAGGGTTACCTCTGTCTATCCTCTTCATCTTTATACAGATCGGGACCGTATTCATCGACTTCATCTTCGTCTTCATCCTCGGATACTTGATTATTATTGTCGTCGGAATATCCGCCTTCATCCTCGCTAGAATCAGAGATACTACAGGTGTATTATGAATACATGATTCAAATTGTTCAACCATTTATCTTTTTCCATTACGTACTATTTTTTACTTTTGGATTTCGACTTTGAAGAACGAACATGACCCGTAGCGTTTTCAGAACCAGAATTGGCTCTGGATCCACCTGAAGCTCCGTTTTTATCAGCGAGAGATAAAATAAGATCGTCGATATTATCGTCCATCAGCTAGAAAAAAGATTGCGAAAACAGCAAAGGAAAGGCAGTGTCAGCTCCAAACACTGGTTTTTTTCCTTTCCACATTTCAAACCCCGAATTCATGAACTTGTAAACAGCTTTTGCCAAATGCATCTGAAAGCAACCCCTCCAAAAAAAAAAAAAAAGAATCAAGCAATCGTCCCAGCTTGGGCATATCACTCATATCATTGATAGCTTTCTTAGAAAGCAGCAAAGTCTCCGAGTAACAAAAAAGAAGAATGCAGCATGCACCATAATTCTATGACATCGGTATACTGCTTTCTTTCATAGTTGAAGATAAAAGAGATCCAACTGTGACATTGCGGGTAAGTTTCGATCTCAGTCTGCCTTTCTTTAATTATGCACGAGTCGTTTGTGCTTTCAGTCAACCATATGAGCAGACGTGTGCCACTGTCAGACGAATGATACAATTCATTCCGCTGACAAACCACGGATACGGATGAAGTGTTGTTAAGAAAAGAGTCGTCTGATGAGATTTATTTTTGTAATCGAGATATCTATTTGGTTACTGTCTGGCTTTCACGATGGGTTCCCATGCGCTCACTTTAGGCTTGGTGGTGCTGTAAGTTCTGTAGGCTTTACGTGTGCCGGTGAAGTTGGGAGTGGGTTGACCCCAGAATTTCTGAGCTTCGATCTTCATTTCGGTAGGTGGTTCCTGAACGATTCTTGCAAGCCATCCGTGCCTATACGCATTTCAAATCAGTGAGACCGTAGAACATATAAAACCGTGTACTTGTCACCTACCATTCAGGTGCAATGTCACCACTGTCGGGATCGACACTGGCGTATTCAACCCAACGTTCACGACCTACGCTGCTGTTTAGATTATGCGAAGCGTTACGTGAATCAACAAAGTATATGTACCAGAAATTTCATCATTGTTCTCGAAATACTGGTTGCCATTGGCATCAACACCAACGAGACGACCCCATTTGGTATCACCAATGTAGTTCATTTGCTTCAAAGCATTGGCAGGGCCAACTTTCATGACGTTCTTCAGCGTTCGTCCAATGGTCGACATGGTTTTTTATAAAGAGTGGGGAGAACTAGAATAATGAAAATAAATATAATTGCGCGAAATGCAGGGAATTAGTCACCATTCACCTTTGTTTGAAGCAGCAAACAAAAAATTATCAATGGCCCGTCTATTGCGAAATGGAGGCGAAATCCGCCCAAAAAATAAATGATGACATCACGAGCGCTTCATTGAAAAATTATTGGTTCAATTCCGCGTGCGTTTTTGCCAGAGATCCTGACCCGACCGGGAAAATCTCGTCATGCGTACCACGCCTTCCTAATAGCAAAACCCTACGCTTACAAGGAACCAACCGACAATAAAGATAATCAAGGAAAGCAATATGTAAACATCTGAGCGGCTCAAGCTTGCTGATTTCACGGTCTTATATCTGATAAAACGGGTGGGTGTTTTTAACTTTACCAACTCTGGGAAAGGAGAAGTGGTCCAACACCAACTCCGCCAAGAGGACAAGCAGTCCAGGAATAATCACGAATAAGAAGTACAACAGATGTGCTCCTTGAAGAAGAGTATCTGTATTGAATAATCAAACTAAACACTCTTGTATCATGACTTTTGAAAAGTAAGTTAATGGAGACAAAGTCGTGATCCATGGAACAGAGGAGAATTGGCCCAAGGTTAAAACTTCTATGACAGATATCTTGATGGAAAATGCTGGTTTCTTTGAAAATGTAGTCGGCATAAATCTTGCAAGCATGCTACTTCAGCTGCAAAATACGACGTCAAGCGCCTCTTCTGAAGATTGGTTCAACCGTCTCTAGTGTCCGCAGCCAATGGCCGAGGCAGTAAATTGACCTGTAATGGTTTATGGTGACGAGATCTTCGGGTGCACTTTTCTTCCACACTTGAAGCAACCAGGAGAAAATGGTGAGATAACTTCGCCGATCGTGCTATATCTCAACTGTTTACATTTTTACACTGTAGTCATCGACCCCAAAGGATTGAAAACATCCAATGGCGGCCCCTGTACCTTTGTTACTTCAATTGAATCGTGAGCGACTTGAACTACCAAGACTTGGTTGGAGCCTTTTTCGTTCCGATGCAGGTTGTAAAGGTAACTCATTCGGGCACATAATCTATGATGGTCCATCGATGAATTTAGACTGTGTGTAGTGTCAAACCTCTTTCCGTTTCTGTTGCTCGAGTTTACCTTTTTTCTTATTTTTTACTCTTCTTTTTTTGGCCTTGCACATCTCTGCCTTTATTCTTATCTTCTTTACGCGCTTCTCAGCAAATACAAACAAAGTTCACACAAGTTTAATGGCTTTAATATGTTAAGACGCATAAAAGTCTGGGTAGCACAGAAAAACCACACAAGAATTGAGAGCTGAACATACCAAGTCACCGTAGGAATTTGAAAATCACAAAAACAAAAAAATCGCGAACAAAAAGAATGGCAATACAAGAAAGACATAAAAAAGCATAACATCAAAGTGATGAAAAGTGTAATTCAATGGAAACATAGACAGGTAAAAGTAATGGTTGAAATAATTAATTCGCGAGTTGGAAAATGACCAGATTTGAGAGAGAAGAAGACATAAAGAAAACAAGAGTTGCCAGTAAATTTATATCTTATACAGCTTACTTTTATCTTGAAAAACTGACCGTAACCTCCGGGATAGGTCGCCCCAGCCCCAAAGGTCCGCAACTTGGGGAGAACGGCGATCACCGCCCAGGAGAGGCGAGGAACAAAACCAATAAAAACCCAGGGACGGCCACGCGGAAAGGATACAAACGGGACACAAGATCAGGAAAAAATAAGTCGTTCGGAAGGAACAGAGCAACGCCGAAGGGACAGGCAAGGACAACAGAATAATCCTTGAAGATGCCCGCAAAGAGCCAATTAAGTCGTTAAGCAGGCGATTGCCGAACAACACCTTGGTTGCAATGTCGCTATGTTGGCCGGCATTCAGGATAAACACGTTGAAAAAGGGATGCGATCTCATTGCAATAATCCTCTGGAGGTAGAGGACCGTGCTTCAGAACCAAGGATCGTACAGCAACCTGATATTGGCAAAACAGCACGCTAATATTGACCCCATTGAGAGCCATTCATCATCATTGTTGTGGATATTGACATGACAGGTGTTGTTTCAGCATCTTCGTGGACAGTGGCATAGTCGGAAACAGCGTCATCTTCAGCCACAGCAACATCTTCGGCCACAGCACCTTGAATGGTGGGGTTGTTCTTGAAAAGCTGCCTCACCAAATCAGTACGATGTGTGGCCACTTGTTAATGACTTCGTCCATTTCAAGAACGATCTTGTTCATGTTGTTTTTCGGCATACGTTTTGACCAGAAGATTAGATATCGGCTGAGTTAGTCCAGGTCTTGAAATTCTTAGGCTTTTACCGGCTTGTTGGTAAGGCGATCGTAAGGTTGCGGTGAAGTAAATCGACTTCAGTTCGTTGTCAGTGAGCAACAGAGATTTGTGTAAACGATATATATCAGATCGTAGAGTTCGTCAGTTTCGGCGAGAAAAGGTGATACAGAAAAAAGAGAAGGTAAAAATCAGAGAGTCAAAGGTCTTTGTTGCCTGACTAAAAATCCAGTAAAAGAAAAAAGAGAAAAAGTGCGACACACTTGGAGCGTCTTGGTAAAAGAAAATTAAAACGAGATGTGTTGGTACGCTATTCACTGCTCTACGGTAAGTGAAAAACCAAACATGGCTGCAGGAAATTGAAAGAGAGTCTGGGGAAAAATCAGGGCAGCAGAAATAGGCGATCATAGCCACAAAGGTAAATTTTCGTAACATCGTCATTATGATCTTGGAAGTACCAGACTTGAAATACTTGGAGTTGGTGGCAATGTTTGTGAAGCGCTGTTCCGCCGACCGTCTGTCCAATGGCTCAAACTTTTCAATAAACGCCTTGATAGACAATGACGTTCCAGAAGAAATGCACCAATCTACTCTTTTGGTAAGTCGATCTTAGTTTTCTTGCTGGAGCATTCAGCTTGTGCTTGTTCTCTCTTTTCACCCGACACTATCGTAAAAAAGGTAACTTCACGCCACGGAAAAAAAAAGAAGTATAAAGTATAAAAGTAGGTTCGAAGATAAAAAAAAAAGAGCATCATTTTGATTGTCATTCTGAATAGAAGTCCGGGATCGGACCCATAAAAATAGGAGAGTTTTGTTCTTCCATTTCTTTCATTTCGCTTGCAATTGGTGTCCATTTTTTAGGTAAGTAAACACATACAGGCTGATTTTTGGACGCTGGCTTTCGCGGAGCAACGTGAGTCTAGTAGTCTGTGCGGTGGACTGGAGATGAACGAACACTGTTACCGGCATCTGATCGCTTCAAAACGGGCACATGTTTGGGTTCCTTTGCCTTGTCGTCCAAAAGCAAAATTAGAAGAGAACGTATTAACCACTCGTTTTATTTCCGTGAATCACGACTTCCACAACGTTTCATGTTGCTCCTACCCTATAAAATGTGCAAGGACTACCATTCCATTGGTGATTGCGTTTGCACAAACTGTCCACGGATGTTTTCACCAAGGGGTTGTTTGCGATGGGCGGATTCCTCGCCGTGGGAGAACCACGATGGTCTCCACTTACTCGATATCGTATGCCTCTATCTCCATTGCTCTTCTGAAGTTGCTAAAATAATGGGGTATTTGATATGTTCGCAATCATGGACTCTGTATGTTATGACAAATATGCAGCTTTTCGAATCTTGAGGGTCATGGTGATCCTGTATCCTTCCTCTTATCTCTCTGACGGCGTGCTGTCACCCTCTTCTCATCCTCCAATATTACTCGACCTTTTTTTGGGTGTGTGTGTGTGTGTGTGTGTGTATTTTTGCTTGCTATTCTAAATCGTTCAAGGAAACTGAACGTTAATATCATATGGCTTTCTGTTGCGACAGATATCTAAACATTTATGAGAATGAGAAACAAATCCTTCTAAATCACTCAATTCCAACCACTTTGGTGCTTCGATGATTGGTGTCATCAACGTCTCGCTTTCCAAGAACCTGTTGCTTTTAACTTTACTCTTGAGAACGGACCAAAACTGTTCAATAGGATTGAGCTCAGGCGAGTATGATGAAAGATAAGCACATCGATATCCTCTAGACTTAATATACCGAGAAATATCCTCAGCTTTATGAATAGGAGCATTATCCATTGCCAAATAATGACCTTTCATGTGCTGATACTTATCCATCTGATTCATTGTAGCCTTGAGAGGACTAAGATAATGTCCGGTGACAGTTCCTCTGCTAATTTCAGAAGCATTTGTTTGCTTTCGTTTTCTAGTCGAAATCTATGGAAGTCTTAAGCTGCATTCAATCAGACTAGATGCAGAGATTGCACCAGGATAGTAGTAGTTTTTGCTCTTGTTTTTAGGACAGTTACCACAGCAGTAAATCCTTTTTTGACCACGCCATACTACGTTAATATGGAAGGCAGACTCATCAAGAAAAACACAATTTTTTTTCTGAAATCTATGTCTGTCTCATCCCATTTGCGTATCCAGTCAAACCGCTCTTAAACCTTGGCTTCACTGCTCCTATCAACGGGTTGAAACTTAGCTTTTCAAAATAAGTGTTGTCTAGGATACTTGGATTCCTTCAAATCTTTGACGTGATTTTTCCATCAATTACTCAAGAACTATTGATGGATTCTCGTCAACCCATTTAAAATAATTCTCTTATGCTTATCGTTGAGAATGCGAGGACGACCAGAGCTTTTACCCTTTTTAAATATGCCGTCATGATCTTTTTCATATTGCAATGCCCACTTTTGCGTCGAGGTTATCTCCCTTCCCTCAAGGCAATGCCCCGGTTCCAATAAAGATAAGACAAAAGAAAGATTAAATGCTATCCGCACGAGACATACAGGAATTTCTGCAACGAGGTCTTTAGAAAGAATATGAAGACATTCGGTTTCATGTGTTATGTGCTTTGTCTTGAACACGCTCAGTGTGACGATGGGACTTTGCTCGCCATTGGCGCGTTCTCATTGGGTGACAGTGTACGGTATTTAGAGAATCCAAATTTAGCAAAACCCTCCGATTCACTGTTTGCGAGGACACGGATATCCAGTGCTCATACATCCTTCTCCATGGCAAAGAAAAAGGCGGCAGAGATTGGCATGCGGCCATACTATCATGAAACCGATAACAAATACGTACAATACTTGTTCTACTCGACTTACCTTGGCCTGGTACCGCGTGGTGTGAGACTTCGACTGGGATCTCCTCTGGTCATTGGCAGCTGGCTTGCTATGTTTGCTCTAGTTTTCAAAGTTATACCCGACATGTTGAGCCGCTGGGGCTATCCAAGGGAATTGCTCCTAGGTGTACGCATTGCTATTATCATCGCCAGTGCTATTGGAGGCTTGCTGGCCTTGATGTGGTACGTCGACAAGTTCGACATTAGCGATCGCATCATGGAAGGTCTCGAGAACGATCTGAAGAATGCCGGCGCATATTATCGCGGTGAAGCCGGTGAAAAGCCACTCAGAGGTCAATTCTGGGTATTAACATTGAATGAGGAACCTGTGGGCTGCATTGGTGTGGATCAAACTTTGAAGGATGTGCCAGATCAACGATACAGTAAAAATGGTACGTAAAAAGCTGGAAAATGGAATGATGCAACACTGCCATATTTACGATCAAATGTCATACAGTATCATCATCCTCTTCCAACGGTGAAAGCAGCTCTTCCTCTGCCAAAGATATTTTATTCAAGGCTCATAAAGAAAACGAAGCAACTTTGCGAAGATTAGCTGTGAAAACGGACTGTCAAAGTAATGGATTATCAACACCCTTGATTAAACGGGTCATCTTTTGGGCGCATTCGCAGACGGTTGAAACCCTTTATGCCGAAACAAACGAATTACAGGATCAGGCAGCCACTATTCTCCAAACAAAGTACGGTTTTCGATTCCATGCACAAGAAAAGTCAGGCCTCTTTCGAGTCAAGAACGTATGGAAGCTTGACGTTAAACTTTGGATGAGTCAGGAACTGGAAAAGCGCGCAAAAGAAAAGGAACTAGAGGACATTCGCAAAGAAGAGGAAGAACTCAAAGAGTATATGTAAAAGAATGGAGAGCGAGTTCGCATAGTTCATGTATATACCATCCCCGGCATTTGACCAATTCATCCACATGTCAACCTTTTCATTTTTTGTTGCAAATATCGTGCATTGGATACCTGTCACTTGTACCAATACTCTAATTCATAATATCCATTCCTTCAATATCACACACGATTATTGCTTGCAAAAGGATTCGCTTTTCTAATCGCGTTTACGTCATCTATCCTGAGCTTGGTGTTGAAGCTTGCAAGTGCTGATGCGACCCTTCCATGCGGAAAACATCAATTGCTGTTGCTGGCATGTTGGCTGCTTTTGGACAAAAAGGAAATCAAGAGAAAAAATATATTGACAAGTATGAAGTGATGGTTGATTATTATTTTTTGTCTGTCTAGTCGTTCTATGCTTCTTGGGTGAATCGTTTTGCTGCTTCCTTCATCCACGGTTTCGGTGCTTGAGGCACCAGATTAGCCTGAGCACAAGGGTGGTTAGAAATCAATCAAAACAAAAACCCGATCGCCAATTGAGGCCCACTGTGTGATTTAGCATGGAGGCCACCATCTTACCTTGACAAGAAGCTTTTCAACAGTTTCGGTGGGTTGAGCACCGACTGTCAACCAGTACTTGGCTCGTTCAAAGTTGAGATTGACCATCTTATTGCCGGCGTCATCGGGAATAGGGTTGTATGTGCCGATCTTTTCAAGAGGTTTGCTGTTGCGGCCGGTACGGGCATTGGCGACAACGATGTGATAATAGGGAAGGTTTCGTCGACCGAACCGGGCAAGACGCATGCGAACAACCATTGTTGCCGAGTGTATGTAAGGTAAAAAATAAAGCTTGTTGTTTACACTCCTTGTTTCCTTCCAAATTTAGGTCCGCCTCTGAAAACTCTCGCCCAATGAAATGTCTATTTTTTGGAATTCTGGGAGACTGTTATCGGTAAATGAAAAATTTCCCAAGCTCTCCAATTTTTCTGGTGCCAAGCAAGCAATGACACCAATAATCATACACTCGCACATTGTAATTACCTGTAAACCAACAGTAAGATGGTTCCAATTGATTTTACCCTAAAATGGGATTAAAGAATATGGCAGTAGTAATAATGGGTTCGATGCTGCTTTCGCTTTTTTTTAGTTCACTTTTTAGGCTGCATGCGCGATATCCTGATTCTCATTGTTATCCAGTACGCTTTCAATAATGTACGGTGAACTCTTCGCATTAGTTATCAGCGTAAAGTGGTTTGCTTACAGTATTTCAGTATATACTTATAAAGCGCAATCTGGTCTTTATACGGCATCTATGCCATTATTCGCTTGGGATACCTTGTTTGCATCAGAATGAAGTATCTTCGATCAAGTATGCGAAAAGCTAGGCCACAGCCCAGTTCGTTCCTTTATCGTTCGCCTTATTTTGATATGCTTCTATACGTTTGCCGTGATTATCATGGGTCCATATATATGAAACAATGGCGCGAAAGATCAAAACGTTTCTTGGGTTCAATACGTCATCGTCACTCAGTCACAAATAGCGAACTGATAGCAAATACAAGGTATTGAGCACAGGTTTTAAAATATCCGCGTTCGTGAATCATAGTATTTGATGAATTAGTCAAATAAGCTTTGGCCCACATCGCCACATGCAATGTCAGTAACGAACGAGATATTCATTTTGCTTGACGTAATGAACTCAACTTTAAACATCGAGATACAAACACAGTGATGAGCAGATGTCTATTCATTTTTTATTCTTGGGCATAAATGACGTTCTTGACTCCAAAATAAGCTGCATAAGGAACTCTCATGAGTTGAATAAGCATGATATTGTCATCTAAATAAATACCTTATTTAGAGTTTTTTCAACATTAAACTGAAACAGCCACGATGCCAACAATGAGATTTTCGTAAACAATCCACCAAAAAGATCCATTGTTGTATTTTTCGGCGATAATCATTGTGTACAGTCTCCGTGTCGCATATCTCTTCCACCGCGATCGTAATCGTACGTTTACAGTAGATAACGGGTTTTTTTAAGGTTGTGCGTGCTGAAAAATCATAAAGTTTGGAAAGTTTTAACATTAATCCCCAATTTGGTGATAAACGCAACCGTGAGTTGCCACGTTGTACAAACCAAGAAAATGCGGAACCTTGAGACAACGGGCCACTGAAGCGGAGTCGTAGACCGCACCATTCATCTTCGTAAAGCGCTACACGTGCGCACATTGATTGGCTGAATGCTCTGTGATCAGCTATCCAAGCTTCCACAGTTTCTCCAAAGATAATTAGGGAAGGTGAGAAATTCTTGCAAAAAACAAACCTAGACATGGCCGAAAAAAGCCCAAGCATTACCACGCGTTAAAAGTAGACCTGTATCATCGAGATGGATAAAGATGCAGGTACCCAATAACACCAGAAGCAAAAATAAAAGGGATCTGCAGAAACGTACCAAGAAAAGGACAAAAAAGCAAAATTACCGTTGGCTGCACGTTAATGAAAATTGGACCCCGATGATAGCACAAACGAATAGGATGATGAGATAAACCTCATGTGAGGTCGTGTGAGGCTGGGGATAGCCAATCACAGACAGCTTAGATACTACATTAGGGTATTTTTTCGGTAAGCCAACCAAGCCGGAGTTTTTTTTTCCTTCGGCAACTGGGGCAAATGTCAAGAGCTAAAAAAAAATATTTCCAACAAATAAATAGGCTTCATGAATACTCGCGTTTTTGGTCATTTTCTCACTTTTATTCTTCTTCTCCATCCTCTCTTCATTCAGTTAAATTTTACACGATGAAGTTTTCCCATTCACTGCAATTCAATGCAGTGCCTGACTGGATTGATAAATATGTCGCGTAGGTTTCAGATTCATTTGAATGAAAAAGGATCTCATCGGGAAGGAACCCCGAAATTGAAGCTTGATACACTGACGTCTTTATTGTTTTTCATTGTGTTTAGCTATGATCACCTCAAAAAATTGATTTTTCAAATTGAGAAGGAACGTGTCGAGTCCGCGAATTACCAAGGAGATCCGGAAAAGAAGCCAGAAACAACCGACGAGAATGTGTTTCTCAACGAACTTGATTTGCAGCTCGAGAAAATCTTTGATTTCTATACTCAAAAGGAGTACGAACTGTACAGCTCTCTGGACCATATCGAATCAAGCCTGTCTATGCATAATAATAAGCATACTTTATACCCTGGTATTGTCGAGCATGAACCCCTTGAAAATTTGGATTCCACGCTCCACCTGCCTGTCACGGCCAAACCGACCATTCTAGATGACAAATTACCCAACAAACGCAGGATGTCGATTGAATCCCGGCTAACCACGCATACCAACGAAGAGCATATCCGGTTCGAACAACTATTTGATCTCCGTACGCAATTAATATCTCTCTACGTTTCCCTTTCCGAACTTGAATCCTATATCGATTTGAACCGAAGCGCATTTGCCAAAATTCTCAAGAAACACGACAAAGTCCTCGACGGTGATTTGCGTGACCAATACCTGAAGAAGATGGTGCTTGACTCTCGACCTTTTATGCCCCAGACAACCGATATGCTGCGTTCCCAGATCGAACGTGTGGAACGTATCTACGCCGATGCTTTCTGCAACGGACATGTGCAGATCGCTATCCGACAGATGAAGACCCATCTCCGTGACCAGATTACCTATGATCGCAACACCGTCTGGAAAGACATGGTGAGCCAAGAGCGCAAAACACTCGATGCTCATGTCAAAGACGCCAAACCACCGAAATCGTACAAGCTCCCATTCGTCTCGGCCTATGTGCGTGCTGAAATATTGCGTTGCATTCTCTGTTTCCTGTTCTCGATCGTCGTTTTCATCATTCTTCTCAATGTCAACACCTTTGGTACCAAGCAAGAAAACTATTGCTTCGCTCTACTCATTTTCGCTGCCATTATGTGGGCGACGGAAGCGATTCCGCTGTATGCAACCTCCCTCCTGATTCCTTTCCTTATTGTTCCCATGGGAATTCTCAGGACCGCCGACGGAGCACAAATGGCTGCCAAAGCGGCCGCCAAATCAGTGTTTGCATCCATGTTCAGCGGAACGATTATGATGCTTCTGGGTGGGTTTGCTCTTGCAGCCGCACTTTCAAAATACGGTATTGCCAAAGCTTTCGCTTCCCATGTGCTTTCCCGAGCCGGCACTCGACCTCGTTGGGTTCTTTTGGCCATCATGTGTGTCGCCGGGTTCTTGTCCATGTGGATCTCCAATGTGGCGACGCCCGTTCTCTGCTTCTCGCTCATCAACCCCATTTTGCGCACCTTGCCTGATAACTCACCGGTAGCCCCATGCTTGATCCTCGGTATTGCTCTTGCCAGTTGCATTGGTGGCATGACTTCCCCCATCTCATCACCGCAGAATATCGTGACCTTGCAATATATGAACCCTAATCCTGGATGGGGAATTTGGTTCGCGGTGGCCTTGCCTATTTCCATCATCTGTATCTTTGTCTGCTGGGGCGTCCTGTTGCTTGTCTACCGTCCTGATCGTGTCACTCCTCAGTTGAACAAAGTCAAGCCTACCAAAGATCGAATTACCAAAACGCAAGTCTACGTCATGTTCATCACAATTCTTACTATTGCTCTTTGGTGTGCGGAAACGGCCATGGAAGAATATATCGGTGACACGGGTGTCATTGCTGCTGTGCCCTTATTCATGTTCTTTGGTACCGGTATCTTGAGCAAAGATGATCTCCATGGTTTCCTCTGGTCGGTCGTTGTCCTCGCCCAAGGTGGTATGGCACTGGGCCATGCTGTCACTTCTTCCGGTCTGTTGCAGGATATCGCTATGCGTATCACGGACGGTGTGCAAAATCTCGAACCGATTGCTATTCTGGCGATTTTCGCTTTCCTGCTCTTGGTGTTCTCCACCTTTGTCTCTCACACCGTCGCCGCCTTGATTATTGTCCCCATTGTTCGCGAAGTCGGAATGAAATTACCTGTCCCTCATCCGAATTTGCTTGTCATGGGTGCCGGCCTTGCCTGCTCTGCCGGTATGGCTCTACCTGTTTCTGGCTATCCCAATATGTCGGCTGTCATGCTTGAAGGACCCACAGGCAAGCCTTACTTGCGTTCCAAAGATTTCTTGGTCGCGGGTATTCCCACCAGTATTGTATGTACTGTCCTCATCTTTACCTTGGGTTACGGTATTATGACCGCCGTTGGTTATTAAGACCATCCAGCAAATTTCAACGCAATCCCCACCTTGTAACGTAGTCTTCACATTTCTTCCTTTCTTTTTTTCTCTCTCTATTTCCTGCATGCCTTCCTTGTATCCCTTGTTAATTATCTGTCTCGTAATTCCTCTCATTGCTTCATAGCTTATACATAGTCATTTCAAAAGGATATATAAATCATATTTACTGCATAATTCCAGATTCAAGAAAGTCTGCATGTTGTTAAATGTGGTGAAATTAGGGTGATGATCCCTATTTTTTTTTTCCCAATTGATACACTTGTAAGCAGCATTCCTCTTCTCTCTCTTTCTCTCACTTTCCCTCATCTCCCGTCCCCTTCAGGGGTCTTAATTGTTGCTGTTAAGCCCTGTCCCGCATTGATGCTTAACTCTGCATTAAGGGGACACGTATTCATTGATGTTGACGAGCAATGTTATGCATAGTGCATGCAGGACCAGAAAAAAGTTGCAGGTTTGCTTTCTTTCTTTCTTTTCTTGAATGACGGGGTTTATTGTGCCAGCAATGATATGAAAAAGAAGGTTGTAACATATTAAAGAAGAGAGAAAGTACATGATAAAGGAATAATAAATACAAGATATATGGATGGACTAAATATGATAATAAATGACACAAGGTAAAGGAGTTTAACTAAGCCCAGGTTCCCAATACAGCCATCAATGCTGCACCAATATACATGGACACGAAACAAGCGGCTTTTCTGGGGAAAGTGGATTGGCGGAAGCCTTCATTGTGGTTGATCTCCGAGCTAATAAGGGTGACGAAACCACTGTATAAAAGAATACCAGCAGAAATGGAGTCAAGGATAGCTTGCGACGTGACCAAGGCATGAATGTCGACGGAAGCACGGATACCAATACCAATAGCAACGCCAATGGGTGTCATGACAATAAATAAAAGGCCCATGATGATAGGCTTGAGCCAGGTTTTGCAGTTGAGTTCATTGACGCGAGTGCCCAAAGCAATCCCTTCGAAGAACTAAAACAGAGAAAGGAAACAAAAAATTGAGTAAAAACGGCATGTTGTGCTAAATTGTGTGCTTTAGATTTTCTCGCTTATTTACCTGATGGAACACCAAAGCGATGAGAAGGATGGTGAAAGAGGCATTCGGTACGGTTCCCAAAGTGATGCCAATGATAATGGAGTGCATAACAATACCAAACTCGAGAACAAGGGTGCCAATATTACGAAGAGCTTGGTCGTGTTCCAGTAAACCGGCCGAGTGCACATGAGTTTCGGTATAACCTTTTTCGATACTGCCCGTGGGGCTGTTGGACCGTTGTTTGGACATCTTTTCCAAGTTGGCAATAGCAGCTAATTCGATAAGTTGAAGAGCCAAAGCAGCTATCATGCAGAATAAGCCACCAAAGCCATGGTAACTATGCCATCCTTCACTCAAGCAGGGACTGTGAAAACGTTCCAAAGCTTCCGGCAGCATGTGAATAAATGCTGTAGCCAAGATGACACCAGTGCCGACTAGGAAGAAAAAGGTTTGGGTGAGTGATACTGACAAAGCTATACACATGAGCAGTATTTACTTACAAAATTTGGCCACTGTCAATATCCAGTCTCGAATATCACCTTTCGAGTAAGGATGAATGCGGTGCAAGATAATAGGAGCAAAAATACCTAACGAAAATTTGATAAGTTACGTTGAGCTAATATTGGATAAAATAAGTTAATAGTCTTGATACGTACCGACAGCGCTAGTAACCATCAAAATGAAAATGGATCCCACTCTCATGCCCATATCATAATTCTCGATGGCTTCAGCTTCGCACGACTCGCTACCATGACTGTGACCTGCGTGACTATGTCCAGCTTCGGCACTGTGATCATGAGCTACTTCGTGACCGGCTTCGGCGGCGCTATCATGTCCAGGCTCCGAGACGTGTTGGTGCGTTGCGGGGTCGACAGCTTCATGGGTATGTGGCTCAGAGGTATGGTCGTGACCAGGCTCAACAGCGGTTCCGTGATCGTGGTCATGGTCGTGGTCGTGGGCAACTTCGTCATGAGCATGATCATGACCGACTTGGTCTTGCGCTTGGGTGACCGCGACTAGAGCACAAAGCGCGAGCAATAAAATAATCCAGTACTTTTTAACAACCATGTGGCAAAGGTTTTAACGACGCGAATAAATAATTAAGTACACGTCCAAAAAGAGAAGGGGAAAAAAAGGATAAGTGACAGAAACAAACAACAGCAGTGAGTTCTTATATGTCACTGATTCAGAAACTTGGATTTTTTTTTTGATTCAGCATTATCTCTGCAACCACGAGGGTTCTCAATGAGTACCCTTCGGGTTCCCGTTTATCCAATCATGAGACAAAATTTTTGAAAAATTTCCATTTCACAGTCACTTTCGTAACCAGTGAGGTACACGTTCCGATATTCTTGTCGTTCCATGAAACCGATATCGAGCCAAATCGGCCAAAGATGAGCGACTAAATACCCAAAACAAGCAATTCTGACTAGCGCCCCCAAGATAACACTTGAACCTTGATTAATCTTGCTTGACAAACTGATGGCACAAGACTCTTTCAAGATGTCGGATCACTGCCAGATCATCTCGACGCTGAACTCGGCCCAACTCCGACCGAGAAAAATTTCTTTCTGCCCAAGAAGTTTCATGTCGATCTCATCATCGCTTTTGCATATTTTTAAAAAAAAGAAAACGAAAGTATCTTTCCGCTGATACTCAGAAATTTTTCTCAATACAGAACGAAAATTTCTTTTTGCCCGTTGAACTTTTCTAACGTGGAAACAAATGTCCAACGATTTCTCCATGAACTTGGTCTGTCCTGTGTAACACCGCACCGGAATCAAAGTTTCCAGGGTTGCTGCAGATGTTGCCCGAAATGGCAAAACCTTAGCATTTTGAAACGAGCAGACGGTTTACCATCAAAAAAATATCGGCCATTGCTACACAACCAAACTGATTCGGTTATTTTATAATTCAATTGATAAAGCCGATAAATATTGTAGATTGTCCCTTGCAGCTATAATGGAATCCATTATCAAATATTTATTGCATGACATATCCTCTCAAGATTTTATTCAGGCAAGCTGCAGATCAGAACAGTCCACGGTTTATGCGAAATCCAAGGCACGAAATTTTTGAAATTCAGAATGTTCTCAGAAATTCCAGGTCTAAGATCTTATAGATTACCCATGTTGTTTAGGATTTAGACTCTTTATTGTGAAATTTATTAGGGAATGCCCTAATGACCATGAAGTATGATAGAATTATTAATGACCAAGTTGTCCAATAAAGGATAGATCCGCTGACATCGAATTTATTGCCTGTGAAGCAGTATTCTATTTGCTTCGATCCAATAACTCTATACACACAATCAAATGTCGAATGCATACGTAAGCAAGCCCCTTTGTTCTAGATAATGTGTGTATAATTCTATTTATTCTATTGGGGTAATAAATTTTACACTTGTAAATGCGAAACGTTGACAGACATCGCCGCAAAACCAGCCAAAATTTTCTGTTCTACATTGCAAGTAATGTTATATGGAACGCCGACAGGCCCCCCAGCTTGCTTTATTTTCATTGTTGAGAGTGGCATAAACTATCTTATGATCTAGTGTATTGCATTGCATTGTATTGTAGTATTGCAGTTTTATCCCAGTTCTTCTTGTCAAAGAACCAACAGCATGGAAGGCTTAAATTATGACCTCTTTTCATTGTTATAGGGCGGTGTGGGGGTAAATGCGGGTCAATGGGTTAAACTGCTGCGTTACTGATAACCAAATATCTGGAGACGATAATGACTGAGCATCCGAGCCTAGTGATTGCCCACTTTGGACTCTTGTGGCTTAGCGTAAGTTTCATGCTGAGAAAGGGCTCCCCGACTTTTTTTTTGGTGTGGTGAAATCATTTTCCCATAGCGACATTTGCACCATGAGCCGATTTCAGAATAAGCGAGCACCCAAGAAATCAAAACCCTCCAATGAGAAACATAAGGAGCCAAAAACCTTTGAGGAGTTTATGGAAGGTGGGAAGCTGTTGGTGCTTTTGGAAACAAAACGAAATAGTCAAAGCTAACGACAAAACTTGCTTGCATAGAGGGTGTGGAGTATGAGGACAAGGGCGAACGTTATGCTACCGGAGATCGTGCGCAACGCAACTATGAACGTGCACTAGAAATGTACAGCAAAGCTCATGTCCTGAACCCTAATGACAGTGATTGCCTTTATAACTGGTACGGTTGCTAAAAAACCGCTGAAAACTTTCATGTGGCATTGTCTAACGAATTAAAAATCTTGGGTTAGGGGTCGCGTCTTATTCCTGTTGCTCAACTTTTTACCAGCACATACATTGCCGGAAGAGAAATTGGAACGTGTTGACAGATCTATCGAGAAATTTCGACAGGCTCTTTCGTTGGAGCCTAACAAAACCGACGTTCAGTTTAACCTCGGTCAAGCGCTGCACTTGCGTTCCGAAATCCTGCAAGAAACGACCGAAATCGATGGTGCATACAGAGATTCGGCTATGGGTAACGAACAAAATAGGACAAAAAGCTTGATAAAAGAAGGGTGACTAATGGGACCTCGTATGATATTACAGCGCTGCAGGAAGCCATCGATTTGTTTGATACTGTTTACAAGTTGCAGGAGGAGGAATATAAGGGATCACAATCTGCAACCGAGAAAGAAGGGGAAAACGAGGAGCAAGACGTGACAATGCAAGATTCACAGGAAGAAAAGGAAGAGGTGAAAGAAAGTCAAGGAGATGTGACGACAGTAACGCAAGTAGAAGCAACCACTGTGCAGTCATTGATTGAAACACTCCTTTCAGGAGCTGAGGCAATGAGCACCATGGCATCTCTTTTGGCCTCAGTTGCAGCTTCCATGGACTTGTTCAACAAAGCACGCCGAAACTTATCCATGGCGGAGAAATGGCTTTCGGAGATCCCTGAAACGGACAAGGATCATAAGCAGTTACGGATTCAAATCAATTTGAAAGAAGCTCAGACTTTTGCAGCCATGGCGGACCGCTCCTTTTTGGCGTCAAATCAAGTCGATCGCAGTCTGTACGACCAAGCCATACAGAGATTGGATGATATTGTTGAGCGAATGGAACCAAGACATGTGGAAGCATGCTGTGATCGTGGAGATGTGTTAACGTCGTATGCTCAGGCGCTTGTCGATCAAAGCGAGAAAACCAAGACTCCTCTGGTTCCGGAAACAAGTGGAAAGGAGGTTTGGCAACTTTATTCACAGGCGAATAAATCCTTCCAAGTCGCCTTGCAGATTGAATCAAAAAATCTCAGCATTCTCAACAAACTGGGAGATCTCAGTATTGCTCGCGCACGCCTGCCATTACCCGTGGCCGAACGAAACAAACTGCAGTTACTGAAAAATGCCGAATTTTACTTCAAGCAAGCGGTGGACACCGATAAACAAGTACTGACGAGCGGCTGGATTGGCTGGGCTTTCAGTGCGTGGACTGTGGAAGCCTGGGGTAACGTTCAAGGCAAGAAGTCGGAAGCTGGAAAAATCATTCAGACATGGATAAAACGCGGAGGCCGAGGTAGCCTATTCCAAGACATGGTGGATGATAATGATACACTGGATCCCGAATTTGTGAGATGGGCTAGTGACTCATTTTTTGATGGGGAGGACAGCGATAGTGATTGATCACCTCGGCCACCCAAAATTGTATATAGCACAACAGACAGGACTTCTCGAATTAGATTCGTTGTCATACCATCTTCACACGCATGTCCTTAGCCACAAATTTCAGCTTTTTATAAAAAAGGAGATTTTTGAAATCTTTTTTAAGCTTTTTTTTTTTTTGGTTATTTTCATAAATTGGCTCCTCAAAAATGTCTCATTCACGTTGGTTATTGCATTGCCGTCTGATATGTATCATGCAGCCAAAGTTCCGAAAATAGCATCCTGTCACCATAACTGAGCCTGCAGCTGATTTTTGCTTTCAAAAAGGCTAAATTTCTTTTGTCTCCGAACAATGGGCGTTTATGTGTGGATGGGTGACACAACTGATTTTCAGTGCGACACTGCACTAATCTGTGAATGGGAAATATAAAGTGAAAGCTGCGTTAAGCTTGGACAGAAGGAGGAATCCAAGCTTTTCATGATGTTAGCCTTTTCATGCAAATCAGTAGTTAAAAGAGGGCGATCAAGGGGGGAAAAGATTATGAATTAGCATTCGGACCAAAAAAAGGTAAACACAAAGCTATAATTATGCATGATCCATGCATAACCCTTGATTGTCCTCGCGTGATCTACAGTGCTATCATGCCAAACATGCTACCTTTTTGGTCCGCCGGTAATCCATGACAAAAATAGTGCTAAAAAAATAAGGATGCTCGTATTTCCCGATTTGTCGGATGTGCGTCGCTTAAAGGGTATCAAAAATGATGCTTGGGCGTGGGTCTTTGTACGCTGTAGAAATACAGAAAAGAAAACCAGGAAGGGTTTTTGCTACATCTATCAAGGACACAAGAAAATCGGAATTCACAAAAAAGCACAGCAAAAAAAAAAAAAAAAAAAAAAAAGAATGGGTCGAAATCTTTTGAAAACTTTATGTTCATTCTGTTTTTCTTTGTTCTTTTTTTGACTTTTCTTCTTGCTTACTAGAGATTAAATAATTAGATGCCATTGTGTAAAAAAAAAAAAAGAAAGAACAAAAGTTATGGAAAGAATCGATATCTTATATGAGGACAAACATTAATGGTCACGATATGAAAATAATACGACAGGAAAAAAGAGAAAGGGAATAAAGCTGGAATATGGTTAAGCAAAAGAAAAAGAAAAAAAGATAAAGAAAAACAATATTAGAAGGAAACACAAGTAGTCATAGTCGTATTATTTAAGAGAGACGACCGACAGGCAAGAGGAAGTAGGAAGAGTCCTTTGTAAGCAAACCAGACAGCGCATTGTACCAAGCGATGATGGCAGTGATGACACCGAAAGCACCACCAGCAACCTGGGTGGTGACGCTATTGTTGAATTTGGCGGCGGCAAGAAGGACAAAGGTGATGAAAAGACAAAAGAACAAGCTCACGAGACCTACGGACGAACGGTGGGAAGCGATCAAAAGCAATGCAGTGAAAATAGCCCATGATATAAGATAGATGCCCAATGATCGCTCAAGGACCATCACATCCACTTTGCCGTAAGCGCCCAAAATGTCAGCACCAGGAATGAAAATCAAAGCATACGAGAGCCAGAAACCGCCGTAGCTCGAGAAGGCGGTGGCACCAAATGTATTGCCAGTGAGGAATTCCCACATACCAGCACACAACTATTAAAACACATGAGCAACGTCAATTATAAATGGAAATAGAATAACAATTGGGATATATAAGGAGGAGGAAAAAAAATTTACCTGGACGACGCCACCATAAAAGAAGGCCAAACCAACCACAACGTTGCTGGGACCAGCAGCAGGCACACCAGCGCCAGCGTTATGAAGAGAGAGGACAAAGGTTGTCAATGCGAATGCGCTAAGACCAAGAGGACCTGGGTTGGCGATAGTGGGTGCGGCGAAAAGAGATTGTGGAGTACTGGCGGTAGTAGCCACAGGGTAGTGCTTGGATTCAACGTCCAAATGACGTTCATCAAGTTGATGGTCAGCGGCAGCAGGCATCGACATGGTTGGGAAAAAAAATTAAGAGGGTTGAGTTAGAAAAGGGAAAAGGTAGAAAAAAAATTCAAAAACAAAAAAGATAAAAAGAAGCCAAACTTAATCTCGTTTTTATATCAAAATTGGAGAAAAGAAGGGGCTGAATTGAAAGCGCTGGTTGGTCGTCGTTTGGGGTTACAAGAAGTAGGGGGGAACACAGATGGGGGAGATTGACCCAAATGGAGGTTTCGCAGGCAGGTGGACAAAAAGACAGGCGACAAAAACACTGAAAAAAGAAACATGCATCTAACCTTTGATTGGCTATATTTCTAATTTTTAAACTCGGCATGCTTTCATCGAAAAAGAGAAAGCCATTCTTTTCCTCTTTGAATTTACTAAGAAATTCCCCGAAAAAGGCTATAAGTGGAATCGGTTCTTGTTCTTTAGAAACTAGGTAACGGTCGGCATGGAAAACCCTTAATTCTGCATAGTGGAAAGATGGAAAAGATATTGAGTAAGACTGATTGGGTTCCAGCGATAAAACGGGTTTGAGGCTCATAAAATTTTTTTCACGGCAGCGTTACCATAAACGGATCATCTCCCGGACATTCTCTTGAGCCGGCGACGATACAACGGAAGTGCACCAGTCAGCTTGCGTGTGAAAAAAACATATTCCAAGTGTTGAACCTGGGGTTTTCTCATCATGCCATGTTCTCAATGCACTGCCGGATGCGGAAAAGCTCCAGGATTCATTCATTCCTTTGCTTTTCGTTGTCGCCAACGGAAGTAGATCGGTATTTTACCATAAATTAATCAAATCAAATCATCCCTGTGATTTTGGCAGACATGGCCGCACTGTTGCCGTCAAAAAAAAAAGAAAACAAGACCGATTTTAGGTCCATTTATTTCTGAAACTGGGGTTGTGACACAAGAGATCACTCATAATTTGAAATGTTACACGAGCCCACTAACGCTTCTTTTTGGACCTGGGCTGTTCACCTAGGTCAAATGGCTGATGGCACCATGCAGAGGGATGCGCATGGGTAAATTTTTATTGTTATGCCGAAACTGGGATTTGACTTTTTGGTTTCAAGGGAAAACAATAGCTCAATCAATCTTGATTCTCTACCGCGGAAGATCGCATTCAGCCATCGTAGCACAATCGCAGATTCTACACGGTGAAAGAAAAGTGCCTTTTTTTTTATTTTTGCAAGTATTAAATTTTTTTTTCGACCTATAGCAGTATATTTTCTCCCCAGATTTTTGGTGGTATTTCTTCGGTTGTTCGTTGGATGATGTCACCTCTTGATGAGTTGACTAGCTTGCAACCATCTTTAACTCGGGTTTACCATCAAGAGGTCAATATGAAAAAAAAAAAGTCATCAGCCCGTCCCAATTTACGAGGTCAAGAGAAAAACATTAGTCTAACCACATGAGGCGCCTCTTTTTTTTTTTGGGTTACAAACTAAGACTGTCAAAAAGAGAACACCGTTCTTGTGACGAAACCTTTTTGATAATGCTCGGCATAGCTCGAGAACAATAATGATGGTCTCCGAAGAGAAGCCGTCGAAGCTCACTTTATTATGATTGATTTACATACCAATGGTCACTATCGACATCTATTGAGACGTAGGAAATGTAACGAAACAGACTGCATGCTTCGAAGCTTCGTGTTACTTTACAGCCGCAGTCCATGAAGTAAACCATAGTCGCTGATTAAGGAGGACGTTGGCGAACACAAATAGCCAATTCTTTTTGTGCGGTTATGCATGCGGCATGCCAATCTAAAGGGGCAAAAAGGAAGTCAAACGCCAGATAAGATATTAAGGAGTGCCTTTTTTTGTATACAAAAATGCAGTCGATCCATGTAATGATGAAGACGAGTTTTGGGATTGAAAATAATAGGGGCAAGACGACAATGCGATATTCTTTTACTGCATGTATGTGCACAATGTTGACGTCCCACGCCGTCATGGAAGATTATCGGTAAAGGCATGAAAAGTTGCATTATCGGTATTGTTTGCATGATGAATGTTGCGGTTTCCTTTCGAAATACCTCATGTCGTCTTGCAGATAGAAAAAACTTATTAGGATTATTTCAATTTGGTAACTATAATGAGCAAGGACCATGTCAGTGATTGAGATGCTAATGTGACAAAATATGGCATGAGATCTTCTAATGAAAACCATTTCGGAGACCATCATTCCGTAATAATTATGATGAAAAAAAAAAAGCTTCTGATTCAACAGTGCAAACAAAAACCTTAACCAAAATAAGGTGTATTCTAGTTATTCCCCATACTATGCTTCTTCAACGGCACAGAGATGATGCATTCGCGTTCGGTATATGCTGATACTGCTATCGAAAAGACATCATGCCGATGGCAAGCCTATCGACGGCTCTTTTCATCCGATATCGTACTGATTAGCAAGTCAGATATCTGCTAACGCTGAAAATCATATGCCGCATGATCCGGTTACCCGTTATCTACATGTTACTTTTCGTGTCCCATTTAACATCATGGAGGAACATAACATAACATGGCATTTTCAGAAACCGGGTGAAATCATATAGATCAGTTTTGCTTTAACGAGTACTGTTCTTTTGTTGGAGCAGACAGCTTCTAAAATCAGACTCATGTTTTGTTGTCAATGTTACGTTTGTGATTGATTTCTCTACATTCGCATCTGTGCCACCATGGACTGTTCTCCATAGTGTCGGAACATAGACCATCAAGCGTAAACAACGAACACTGACCAATAGAATTAGTCACCAGACATCGAAATTACTGTATCTGCAAGAACCTAGTACGGTGTGAAGGATCCAGAAACTGATATCCGACACATTACATGAACACAGAAACTGGTGACATTGTGGTCCGTCACGATTGAATCATGAAAGCCTGGGAAATGGGAAAATGTTTAACACTTTTTGTTCTTGATGCAATTGACCGTTTTCACACAACAAAACGCTATTGGGGCATCAACTGAGTTTTTATGTAACATAAATGATCGAGCCCGGATTTCACTTTAGCAACAAGCACATGGTGTTGTAAGAGTTTTTTTTTTTTTTTTTTTTTTTTTTTTTTTTTAGCTCCTTCCTGTGTTCCCGAATATGAAGTCAACTGTACGTGGTGGACTTTGTAACTTTGAGAAAATGCTGGATCCGAGGTCAGAAGGTAACCATGTTGAACAATGTAAAGAACATAATAACCAAAGATGAGGATGGATAAAAACATGTAAAACGGGTTGTATATTATATGATGCTAAATGACTTTTTTCTATTACATGGAAACTGCCAAACGACTTTTTAAAATCATGGTTTGCGGCTCATTACCAGCATAACCCTCCGCGGAACTGTATGCATTCTAAGTCTAATTCCCAGATATCAATATGTTCCAGTGCCCATTCGCCTTCCTTGTTCATGTATGACTTCTCCTTGCGCATGATCTCTCCCATGTCGATATTTTTGTTATCATTCTTTTGGTCCGTGAGGCTTTCCCAGATGTTCGGATGCTCCTGGTGACAAGCAAAGCTCCTTTCGCTGTATACAACGGGAATATCAAATGTCCACGCGGCAGTACAAATAAACTCAATGTCCATCCTAAAATTCGTCGGTTTAGTGATATCGATGCTTGCTTCACTCCTGAAAAGGATCACCGTATCCCCTTCTTTTTTTTTACGCTTTTCCTTTTTTTTCCCTGGTAAACTGTTTCCTTCCTTGACCTACCATGCTATTCCGCCCGCTTCACGATAGCCTCGGGGGATTTTCCATGTATCACGGTGTGCCATGGTGAAATCACCTGCCTGATCCGCTATACGTAAAATGTTGTCCGTAGTCACTTTTGTAGGCTCGGGGAGTTCAAAGTTGCCCCAGTCTTGCTCATGCAACCGACATGAGTTGTACAACGTATCATCGTCCGGGAACGGTGGTAAGCGCACAATTGAAGGTGGTAAATTGTCATGACTATAACAACGTTGCATTGTTTCCCGTTAGTTCAATCTTTTTGCATTGACAGTAAACAAGCAGTAAAAGATCGAGCCAAAAAAAAATACTCACATATTATGGCGATCTTGGAATTGCAGATAGATGATTCCTTTCTGGAACACTCGCGATTTGATGGCATTATGGAAATTATGCGACCAAATATCATCTTGCGTACATCAGGAGCAATGAATAACGTAGCCCAGCGATCATACAGATAATTTCTATGGTTTCCGCTTACCTTGATTGGTGCAGACGATAAATTCACCGCGAGCAAAACGGATTCCCACATTTTTCCCTTCAAATTCGTGTAACGGTGAGTTGCCTCGGTTGGGGAGGACTTTGTGTATTTTTTCAGGGACAGAGATGATGCGATATGTTAAATACTGGGATCGGCGGAATCTCTGACAAACAACCGAGGAAAACCAAATGTTAATGAGTTATCCATCGTGGCCATTTTTCTGCTGGTATGAGTTCCTTTAATCACTTACAAATGCATCAATGACTCGACGGTGATCATTCGGTGGATTCCATTCAACAATCAATAATTCGATTTTCTCTTTGGTATGCTCCGCCAATAAGTAAGCGCTGTCGATAAAATTCTGGAATCGATGGTGCTGATTGCTATGACAATAGATCATCCAATTGTTATTTATGATCAATGACCTTGTCGTCTATTGAAACAATTGCATAAAAACAAGACTACCTACCCCGCATAGTCATCCATTCGAGTGACAATAACAATGGATAAATAGTAAGAAGGTCCACTACCGGGATCAAGACACTGTTCCCACTGTGTTTTCGAAACCGAAATTCCCTTTATCTTTGCAGTGTTCGCTAGGCAACCTGGTTGGCTACTAGAATCGGATGAACGGGCACGATCCTTCTCCAATCTCCAGCTACTGAGAACAGTAGATGATTGAGACGACCCTCCGTTAGAGACCAACAACAGGGGTATCAATAACAAAGAAATAGCACATAAGACAAAAACAGTCAACGTTCTCTTGGACAGCCCCATCTTCATCGGCACAATGACAACAACGACCAAGGAGAAACGAGAAGGGACTGGAGAACGACTCAGCGGAGAAACGGCATCGATTTTCTTCGGTGCGCCCTGGGTTTAAAAAAAGAAAAAAGAGAACTTTTCCTTCCAGGAAGCTTAATTGACACCGGCAAAAAGGACGCCATTCAACTTTTTTTCGTATGTATTCTTTATACATAAATCAATGTAATAGAACCCTCGCAAATAATATCGTTACTCCTCAGGGTACTTGCCCACTGTGTGAAGCGACACTGCTTATTAGATCTTTTTTCTATGTGGCCATGAATATCCGTGGTTACACGAATTACGCTGATTGGCCCGGTATCGACGCAGGGCCACCACCACACACATCCAGCCCGAATTTCCCAGCGGCTTATGCGGTCTAACGATTAGATTTGTATTCATCAACGACATCCAAGAAATATAACACAATATAGCAACATCAGCGAAACTAGTGAAATCTATAATTGGCAAAGTGATCGATTGGTTGAAGCTGCCTCCATAATATCTGTATTATACACTGTGGACACTTGCTCATTGGCATCCGTTGGGTTGAGTAACGATCCCTCTGAGCGTATCGGTACACATCCCCCAGGCATTTGGTCACATGTACATGTGCCACCAAGAAAGTCAGGTAGATTTTCCGCGTCAATGTGCTCCAACAGGACATTCTTGAAATCTTTGCCTAAGATTTGGACTTTGTCCAATGTCTACAACAAAAATGCTTTAGCCTTTTGTGTCACTGCGCAGGCTATTGGCAACCAATCTTACTCCTGGATTTAGCCAAGGACGAATGACCTTCCACATCATAACAAAAGCTGACGGCGCATTAATAATAAATAATCGGTGCAAGGTCTCTGGGTAGTAATGCTGCACAATATCAGCCACAGCTTTAAGATGATAAAGAGCGTTCATGTGGAACTCTAGTTTGCTTTTTGTTAGTGTCTATTTTTCTTGGGCTCATCCGCATAACGTACGTCGGATTCCCATGTTTGAGCAGTCAAAAATGACGGTTTCACGGTGAATGATACGCTGTAATCGTTCGCTGCTTTCTTTCATAATCACCCGCCCAACAAACTCTTGACATGCCACTTGATAGTTGGTGATCTGTTCGCTCGTCAACTCATTTCCTAGTGCTTTAGAATTGTGGTATCCCTGTCGTTAACAATAGATCAGTCAAGACGAACTGCATAACTCGTCGATGATCATTTTACCGTTCGATCGATCAGAATTGGGTGACCTTCTTTATCAAATTTATGGAAGCAGTCACCGCCAATGAGCGAGCCGATTTTGAGAGTGGTGGTGGATAAACCTGGATGCACGCCCAAATCGCCATCTTGAACATATTTGTATCCACGTACCGAGAGCAACAACGGTAATTTGTTGCTATTAGTAGCCACGGGAATGCTGTCAATGTCATTTTCTTTTCTCCATGCCAACGTTTCCTGTAACTGTCTTTGTGCCCCATGCTAATTGATTATCACCCAATTTTTTTTTTCAATATGGTATAGTTCATGTAAGACAGGAATATTTTTGCATACCACATCCCATGCATTTGCTACGAGGAATTGTAAGAAATACTATGCCGTGAGAGAGCACCAACAAACTGTCAGCGATGAACCGACGTCTTGCGCAATCGAATGTTCAACACACCTCATCCGTCAATTGGGGAATGTCATTGCCAACGGCTTGTTTCAACAATTGCAGTAGCTTCTGTTGCTCCTCTTTGGATTTATGGGTCATTTTTCTTTGTCACACCAAGAGAAAAAGGAAACAAAGTGAGGGTTGGATAATGATGAAAGACAACTTGGATTCACAGCATAAATGAAACTAAGCTCTTTCTGGAATCAATTCACGCGGCGATTTAATCCCCGACAGGCGCCATGTGTGATGTATGGTATTTACATGGACGTGTTTCTGAGATGACCTTAAGTTTATGCAATGATGTGAAATTCCGTCAAAAGAGGGATACAACGAGAATACTCCACCAACTTATTTTCTCTCTTTGATCGTTGTTGCGAAGATCGTTGCAATTCAAATTGATGTAAATGACGCTGACGAAAAGGGAGGCATGGTCTTGGGGAAACATGTAAAAGGGGCTTTTGGTGGAAACACAAAGAGACGGAGGTTATTGCGCGCAAATTGCGGAGTGTGTCCGGTCAAAGGAGCATCGAGGAGATGGGGAAGCTGGCGATCAATTGCTCGTTGTAGAAGGGTTCAATGGATCAATGTATGCCTGCTATGGTAGTTCGAGATGGAAGCAAAATGATATCAACAGCTTGGACAGTCGACATAACATAACTTCAGCTCCAAAAGTCGATCCCATTTATCCCGTCATAAATAAAATTACTGTTTTTTTCTATCATAATACAACAATTAAGCTTGAGCAGGTGTTCTTTACGTTGTTCATTAAACTTTTTTTTTTTGGTCAGTGTTGCAATGAAAACTTGATTGATCAAATTACAAAGAATAGTAAGGGAAGTGTCGAGGAACTCCCTGATGCGGTTGGGCCAATTGCATTACCAACGATCGAAAACCCTGAAGTGGATGACCCTCGGTTTTAATAAGATGATAAAAAACAAATGAAAACCGTGGCTCAAGTAAAATAAGGCATACAGCGTGCGTTGTTGGCTAGCAGCAGATTCAAAAAAAAGGGAAACTATTCGAGGAAAAGGGTTCCGACCCATGGTTTTTTCAAATCGATCTTCACGCTATGGGCAGATAAACGGGGAAAAGGAGCAAAAATAAAATAAAATAAAAAAAACATTGGAAGGTGGAAGCACACATAAAAGTTACTACTGCGTTGTGTTTAACCTTTTTTATTATTATTATTATTTCAACGTTTTGAAAACTGTCGAGTTTTGACATATTCTGTTCTCACGATGATTTGAAATGCTGCTAATTTTATTGAAAAAGAGGTGTCGTTTCTTCTTGAATGCTTGAATAGGCTCAAATTTCAGCCTGAGCCCTGCGTGGTGGCGCCTCAGGGGCTACTTTTTTTCAGTAGGACTGGAGACAACTGCGGAGTATGATGAAACGGAGGCAGTGGCCGGGCAAGGAGGGTCCCTTTTGGGGTGAAGAAAAAAAATTACTTTTTTCGACTCCAAACGCCGTGATGAATAGATTGTAGACCCACCCGAAGGAGAATACTTTCGAAGAGAAAAAGAAAAACAAGATTAAGATTGGTTTCTATATTTCCTTTTTTCCTCGCGATTTTTTTTCATTTCTTTACTAGGGGAAAAGAAAGGTAACCTGCGCGGGCCCACTCTTTTTTAATATATCCCTAAGCGACCAGAAAAATAAAGATTTCGCACTGTGACGGGGATTCAAACATGGATGGCAGTTGCATAAACACACAAGCAAGCGGGCACATAAATCGATACGATATTAATCCGGCCCACATCTCCTTTCCAGAAAGCAGATGGTTGTCTAAGGAACATGAGTGACATATCCTCTCTGTCATTCTTTAAGATACTTCCGGCGTCTCCGTATTAAGCTCGAGGATTACTATGTATATCGTTATTTATACATATATGAATTATTTGTATATGTTTTGCTCCAAAGGTATAAAGAAATCAACATTTGGAGTTGAAAAAAAAAAAAAAACCATCGAGTATTTCACTTTTTTTTTACTGTCTATTGACGGCATCCAATAATCTTGCAAATTTCAAATTCACGGGAACATTGAAATATTTCTTCTTCTTCAACTTTGCTTCTTTTCGTTTCTCTTTTACTATTATGTCACAACAACCAGCGTTCACGCGTTGCCCTCATTGCCCAAAAAGTAAGTTGTCCTTTTTGTATCTGTCTCTTTTTTTTTTTCGATGTTTATTCTTGCTATTCTTCCTCAGCCGAAGCTGATCACTCTATTGAGAAACTTTCTCCTGTGTTTTCTTTTTTTCTTGTCTTCTTTTTATTTTATTTTTACTTTCTACCTTCAGTTACTCGATACATTTTTTTAACTGATCACATTGTATTTACTTTACTTTTATTTTTTCTCTCTCCTTTGGACGCTTTTTTTTTAGTCTTTGCTACACGATCCAATTTGTAAGTAGTGGTATCCAATCAAGTTTTCGTGGTCATTTGTAGAAAAAATGGACTAAGATATCTATTTTTCTTAGAAAACGCCACATGGAGAATCCAAACATCCACAACGTTCCGTATGTTCGCAGCCGCGATCAAAAAAGATGGAAAGGCCACGCCAAAAAGGTGATCTCCAAAGCAGAAACAAGTGAAAGGTACGGATACGAGGGGTTTTCCTTACTTTTTTTTTTTTCTTCAACATGCAGGTCAACTGATCATGATTTTTACGTTTTAGAATGCGCAAATGGCGTGCCGAAAATAGAGACAAAAACAAACGCAACGATCTTCGATGCCGCGTTTATCGTCTTGCACGACAGAAATTTGGTGAGCAAGATTCGCCAGAAAAGCAAACTTTTATCCGAGAAGAGATCGCAAGACGATTAGGCAAGCGTATGCTGATGGAGCAACGGGAAAAAGAGCTGCAACAACAACGTCAACAGCGACAACATGAAAAGCAGGAGCTGGAGCAGGATCAGAGTGAGCAGAAACAAAAACAACGAAAACAAAAACAACAACATCATTTGTATCAACAGCCACAACAAGAACCCACAAACCAAGATTGGTCATGTCACTCCACCACCAACACTTTGGTGGAATTGCCGTTCTACAGTGCGCCTGGTCGAAAAATTGAACTTCCTTCCATTCGTTGTCAGTTTGACCGCTGGACCCCACCGTCCTCGCCGATGTCAGTATCTCCTATCCTGCCGCATTTATCACCCTGCTTTTTGCAGCGCAGAACGAGCAGTAGCAGCATCAGCAGCGTAGGCAGCATTGGTAGCACAAACACATCCACTACCATGGGATCGCGCTTTTCTCATTCGGCCTTCTCTGTCCATCAAAAATCCGCCCCTGAAGATAACGTTGCACTCCCGCCAATGCAATCATTGCTGTCTGGTATGCCGTCGCCGGTCTTGCATCCCACACCCCGTCGATCGCCCTCGATCAACTATGCTCCTCACACCAAGGTTTTGGATGAATTCGTAGGCTTTGTTCTGAAGAATGCGGACCCATATCCAACCGCCTAATCACATACAGAAGATAAAAAAAAAGTATTCCCTTTGACGCATTTTCCCATTCTCAATCCTTCTCATCCCTTTCATTCTTCTTTTTTTTTATTTTAAGTTTCCTTTTTTTTTTCTTCTTCTCCACAACATATAGCACTGTTAACACATCCATTCCCCCATAATAAGCTTCCACACAACATAATGTATACCAACATCTCGCAACTTGATTTAGCTTTTTTTCCCTTTTCCCATTTGCCAAACAAAAAGGAGCAGATATAGTTTCATTCATTTTTTTTCTCTTGTTTCTTTTTACTCAAATAATCACGCATATCTCTGCAGATCCATTTACTGTTATTTGGTGCTTTGTTTATATCCATGTCGCAAACACAACCCAGTGAGTGACTTGACCAATTCAAATTCCGGCATTATTGCTTTTGAAGCATTCCATTCACAACCTTGGCAATAATCCAGACTCATTTTTGTTACAATTCGCAGATAACTAAGCCCTTTGACCTAGTTTTTTTTTTTTCCTTTTTTAAAAAAGGAAAAAAAAACAGACATTGAAATTGCAAGCTGAGCCGTAGTATGCGATCATGTTGACAAATGACAAGCATCATGCATACTTGTTCGTTAGGCTTTCATTATTATATTCCAATCATCTAGTTAGTATAACCAGTTACAGCAGTATAAGCTGCATCATTGTCGGCAGACTATTATTATTATTATTTACTGTTTCAGATCTGAATATGTCGAATTGTACTGATTGTCATGCTCAAGCACAGTGTCATTCTCATGTGATGAAACCTAACTTACTTTGTGTTATTTGTCTAAAACTGTCATCCATGTCAGTGGATGATCCGAAAGAATTTTTTTTCCATTTTACAATCTGATCTTATAGAATAGTTATCCAACCCCGCACCAAGCTATCGGTATCTGATGATCTTTTTTCTTCACACATGCTTGTGATATAGAACAAAGCAGTAGATTTCATGACGGTCTATGAAGCTGTACACATCAATATCTACTGTATGTATAGTATATTATCTAGTAGCAGCTTTTAGGAAGCTCATCTTGCAAGCACAAGGCGAGAGCCAGAACCATTGCACTGAGCAAGCGAAAGAGACACTTTCAGTAAAAACACGACATCTGTTTGTATTCATGTCTGTTACACAAGGATGATGCCAGGTCGGCATTCAATGAAAATTCTCGGCCCATTTCCGCACTTTATCCTTTGTATATCTGTTCCTCACTTTGTTTCGCTAATTTGACGTGATTGTTCATGTCAGCATTATCTGCTAGTACGATAACAAGTGGTTACCAGAAACTCACTGTTAACTGGATGAATGCTGTAACATCCTTGCAGGAGCTTATGGTACAGCCAAATGATTCCAGTGTTGTACACATATCACAGCAGATAAGTCCATTACCCATGCGAGAACCACTGTGCAATCAATTATTTTAACGCCGAATTGTCGATAGTAATAGAACCAAGACATGAGAAATCGACAAGGGGACTACATTGCAGTGAAGAAAACCAAAGATCTCATAATAATTTACTCTCACCTTTGATCAACTAATTCCAGCTTGCTATTTACATTAATTGGTATTATTGGAAAAACGATAGCTCCTTATATATTACGAACTTCATAAATTTAGCATCCATTTTACTAGATTCTCCTATGTAAACCGACCCAGTAACACTAGCCAACCGATTTCTTAAACTTGCTTTGAGTGATCCACATGATACCGGAAATCTCTTATTTGTTTCCAAAGTCAGAAAAAAAAGGCCTGGTTCTCAATAAATTGTGCGGCACCTCTTTCTTTGTCTTGAGCGTGTGGAAGGAAAAAAACGCGTGATGGTTTTGTGAGCGATCAGTGTGAATTTGGCATTGAAACTCAGACACTGACCTGGATATTCAGAATGCATGCGAAACCCGTTATTTGCTGCATTTTTTCCCTGCTGCTCCTCCACCTTTCGCCGAGACCAAATGACCGATTTTATCATCTACGAAGATACGCCTTTAGCTGATTACATGGAATGTAAAGCGTCGCTGATTATGTTAGAACAATTCGACTGAAATTTAACGTATGAAACAGCCATAGAAAGTATGGAGCAACCAGTCAAACTTCCACCTCGGCCTTTACCAGGTCAGGGCGGTGATCAACGACCATCATTTGCTCAATGGTCCGAAATGCTGTACCAGCATTGGCGCAGCTCCATCGTTCACGTATGCATAGCCATGCTACAATTGCAGTTGGTTTAGAGAAATAACGTTTCACCCTTAGGATATATTCTCGATATCTTTACCTCTGGCGGAGGAAACCGCCTTCGAGGAAAAGTTCAAATATCTTATTGTCACATCGCCACTGCTGAACGAAGTGCTATCTGTTCATCCGAAACAGAAACATCAAGCCGAGTTGCCGTTTTCTACTATTTGCCATAGCCGATCTGGTATTGGTCAGGCGATCGCTCTTTCGGGAGTCTTGCTGGCCTTTGGTGCAGAAAAATGGCTGGCAAAATCCCGAGCATCCTATCCCGTAACTGCCTTGCTCGCTACCGGTGCAACCATCTTTTTCTCCTATCGACATATGGTAAGCAAACATTGAAAGGCGATTTGGTTTTATTTTATGGGATACCTTGTTATTCGGTCTGTTACTTACCAACCCAAATGTAGCGTCGCACTTGGATTCGGAAACTGTATGACGCGGCTCTAACAAAATTACAAACTTTCATCGATGAGTGTATCGTTCTTGACACAAAGGTGCATCGGGCAATGGTCACGATTCAGGAAATCGAACTGGTAGCAAGAGGCTACAGACTGTCCTCGCCTTTATCTCCTATTTCACGTATCGAACAAAGTCGGAAGTCAAAACGCTGCATGATGTTACGGAATCGGCTTGTGGCCATTCTTCGTCGCGCTTTCATTGTGTACGAAGAGGGCATTATTGATCTCATGGATAATGTGCAACGCGAAAATCTCTCAAGGCTCTATGACATGTATAACATTCATTCAGTGGCTTCTCTTTCGGCTGCGGATAAATGGGCGGAAGACGACGCAATATCCCTGGACTATATAAAGAACTTGGCCCAGCTTATGCATGCAAAACGTCGAGAATGCATCCTTCAGTTTTTAGCTCTCAGGGTAATGACGGAGGAACACGATTCTGTACGGTTGAATTACGAGACCGGATGGCGATCTGTGAATCTTGTCATGGATAAATTAGTGAAAGATACCAAGGTCTTTGTCACCGATTTGCAAAAGAGTCTTGAAACAGAACTATGTAAGTAGGATTAGGTACCCGCAAGGGAAAATTGAAACAATCAGTAACGTTTTGTGTAAAAGACACGGCAACGCCCGAGACTTCTTCCTCAAAAGCTTCATCAACCGATAGCAGGTTACGCCCATTTATTCACCGATTAGCTATATTCGAACAGCAATTGCGGACCATGGAAGCCAAGATTTACCTGTGTAATGATGATGTGCGCCAACTCGATCAAGGTAGGGAAAAAGTTACTCACAACAAAATTGTCAGCATCTGGAAGGATCTGGTCAATGACTATCTTGTATTAGATTCATCGGAAGTACGAGAACGGCTTCAAAAGGAATACGAATCGATTCAGCGAGATTTGAACCAACTGGCTGTCGAATGGGAAGCAGGCCATGCCAGTCTGCTATCATTTCTCGATCCTTCTTTATCACCTTCTCCTTCACCCTCATCATTAACTGACCAGGAAGTTGACGATAATTGTGCGTTTCTGGATCTTGACAACGATAAACCGCGCACCTTTATCGATGTCCAGGATGCATCTGATTATTTGGAGCTACCTCTTCCCGCCAAAGCATCGGTGTTTGAAGCCATTTCGGAGGTAGTCGAACGCAATACTACCGAGCGTTCGAGAAAAAGCCGTGCTGAAAGAATTGCAGAGATGAGAGCCAAACGAGAAGAAGAGGTAAAAGTCGTCATATAACGAATGCACTAAACCGTACTGCGTGGTAACTGTTGCTGAATGTAGGCACGGGAAAAAACGGAGCGGCTGTATTCGCAAACGATCATGCATGAACTAAAAGATGTATTGGATCGAAGAGTTGAGGAATTGGATTTAAAGACCGATGACGATACGGAAGCCAGATGATGGATAATTCAATACACATCATCATGATCCATAGCTGGATGATACCCTCTCAAGTTACCCCTGCCACTCGACAATGTGCTTGCAATGCAAACCATAATTCCATATCCCAAAACCTCCGATTCCTTGACAGTGCTTTGTTTGTTTAATGTTCAGTTGTATGTTACAGTGGTTCTAAAATAAAATGCTAAAATAGTTTCCAAGGTCTAGAGTCGCTTGACCACTTTGGGACGATGGGCCGGTTTTCTAAGCAGTTTCCATAACATCGCTGAAGTGGCAATGGATAGCGCATACCAGGTAAAAATATACTGAAGATGGCTATTGTGAACTTCCACCACAGGAGAGCGTCCTACTGGAATACCTCGATCAATGAGCGCATGCTCGACATACGGCGATTGATCTAGGAAACGAAATTGCATTAGGAAAAAAAGAGCGATAGCCAAGGGCCAAGAGAATGGTTCACAAACGTACCTGATACACGTTCAACAAGAAGAGGCTCTGAGCCGGTCAGTTGAGCCATCGTTTCTACATCTGTCCAATACCATTGATTGCTGGAAGGAGCATTGTCGGGCGTAAATGTGTTTCGCTAGTAAAGGGGGGGGGGGGAGAGATGATTAAATAAATAGCCTTACACATTTCCTTTTCCTTGCTATGCTTACTCTCTCCGACATGCGCAATAAGCCTTCAACTTCCACTTCATCCTCCTCTAAACTTTCTGGTCGTGCACGTTGATCTTTCTTGGCGGTGGATACCCAGCCTCGCTTCACCAACACACTCGTACCATTCTTTCGTTCAAGCGGAGTAATGATAAAATAGCCCACATTACCGTCGCCTCGAGTGCGTGGACCGAGCAACATTTCTTTGTCATGGCGATAATGACCAGTCACTGCCACACGACGATATTCGTAATCTTTCACGGTGTCCTCGCTTGCAATCGAAGAAAGGGGAAAAGTCAGCATACCGGCTCGCTGCGGTAAACAGCGAAAATAAGAATGCTTACTTTATACGTCGGGGAAGCGGAATGGGTGGCATGTCCATTCTCTCTTCAAGATTCTGAATCAAATTAACCTTCCAGCGCAGACGTTGCACCTGCCATGTTCCGAGACCGAAAGCAATAAAAGGTAAAGTGCACATAAAGGCGGTGCCTACACCAAAACGGCGCTGTTTCGGTGTATAAACCTCTTTGACTGTCTCAGTAGACATAAACCTTTGGGAGCGGAAAATCTGCGGACGTACTGCAGCAGACACAGTGCATAATCGTCGAAGCATCATGGTGTACGCAAAAAGGCAAAAAGAAATAGAAAATGATTATGGAAAAAATGCAGGGACGGACCTGGGTGTGGCGACGAGTGAATCTTGTGACTGTTGTTAAAGCAGCGGGTTCGCCGACCGAAAGATTCAGGCAATTTTTTTTTTCTCTGTTCGACCTTCGAGATTGGGCTTATTTGAACGATCGATGGCTGAAAAGAAACTGACGAAACGTGAGCAAAAAGCTCTTGCATTCAAGAAGAAGAATAAAAAGAAAGATCAACAAGAGATCACCGAAGAACAAGCATTTCCTACGAATGACGTGACAGAGGATGTTCCCAAAGTAGAAGAAGCACCCAAATCAGTCACCGGCAAGCGAAAAGCTGAATCGGAAGAACAGGCGGATGGTACCATTGAAGCTCCCAGAAAGAAAAAGAACCGAAGACCCAAAAAGAAGAAACCGGAAGATGGGGAATCTCACAACCGATTCATCATCTTTGTTGGCAATTTGGGATACGACACGACCAAAGAAGAGCTTACCGAGCACTTTCAACAAGTCGGAGGCATCAAGTCAGTGCGTCTGTTATCAGACAAAGTCACCAAGAAACCCAAAGGCTTTGCCTTTGTTGAATTTGAAACAGCTAGACACTTGACGGTAAGTGAATCATGACCGTGAAAACGAGTAATTTGCCTGATGTATTGATCCCACTGCCACCGTCTTACAGAAAGCCTTGGCGTTCCATCATACGTACTTTAAGAAGCGTCAAATCAATGTGGAACTTACCGCTGGAGGAGGTGGCAACAAGAGCGACGCTAGACGAGAAAAGTTGAAACTTAAAAATGAAAAATTGCAGCAAGAACGAGTAAGTGTGATATCCAAGGTAAAAAGTGTGTTTCATTATTAATCCAAGGTCTTTTTTTTAAAGCAAAAAATTCATGAGAAGATCGTCAACGGAGAATCTACTTCTTCCTATCAGCAATCCACTGAAGCATAACCTCGCATTGTATTCTATATCACTGTAAATTGTTATTTTTTTCTTCTATACATCACACCAATAGATCAACGGCATCCTTTTGTACTCTTTTTACTGTTATCGCAAGCGTATTTTTTCTGAGCGACCATCGTTACAAAGGGCATCGATGCACTATATTGGATAGTTAATGGTATTGGTTGATGGTGCTGCATATTCACGGGTGTAAGATGCATTGACGGAGTCAGTCAGCTGGCCCGAGATGTATCGGAAACATGTCCGATACAATATGGAGGAGAAGTTGTTGGCGAAATCTTATAAGATCTATAATATGAAGTCTCTTGAAGTGGATATTGTGAAGCCAATTTTGGTTTCTATATCCTAACAATATTCAATGAAAGAGGATGGCAATGACATGGTAGACATTTGTCATACAGCTGTTTTCCAAGCTCTTTTGTGTCGGCGACATGGGGTAGAAATTTTTCATTTTAATTTTGCACGTCTTGTTTCGGTTCAAACTTGTCATTCTCCGGTTTTCTTTGAATATGAAGCTTACCGATATCCGACTTGACCCTTTCCCACGTCTCACCGAGTTCGTGGGTAAATCGTTTAGCAATCCTCGCATCATTCTTCTCTCCGTCATCATCTCCAAAGTCTGCATTGATCGCATTTATACTTTTGCCAAGGTACTTTCAACAGTGGATCTCGCCTGTTATTTATCCTGTCAAATAACGTTTCACTTAGTTTGTCAATCCTAATGCCGCACTGGACACTGCTGGTAACGAAACACTCGACATTCTCGAATATCATCATCCACGTTCAGCAGCCGACGTCTACCAGTTCATCAGCGGTTATGGACACAAAGGCCGAATGGCATACTCGTCTCTTCTCATGTACGATTGCGGTTTCTTGTTAGCGCGTACCATCCCCATGTGTTTGTTGTGTTATTGGGCTTTCAGTCGTGCTCCCCAGTGGACGCGTCTGGGTGTGTGGATTCCCCTTGCTACGAGCATTGTTGATTTATTCGAGAACTTCCTAATTTGGATTTTGTTGAACTTGTATCCTCGGCAAATCGATCTGCTTGGCCAACTGGCGGCTTGGGCTATTCTGGCGAAATGGACCATGCTATGGATTACGGTTGCCGTGTTGGCTATCGGCTTGTTGCTTGGCATTTACTATGGTTTCCACGGCTTACTCGCAGACAGTGTTTTGATGGATAAAGATCGCAAGGACAGGGAAATGGCAAGACGACACTTGAATGACGCCGTGAAACGTAACGGACAACGTGCCTCAGCATCCTCGGGCTCCGCCAGTACCTCACAAAAGAAGAAACAATAATTTATGCTATAGATTGGACTCTTTGATTATCAATGTAAACAAGTGAATACAACTTTTTTCCAAACACTCATACCATTACTAGAACAGACATCTTTTATGAAATCATATATCAGCTTTGATAGCAAAGTTTTTTCAAGTTTATTCTTGAAAGAGGAGGAATTGGTATCAAGTAAAATGTACAATAAGTCTAGCAGCAATTGGATCCGCTGTTGTTATGTTGTTGCTTATTCTGGTCCAAGTGCACTCTGTCGGACTCTTCCCCCAACGCCAACGCGTCCACTCCGCTTTCTTCCTCAATGTTTAGGATCGCAGTAATAAGATGTCGAGCAGCTTCCTCGATATTGATATTATCTTTGGCCGACGTTTCAAACCTAGAACGATTGTGAATATCTCCAGGATTTCCCCCGTTTATATATACATACCATTTGATGAAACCCAAATCTTTGCAAAACGAATCCATCTCTGCTGCGTTGACATGCTGCCCGTGACCTTCTTGAACCAAATCGCTCTAATGCAAGTCATATGCGGTGAATACATATGAAAAAAATCTGGAAGGAAATCGATGAATGCGTAGCATACCTTGTTGGCTAATAAGACCACGGGAATTTTCCCGCCGCCCCACGCTTCTGGCAACGTCACTTTGGTATCGATATCATTTTTCCAACGAGTCACGCCATCAAAGGTATTTGGTCTGGTGACATCATAGACGACAAAAGCGCCCAACGCTTCCTTATAGTACACGCGCGTCATATTACCAAACCGTTCCTGGCCTGCAATGTCCCACAGTTGTAAACGCACTATAATTTCAGGTGACCACTGAATGACTTTGAGAGCAAAGTCCACGCCAATCTACAATTGTAATTCTGTAAGCAACGCCATTGCAGAAATGCGGCGCCAAGAGCCATTGGCTTACAGTTGACTTGTAATTGCTGGAGAAAATGTTGTGGACATAGCGTCGGATAATCGACGTTTTACCCGTACCAAGATCGCCGACAACGAGAATTTTGTACAGATACTCTCTCATTTCAGCCTACAGTTGAATTTGCAATGAGTAAAATGAGGGTGATTTCTTCTGTATAAAAGGAGCAATGAGGTTTGAGATTTACCATTTGTGATAAATCAAGTGTCAAGTGTGGAAGAAAAGGAGAAAAATAGGGTTTTACGGCGAATTTATGCGACGTCGCACCAACCGTGAGTTGGATTTCACGATATTGTATATCATCCGGAACGTCACGGATTGCATTTGTACACCAGTGTTCTATGATGCTTACTTTTACCGCATCCCCGGTTCGTTTTCTGTTTTTATTTGGTAGCTGCCCAATGGTCCGTTAAGCTTTATTGGAACAAACTATTTTTACAGACAAAAGCGGTTTGGTTCAAAAATCGTGCATGGAAATCGGGGATTGAAACCACAGGAAAAAAGGCATACAAAAGCAAAATCCACGGAAGACATCCACAACTATCTCTCTTGAGTGATGAAGGATTAGAAATAATCAGAGCTAGATGTTTGCATAAAAGAACAGCGCCAAAAAATGTATAAGTGACCGATCAGAGGCTGCATTAAATGCAAGCAGTAATGGTATAGGACGAAAATGGATGGTGGATACTGCCAACAATCATGGCGTTTTTGTGAATGTTGGTTCTTACGCAGAAAGCTGCTGGATATGACGAGTATTGGGTCGATGATTTGAAGCGTGTAATAAGAGCAAGGTACGGGATGGATTGCCTTGCAAATCACTAACACCGACGTAACCCAGACTCAACGAATGGAGCATTCTTTTTGATCGCGCAACACTCCAAACCCAACCCTTCTTGAAAACGTACCATGCAGCCGAAGCCGATGTACGCAAAGCGTACGGCTAACAGAGATAAATTTTTTTTTTATAAACTGATGTTCAAGTGCTGGAGGGTTCCTTCTTTTACAATTTGGCGCCAAGCCTGAATCAATATACCGTCTTTTTGCCAAAATTGTAAATGTCTATGCCTCATTTCCACAAATACAATTATTAAACTTATTTAGTAAAGAAATCCTATGGTACAAATTTTCAAGCCCTGAGCACGGAATCAAAGGTCCCATAGCGGATGTAAGGCGCAATGAATATCTGACCCGTGAATGCCATGAACGTGAGCTGAGTGGCGATACACAAACACAGCACTAGACCTGTGGGGTGCTTCTTGTATTTTCCCTGGCGAAGATTCACATCCAAGCTGACGGCCACGCCCTGAATGAAAAAGAAGAGTACTTGCTCCAAGGTCAATCTCCGTACAATGGCCATGATTAGGAATTCATGCATAAAACCACTGGTTATGAAAACGGCAATGCCCCGACCATTTCTAGCAGACCAATACCACAAGGAAGATGACGGCGCTGGCAAGTCTTTGGTCGCTTCTCCGTTCTTGGTCGGGGTCTTTTGCAGATCTTCATCATCGTCCTTTTTGTCTTTCACGTTATCTTTTCCGGTTTTACGGGAGAAGATCTGACGGTGAAACAGATTTCGCACGACTTTATTCCATCGGCGACTAAGCAACGAGAGAGGTTTGCATTTATGTAACGCTGGAAACACACGGATCTATCGCCTTACCTCCAAAAATCTCTAGGACTGTTTTGCATGGAAAAAGATCGATTAGAAATCGCAACCAAAAACTCAATTGTAGAAACAATGCACACCTGTACGCCAATATCGGGGAATCAAAAAAGTCGATAAGGGGCACATTAAGAGTTAGTTGGACGAGGCCCATGAAAGCATCCGTAAAACCTAGAACGCAATACGCCTTCACCCCTAACAGAACGGTTTGAAAGAGCGCATAAGGATCGTACGGTCGTAGCGCCAGGATATCGACCGGATCGGAGCAAAGGAGCGGATCCACACAGTATCGCATAAAACAGTACTTGCACAAAGCTCGTGCAAACTTGATCCAGCCGCCTAAGCGTACATTGCCACTTGCCACTGAATCAGGATTTTCTTCAAAACAAAGGGTAGCGCCGCACAAGGCACCAAACCACTCTTGAAAGGTCTTGCAACGAGACGCCAAGAACATGCCGCATGAGCCGATAAACCACGGACCGCATGTGAGAAAGATGTTTGCAACGGCATGATAGGACTGGAAAGTAAGCGGTATCATAATGTGCCAGACAACGATCACCCAGCGCAAGGTTAAGCGCGAGATCGGTAGGCGATGCTCGTTGCGGATGAGGACATAATCAAACAGTAGGACAAAGATGTAAAAAGTTATCAGCTTAGGTATAGGTACCAGGAAAGGATCTGGCAATCGTACTTCGATCGGAGGTTTCATTAGAAAAGGAACTGAACTTGGCCCTGTCAATGGCGGCAGAACTTGCCTGATTTAAGGCAGACGAAATGATCTCATGCTTATAATAATTTGAATGGCCGACGTGGAAAAAATTAGGGAATTCTAAACCGAGCGGGCACCAAAAGAGATAAAAAAGGATGACCGTACTCGGTCCGAAGCGTATTTACAAGGTAGTTGTGCCTTTTGATTGGACCCCAGTATTTTGGTAACGGCTGTCCATCGACGGAGACCTGCAGAGGAAAGGCCTCACTGAAGAACGTTGACCATGGCTCTTTTCACCAAAAGCTCAGCAACTGCTTGGGGCAGGCACCCTGCGCGATTCTACCAATGCGGCACCGCACAGCGTCTTAATCACTTGAGCTCAGGTGGCCCCAAACAACTGATTATCATTGATGCATGTATCCCAGAAGCATGCTGTCGACGAAAACGCGGATGGATGAAGCACCCGATATTCACGAGTATGAAAACTCGGTCGATAAGACGAATGTGTGGTTTTTGACGTGAGCACCCGGGGCCAATCCGGCACTTGAATTGCTTCCACTCTTCTGTCAACAATATCTTGAACCCTCGTTGGTGGCTCACTTCAGCACGAGAGTAGTGACCAAGTCCTGGTCGGGGCTGCCTTTGATGCACCTGAGCCGAACGTGTCCTTATTCGAGGCCTCTTGATGTTCCTAGCGCAACAGAATCTGTTGTATCTCAGACGCGCAGGATCTCTTCATCCAATACGCAGGCCAGATTAACCTGACAAATTCGCTCCTGCGGTTATAACCACTCAGTCTGAGGAGTCTTTTGGCCACCTACAATCTTCACTCCAAAGCTGGCACCGTTCGCCGGTGACAGCGGTGTTATCATGACTATGACGATCACCACGTTCCTTCAAGAACACTTTCTCTGAGGTTGCGGCGAAGGAAATGCCGCCCACTGGATGCGCAGCAGTTTTCCACTAGCTAAATTTGAATAAAGGTAGGTTACGGGTATCGCGATTGTCAAATATCCGGCAAACCTGAATGAAAATCATGTGATGGATGACAACAAAAGATTCCACATTTTTGTAAACATGCATACAAACTCTACAGGAGAACGTCTCTGTTTGGGCGGTCAGTGCTCCTGCAAGGTGCTTATGAGTAACCTCATTATTCAATGACATGACTCTATTATCCCGTCATGCGAAACTTGGTGCATGCTGTAATATTGTAGAGGGAAACATAATAGGGCACGGTTACTCGTCGCCACCGCTTGCAGTGTCCGTTGCTCTTTTCAAAAACCAATTAATGAAGCCTTGCAATCAGTAAGGACCAACTTCTATTGAATTATAATATCTATTTCAATAATGCAATTGGCATGCTTGGAATAATTACTGTAGTTTGTTAGAGATAGTAGCATGTTATCTCACGGAGAATAAAGAACATTCATGCACGTTGTCTGACTAGACTTTGTATACACAGCTATACCACTTAGCTGTTGTAAAGAATCTCTATTTATTATGCCAATAGAGTATCCAGAATATTACTCAGATGTGTAGGTGCGATAAGAACGAACAAATTCCCCATTTTGCTGGGACAAAAATTTCAGGACATTTTTGGTGCTCCCGGAGCATGAATTGGGAAGAAAATCGCCAGTTCGGGTGATTGTACGATTTACTCAATTTTTGTTTCTTCATTGACTCGCTACCATGGAAGCTCTCATTGCAGGAAGCAACGAGTTTCTTGATCGTCAAATCCACATGCAAGATACCATAGCTACGAAGCTTGAAGCATACAAGGGACTTTTGCAAAAAGCGAAAGACACCGTTGCTGCCGGTACGCTACTTTGACCGTGAAATTGGAACCATATGCATAATCACACACTCACATAACTGCATAGATCCTTCAAAAGCACAGTATTGCGTGCAGCAACTGGAGGAAAAGACGAAAAAGCTGAGCTTTCATCGATCGCAAAAAGAGTTTCAAAACGCATTACTGAAATTCGGCAAGGATGTTGAACGAGTACGATTTACCATTCACTTTGGTGGCTGTTCATTGGCTAAAGAGTTACTTTACATAGCGCTTTAAGCAAGACTTGTCGGCAATATACCATCCCGAAGCATTTGCGGGAAAGGAGCACTTGATTACACAAGCACTCATAACTCATTTCATACATCAGGGTCAGTTTGACCTCTGCGACGTATTCATGCGAGAAGCCGCTATTGACGATACCGACCCCTTTGCTAAGAATATCGCGAACCTAAAGCAGCTATTTGGTCAAATGTACAGCATATTGCGGGAAATGGAAGAGTCGCAAGATTTAACAAATGCTATCCAGTAAGTGATGCAAGTCATTTTTCGTCCTATACATTCATAAAACTCGCCATATTCACCGACCGCGGTAGATGGGCAGAAGAACATCACGACCGATTAGCCAGTATCGGCAGTAGTCTTGAATTTAATCTGCATCGATTACACGTAATCAAGTTGCTGTGCGATCGTCGCAAGGTGGAAGCTATAATGTATAGTCAAAAACATTTCACTGCTTTCGGAGATAAGCATTTTACAGGTTGGGATTCGATGATGGAAAAATCACTTGCCGCAAGACTCTCGCAGGCTCACCGTCGTTGTATAGATATCAAGCGTTTGATGGCATCTCTTATTTATGATGATATTCAGTCCTCACCTTATGCTGATTTATGCTCACCAACTTTGTGGGTGGATGCTCGTATGGAATTTCAACGAGACTTCTGCTCCTTGTTAACAAAGAGCGCGGAGAGTCCACTTTACGCAAGGTAATCAATATACCAGCAAAACGGCCAGCATTTTACTAATACTCTCACATTCTAGTGTGCTTGTGGGCACCACGGCCTTACCGGTTATTATGAAATTATACAAGATTATGAGCGCCAAGAAAACGGAATGGAGTCAGCAGAACGAATTGCCCGTAGAAATTCCTTTGGATGAAAATCTTCGTTTCCATTCTGTCTTTGCTTGTCCTGTGAGCAAAGAACAGGCCACGGATGATAATCCTCCTATGCGTATGCCTTGTGGTCACGTTATTTGCAAGGAGAGTTTGACGCGGCTCAGCAGAAGCAGCAGGTATGGAAGGCATGTCATCATTTCGTCACTGCACTTTGCCCGTTCGATGTTAACAATGGTTTTGACAGAAATTCGGCCCGCTTCAAATGCCCTTACTGCCCGTCAGAATCATCCATGGATCAGGCTACCCTTGTTTACTTTTAAAATTTCTTTCCTTTGTACAAATGATCACACCCTCTATTTCCCTTCCCCGCCTTTCCGCACTTCAGAGGTCCTCTCACGCGCAGTTTCCCCAGTGTTTCCCTTCTTTCTCTCTTTCTCGATCTTACTCTTTTGTTTCAAGTCCAATGTCATTTCGATATCACAAACGAGCCAAGAAAAGTTTAATTGGTTTTATGCAACATTTCATACCGAAATGTTGTGCAAATGATAAATCAGTAAATATAAATCATTATTCCAGACGCTTTGCTCGATATAAGACAATGTATGCAGTATGCCAATCGCCTAAAAGAGGGACCGCGTGAATAACAACTGAATGCGACCTGCACAGAAAAAAAACATAACTTACCTCCGCCATCCAATCTTTGAATATCCGCATCGCGGACAATGGACACCTTATCGTCATCGAATTTATGCCATTCATCGTCGGCCTTCTTTACCCATGCGATGTAATGACCCGAGTCGGCAGATCGGCCCACGTGAGTCAACACAGCGCAAAGTTCGTACTGTCCCGTGGGATTGGATCCAACATCGGCTAATAATTCAGGATCGAGGTACTGTGACCAATCGACTTTTTCTTCTTCCTTTTGTGCGATCACGTCCGTTTCCATGGCGCTGCTACCGGCCACTTCATGATCCGCCTTTCTACGCTTGGCTTCTCTTTTCTTGGCTTCTCGGTTGTCGTCCAAGTCCTTCAACTTTGTCTTGGCCTTGCTCAATTTTGCCTGCAGTTCAGGAGTACATAATTCCGAAGCATCAAATTCCAATGGGAATTTAACCTTTCTCAGAATCTTTGCACGAATACGTTCCTGCGGTTTCCAGAAGAAGCGAATAAACTGAACTGGTAAATATTGAGGTAAGCGACAAATGCGAGAGCTTCGCTCATATTTGGCAGTACGATCCAAGGTAGGTGAATTCTTCTCGATTTCCTCTTTTAAAGACTAAAACCGCTTTCGTAAGCAACCCCAGATATGGTGAACAACAGAGCTAATTTTGGCTTACCTCGAGGATACCGCTCACCATATAGTTTGTCTCTAAAAAAATCACAAAACGTCGGTATTCATATTCTCTGCTGCATAGTTACTTGACGTTCGCTTACGGATGGAAATATGGCATGCCAACTTGGAGAAACTCTCTGTGGTAATAACCGGCTCTTCTTCCGTGGTTTCCGCACATTTAAGCCTATTGAATCGATTAGTGACAAGCAGGTTTTTGGGTTATTGTCTACTTACTCTGTTCGCATCTGCCCTGTCATATAGCGTTCAATAAAGTTACTGTCGGAAGCCTGATCACTGGGCAGTTTAGATCGTAAGACAGACAAGACTTCACTCCAGCACTCTTCCGCATCCTGCTGCATGGGTACGCCGCCGGGACCTGTTTGCGAAAACTGGGGAAACACTTGACGCAACATCTGGATTTGGTTCGATTAATAACATATATGCTGAAGATGCACTCAAGTTTATTTCCATTACCTGCCAGAAAACGAGGGGAGGAAATCCTTCCGATGCTTTGGCGAGATTCTTGTACAGATCACGTAAACTGGCCGTCAGGTTGCCACGATTGTCTACGCCAGCAAGACCACCTTCATATCTATTTAGCAGGTTAGAGAAAGGGTGGGCGAATATTTGTTAAGTCATTCATCACTTACTTGTTCAATGCATCATGAAGTTCAGGCATCACACGAAGACACTGCAGGGTCGAGTTCTGTAACCAGAAGAATGCCGAGTCATGTGAGTGACTCAAAGTGAATGGTCTCTTTGATCTTTACCATGTAACATGTGTTTCCAAGATTTTCCAAACCGGCAGGAATTTCCAACTAGCACAAAACCGATTTTAATCGCTCCATCACCCTTGCCTCTGCAGATGCAAACTTACTGCTTCCGCCACTTCGGCTTCTGACATGTCTTCCAAAAACTGCACTGGTTGTGGTGGCGGTTTCGGCAATTCACCTGCAGTTCCCATCATCATGAATGTGTGTCCCTAAAGCGCATAATAGATTTTAAGTTGATTCCTACGTGGCGCAGTTACTATTTCTTGCTTACGTCTTTCAGGCCAAGCTTATTCAGATCAGTGGACTCCTATACTCAAATACCAATAAATAACTCATCAAGTCACTAAAAGCTTTACGTATATACCTTTAACATGCCGCCTTTGACCATAATCTTTTGACGTTCAGGAGGGACTCCCGTTTGCGAGTAAATCTGCATCTTGAAGAGCTCAGGTGACTCATCGGTATCTGAAGAAACGAATCAACAGGGTTACTGTGGGTTCACGTATATCAAGAGAGACTCTGATATTACCTAGTTCCAGATTCTCAAACTTCTTCCCGCTCCACTTGACGTTTACATTAACTTTTGGCATGATGTTATCCTTTTATTCCAAGAATCGGTTCAAGCACGCGTAAGCAGCCGTTGCCTCGGGTTTTTGAAGCGTGACTCTGATTTTCTGCAAACACACTATTTTCAAATGCCGCATTCCGCGCCTGCCAATTAATATTTGGCTGGCAAGCGGGCAGAGGTTCTGCCACACCATTATGTGTAGTATTTACGGGGCGAGAGAGAGTGAACTGTAGTTACTATATAATGTCGCTTGTAGGGTGACCTACCATTGTCGCTGTACTTGAATTAATTTCTGATTCCAACAGCCGGCGTCATAGTAGTTTTTATTTGAATGACAGTTGTTGTGCCACAATATCGAGTCAGTTCACACCGCGATGGATATATATAATCTTCACTGTCTGTTGTTATGAAATTGTCGGGAAATACGCACGAACTCGGTATAAAACGAACTGTTGAGTTTTCAGTGGGACGCAATAAGTAGGAAAACTTTACATATCTTGCTGGCGTTGCTTCACCACATAGTCAATGTATGGTATCTCCCATTCCACTTATATCCATTCGAGAGCCGATTTTTCTTAGGGATTTCCCAGTGTGTCAGGCAAATGGTAGGCATCCCAATTTTTGAACAAGCGACCAATGCTAAAACTTAAATGCCATCTCTTTACTTTTTCGACGACGTGACCTATCCCTGTTTGGAAACTACAATAACAACTAGTCAGATTGTCCTTCCAATGTCAATTCTATGACGATTATGAATTTTTTCTCTTTGAAGTATTTTCTCATAATGATCAGTTAAACGACTCCTTTACTTGTGATAAGCATTGTCATGGAAATGGTGATAGGAAATGATAACGACATTTTGAGGGACCGAAGTTGGGAAAGAACAAGGGGATAATATTTCTATTTTGTAAATGTGGAGTGACAATCGTAAACGTGATAGATGAAGGCGAAAAAAAAACACGTATCATGTTTTTGAAATTCTGATCTAAAGAATAAGCTTGCATAGAGACACGACATTCGATTATTCAGCCGATATGCCAAATCTAGACAAAATTACCGCAAAAATCTAACTACAAATGTAGCGTTGGTGTGATAAAGGTGGTCCGTCATGTTTCATTATCATTGTTCGTTTGTCAACCTTAAAAAAAAAAAAAAAATTGGGCGCCGGAAATCCGTATGAGGCAAATTCATCGTCACACAAAAAAAGGTATCTCAGATTCCTAATTTGGCAGGCTTGTCGATCATGTCTCGTAGATCCCTATCAACACGTTACCTCTGCCACAAAGTTTGACAATCAAAATGATCTTCTGTTAAACTGGTGCAAACATCGTATGAGAAAGCATTGACAAGTATATGCGAAGAAAATAGGAAGGGTTATCATTGAAGTCGACCGGACAAAGATCCTTTTTAGAAAACCGGCAGAATATTCCACAAAGAAATCTAGACGTCCCCATTTTCCGGTGCGGTATCTTTTTCCAAATTTGGGATGAATGCTTATTATACTTTGAGGCACCGGATTGTCCTGGGCCCATTGGCAGACTTTTACTTTACAAAATATCGACATAATTGTCTATTTATCCTGTCTTTTGTATGGGTATATTCCTAATTGTAGTATATTGATGTGATTGCTAGTTGATGATTGCGCACGATGGAAGACTTCTCTGTCTCGCATAAATGATTAGTGTGAATCCGCAGAAATGTGTCACAAAAATTACATCATATATTTTAAATTCCGCCTGCCCTGTGTATATTTTTCCCTTTCTACTGGTTGCCCAAGTATCCCATGGAAGCAGCAGCCTGGCTGAAGGGGAATTGTTATCCTGAGTATAGGAATGCAAACAATCCAACTGTTTCTTCTTGATATTTTGAAAGGAGGTTTGGCAGCAATAAGAGGAAAGAACGGCGGACAAAGTTAAAAAAAAGTACAGCTTAGAAAATATCGTTCGAATTCTGGCATTACACATGAGACTAGCGTCATTTGAATCACGGAACCGGATGAGCATCAGAGTGGAACCGGATTCAGAACATTTTTGTAATTTAATAGTTTTTGCCAATGGACCTCGATAAATTTTTTTTTACATTTTATTTCTCTTTCGCTGTAATTTTCATAGATGCTTTATCATCAGGAGTATTCGCAACATGCGATGCCACAACCAGAACCGATGTGCTCCAATCGTGTCAATATGTTAACCAGTGCGTTCAATCCCACTATCTCAGGAGATGGATATCCTATGGACCATCAATCATTTTATCCATTGCCAGAGCAACAAATGCAACAACCATCGCAACCAATGCAAGCAATGCAAGCAATGCAACAGCCATCGCAACCCATGCCTATGCCTATGGCCAATGATAACAACTACCTTGGTTACGATAATACAGCGGACATGATGTGGCTTCATTATGCGCCTTTGACACCTGAACGAAACCTTTTGAATTCATTCCCTCCTCTCAGTGCGGCTTATGAAGCTCATTTTGTAAGTTCCTTGTTCCGTTAATCCACTTCTTAGGTTTACGTGGAAAAAAGAACTAACAAATGTATAAACCATTTTCTTCTTTCGTATCTAGAATGATATACCAATGTATTACCAAAACAATTCAGTCAATCCTGCCGATTTGGGATACCCTGTCGATACGTTGGTGCTTCGGCCACACCTAAAGCCGGAGCAGCGCAAACGTTCCTCCTCTGTACCTCCGGCATTCCACAGTGATTTGTACCAAGCCAAGTTATCACATCATCAACCTCCTCTACTGCCGACACTGACGAAGCCGTTGCCCACAAAAATTGACCGAGTTCCTGCGGCTCCAGCAGTTCAAAAACCAAAGACTCAAAGTGAATTAGACGACCAATTACAAAAGGTCAATTTCGACGATGTTACCGTGGCAGAACTGAAAGAAATGCTGCGCGATCGCGGTATGTCTGCTGCGGGCCGTAAGGCAGAATTATTGCAACGTCTTCGGGATGAACGGGATGCCATGCTACAACAAAAACAGCAGTATAACAATACCCTGCAACCACCACCCAATCCAATGATGGACTCGCCATCCAAACCACCATCACAGACTTCGGCTAGCTTCTCTCCAGCCTCATCCGCTTCCCCCAATCACGAGTGCCTTGTAGCAAGCGGCGCCTTACATACCCCTCCTTATAGCAACTACATAGAAAAAGCAAACAATATGAATGATCCAGCAAATTATGTCAATCGAGGTATGTTCATATGGTATATGCAATGATATCACTAGCTCAAATATTAATGTTGGTCTTGCTTTTCTTAGAGCCCTATATTGCTACAGAAAATATGGATTGGTTCAACGATCCTGCTCTCAATGCATGCAGCTTTACCATGGCACCACAACAGCAAACTACCCAGTTGTGGGATGATGAAGAATTGAAATCGTTTTTAAGCCAAATGTAATTATGTCGTTTTATCCACCACATTGTGAATAATGCTGTGAAAAATCCTGTTAGTTTTGAACCAAATGTAATTATGTTGTTTTGTCATTTTAAGTAATATCTTTTGTAAAATAATGCTGTGAAAGTTATCTCTTGTGTTTCACTTTGGCATGGGGTTCGATCTTTGATAACAGCCGTAGAATGTGTGCAGTTTCCATGCATATATGTAGCTATAAAACAGCCGCGATTTTACGTTGGATAAATGGTTCTACTGATTTTCCAATAACAGGGAGGATCTCAAGAATGATGCATCTTGCTGTTGCGATGCAAAGATTATGAGCAGCATAACATATTACTTTTTTTTGAATAAATGTGTATATGTTTTCGAATTTTGTGAGAAATCGAGGTGGCACTGGTCACGTGTATTTACTTTCTGATCAGATGTTTACGAAAAGTTTTTGCACCGCGAGATATCCCCACTATCACCGGTTGTTGCCCGCCAATGATAGAAAAATCAGATACCAACCATGTCGAGAAGTATGACGCCATCAGAGACAACTTACTAGAGATGAATCTCGGCTTTATACGACTTCAAAACCAGTTGAGCAATGACAGTGCCAAAGTCATGACCCAACTTGGTAACTTTGTCAATGCACTGGCGAAAGTGACGTCTAAACTAGAAGAGGTGAAGAACGAAATATCTGAAGTTAGAAAACAGAATGCGGAGCTACATGATAAGGTGCAGCATATGGAGACGGAACTTCGTGTGTTGAGGGGTACCACCATGGTTGGGACGGGCTCGGCTTCGTCGCCGTTGACTGCACCACCAGTTCATTCCAGCATAGCGTGCACTATACCTCCAATGGAACGGACAGTCCAGCATCCGATAGTTATGGTGAAAAAAATCGTCAGCGATGGAAGCGAACAAACTGTCGCAATCAAAGCCCAATTTTCTTGGAAATTGTACGAAGATTTGCTTAAACAAGCGCTCGGTTCGGCGTATAAACGGGAACATTTTCTGATGGCGAAATCGAACATCAAGCCTGTGGCGTTGCGTGCTTGTCTGCGACTGAGGAACGATTATGAAGCAAGAACTGGGGAATCTACCGTTCATTGGAAAGATATCGAAAACGATCTACAAGTGAACGCCTTTTTCGAATTTGAAGAAGCTGCCCGCCATCTGTTCCCTTTATGCATGTGTGTGGGCAACTGGGGAGCGCGTCTGCTGCTGAGAAAATATTGGAGTATAACCTATAATTCACGCCGTAAGTCCTCTTTTTTTCTTTGCACAATTATATCGAACTTGGCTTCTAAAAATTTGCGTTCTGCAACAGGAAACCGCACGGCGGTTCCTTCAAAAGCGCTGGAAGAATCAGATACGAGCTCGGACTCTGAGAACGAGTGAGTGATGCAACGACTATATTCGCTATTACCCTATCATTCTTATGAGGAATGTTAATCATTTCTTCTCTCTTACTGTTTTTCTTTTCAGAATCGACGCTGATGAATATGCGGATGCAAGGACTAACTCCCTAAGTGATGCTGCTGGAGAAGCGCCACCCTCTAAGCGATCGAGGTTGAATCTAGACAGTAAGTCTCATTAGGTGTCCTAGAGATGATACTGTTTTACCTGTAGCTGTGTTTTTGCAGGAACCCAAGTGCACTTTTAACGCTGAATTTCCATATCCCTAAGCAGAAATCGTTCTCTTTCATAACCTAGCATGTCAATTGCTGTACCTCTTGATCACTCCATACTATAACCAACCAACCCTTCAGAGTACATTTAGTGTATAATACCTATTTAATTGAATAATACAATCGCTTAGACCCATTATCACAACACGATCAAAGAGGAGGTTCCAGGAGAAATGTGCTGGGCGTGCAATATCTGGAAATATCTCAATGTGAAGGCTGCTAGATCGATGAGCATCGGTAGCCGTAGTCGATATTGATTCTGAAAAGCCTTCATCCACGATTTGCATACAGACATATTTTATTGTGACGGGGTAAAACAGGAGAGAGGTTTGAGGAATAGGTTTATCTGTATAGGAACCGAAAAGGCTTGCGAATCCGGACGTTGGAAGACAAGAGAGGTGATGACGTTGGAATACTTGATTCCAAGTTGCTGCTATTTGATGCTCAGCGACTTTATCCTACTTTCTGTTCATTCACTTCTTGTTCTTCGAATTGATCTTGTTGCGTTATCACTCGAAGCACGGATTTTTTGCTCGTCTCTTGTAGTTCGCCAGCAATAATCAGTTCATCCAGAATGAAATATGCCTTTTTGAGGAAAAAGTCAGCGACTGAATGGTTCACTTCTCCCTTGTTGTACCCTTTACCTTTTGGAAGTTAAAAATCAAATCCAACTCGCAAACCTATACTCGCACCGTAAGCATTGGCATGATTCTATAACCGCGCGATCCCACCATGCACCTACATTGCCAAAGTATCGATCCAAAATTTCGACGTAACGGTGAATAATCTCGAGAGTAATAAGTTCGTTATCGTTCTGATTGATGCCGGCGACAAAAAATAAGCTTGCATATCTATAGAGGCGCGCAATAACATTCGGTCATCGATATGCTGAGAATATGACTCCAGCCTAGTTGTATCTGTTACCTTCGATAGACAATCTTTTGGTCTAATAGAAGCGTTAATTTGGTTGTATTTACAAAAACGTCCAGATTCGCGTACCTTTATATTCCAGGAAATTACACATCTTGACTCGTCGCGCCAAGACCAACTGTGTCGCATCTTTTACAATTTTCGCCTTTTCTTTAGGCGGAATGGTGACGAACCATTTCGTCAATCGAACCTTGCCTTGACGGCTTACTAACAAAAGCCAGTTTATCTTGACAATACATAGATGAGAATATGAATGGCTTGAAATATTCCAATACCATGCTTACCGCCATTTTAATATCGTTGATGACAAGTAGGCTTACCGGCTGGTGAAGCTGGTTGATCTCCGCATGGATATTTTTGAAACAAAGCGGCCCTCTTCGGTCGCCTAATTTGTTTTGTGACGTCACCTCATTCGATTCATTCGCATTTGCGTCTGAAAGGGACTTTTTTGATCGAATATACGTGGAATATATGGCGTAAAATAATATACGATGTCTGGAAACAGCAATAGACTGCTAAAGGGAAGCTTGCAATTGCATAACACCTCGGTATAAAATTTAAGAGGGCAATGCAATCGATTATCTTTACTGCTTTGGCATTTTAAAAATCCGGGTCACAGTTGCTGTCACTGTTTCCCTACCAAACGCACCAAGCTGGTGGATATTAAAAGGACGCGAATACTGAGAAAATATTCCAGCTGACTTCCTGCATGCTTCTTGTAATTTTCTTGGATTACCGCTTCTATTTTCACTGAGCGCATTTCCTGTTGATGATTTTAAGGCTTCCCCTTCAGAAGCAAAAGCCCGCACTGCATGATAATGCGTAGTCTGTCCTGTCCACTTGGTTGTTTCTGGACAACCAGGATCCATCAGAAATTTATGGGTACAGTAAGTTAATTACATCCACATTTTGCTATAATGCCATATACTGGCTTGCTATTTTTTTCCTCTGACTTTTTCATATCTCGCCTATTTCTCCATTTTTCTTCATTTAACTTTTTTTCATGTTTGTGACTCCAAGTTGAATAAGCTATACGAATATGATGGACGAAATATTTAAAATATAGAAAACCAAACTACAAAGAAGTAGCAGCTGTTAGCTCTGCTCATAATGACATTGTTCAAACCATATATCCACCAATAGAAACTGGGCAGTGTCCGAATTTCAGCCAGCATTGTGCGGCGTGACGGCGACTGGGCAGCTTTGAATCTTTTTTGAAATGGATCTACCGGAGAAGTGACCTGCACCACAACACCTGTTCCTGACCACAACGCTCCATTTTTCACGCCATGGCGCTCCGTCGTTTAGCGCAGTTCGACGTGTTTCCCAAAGTCGAAACGGATAATCAAGCACGGAGCGAGAAAGGAGGGCTGCTGACCTTCTTATTGACATGTTGCTTGCTGATGCTGACTGTCAGCGAGTTTTCCGAGTAAGAGACACTACTAGTCGACGATGATGGACCAAGAGAAAGCTTACCTTCAGCATACAGATATCGCAAAATAAAAACACAGTACGCGTTTTCAGTCGACCCTGTTATCGAGACACATTTGCAGATTAATATGGACTTGACTGTCGCTATGCCCTGTCCAGGTACCAGTTGAAAGAACATCGATGATTTGCGAAACCTTACTCACAGACCTTTAGCATTGCTGGTTCATGTCTATGATGCTTCAGGCCAGCGTATGCATCTCAACGATGATCTGAAACTTATTCCAGTTAAGCTCAATTATCCAAGTTGGAAGCGTAAACCGTTAGCTTACGCAGAGACGTCTTTTAGGCTGAATTTTCAATTGGAACCGCCACAAAATATAGGTAGCAATATCGTGTTGGTTGATGGATCCATGGCTGCAGAGGACTCATGGAAACTATTTAGGGCTGTGCAAGATCCAAAGTATATCCGTGAAATCATCCAAGCTGCAAGTGGAAAGCCGTATGACGAACAAATTGCGAGTAAGTTGTTGAATACCAGCCGACTACCGGAAACTTTCGATAACAAACCGTATACTCTGTAGCGGATATGGGTGCTTGCAGAATTTACGGATCGATTACAGCCAATAAAGTGGCCGCGAACCTGCATATTACAGCGGCTGGCCACGGTTATTGTAAGTTGGGTCATTTAAAGCAAGTGGGACAAAGTCGGCTTTTTTCGCTGAAATATACTGTTGGATATTATAGACGGCGGAGGCCATACCGATCATTCCCGTAAGTTTGAGTATACACCATTTGACAAATAATGTCTATATTAAAAACTTGATGATCGATTTGGTAGTAATGAACTTTACTCATCGTATCGACGAATTCTCTTTCGGCAAGCTCTACCCGAACCTTGTGAATCCTCTTGATAACAGTGTGGAAATTGCAGAATCAAGTTAGTACAAACAGAATGCTGCATGAATGCAACTTTGGGTATTTATTGCTATTCTTGTACAGATTTTGAGATTTTTCAATACCTACTTTCAGTGGTACGTAATCTTTAACTTTCTGCATCGCACCAAAAAAAAAGGATGAATCATGCTGACTGTTTTGCTTTTTTTTTTTTTTCAGGTGCCCACCACTTACATCGATGAAAACAAGAATGTACTGTTCACCAATCAATATGCCGTTACCGATTCCCAGAAATCATTCAAAGAAGAAAACGCAGCCCATTTAGTACCTGGCATCTTCTTCAAGTATGATGTTGAACCCATTTCAGTGCAACTGAGTGAATCGCGACAATCATTTGTCCATTTCCTGGTCCGTTTGTGTGGTATCATTGGCGGTTCAGTTGTCACCACAGGGTTTGCTTATCGAACGATCAAGTTTCTTATCACCGGCGGCAAGGAAGATCCCACTCTTTACACAGCGGTACATAACATCATGAAGAGTGTGTAAGATATACCAATAAAAAAAGTTTATTTTTTATTTATGTGGTTGTTGCTGATGACCTCAAAAAAAAAAGGCATTATGGATGCACACAACGGACACAGGAGAAATTTATCATTATTCACAGCAATGTGTTATACCTATGCCCAGAAACAGCTTGCTGTCTTGAAAATAGCTCAGCCTAAAATTACTGCATATGCAAGTCATTTATCGAATGCCACTTTTATCGCAGTACCGGCTCATGTTTTTACAAAGAGCAAATGTTAATGAACGGGGAGGCTGCATTTGCAGGTGAGTGGATTTATTCCCCGGTTCTCGGGTCCGAACAAGCGGCGTAAAGCTGCATCGGTTAGTGGAAAACCGAGACATGTCAAAGCATATCCAAAAAACCTAAATGAGGCAATAGCGCTTTTTGGGTATAAAATTTTTTTAATCCAAACATTTCTTATTCGCGCACTTCTTTCTTTCAAACCGCTAGTCAATTTTTAGAATGTTGTTGTGGACGCTGATTACCGCTTCCCTTTTTGGCTTGACGTTGGCCAATCCTTGTGCAGATTTGAGCGAACAAGGAGCTCTTGATGAGTGCTATATGCGAAGCGCTTTGGACCTTGCTCTTGAAAGAAACCCACGAGCCCCTTTCGGAACTGTCATTGTTGATCATACCACTAATAAAATTTCATGCTATGGTGTTAATAGCAACTATCACAATATCTTGATGCATGGTAAAATCACAATATGAAGCAAAAAACATGGGTTGGTAAAAGAAAAAAAAAGGTATTGACAGCAGTGTAAATTAGGTGAAACGGCTGCTTTTTGGAAGTATGTAAAAACAAAAAAGGCCAGAAAATGATCGGTGAACTTACAGACTTGGTCATAGTTGCACCGACTTGAATCCATCTCCGACTGGAAATGATCTTTCTAACCCCGGGTTAGATTGGACTCGACAAACATTGTATACGACTGGTCAACCGGTAAGTAAACTAGGATGGATAACTGTTTTCTGTTTGGGAAAACAGATCGAGAGATTGAAAAAAAAGAAGGGGGTCAGAAAAAATAGGTTGAGAATTAGTTTTGTTTCTATTCGAATATACCTATGCCCATCGCCCTTTTCTACATTTAGTGTCCCGCATGCTCTGCACATATTGTTTATCGAAATGTGGGTCGCGTCGTATGGGGTTCCTCCATGGAGTATATGATTACCACCGGTAGACAAGCACAACTGACTTTGGATATGTATGATCAACACCTGCAATGGAAGTTTGTCGCATCATTTTTTCTAACTGATGACTAAAAAAAATAACCAATATAGTGAAGATATGGTAAATTCAGCTGTCATGGTTGGCTCGGACACGCCGAAAAAATTGCCTATTCTTGAAGGCGGTGTGTTAAAGGACGAGTGCGATCACGTTTTCTGGTGTGCTTTCAAGGAATTCCGCGATACGGCCTATTATGAAGCAATGAAAGCTGCAGGAAAAGAAGATTATGTGATAATGCAGGATCAACGATTCCCATGTGCCACCATACCTTTCCGTAGACAACAATAATACTGTGGTGTCTGAAAAAAAAATTTGATTGGTTGACAATGGGTCGCTATATTTATGTGGGGAACGGAGTGGTTGGGGGGAGAGGTGAATTTAAAAGTACGGCAGAAAATAGTGTAATGATTTCGTGGTACAAAATAGCTCTCCCGAGTCCTCAAGTATACCAAATATTATCCGTATAGTTACGTTGGTTCGCTCCCATTCCTTTTTCGACCAATGTCTGTGTACGATACGCTGTATAAAAGCAGCCACAATTTTAGAATATTTTTCCCTTCTTTTACCTGCTATTCTTCTTCTACCCCTTTCAGTGTCACTCATTCGCCTCCAAATGTCATCGACAGCACCACGGCCGTTCATGAAAATCGATCTAGCCGATTTTGATAATCGTCGTGATGAAATCGTGAGCGATATCATGAAGGCAGCTTCCACTCAAGGATTTTTTTACTGTAAGGCGTGCCTGGAGTGATTTTTAAGAGATAATATCCCACCGACTCATTGATGATTAGTGGTGAATCATGGGATCCCCGTCGAGGATATCCAAAACATGTTCAACCACAGCTACAACTTCTTTGCTTTACCCGATGACATGAAGAAGAAATACCCCTTGGACGCACCTCGAAATGCAGGCTATGAAAAGTTTGGTCAGGTAAACATGCAAAATAATATCATTGAAAAAATTCTACCAAATAAAAAAGGAAGATTCTTCACGCTGCGGTCGTAACGGAGTACTAAAAAAGGCATCAAAAAATTTAATCTTTTTTTTTTTCGAAACTGGTAGATTCGCCCATCCACTGGACTTCCCGATCTTAAGGAATCCATTCAGCTTGCCTTCCATAACACACCCGATCTTTGGCCATCGGAACAAGATGCACCCGGTTTCCAGAAAGCCGCCGAAAAGTTTATGCAAAAGTGTAATGAGGTCTCCGGACGTTTGCTCACCTGCCTTGCCATCGGACTTGGATTCCCCGACGATTTTTTCACTCGATGCCACGATATCACCCAACCTGACAGTCTGAACACACTTCGATGCATTCATTATCACGAGATTTCAGGTCAATCTATGGGCCCGAAATACTGTCGTGCGGGAGCCCACACCGATTTGGACAGTCTCACTTTACTATTCCAACGACCGGGAGAACATGGTTTGGAAATGTGCCCTGGCCGTCAACAAGTTGGCGAGCCATTGAAAGCCGACGAAAACGATTGGATACCGTTGCAGCCCGAGGAAGACGAGATTGTATGCAACATTGGCGACATGATCATGCGATGGTCGGACGATCAGTTAAAGAGCAATTTCCATCGAGTCCGTTGTCCTCGCTCGGGCGAGTATCAAGGATCACGATATTCCATGGCCTATTTCAATCAAGCCAATCGGTCGGCCATCATTCAAGGTCGTACCAAATACACCGAACCTGTCACCGCCGGTGAAATGTTACGTTTGGCCATGGAACGCAATTACCAAATCGTCAAAGCCATGGAAACGAAAAAGGCTACCGAAGCCGCTGCTGCCAATATCGTTACCAACCATGTAGTGAAGCCAGCCTCTATCATGCCCGTCTTGGCGATGTAAAGCTTCGCTGCCACTTGTTTATCTCCTGTTTCCTCCTTTTGTCGCTCACGTTCATCATTTTCTTTTATTTCTCGGATTTTTTACCCCTCATTATTCCATAATTTTTTACTTGTTTTTCGTTGTTTCATGTGTGCTCTTTTTTGCACAAGATGATTGTAGATATTTCTTTTGTCGATGTTTGTGAGCACCGCGGTCACAGCCACCCCGCGTAAACAAACCTGTAATATAACAAACCTTTTTTTATAATGCTTGATTTTTTGCAATCATCATCGGTTTTGCTTTTGTTCTTCTTTTGGGGGTGATGGTCGATATGCAGACTCATAATATGCACATGATAACATCGGGATCTGTGCATCGGTATCCGAAAAAGCGCCCTTTTGGTGATATTTTTTATAGCGACCCTATTTTATTTCCCACAGTGGGGAAGCCCTTGTATAACGCAGGAACCTTTTTTTCTTTTTTAGTTTTCAGATAGCCCAAGTTCCATGAACGTGTATCAAAATACCATCCCTAAAATTCACATGAGTACATGGCACCGACGAACTAAGTTTCTCACACATACTAAACCATAAATTCACTTGTCAAAACCAATCACTTGGTCCCAATGGAGATTTCAAAGCAACATTAGTTCCGACTCCGTCAAAGCTAAATTTGATTGATGTGGGGATCGCTTGCTCTGGTTTCTTAGAATATACCTTGGAAAGTTATCAGGAGTCGTGGCGGAACTGATACCTAAGAAATGAGCTCATCATCATTGATTTATGGTTGGATGCTATTGTATAGTGTCAAAAATAGCCAATTAATGGCCATGGGAGAATTTGATACAAATGCGGAATTACGGATTTTGATCCTGGTCAGGAAAGTAAGCAACACCAGAAAGGCACTATGGGATGTGGGCCGCGTCAGACAGAGTCACAGTCCAAAGGAACACAAACCGCCCTCTTACCATATTTCTAAATGGCTTAAGTTTTATGCGAACTTTATTATCAGTTTATGGGGATGCCTGATGCTGCGTTTGCCCAATCACATACAGCACCTAAATGAGTTCGTGTTACTCTATTTTGCTTGCTAGCACTAAACATAAGCCTCAAAATGATCCAGCGATCCCTTGGAAGGTTATGACTGAGTAAGCGCCGCTATAAGCGAGATTAAAAATACGGTGCTCTTGACATCATATTCATCATTGATTTAATCACTATTACCGATCTAATCTAAACGTTGGGCAATTCAGCGTCATCCTTTAGGTATTTATTGCTATTTGTCAAAGTAAGGATACTAATCATGTGGTGCTTATTTTCAGTGTGAGAATTACATAATCCATTAAAAAAAATGGGTGTGTGGTTCCAGAAACAGATATCACAGGCAATCCTTGGTTACCAAAAGCAGAGAACATTACTGCAATATTCACTACACGTATAAGATCATTCGCACCTTTCCAGAATAAAAGAAAATATCTTGCGTAACGCTGAATGTAATTCCGCATCCAGTGGAAAATACCATTCTCTGTGTCCTTTCGAAACACCCTTCTCATGGAGCATGTGCACAAGTACTTTTGTTGTATTATTTTTACCATACGCGCAGGTTGCATCGGCTGCAAGAGCTTCAATCCGCATTTTATTTATTTGCCGCCAATTTTCTTTCTATATCCAGGGATCAATCGAACGAATGCATTTCAATCGAGAGGCTGTGTTTGGGCCTCTGAATTCTTCTTTGTCAGCAAAGAGCCTTGTGTTCGAACGAGAATGGAAATACCAATATAGTTCAAAAGCAATGTCGCCGCCAAACAAAATCAATTTGCAGTGTTCAGGAACGAAAGTCGTATTTTTTGGCGATCATGTCTTCTTGCTTGAAATGATATCGTGTCACCATGATTTCTTGGCATAAAAAATAATAATAAAAAAGGAAGACCTTCACCTTATGAACTTTTACTCATTTGACAAAAATCCTAGGTCGAATCTCCTCCAAATACTTTCTTTTACGTCAAGAAAAACTAGGCCATCAACAAACAAAAAAAATATATGAGGAATGACACTTCTTCCAAAGGCACTTCGCCGGCAACAGTAGCAGTAGTTTGTAAATCTGTCAAATGACAAAAAAAAAAAAAAATTTAAGTTGTTACTTTTTTTTTTCTTTTGCAATCGAAAAAATGGTAAACCCAGTTAAACTTATTTTTTTTTTTTTTTGGTTTATTCCAAGTGAAAGGATATAGATTAAGATCTGGTCAATATGTAAAGTATATGGAGGTGGTTATGAAGTTTATCGATATGTTAATGAAGTCCGAAACCATGATTTACGGAAAAACGACACCCATATGCTGGTGACTTGACGTCTCTGAAACCATAGTTGATCGAAAATCGACTGCCGTAAAGGCTGGTGATGTATCCGGTCTGTTGTCACTCGCCAAACGGTCGTTTTTCCGGGTCTCCAAAATGATTTCGTTGGTGCACCGTAGATACATACCGTTATCAGGGTCATCGAAGAGACCACCCAAGAATGGATCAATATAGCGAGATCCAAGTTCAGATTCACTGATCTCGTTACTGATGGGGTTGCGCGAAAATTTATCCATCAACTGGTTAACGGTCTCGATTAACTTGGCTTCTTGCGATGGGAGATCAAGATCGATGAGCTGCATGATGCCTTTGTCGCGAGTGATAATTTTTGTTGAGACATCTTGGGTGATACTGAGAACCTTGAGGATGGTGTTCATGGGGATTCGAGGCTTTTTGATGCCATACATACCGTCGATGGCTCGGATAACTGTCGCATACATGGATTGATTCCAAAAAGTAGATATATCATCATAACTGTGTTGGTTCACCGATAAAAAGAGAATGGAATGTACTGCCATGGCGGAATGCATGTGGTCTTCAAGCGTTAATTTCCACTTATTGTTGATGATCGATTGATGGAAATTGAAAAGGGCAGTGCTCACATCGAGAGACTTGTATCATACAATGGTTTTGAGGACCTGGAGGTGGACAAGAAATGCAAGTCGGATTCAAGAGCTCGTTTTCGATAGAGCGTGCTGCTAGCGCGCTTCTTGCTTTGTTCTGCGCTTGTTCGGATGCTCTGTAGTTGATACGCCATCATTGCTGATTATGATTTCCTGGTGTTCGGCCTCGGAATCATCACCGGGGGGGGGGGAATGACATTGTTGTTGTAAATGATCTGTTGCTGGTATTGTCTCCTGAGGATCCGAATAATAATGACTTTTTAGTTCGTGTATCATTACATAATGTTGGAAACAAGCAGGACAGCCAAACTGCTCTTCGATCGAGTCGTGCGCAGCAGATGTCTTGACGTAGATAAATTTGTCGTTGTTGTGCCGTCGAGTTTTTGTTCTCTCTGGAAGTGTAAAGAGATGCTGAGTTACTAGATGCTTCCTGAGCTTTTGAGGTTGAGCAAATTTCTTGTTGCATTCAAAGCAAACATTTGTAATTCCGACGAGCTTTCCATTTGACTTTAGACAATGAAAGAGGGGAGAAAGGGCAAAGAAGGGTTGAAAAAAAATGGCCAATACAGCGTGCAAGCGCAAATGGCCGCGAGAAAATTCACAAATCAATTCGCGTGACGTCTCGATAATGTTTCTAGTGAATGAGCATGTGTCGTGGAATTTTTTGGCTGTTAGGATGACGTGGAAGCTGAAATTGGGTTATGGTTTAACGTTGTTGGCTGCTTAGGAACAGAAATAGTCAGACATCGTATAATATTAAATGGAGAGACAAAAATGGATAACAGAAAAAATCGTAGTTGGGGAAACATAGCATAAGGATAAAATCAAAAGGAACATAAGGACAAAAAGCATACAGTAAAACATAAAGGTGAAGAATAACTTGAAAAATCATAGCAAAGGATGAAATCAAAGGAGCATAAGACAAAATACATACAGTAAAATATAAAGGAATAATAAAAACAACAACATAAGGGTAAAGACGCCACCAGGACCATCAACAAAGAACAATCGGCTGATTCGTTGCTTCCATGCGTGACACTCTGGAGAATTGCGTGGTATACGGCATGTTGTCACGGTTTAGGTACTCGTGTGTTGGGGAACATTGGCAGCGTCTGCGATGAGATCGAATTGTTCTCTTACCAGTCTGGGCTGACGGCGAAGTGTGCTTCTGCCAATTTCTTGGTGATCAGGAAGAACAAAGCGATCGTAACTCAGCAGTGAACTCGATTGGCGGTTCAAATGCTCTTCAATATCCAGCAAAGCGCGATCGTACACGATTTGGGGCGGCTCAATTTTGATGATCATTGTCTTGATTTTGATTGCTCCAAAAATGGATATAGTCTTCTGCCAAATGCTGGCGGAACTGCATCCAAAGCGCAAACGGGTCAGGAGCCTGACATTTTCTGTCATTGCCGGCATGATACATTGCTGCTGCTGCACGATCGTGGTGCTTGTAAACATACTTGTACAGGTATTTGACGCTTTCCATGTCTAACTGGACATGGTTCTTGACCACAAAATCACCATTGTTGCGACGACGGTATAACGGGTAACCACTGTGATCTTCGATAGTAGCTTCATTGAAGGAGCGTGGGTAACGCTTTTTACATGAGCCGTTTTCCATGCAGGGAGACCTCGGATGCGTTGCTCCACACGAACCGTGCATCATACATCTGCTGACGGTGTCGCAGAGATCAGGAAATTTCTCTCTGTCCGGAAGTTCGGCACACACGATACGATCATAGTCATCAAATGTTCTCGGCTTATCCTCCGGATGTAGCACCAAAAGCAAATGAAGATGCGGTAAGCCTCGCTTCTGAAACTCCAAGACGGCATTACGCTTGAGGTTGCCCATGACCTTGTCGACGGTGTCAAAAGAACTTGGGCGCAGCTTCTGCAATGACAGAGCTGGCCTGGTCATCGGTGCTATACAATTGCACGTCATTAGAAGATCATCAACAAGCAATGGTTCAGCACGTACTGGGTAAGCTTAACAAGAGCTTGCATCTGACGGATAGTTGCGAGACGAATTTTTGAAACGGTAGGAGATGGCATAATGAGCGCAATAGATAACAGTAAAAACAGTAAAAAAAAAACAATAGGGAGTCAAAAGACAAGGAAAAAGGTCGTATCAGCCGGATTTCGCGTTTTAAGCAACAATGGCGCTTGCGCCATCACCCCCATTTTCAAAACCGACAGACGCCTTGAATTGCCTGCAAGAAAAACTGTAAGCTAAACACTGTCATGACATGAGCATGCGGCAAATGTCACTTCCATTTCATATTGCCAAGGTCTTTGTCTGCCGTGATACAGTCATGTTATCCCCGAATAAAAACTCAGTGGGTTTGGACCTTTTTTCAGGCACACTAGTCTTTGCAACTCCAGGCTCCAATTACCACTGTTTCGTACCAAACGTTGAAGATCCATCCTTTAAAGCTAAATAGCACAGTTTATTTAGAAACTCCACGCTGCAGTTTTCCAAGCTATGTATTGACGCTCTTTTGTAAACGTGGCATCCATGTGACACAGTGAAACGACGGTCGAGCTTATAAGTATCCACAGTGACGTACTATGCACACCGTTGCCTATGGTAAAATTCTACAATTTGCTAAATTTAATGCATTTTATTGCTTCCTTGATCAGTTTATTGCCTCTATCACCATGTGTTACTTCCAAACTCTAACTATAATCCTGTGTATTCTTATTGCATGAAGTATGGCTCTCCGATGGCATCTCCGTTTAAAACTGCAAACAAAGCGAACGATCACTGAATCAATGGAGAGCTTGTGAAACGAAACCATGAAAGTAACCAGGAAATATGTTTTTGGTCATTATAAGAGATGTTATATACAAACCATGGAGATGGAAGTGCATGTACATCAATCTGCCACCGATGATAGTTTCATTTGTTCAACGATAGTCGAGCGGGGATCGGGCGTCAATTAAAGGAAGCACTTCCAGTTCCTCGACGTGCAATTTGACGCCGATATCCTGACAGGTTGTGGTTGAAGCATTATCCATAATGCTTTTTGCAAAGTGCAAGGAAACGTTAAATTGATGGTATCTATCAATGAGCCCATTACCATGGTGCCACGTGCTTCACTTGTCCAAATGCCTGTGGTTTAATTTTCGAAGCATGTACGCGAAACAGTGGATCGCATCAGTGGCTTGTACTTGCTAATGCCACAACTGCTTGCCCATCCATTACCCCACATGGGCACACAATTGCCATAATTGGCACCGAAAACCAAGTGTTCAAATTTCCCACCGAGACCAGTCGTAGAATGGATCCAAAAAAAAAAAAAAGATTGCGCACCGAAATTGGTTAAATGCGGCTATCTTGCGACAACTTCTAATCATACTATGCATTTGACAATAATGTGCAATGCGAATAATAAGGATCTCCAATATAACACCACTTGGAAAGAACTGTTTTGTTGATTTGGAAGTATCATTCAGTTACTCGTATATTTAATCGCTCAGCTGCACTCAGCGAATATACATAAAGAACATTTAATCTGCTCTTAGTTACAAAGGTATACCTAGGCTCGGTACAGCCGGAAGTGGCGGGACTGTGTAGTGACCCGAGCTCCTATCAAATGATGCTGGATTTGCACATGCTAGTCGGTGTTTGAAAATGCGGATGCCTTTTCCAACTGTTTGTGTCAACACGGAAAAAGCGATTTCTTTACAAGTTATCGCATAAAATTGTGTTTGCATGATCGCTGGCGTTCAGTACCTTGGCATTCTTGTAGCAGAGTATTAGCGATGAGGTAAGACAACGATGACCATAGAAAGCACTGTGGCTGATGCCTCTTTGGATTCTAGCGAGGAACAACGCATGCAATACGATTACCTGCTACATTCGGCGAAAAACAAATTTCAAAAATTGCAGTCGATCGATGACCGGGATTGGCATAGTATCCCGATAGAATCTATCTCTGACAAGCATGCTGTTCAATTATACCAATGTACAACGTCCGCTTTTAGCGACATTGTCTTCAAGGTTGTTTGCAATCTCTCCACCGAAAAGTTATGCATGACGCCAAATGCCTGGAAAAGTATCTTGTGGACAGTTGACATGCGGAATTTATGTGAGTGGATCGCAATTGTCCAAATGACACGCGGATTTCACTGACCCATATGTGCGGTGCAGGGAATCCCATGGTTGAACGTTGTGTTATGGTGCACCAATCGGATCAGAAAATCTCTCGTTTCCAAGTTCACTTGAAAGAAGACTGGCCATTGAGGTAATGAAACACTTACTTTCTCTCCCATTGCAAGCAAGCGCTTAATAATTGGACCATGATTTTCCCAGTTCCAAAGAGCTATCTTGTTTGGAAAGCATTATGCAAAGTAAAAGCAGCCTGAAATTTTACAGTATCATGTCATCCGCTCTACCATTGACGAACGAGGATGATTTGCACAAGAAGCATGATGAAATATTGATGGGCTATGATATACGATTTGCATCTCTCGACGATACTACATATGGAGATCAGTTGATCTTGTATTATCAATTACCTTCCCGATATTTATCGAGCGACGATCTGAAATGGTGGTCTTCTTATGTGTTATCTCTAGTAAGAGGCCCTTTGGGAGCTCTTCACCAGCACGGGGCTCCACCGACAGTGAGCGCGCATGATCCAAGTATTGTCATCCAGGAGCAACGTTACGTTCGTGAGACCTGTCAGTGGAACCTCGATTACTCTACTCAATCCAATATTGACAACGGGACATTACGCTCGCTCAGTAACAGCATCAACATTCGTCGGGTCGATATGGATGGTTCTCAGGCAAATGCCCGGTCACCGCAGAGTCGGTCCTGGGACTATGGAGGGACAAGTGCACCGGCGATGTTATCTGCGTTTCACAGGAACAGCTTTATGGCATCTTCCGTAATGCATCCTTACCGGGCATCCAATATGAACAACCACGTGGCTGAAACTTCAGCCTCTTTATTTATCAATGGAAAGTCAAGTTCGTGGGCACCGCCTAATTTATTCCGTTCCCATTCCTTTGGCGAGCGTTTATTGGAAGAAAAAGATAAAGACGATACCGGAACTTGGCTCCTCATCGAAATAGATACAGAAGTATGGTGCAAAAGCTTGATTTTGGATCTGGATGTGCAAATCGATCTCGAAAACAGCCGTGTCACACCTGATCATTTGGCCGATCGGTTTGCCCAATCATGCATTCGATATTATCACACGGCATGTCAGATGAAACGAGTTTTCCTGGCCATTCGGCATCCCTTCCACCTTGCTCAATACCTTCGAGACGAATTGGCCGCGATCGATGATGATTTACAGGAAGTCGATGATGATGAACCCGTTACTGTGCATTTGAAACTGCAAACCAGAACCGATCAAACGTCAGCCGAATTCAAATTGTTCTTCCGTGGCGTCGAGCATAAATTGGAATTATCGCCGTTAAAAGAACCCTTCTATGAAGATGACGACAATATCGACGCTATTGACGAGACTACGGTATCCGATAAAGATGATGCAAGTGATGTGTTTGTAGACGGTATGGAAGATTTGGGACCCGCATCGCATGTGGACGATGCAATGACTTCCTCTTCAACTGCGACATCAAAGCCGGCATCCATAGGGGATGCTGAACTGCCATCGTAAGTAATGAGCTGGGGACCCATTGGCTGACCAATGAATGACACTCATTTATTTTCGTACAAGTACGGAGTCACCCTTGATGGAAATGGATCTATCTGACTCCATGATTGTTCCTGAAACGGAGCCTGACCCCATATTGAAAGCCTACAATTATTTCTCGCTACTCAACCACGCAGACGACCTTATTACCCTGCAAACCCCCGACTCCGGCAATGGTTACGTTTCTACAAAGAAACGGACGGTCGAGGATCATTTGACGGATGTGATTATATGTGAAGCTGTATGGGAAGAGTGCAACATATGGGACGCAAAGGCCGTTATTGAATGTGAAGGGGCACGAAGAATATGTAAGACCTTCTTTTTTGAGGTTTCAGCGATATGGAACTCTTTTACTTATCTATCGCTCGTTCCTAGGGGATAGTAGCTTTGAAAGCAGTATACCTCTGAAACCGGTTTCAGTCACTTGTTCTCTATGGCACACCAAATCGAAAGGGTCTTGGCTGGCCAGGTAAACAACAGGAACGAAAAAATGAGCTTGATTTTGTTAGTTCAATAACACCAATACGGATGTTTTAGTGCCCGTGACTATATTCTATTTCTTGCATCTTACACATCGACAGACTGCATCGATCTTTGTGCCACTTCTTGTCCAAAGGACGCATATCATCATCGAGCTGTGCCACAGGAAACCTCCGGTTTGGTGCGTGCCCATTTGGATCTCTCGGCTTGGCGGTTCAAAACCCAATCATCACGAACAATCACCGTGAAACATGTTCTGCAATCCGATCCTCGAGGATGGATTCCGTCTTATCTGCTGAATAAATGGTGGAGTCATGTGCCTGAGAGTGTCCATGCAGCGAAACAATTTCTCAAGCGATTCGGGGCCCCACCCAATTTGCTGCGGCTTGACAATGGTAAACTGGTCAATCTTGTTTACGATCATCCCCGTCGCCATTGGCGATGTGAATATGTGCGGTCATCCGAAATTCCATCGTCCGAAACCAATATCACCATGAGTACGATTTCTGAAATTCGTCTTGCTGTCGATCGTTGGGCTCCGAATGGGAATTATACCATCACTATCGATCCTCCACCTTCGCGCGTTTTTACGGCCAAAAGAGTCGAGGATAGCTTTGGCATTTTGCTGAAAATCGAGCATGAAGAAGAATTCATCATACCGCAACGGGGAAGAATCTTGGTGATGATCAAACGGTCTCATGTCCAAACCAAACCAGGCATAGTGGTCAATGGTGCGGTTACTCATATGCAAGCTCCACCTGCGGCCTCCTCAGCGGCTCAGACATTGAAAAACGCAGTAATCTCAGCACTCCCTGTGGCGGCAGTCGATGAAGTTGCTTTAATTCAAAAGAGCGAAGTCAAAGGCAAATCTCCCCCAATACCCCCTGATACATTGACTATATCTGCGACGGAGAGAGCTCAGCAGGCACTCTTATATTTGAAGAAACTGAATGAACCCTTTGGATGGATTACTGTATCTAACAAGAATGGTATCGCAACAAGCAAACGCCCAGGGACGAAAGCTGCGACCAAAGGGAAAACGACAGATGGTAACCCGCTCGATAACATGGAGGTCATGGTTCCAGACCCATTCGTGATCTACAAATCATCCAAAGTAATCGAGTGTTTCTCGACGGAAGAAATCGCTTCCGTGATTACCGATGCTGGCAAACTACGAATCAAAGTAGACGAAGCGCTGGAAGAACTGGAAGTTTTGAATTGTTCTGACCGTCATTGTCACTTACTTCGGCAAACTGTGAAAACCGTATTTCCGTTCAAGTAAGCTTTTTCCTTTTTTATTTGATGGGAAGACCGCGGTTAAATCTGAAATCGCATGGACATTAGATCTAGAGATGCTTTTGTAGTGAGTTGCCAGGCTCATGAACAAAACACTTCGATACCCAATATTAGCGAGAAGCGATTTTATTGTGCAGAAACTTCTCTGTCGTATGTCCCAACTGTGAAGGATTCCAAGCGGCAAAGGGCGCATGTTTTTATTTCAGGCTGGATTCTTGAAATGATCGACCCTTACACGACCACCGACAATCATCCCATTCCATCTACCCGCGTCACCTATATTATTGCCTCAGATTTGGGCCCCTCGATTCCTTCGTATGTCAGCAATATGGTCAATTCTAATTACGTGATTAAAAGGGTCCAAGCACTTGAATCCTACCTGAAAACCTACGGTCCGGCGCCATGTATCACCCAGCCAGTTGGCGCAATTCAAATGATCAACGGCCAATCTCTGCTTGCTTCGGAACAGGATTATGAAGATTTGCCTATTCTTTGTCAACACATCAGTACCACCTATGACCCTTCTTGTCAGTTACTGAAAGTCTCTGAGAATTTTCAGGTCCGGACAAATATGCAGCCATCCTCACTCGGTGTACATCATTCTGTGGATGAACTTACTCTGACTTCATCGCACGGATCCGCCCACAGCACAAAGGTCGACATGCGGACTCACGAGGAACCAACCAGCAAACTACGCGCTGGTACTGCTCCAAGGCTTCAGCGTAAAACGTCCAATGAGAGTGCGACAAGTGGAAATGACGTACGTTCGACATCCGATGTCACACCTGTGTTGACAAATTGTGTGCTGGATATGCAGCAATATCGACGAGGTTACGAGGTTCAAGTTGCATTATATTGTCGGTCAAGAAACGCGATTGAAAGTGAAGACATCAGCCATGCATTATCAGTTTACGTGGCGGAACTAGCGCCGGACCCATCTCACTCTATTGCCAATACGGATCGAAAACCGTCAGAGAAGCACACCATACAGATCAATGTGAATCCTCGACGTCTAAAGATTCGACACAAGTTGAAAGAGGATTCGCCGGTATCCTATGAGCTCGTGCTAAAGATAACACCAGTGGATGAAGAACGTTACAAACTCCATGGAATGAAACTCACTGTATCTGGCATATTGAACGAAGCGAATGATCAGTGGGATGGTGTTGTTTTCGTCAATGGCCGAGAAATTACCCTTGGCACGGATATGGCTGTGGGAACCGAAGCCTCTTCCACACAATCTTCACCATTAGAGGACGAGTTTGCAGAGGATGAAAAATCATTGACAAATGAAAACCACGAAAAAGACGGCTTTACATCGCAAATCAACGATGTGTCGTTGCAAAATCAAGAAGCCTCAAACACGACCCAATATACCGGGAGTACGATGATGTCGGCTGCATTAACCGTCTCCGCCAATGTATATAATGGCTTGGATACGTATACCCTTGGATTTATTCGATCGCATTTGTACGGTAAATCTTTAGAATCATCATCACCATCGGTCCCCGCACAACGCCCGGTTGAGAATCCATCAGCCAATATTGGAGCCACGGCCATTCAGGAAAGCGATGAGGAATATCGTTTGGCGATTTCGAGTCCCACCGCATCGACGCCTTTTTACGAAACGAGTACCATGAAAAGGACGATGATGATGATTATCATCTGCTTATGTATGGCCATAGTGATGGGTTTATTGCTACTACAGCCGATGGTTCAAAATCTCATAAGTTCCATGCCTGATGATTCAGTATTCCCCATGGCTGATACAGCAGTACGGCCACATTATTGGTTCCGATTGCCCTTGTTCAGGGAATGGGAAATTCACCTCATTGCTGTTCGACGTACATAGCGATAACGATTTATTTTTACATATGTATATATAAAAGGGTTGAGATGCTTTCTGTCTTTCACAAGCTGCATCTGTAAATATATTTAAATATTTTGCTTTTTCACATCCATGTCCACCTCCATATTTTTCAGTAGTATATATGATTTGCGCGATCTTCTCAGCTATCAATCGATTAGTTTACTTGCATATTCCTGATGACTTAGATCATACTTACCATGGGGTTGTTGATCAAGGTCAAAGCCAGGTTCCATCGGGTGCGTGCTCGCTGTGATCGTGCGTTGCGGCAAGGAACAGCGTGCTGTGTTTTCAACAAAGTTTCATGGGTCACGTCGACACATTCTGCCTGCTCCGAATCCGATCGACTCATGTGATAACGGCATCTTCCTAGTTGCCGAGTATTACGCGATTGATTGATATGCTTCAAGAGGCATTCAACGAACACCAAAACGATAGGATTATTGTACTCGTGTTCCGCTAAGAGCTATCCCGTGTTCATCAGTACGATGGCTACTGTGTCCATACAGTTGGGAACTTACCATTCCACAATAAGCGGTGAAACCACCATCTCCTCTTCGCACACTCCATGTTTCAGCGTTGCGATCGACACGCAAGCTGAACAATGGATATCGTAAAATAAGCTTCAGCGTCCGCAAGATGTAGGAGGTGAGGGCGCGGGTCATGGAAGTGAACATCATAAAGTACCAATAGTGCAGTATTGGTGTGCGATGCTGCAGAGTGAATCGTTTGCGGTTTTCAAGAAATATGATACTTGTGATACGTTTTTGAATCATTTGAACAATAAGGGCAATAAAAAAACTGGCAAAGAACACGCCTAATTCCTCAAGGTGTTAGTGCTTGATGCCTTGTGTGAGTTTGCGGTCATAGCTTACCATAACCCACTTGCCGTAGCACGAACTCTCGCGCTTTATCGAGTTCGATAGCCATGGCAATAGCAGTACCAATCAAGGATACCTCCACCATGAAATAGAGAGTACCGGTAAATCCTGTTACAATGACTCTCTTAGCTCCAAGTGTCAAATAAAGACATATGAAATGATAAACGTACCAAAGCCAATACAGACGCCAAGAAAACGTATAGCATCGTCAATGTCAATGCTAAAGGCGAGCTGGTCAGCAATACAATCATGACATCGTAGAACCAAACTCACTCATTGTTCTTCTTGCCCTTAAACAAAGAGTAATCGCCGCGTCGCAGTCGTAGGATGTCCTTTGTTACTCGTCGCAAAATACCAAGGGCATAGATCATGCAGACTAATGTACATTTTTCGTTAACCATCACACTTCATGTAATAACAACAGTTTCACAATGATACTTGCATCCTCCGGCTCCCAATGTTGCAATATACACGGCAATCTGCATCAGCATGAATGATTTGATAGCAAAAGCCATGGGATCCTGATGATACTGTAGTTGCGTCAAATAAGGTGACCATGCACAGATATGCGTAGGAACTACGCCGCCTACGCCCACCATTTGCGTGAGCAGGATGGGAATCTAACCAAAACATGAATTACTTTTTGAAGTATAGAACGTTCGCCATGTTGCTTACCAGCTGCATTAGACAGTAGACAAGTAATGCTAAAGAGGTCTTGACTGGCAGCGGAATACTTGCAAACAAGAAAAAGGTTATAAAATGGTGTACATTGTATGATTCTATAGGCTGGAGCCTTACCGAACTAGTTCGTGAACTCCAAACAATCGACGTATCCAACGCATCATCACAACCGGATTCCTCAGATTGTTCCACAGTCGATCTGGCCGCAAGCTGAGGATCAGGGACCACACCCGATGTGTAAATGGTTTGGGAATGGATCGCTGATACGTTCATGATAATACCCTAGGTGAGTCTCAACATAAAATCGAGGCATCTTTTTTGGTAAGGTTACCGTGATCTGAAAATGCTTCTTGCTGAGAAGCACCTTGACATATTCTTCTTCAATATCTTCCACTTCCAGAAATTCAATGCGGCAAATATCGCAAGGTTGATATGTCAATGATCGCACCAAGAAGTAAACAAAAACGGTGATATTGGCAAGGATGGTAGGAATTGACGCCAGAGTATTGACAATCAGAAACGGAAGATCGCGAGCATACGATACGACAAACGTGGGCAGATCGATGGCAGCGCGCAAGCTAAATAGTACCAGGGTAGTGTAAAAGCCTAGGAAAAAGAAAAAGCCAATCAATATTCGTAATTGGACGACATGGAATGAAATGCGTACCGAGAATATTAGCTATACGGGATCGATAGCTGGCGTGATAGCATAAAAATAGCTAATAAATTATGTAAGAGCCCTTTGAGCAGATGTAACGATGATATGATATAACATACTGGATAGAAATAAACCGCATAGAGGAAGAACGCGAGAAAGAGTTCTATAGATGATCACTGAGTACAATGATGCAAAATATTGGAGCAGTGATGGTTACCTATGATTTTCGCGGCCCTTGGCAACCATTCATGAAACATGCTGGACTGAGAATTGATAAGGTTCCAAGCTTGACTAAAGATGAACGAACCTGGAAAGCAGTGAGCAACAACAATACAGCAAATTGCGAACATGTTTTAATATACCAATCATCACAAAAATGCACATGAGTATAGGATGCGAAGGTTGTCGGCAAAGAAACCGGACAGGTCTATGGACAAAGGGAGGTGAGCGACTGACAATTTTCCTGTAAGTAGCTGTGTCACTCACGGTGGAAAGCGGAAAGTCGAGACCAATGTCATCACAGCAAAGATGGACGGTATCAGCACGAAATTAGCCATTGACATGTACTGCAGCACACTTGTCACTGTCAAAGGCAACGAATCAGTTCAGAATTGCCGTGGCTATTTTTCGTGTGCATATGTTACTTACTTGTGGCACACACTTTTGCAAGTGTAGTGGAAGCAAGATCTACATATAAACCCGCATAAATGTAAGAGAAGCATACGGGGAATGCGCGGGAACCATAAAAGGCGACTTCCTATGCAAAGTTGTTGTGTTAGCGCCAGACAAATAGTCAAGAGGCCGATCCACATACGATAAACCGGGTATTCTTGGGCAGTGTAATATCTGGTATGGCAATCATATTGCGCAGAACACCACTTGAATAGTTGCCGATCAGCTGATAATTGGCATCCAAAAACTGATAAGTAACGATCAGTGCACGATCCATCACTATGCCATAAAGGACCGCCTGCTTATCCGGAACTTGAATCGTTGGTAACAGCGTAAGGTTCTACAAAAAATGAAATGAATGTGTCACATTGAGTATCAACCTTGATTATTGAAGTTACTTCATACCATAGAATGATCGTCAACGAAACGTTTCATGTACCATCCTTCAACAGTAATGGTTTGCCGGAGGGGGTTAGCAGCAATACCGACAATTTTATTCCCCGTTTCTTCATAGTCATGACCATCTGTTCGATAAATCGTGGCGGCTGGCTTGTGACGATTTGGTGCACAACATCCTCCCACTACATTTGAAGATGCGAGTTAAGTAATATAGAAGGCGCAATGTATTACATAATTGATCCAGGTACCTGAAGCTATAGATACGAACATCTCACTAGAGGATATATTGACTGAAACACATAATTAGAAATCTCTCGCTTCGGTCACTACTCTTTGTTTTGACTGTACCGAATTGCTGAGGGTAATAAATCCAGTCATCTGGTTCGTGTGTTTTCCATCCTTCCGGTATTTCATTCATGTGACGGCATGTACCGTCATGAATCATATTCTGCTTTCTTTTGATAGAGTCAACTGATATGCATGGGAAATATCAGGGGAATACAATTTTTGTTGTTACCCATTTAATTTTTCCCAGCATTGCGTTGTAAATGCTATGTTACCAATTTTTAGGGTATCCTTCTCATGCAGCGTTTCCAACGAACCTACCTGTTGCTGTTGCCATCGTGGGAAACCAAACCAGCATTAGCAGCAGACATATTTTTTGATGTAAATTCATGACCAAAATTTTATGGATGACAAAAACAGATAATAGCGCATTTAAATAAGCATTGGCTTTTGCAATCATAAAAAAAGGGGAAATGCAAACGACACTGATGAGAAAGAAAAGAAGCTCCTTTATGAACCACTAAATCAAGTACACAATTTAGAACAACGTATTCCACAATCTATCTCCCGTATCGCCCACTCCAGGACGGATATAACTAGAAGCAAGAGAGAGTTATTGAATGATTCCAGTGTGAGAAAAAAAATTTATATGACTTACCCGTTCTCATCGAGTGTATCATCTACGGCAGCAGCATAGATATTGATATCAGGATGCTCTGTTTGCAATTGCGAAATACCTTGGAGTGACTAAAAACAGTGGCGAACCATGCAGTGAGCATACATAGATGATTCTTTAACACAGTGAGATACTTTACCCCAAGGATGCTGACATATTTGATTTGGGAGCCGCGAACTCCCCATTCTTTCAAAATATTGACAGTGGCAACAGCGGTATTACCTAGATAGAGAAGATGCTTCAGTCAGTGAAACTGTGTCACCTCCGTTCCTGTGGATTGTAAACAATATACCGGTGGCGATGATAGGATCTACGACAATGCAAAGGTCTACATCCGCATTTTGCGGCAGCTTGTTGTAATATTCAACTGGTTGCAGTGAAATCTGGACCAAAATTCAACATATTGCATTGTGGAGCTTGAATGCCATTCGCGTTACCTTTTCACGGTATAATCCCAAGTGAAGAACGTGCGCATCGGGAAGCATTTGCAAAAACCCTGTCGACAGTTGTGAATTGAACAAACGCACATCTCCTTGCATCCTTTTGTTTTTATTTACCATCCAAAAGCCCTAGACCGGACCGAAGCACTGGAACGAGGGCAATTCGCTCTGCTAGCTCTGTTCCTTTATATGACTCGTACGGACTCATCATCTTCATCATCAACCATCAGTGAGTCCTCACAATCTTTCGCACATCGACCATGTTTCACATTTTGCTCCTGTTACCTCTTTCGTCTTTGAAGTTTTCAGGTTCATGGTTGCTTCATAAGCCAAAAGGACCGCCAGTTCATGCGTCAACTCTCTGACAATTTTAGGGGTGTTGTCTTTTTGACGCAGTTGAGAAAGTTTGGTTTGAATAACCGGATGGTAGCTGATATGCAAATTCGGAGTCATTACACAGAAGGTTAAGAAAGTAAAAACAGAGAAAAGAAGAGTGAACGATAACGGTCGTGTTTCGACTAAAACTATAAAGATGAGGAAGCTGCATGATGACGGGACATCACATGGGTTATTTATATATCCATGAGAGGTCAAATGAGAAATGCAAACCTTGAGAATAAAACCTTGCTACGTTTCATTTCATTTCGTTTTGTTTTTCTCTTTTATTCATTTACACTTTGTTTTCTTTGTTATCTCTCACTGATGACGCTGGAGGCAGATATAACACTCCAAGATTTGATGGCTTCTGTTGAAGCTGTGCACAAGGATCAATTGATCATTTCGGAAAAAGTAAGTACAGTGACCAGAACCAAAGCGTGGAGCTACCTTGCCTGGGCTAAATTTATGCTTCTGTTGAACCACAGCTCGACAAAATATTGCTCAAGGGCACTGACGCAGACAAGAAATTGCCCGAAAAGAGCAGTAGTCCTGAAAGTGATAGCGCGTATTCATCGACCAGCCTATCGTCTAATGCCAACACCGAAGAAGGGTTAAGAAGAAGCTCATCTGGATCTCAAACACTGTATCCAGGCCGTGTCATCTTGACCAGTAAGTGTTTTTGTGTGTGTGGGAAAACGAAAAACCCAACCTCTGTCCCGAACAGGAATTGTACGGACTCGCATGAATGGTATCGGAGTTGTAACCCCTATTTGCAGCTTATCCAGGACAACAAGGCATCCGTCCTGTGCCCTTGAAGTGGGCTGCCAGTGATCCCAAAGCTCGCGGACCCATTGTCGCTTCACGCCACCCAGATAGTATCAAAAAACGGTAAATTGATGAATATAATCACTGCCGTATACTTGTATGACCGAAAGAACTCACATTTTCAACTATTTAATGCTTTTAATAGAAACGCCATAGGCGCTTATGGAGGTTCCTACTGTATTTACCGTGCACTTGCCTTGGCTATTGGTGACCTGCCATACAATCATCGGCCCAACTTTGAAATGACCGAACCAACATTCCAGGTGGGACCTCATGCCTCATGGTTCGATCCCAAGAAGATTGTTTCTTTGGATCCCTGGGGTCACCTGGCACCCATGCTCTTCAAGGCCGAATATGAAGGAGGGCTTGACGTCCGTCCCACTATTGCTATTACACGTGCGCACATGACCATGGCCGAGATGGAAATGAGCGTAAAGCAGGGATCGCTTGCTGTGGATGGGAAAATTGTGTTGAACAATCGCGGTGACTTGGCAGTGTCAAAGGCGGCCGTCGAGCCGGTATGGTATTTGCCCGGTGTTGCCGAAAGATTTGGTATTGGTGAAGATTTGCTACGCAGAGCATTGTTGTAAGTGACCAGGAAAAAAAAAAAAAAAGGGCCAGCGGCCCCATTTTCCAGCGTACTAAATTCTCAACGGAATTGATTTGCGCTTATTTAGTGAAGACACCGGAGGCATGTACCCGGAATTGATCACGCGCCAAGACCTGAAAGTGTTTTTACCGCCTATAGGAGGCATCAGTGTATATATTTTTGGCAATCCAGCTTACCTCTCAGGTATGTCTTTTGCTACATAACGTACTGCACCGTCATGCATAACTCACCGGCGTTGGCAATCCAGATCCTTCAAAGAAATTGACTGTTCGTGTGCACGACGAATGTAATGGTTCAGATGTATTTGGTAAGTCATACTGTGAATGCCTCTGTTTTTTTCATAACGTGTTTATTTGATTCATCGATGTCGCATTCATAGGAAGCGATATCTGCACCTGTCGTCCCTATCTGATTTACGGCATTGAGGAGTGTGTGAAACAAGCTCAACAAGGAGGCGTCGGTTTGATTGTGTATTGTAAGTCTACCCTTTTTTTTCTCACATCACAATCTTTCGGACCCTTTTTCTTTTTCGTTCCCAATCACTGGGCTTGTAAACTGATAATGGGAGTTTCGAAACTCGTCTAGTCCGAAAAGAAGGCCGTGCTTTGGGCGAAGTGACAAAGTACCTTGTTTACAATGCGCGAAAACGCCAACAAGGTGGCGATACGGCCGCCAAGTACTTCCTACGCACGGAATGCATTGCAGGTGTCAAGGATATGCGCTTCCAGTCTTTAATGCCGGATGTATTACATTGGTTAGGCATACAGAAAATCGATCGTATGATGGTAAGCGAGAGAAACAGGGTGGAACGATTCGGAGTTCTAATATTTTTTTTCGATGGGTTGCTCTCGTGGCTTTCCTACGATTAGTCGATGTCCAACATGGTAAAATTTTCTCTGATGATTTTTCTATGCTCTGTCACGGTATTAATTTTTCTTCACAGAAATATGATGCCATTGTCAACTCTGGTATTCCCATTTTGGAGCGAGTTCCTATTCCCGAGGAGATGATTCCTGATGATTCGAGGTGAGTTGATTCTCACAGTTGAATGGCTGGTTTCAAGCTACTTGTCCTTAACGCACCTGCCTTTTTTTTTTTTTCGCCATGCCTGGTTCTCTCTACTGCAGAGTGGAGATTGATGCCAAGATCGCATCAGGATATTTCACTAGTGGCGACGTTCTCTCTGAAGAACAGCTTGCAAAGGTCAAGGGTCGCAACTGGGAGGATATCGAGCACTGAGTAATGCTCGTTACCCCAGTACGAAGTGAAACCACTTTTTTTTGAATGTCCGTTTTCCATTTGCTGGATTTGCTTCTTCCTGTTTCAATTGCAGCAATAAATAAAAGCGCAATAGCTGCCTTCCAACAAACCCACCACTCCTTTTTTTTTATCCACTTGTTTACAACACAAACAAATATTATGTCAGATCAAGTAGTTAATGATCAACTTTTGAACAATACCCAAACCACGTTAAGCCCTACCAACGTCGTTGACGACGATGATGCTGATGTCCACCCTCAGGCCTACCGATTAAAACGAAATAGCAGAGATATCTCGGCAGACAAATGTCATCATCCTGGTTCCCACGAATATGTGCACATGGAAGGTGTAGCGCAACCAAGACCGATACAAACAAACCCTCAAGATAAAGCGCAATGGGATCTCTATCCCAGCATGGTGCGTAATATCGAAAATGACGGCACACCAGAACAAGTAGAACAACTGCACCAGATGGAACATATTCAAAGCTTATAATAGTTAATTTGTATTTGCTTTATTTTGATTTTCTGTAATATATCGCTTGTTACGTTTTCGCTCCCATGTACTTTTTAGCACTTGGCGTACCGTATCAATGTTATCATTCAAGTTTGCCTGCGCCAGTCCCGTCACCTTGGCTATTTGCTCTGGAGTATATACAAAGTTCCACGTACTGCAGAACTCGGCTGTTTGAGGATCGAAATCAGGATCAAAACCTTCATTGACAATAAACGGGAAATAGAGTACTGTGATAGGATTGATACGGTCAGGCTGCTTGGTGTTGGAATCTCTGGCGGCTGGGTTAATGGTTACTTCGGAATTGGATGCGAAAACAGTGCAGGATCCTAGTGCGTAAGAGGGTTTCTTGCCATCTTTGGAAGTAATCCTTGCCGATCGGTCATCTGCAGGACGCTCCTCTTGGATCGCGTCTGATATGTTCTCTTTGGGCCATCCAGCACCCACCGGCCAACCTTCAATTCCACGCCTTTTCGCATAACCTTCAGCACGGTCAAAATGGGGTGCTGTCTGTATATCGGCACTGAGATCGATAGCGAGGATAACGTCCACATCTCGCCCTTCACGTAATAAGGGGTAGAAAGGAATATTGTTGTCCATACCAGCGTCCATGAGGCATAACTGCTTTGACTCCAATAGTGATTTGGGACGTTTCAGGTTCTCTTCTCCGGGAACATCTTCAGAGATCTTATAAAAAGGATTGGGAAAGCAAGCAGGTGAGATAGGATGATAAGATGCCATGGTCTTCTTGTAACGTATAAACGTTTCGTCGAGTTTCTGAAGCGGCTTGCTTGGTAAAAATCCTCGAACTTCTTCATAGAAATGGACCAAACTGGCTGCAAAAGCGGAGCCAAACATCCTGTTTTGGATTTCTGATAAGCACATGTCCAGCATGTATTAAAAACATTAATAGAGACGCCTTACCCCATAAGAATGTCCAATAACTGCTCTGGTTGTCGTTCCAAATTTTTTCCGTTCTCAAATTTCCGTCCAAAGGCCCAGATAGGAATCCATGCTGGTTTTGCGAAGTTTTTAGGTCCCTGAAATCCACCGGGAAAAACTAAACTTACCATTGATCTCTTCGCTTCCCATGTCATACGGCGTAAATTCAAACCATTGATACGGACTGTAGTCGTCAGCATCATTATCGTTTTCGTCTTGGTTCGTTGACTTTTTCTGCGATTCTTCGATCTCTTTTGATTCGCCCTCCATCTGTTGATTTCTTTCGTCTTCAAGTTTCCGACGATCGCCTACGTCGTGTCGGACCACGCAGTAGATAGGCATGGGCTGGGAACCGTCGGCAAGGAAACGTTGTTGACTGGATAATTTCATCTCGTTTTTATCCAGTAGCAATGGTAATACCTGGGAATCCTTGTCTTCGCCTTGTGCATCAGTGTCCTTGATATAGATCAGACCGGCTTTGTTAGCGCCCTTGTCCTTGGCAAGTTGGGAATTCTCCAATGATTTGGCTGCTTCCAATCTTGTTAGAAGCGTACTTCCCATTAAAAGTCCAAACAAGTCTACGAAATTGATATTGCCGTTTTGTTGAAGATAACGATGGATAGCGCCTTGTAAGACCAGCTTGCTGTTATGCGGCGATGCATTTATCACTTTGATTAAATTGGAGATATTTGCAAAATGCGCATTGGTGTGACATTTTATGTGATGGGATAAAGCGTCCGTATTTGCTTTGGTGAGAGCGTTGTAATAGAGAATCATTGTCCAGCATGATCCTGAAACGCCTGTCATAGCAGTATATCATCCGCCAAAATTAGGAATTTTGGTTTTAGAAACCATTGGATATTTTGTGATAAATAAAGATCGCTTATTTACCTGACATGTACATCAGACAATCGAGAAGACCTGTCTCCTTCATGGCTTTCAGATATCCAGCACAGCCTACCATGGCACGATATCCTCCGCCACTGGAGAGCGGAAAAGGATTAGCTGAGCCTGAATTATTGTCGAAGCCCAATTTCCGGGTACTGTTCACTCACCTTGATGCTAAAGCGACGACGGGGATATCTTCTTCACAAACTTCATTGACATCGACACCAATAAACTTTGCGAAATTTTCGCGCTGTTGTTTCTTTCTTGCACGAATGAATTGTTGCTCCTCTTGTGAGAGATCGGCAGACTCTCTATGGATTTGTAAGAAACGAACGATCGACAACGCCCCATTGTGTGCAATTACCTGACAGTGGCATCCTTGGCCACTTCGGCATGGATATCGGGATTACGATTCTCTTGCTCAATCTCGTCAAAGATCTTTCGAAAGTCTTCCATGGTGAGAAATTCCCAAATTTTCGCATAGTTTTCAGATATGTTCTTAAACTGGGAAGTCAAAGAAGGGTATAATCGCGCCATGGTGCTGTTGATCGTTTCCACCGAAGGCAGATCAGGGAACTCGAGTTTACGAATTGACCAAGATCTCGAGAATAGTTTGCTTAGAAAAATGTCCTCTTCGTCCTGCTTGGTATTTTGGGTTTTATGCTCATTGGTATCCTCGGTCGTGTTGCTACTAGGTAATATGGACGCCCACAGACTTTTTGGCGTCTCGTTTGGCTTTGTCCGTGTTCCCTTTTCAGTGGATAGGAGCCTGATGCTGCTTGCATATTTATAGTTGGGCCGGTACACATTGTACCACAGCAGACGCTGACGCAGTAATCGTGAGCAGACAAACATAATGTGAGAGTAAAGAAAGGTTGATCCGAAAAAAATAAAAAAGATAGAGAAGAGAGAGCTGATTGTTATTTGCTTATGGAAAAAAAAAAAGAGCACGACTGTGCACCAATTTTTACCTTTTTTGGAGACAATGACGTTCAGGACGATCATCGAATTTTAAAGAAGTCGCCGTTCTCATCTGGAATAGCTTCAGCCTCCATAATATCGCGAAAGTACGTGGATCCATATTACCCGTTCTCGCCTGTAATCTATGGCAGAAAGCTATATAACATACAAAAATACGTCTTCTGATCAAATGGGTTGTGCGATAGCAGCAAACAATGACACTGGCTTGGTGTTCCTGGATGGACGTGCTTGGCTCGATTCTGATTAATTTTATTCTCCGCGTCTTATTCCAATGACGTTTTTAAGCTTTTCCAAAAATTATAGATAGACATTACATGACATGGTTTGCCTACCTAACTCGATTGCAAGCTTCCAATTGACACGAGGAAGGAAGTGGCGTGAATTTTTATTTTCAAATCATGCTATATAAGCAGGAGTGCGGCAAACAGGACATCATAGAATACGTACGCATATGTCGCTGTCAGAAAATCGATGATATCATCGCTCATCACTTTCACAATAAAGTGGTCAATGATGCGCTGTCAAACAGAGATATGTCGTTTTCCAGCATTCTCTGACGTCCTATTAAACGTATTCGGACAATCCACGCAAGCACAGCAATGTGTAAACTAGGCATGCCATCGAATATTATTCACCGTAGAAACCAAATAACAAAACTGCGAATCACCATGCAACTACTCTGAAGGAACCATTCGCAAGTCGCCTGCTCTCGGTTGATTCCTTCGCAGGCATAAAAATGGCACAGTAGAACCATCCATGATAGGATAATAAGTAATAAAGATTTACTTTATCGCGGGATGGCAAATCGTATGTGATTCTTTTGAAATCTATGGTTCTGACCATTAGTTGCTCCCTGGATTTTTTGGTCTTGACTCCTCTCCGGGTCAGTTCGCATGAGTGCTTCATGCAACTGCTGTCATTATCGCACGCGAAAGGCAAGCAGTAGCTAAGACGACTGCTGTTAATGGCAAGATCATACCATTGTTCACTACGGTGTCTCATAAGTAGTCGACAATGTCGAATCCACATTTGTCTCGAGTCTGCTTTGTCCGTCAAATAGCTTTGCGACAAGACGCAAAAATTAAGGAAGAATCCTATAGGTTTTATTTGTCAAGTGCTTCCACTCACACGAAAAATGACTCCACAACAAAACATAAATTGCTTAGTAGAAAGTGCTGGGACGCTTGGCCACGAAAAGGGAACGGTGACCCTTTTCAGCACGCTGGATACGGTGGGGCAAGGGGAAGGAAAGCTTGGGAGTCAAGAGCTGCTTGATGTACTGGCGACGGATATCGGCAGAAGCGATCTCGGCAACGCGGATGATCTGAATGGAGCTGAAGCGAGCACGGTGACGAGCAGCCATATCCTGGTCTGTTGTAAAAAGGTAAAAATGTCTCATTAATACTCTGCTCAATCTACAAAATCTCACCACCATCACAACAAAACTTACAGCAGGTTTCGACGGCTTCGACACGGGACATCTCACGGTATTCCTTGTACATGTTGTGGGTGCCAGAGCGAGAATCGTAACGGAGCCAGATACCGAAGTTCTTGATCTGTTCGGGACGCTTCTCGGAGATTTCGTTGACGGAAACGATCTCACCAGCGGCCTTCTTGACCTTGCGAAGCTTCTTCAAGAAGTACCAGAAGCGAGACTTGGCAACAACGACATTGGGAGCGAAAATTCTCATGCGGTAGAGCTTGGGGGCAGCCTCCTGAGCGGAAGGGAGCTTGCGACCAACCACCTGATATTCGTGGAACTAATGGAGACCATGGCAATGAGTTCGAAATTCTTCCATTGTAGTTTGCGTAATTTCCAATGCTCCCCAATTGCTCCTCTCTCTCTCCATCCCATTGTCCATCTAAAATGTTTAGCTGCGGTCATCTCGGACGAATGATATCCACAAATCCGTTTCAAAATAAATTACTGATGTCGTAAAATCGTAAGATAGAGTCATCGACCATTGGATGGATCTTGTCGATTAATGGATGCATCGTTTCGTCGATGGATGATTGCTGAATTTCTGGTCTGCTCCTTAACCTCCCATCCAAACGCATCCCATCGTCCATTTTTCGTTCTATCCCCAGAAATATCTAACGCCGGTAAAATACGGTTACTTACTCTAGCCATCTGACGTGCCTTGAAGGAAAGAGAGGGAGATCCTCATATGCCTTTTGCCTTGCCATAAATCCGCCCCAGTCCTCCTGACACCCAGCGCTTTCTCTCCCATCTCTGCCGGAACCGAATTATATTTTAATCTCCGCTCCTCGGACGAAAATATGCCCAAATCTTCCCTTTCTCAAATCATGCAGCACCAAACTATTCCCCCACCCCCAAGCGAACAAGAAGCCAATTATTCATTCAACAGAACCAACGGGTCATAATGGTATCTTTATCTTTGTATGTTAATGGTTGTTTCTACATGCATGTCTTTACAGTTTGTGAGGCGCTTGATAGATCATCCCAAGGTTTATGATTCGGCGTTATGCCACCAACTCCAACAAGTTACTTGCTACATAGCCACTCGTTCCTGATAAATCGCCTGTCATTTCATCCCACGGATAGGCCCACCACCATCCATTTGGATTTGTCCTTGTGATGGCAAACCATGTACCTCTTGTATAGCTGAGGTCGTGCGCCTGTTCCGCTCGATAATCATACAATGCACGAGCTGCATTTTTGAAAAATCCAAAATTAAAAAAATATGAAAATACAGCGTATCTATATGCCTGGAACTTACCCCAACCAATGATATGATGCCCTTGCGTCTGCAAATCTGCCGCTGTTATGGGGGGAGCAAACGGCACCGCGGATCCTTGAATATCGTTGGTCACTGCTTTCGCTGATGGTTGTCGCGATACACTATCGCCCTGGATGAGACTGGCGCGACGATCGGCTATTTTGCTAGGACGGCCCATCTGTGTGTCGGATTTTGATTTTCTTCGAGAGACTGTAGGCTGTGGGTCATTGCTGGAGTTATACACACCCAATTCTTCAAGTAGGTCTTTGATAGAGATATTGAAAGCCTCATCCAGGCCGTTGGGTTTCCGTGTTGTATTCGCCGCTTGTAGTTTGCTACCCTTTTGATGATCAACGTCGAACATATTATTGCCGATAGCAAACACGACTTTGGCTCTGGGATCGATAGGCTCATCTAGCTCGTCATCGGAGGGGCTGTCACAAGGATAAGCTTTCGGTGCCTCTTTGATGTATCCATCCGGCGCATGGCTGACCAACGATGTGCGTTCCACGGATTTTCTCCTTGGTGATGATTCCTTTGATGTGACAGTGGGAATGCGCTTTACGGAATGAGTGACGGTAGGGACTCGTTTGACCTTTGTGCTAGGTGGTGAAGCTTCGTTTGGTTTACTTTTTCGTGTGGAAGACCGGCTTCTTACCACGTTGTTGATTACGGCTGCCGGTTCTTTCGACGGCGGCGGTGGATGCGGGGTATCAACAGGTTCACAGTTTTGCAAGGTATCCATATCGGGAAATTGCGCTATACTATATTTCGGTAATGTTTTGGCGGGATCATCCATATAGTGAACATACTCTGGGGCCTCTATTAAGTAAGAACCAGAAAAATGAGCTGATATTCACGAGCAAAGCATGGCAATGATATCACCTGGTATCATTGGTCCTGTGCCTTTTGTTTCGATGAAGATGTCAATATCTTTTCGTGCGTCGCATTGGTCCAGTGATTTCCAAAATCGATCATAAGACTAAGAAAAAATAAGAAACTGACAGTGAATGGCATCAAGTATCCATGTAGCTCACCTCCTGATCCTTTCCAAGAGCTGTGGACAGTATATTTACATAGAGGCTCAGACTGTGATGAAGAAATTCCACCCGTTTCTCTTCCATTTCCTGGTATCGCTGTGAATATTTGCAATAGCATTATTAATCTCGCCTATCGTGTAATCATGTTGTTCAACCTACATCGCACGCAATTTTCCATTCCGCCTTCCAGATCGCAGTGGCATCAGCCAGCTTGAGACATGCATTTTTATATTCTAGTTCTGTTGATTCCTTTGTATTAGTTGTCGTTCGTCGATAGTCTGATACCAACTCACCGAGCGTTGCTATTTCATGCGTGCATCGATCAATCTTTTGGCGGAGTCGTTCGGCTTCCCGCAAACTGGCACTTGCCAGCTGTCCTTCTAAAGTAATTTTTTTCGCACATTCGCTTTCGTACTTTTCCTTTGCCTAGAGAAATTTCAATACAATCATTCGAAAAAATGTGAACACCTTGGACGATATGATGCGATCTAAAGTTTATGCATTTACCCTTGCGACGTGGCTCGTATGCAGTTGCTTGTTTCGATGGGCTTTATCAACATTGGTTTGAACCTAAGGCGAATCAATGGTAAAATTCTCCGCTCGTCATAGGGGATCATCAAACGATATGACTGCGTTATTACCAATTTTCTACGATCCTTTTGTTCGAGGATGAAGTTATCCAACGATAATTCAAGAATGGTGCGTATTTTCTGTCCCAATTCGAGATTGGCCTGAGCCGTAATTTCCAGTTCTTTATGAGCCGAAGCAAGTAGAACTTTCAATGTCCTACCAAGTGTTGGTTCATATTGCAAGCTTACATGACGTTTTTAAATGATAAAGAAAATTTACCCTGTTTCCTCTTTCCCAAGCCCTGATTTGAGATGTTTCAATAGCTTCTTGCCGTATTCTTCGTGAAGCGAAGCTCTAGAGTAGAATCAGGGCTCAATCATCGAGAAGTCCATTGAAAAGTCCATAAACGTATCATCTTACCGAACATTGTAGAACGCTTTGAGTTCTTCGAATGTTTTTTTGGCGTTATTCATTTTTTGGGTCAAGACATCGTATCCGAGGTCATCTTTGCCCTGTATCCTGATTTAAATATGCTTGTTTAATATGAAACTGGATGGGAAACACGTACCCAAAAGTTGTTGGCAAAAGTTTTCGGAGTAGCAGTGACGATGTCGGTCATGGCGAAGTATACAAGAAGAAGAAGAGTGGGAAAGTCAATTTTGCAGCCATAATTTGGCATAAAAAAATCCCCTATTTAGGATGGATTATTGGCAACATGTTACATATAAGGAAATTCCGGTGACGTTCGGCTTGGTGAGCAGGAAAAAAAATTGTCGCGCCGTGTCGTGAATTTCGCGATTCCGCGTTCCTTTATTGCAACATATCATGCCCAGGCCACCAAGGAAGAAGCGTCATATCCAGAATACACCAGCACCCGATTCTGCTGACCAAGCAACCGCTAGCACTGAACAGTCTATTGATACACAGAACGAAAGGAACGGTTCTCCTTCAATCAGAGAGGAATCAGTAGGAACGCAGATCAATCACGACGAGCAAACGTCAACTCCTTCCATCCAGCCTTCACCGGATAATGCAGCCAATGCGACAGAGAAAACAATCGATGAAGAAAAGAAATCACGGCTTGTTATTACGAAGATGGTACTCAAGAATTTCAAATCGTACGCTGGACGACAAGTCATCGGTCCTTTTCATAAAGTGAGTATTAGAAGCAACCGCAGATCATCTTTTGCTCCCACACTTATCCTTGGCACTCTTTCTAGTCTTTTAGTGCGAGTATGTTGGATGAAAATCATGGAACCGTGTCATTGTACTTAAACGTTGAATGTTATAGTTGTTGGTCCCAACGGATCAGGGAAATCGAACGTGATCGATGCACTGCTATTTGTGTTTGGTTATCGAGCCAACAAAATGCGACAAGGAAAACTGTCGGAACTCATACACAACTCGGCAAAGTATCCCAATCTTGATTCATGTGCGGTCGAGATTCATTTTCAAGAGATCATTGACAGAGTAGGTTGAAAAGAAACCTGGTCCTGCGATGTCGAATTGCTGATGGCCTTATTTTCGATTCACAGGATGACTCTAGTAAATTCGATGTAGTACCAAACTCTCGCCTTGCGATTTCACGACAAGCTTATCGCAACAATGCCAGTAAATATTTCATCAACGATAAAACGAGTTCGTATACCGAGGTCACCGCATTATTGAGAGCTCGAGGCATCGATTTGGATCATAAACGATTCCTAATTCTGCAGGTAATGGAAAACCTCCTTTGATATCACGGAACAGCATACTTACTTTTTTGTAGGGCGAAGTTGAATCCATTGCATTGATGAAAGCGAAAGCAAAAGATGATAACGACGATGGATTACTGGAATATCTGGAAGACATCATCGGTACCTCCAAGTACAAAGAACCCATTGAAAAGACAAGCGCGCAATTAGAAACACTTAATGAAGAACGCCTCGAAAAATTCAACCGCGTGAAATATGTCGCTAAAGAAAAGGACAACTTGGAGGTAGGATTATAGATTGCTGAGAGGCACTTCTCAATTCTCTGTCACGGTATTTCTAACACTGAATTAGGAGAAAAAAGCGGAAGCCGAGAGTTATCTCGATAACGAAAACGAATTAGCGAAACGCAAGAACGAACTATATCAAATTTATTTATATGAAGCCAATACTAACATCGACATCGCCAACGAAGCATTGGTATGTATATAGCTTGTAACGATGAAAAAGCCCGAGACTCACCAAAACACTGTAGGAGGAGCTCCAAGAAAAACTACAAGAGGAAGAGCAAAAGCAATCTGAGGCCGAAAACGAGATTAAAGAACTGGAGGAGACGTACCAAACCACAGTGCGAGAATACAACGTACGTCTATCATTACTGAAACACTGACTTGTGCAGGCTCTAAATAAAAGGTCATTAGGGATTGGAAGCACAGATGAGCGAAATTCAAAAACAGCACGCAAAGTATGAAAGAGAAGACGTGCAATTGCGGGAACGTAAAGACTATTTGTCCAACAAACAAGAGAAGGCCAAAGCGACCATGGAGGCAGTAAGTTGATGACATGCATACATTTGAAGCGGTTGACCGGAACGGAATAAATAGGATCGCGAAGCGCGCACTGCGGCACGAGAAGCCATTAAAACGAACGCCGATGCATTGCAACTGCGACAAGCAGATCTGACCAAACTGGAAAAGCAACTAAAGAGTGAAGAAAAGACGCTGGATGAAATCAACAGGGAACTCAAAGGCAAAACAGACGGGTACCTTGCTGAGATAGAAGAACATCAGAAAAAGCTGGCTCCTTGGACGGAGAAGATCAACAAGAAGAAAAAAGATATCGATGTTCGTCGATCCGAAGCCGAAATTTTAGCAGAACGCATCTCATCCGGAGTTAAAGCGCTCGAAAATGCAGAAAAAGCTTTGCAAAATGTCAAAAAAGCTCGCGAACAAAAGGTAACTAGCTCATGAGGATTTTCACCCGTATTCAAATTATTAATGTCGAAATGATATCGAAGCTCAAAGAAAGCAACGATTTGCCTGTGGAAATCGAGAATCTGGAGAAAGAAATAGCAGAACTTGAAGACCAAGTCAAGGTATTTGTGGCGTGTATAAAATGAATGAGCGCAAAAACTAATCGAAGGATTGTAGATTTTGGAAGAGAAAGAAAAGCACTGTCGTGATCAGCTTAGCAGTGCACGTCAGAAAGCAGATGATGCAAAGGCTTCCATGCAACAATCGCAAAACCGAGGCAAAGTTTTGTCAAGTTTATTGCGAATGCGTGATTCTGGTCGCATCAAAGGGATCCATGTATGGTTTATTGCCAACCGATGTGCAAAAAATTGCCAGGGCTGATATCCGATTTTAATAGGACCGACTGGGCAATCTTGGTGTGATTGACGATAAATACGATGTCGCCATTTCGACTGCCTGTCCAGCTCTGGACAACATTGTCACCGATACAGTAGAAGCTGGCCAAGCCTGTATCGAATACCTTCGAAAAAATAACCTCGGTCGAGCTGTGTTCACTATTTTGGATCAACTTCATAAGCAGGATACACGGCCCATCAAAACACCTGAAAACGTGCCTCGTCTGTTCGATCTCATCAAGCCAAAGGATGAGCGGTTCTCGCAAGCCTTTTACAGCGTGCTTAAAGATACCCTTATCGCAAAAGATCTTCAGCAAGCGAATCGGATCGCTTACGGTGCAAAGCGTTGGCGTGTCGTGACACTCGATGGCAACCTCATTGAGAAATCAGGTGCCATGACAGGTGGCGGAAATAAGCAACTTCGTGGCGCCATGAGTTCTCGCTTCAAGGATGATGAAGTCACACCAGAAACGGTGGCCAGACTGGAAAGTGAGCGTACCCAACTAGAAGAGGATCTTCGTGACTTTTTGAATCAACGCCGAGGCATGGAGTATGGATTGCGCGCGAAAAAGGAAGCACTGCCCAAGAAAAAGACAGCACTAGAGAAACTTCAGATGGACATGCGTAGCTTGGAAAAGCAGATCACCGAAGAGGAAAAACGCGTAGAAGAGATCAGGTAACCATCGGTCATACGATATAGCTGCTATGCCATACTGACAGATCATTCGTTCCCTAAAGGGCCCAATCCGAACCAAGTGCTGCGGATGTTGAACGTCAGATGGCCATTGAACAAGAAATTGCGAGACTCCAGGAAGAGATGGAAGAATACAAAGCGAAGACAGTTGAAATAGATGAAACTATCAAATCATTGCATGAAGATATTATGGACGCTGGTGGAATGGATTTACGGTTACAGAAGATTGTCGTCGACGATGTCCGAAAGCGTATCAATGGTCTGAACAACAAGATCACCAAGAGTATGGTTGCCAAGGCAAAAGCAGAGAAAGACGTCACGAAATTGGAATCCACCATCAAAAAAGCAGAAAGAGAATTTGAGAAATTGGAAACAGATCTCAAAGAATTGGAGCAAGAAAGCAAACGCAAGGCAAAGGAGGCAAGCGAAGTAATGAAAGAAGTTGAGAAGCATCAAACGGTAGTGTATACGCGTGGATTGTATGCTGTTCCTGTATGCGAGTGTAACCATAACTTTTACCTTGTAGCTGATGAAAGAAGCGAAAGTGAAAGTAGACAGTTTACGTAAAGAGCTTGATGAGAAGACAAACGCCATTAACGCATTACGGCAAAGCAAGGTACGTTCGAAAATTAGGTAGTATGAGGGTTCTATTCGGCTGAGTGTTGCCTTTTTCTTTCAGGTTGACATTCAAAGCAAATTGGACGATTATCAACGTAGCCTTGTCGATAATCAGAAAAAGGTATACCATTGGCGTGAACAGCGATCAAAACTGTCATTACAAAGAGTCAGGTATGAAAATGAAAGCAGAGTGGCACATGAATACTGTCTTGGATTGACATTTTCTCCAGGGACGAATCCGACGAAGAATTACAGTTGCAAGATTTCGATATTGATACTATCAAAGAACTTCAAAGTTCAAAGCAAGCGATTAAGGGTGAAATTGCTGAAATAGAAGGTAAAGCAGACTTTGATCACATAGTTATCACCTACCACAGTATTCACACAATGTCTCTTTAGCCTTCGTGCAGAATGCGCAGCCAAATCTATCAGTTCTTGAAGAATACCGACGCCGCAATGAGGAGTATAAAGATCGCTTGGCAGACCTGAATGAAATAACAAAGAGGCGCGACGACGTCAAGAACGAAGTAGAGACCCTTCGAAAGAAACGTCTTGGCGAATTTATGCAAGGCTTCAATATTATCTCTCAAAAATTGAAGGAGATGTATCAAGTAAGTAACTCGGATGAATACCAATCATAGGTGCATACAAAGCTAAATTAATTATGTAGATGATTACTCTTGGTGGCAACGCCGAGCTGGAATTGGTGGACAGTCTGGATCCATTTTCGGAAGGCATCGTGTTCAGTGTGATGCCACCGAAAAAGAGCTGGAAAAACATTTCGAATCTTTCTGGTGGCGAAAAGGTTAGTAACAGACAACCCATCGTGGGGTGTCATTCAATAGAATGTTTGCCATGATGATACTTAGCACCTGATGATAGACACTGAGTTCTCTTGCGCTGGTGTTCGCGCTTCATCATTTCAAGCCCACTCCTTTGTATGTTATGGATGAAATCGATGCTGCGTTGGATTTCCGCAATGTATCCATCGTCGCCAACTATATCGCTGAACGGACGAAAAACGCTCAATTCGTTATTATCAGTTTGCGCAATAACATGTTTGAACTTGCAGATCGACTGGTCGGTATCTACAAAACAAACGATTGCACCAAGAGCATTGCCATCAATCCCAATATGATCAATATTCTCTCACCGTTACAAGAAGAGCCAGAAAATTCGCAACGAACTCCGGCAACGCCTGCCAGATCATAAAAAAATATCCCTATTTTACATAGCCATCCATCCGCTCATTTTTTTCCTCCTGTTATTGCATTTAGTGATTACTATGTAATATCATGTGTATACTGGTGGGGTCTTCAAGAAACATCAGGTTCACATTGTGCATATAAAACACACAAGACATTAAGTATTATATACATAGGCGTTGATTTCTTTTGTGGTATCGTGAGGTGTCTTGACTTGTTCTATGGTACACCTTATTGTAAGCTGTGATCATTTTGAAACTTGGTGCATATATCTAGGATTCCTTCTTCCAGTACTTCATGCTTTGCTCGTTCCGCGATGGGATCCAAGGCGGCTAGAAGATGCTTGTTGTGAATAGCTTCGATATGGATATTTTCACGCAGTGCAATCGTTCCTGCTTCTCTAAATAGATTCTCGAGATCGGCGCCGGTGCAATACTCGGTATTTTGTGCTAGATATTCCTTGTCAACGTCATGGGACACGATGACCGTCTTTGTTAAAGCGTTTATAATATCGCGACGATCCTCCAGTGACGGAAGCCCAACGTAAAGCAATTGATCCAGTCGACCTTGGCAGAAAATAGGTTTTAATACATGATCATAGCAATCTGTTGTTGCTTCAGAGACTTACCTGGTCTCAAGACCGCATCGTCAATATGATCTGGACGATTGGTGCATCCAATGACCACGACCCCTTGCCGTCCTTCAACGCCGTCCATCTCGTTTAACAATGTACTGAGCACACGCTCGTTGACCCCGCCTCCGCTGTCACCGGTATCCCATCCTAGTACCCAAGGTTAGTGAACTAGATTGACAAACATGTATGAAATCTCTTTACCTCGTCGTGAACCAATGGCGTCCATTTCGTCCATGAAGACAATACAAGGAGCGATGCGTTTAGCGGTACCAAACAACTGGCGAATTTTTCTTTCGGTTTCACCCAAGTATTTTGAGAATACTTCAGGGCTAAGTAATGCATAATGGTTAGGAAATTGCGCTATGGTTCCACGTCAAAGTGCACAGTTACCCCTTGATAGATATGACATTCATCATTGACTCGGAAGCCAATGCTTGCACCAGAGCTGTTTTACCGCATCCTAGCCATTCCATAAAAATAAGCATCTTTAATCGGCAGATCAATCTGCATCACACGTACCGGAGGGGCCGTAAAGTAGCAATCCGGACGGAGGTTTGACACCTAGCCTTATGAATACTTCGGGTTTAAGTAACGGCCACAGAGTAGCTTGCTTCATACGATCCTTTATCTCTGTGTAACTAGATCCACCACTGTGAGAAACATCCTTCAATCATTCAGTCACTAGTCATTACCCTCCTATCTCGCTCCAGTTTCGCTTCGGAAGCGTGCTTTCCACTTCCGCTTGCTGTGTCGGACGATAGATGGATAAAGCGTACTCAAAATCGGACCATTCGATTTCTCTATGTATACATATTCAGCCAAAGCACGTTTCTGCACAAGATTCTCAATCCTACATGCTGTGCTCAGGTTCCGACAAAGACATGGATGCGAGTTTCTGCTCCAGGTCCGCGCTTGACCCGTTCTGACGTCGCATGGATTTAAATATCGCATTTCGACACAGCATCTGTAGATCTCCCGCCACATAACCAGATGTACGCTTGCGTGTTTATATAATGTTAGCTCCAATGCTACCATTTGGTTCCAGATATCTGTTGAACAATACTTACCAAGCTGACATCGGAGATCAGATCATCTAACGCATGCAGCTTATTTTGTTTGGTGTCGCTTCTTATTTTATGCAGTAGTTGCTTTAACATAGATGCTCTCTGTTGCCTACACGATAAAAGTGACAATGTTATAATATGCATCTTAACTTTGAAAGCTTCATCCAATATCCTTACAATGTCGGAAAGGGTATTGTGATGTGTTGCCGGAACACATCAGTGCCTTTAAGTTTTTCCGGCAGCGAACGCTTTTCCCTGCTTAAACCGATGATGCAGACCTAATAACCAAGGTTGAATACGATAACGTAGCACAATGGTCAATGTTTGCGCAATCACTCACAGCCACATCGTCTTTGATACGGCCAATTTCATCTTCCAGGATCCGTAGAGCTTTTGTCGTCCGTTCTCCCCCTAATACCGATCGTTCACTTCATCAGTAAAGCTTTATGAAACCTTTGGATGATAAATTACCATTGGCTAAGCTACCGAGTTCTTCGATAAACAAAATCGAAGGTTTACACGCTATAGCCTTGTTGACACTGATACGTAATGGGTTGTATTTCGAAAAATGCGGATTATCGAATTCTTCTTCCAATGCCAGCAAATCATACAAGGATGTACGAAGGAGCGGACATTGCAACCGATTCTGTGCTTTTCTTTACAAAGTAAATCAGATACCGCAGAGTGAGAGCATATGACCATCATCCATTTACTGTACCTAATCAGCGTCTTCTTCCCTGCGCCAGCAACGCCGTGAAGAAGAATGGATTTTGCAACCGGCATTCGTAAAGCTGCAAAAGCTTCCAAATTTTCAAACGCGCTTTCTACGTAATGTAAATGAAACCAAAGTTTTCCCAGACAAGATATCGCAACTTACTGATCGCTTCAGTTAATGTATCCACGAGCTCGTCTTTTTCTTCCAACGCGCCCTCTTTCGAGAAATGAGTATGATATTGCACAGTGATCTGACTTGAACGGTTGATTACGAATTGCGTTACTGCTTGCACGCCATTGATGGCTTCCACGACTATATTAACACGTCTCCCATTTATAATCCAGTTGAATTGATCTTTACACGTCACCTAATATCATTATTCATTAATGAGTTTGATATTGACTGAAACTCCCTCATTACGTACGGTCATGCCATTCATGCGACGTTGAATCAAATCAGTGTAATCGAGTGTACCCGGTAAAAGTAGAGGATCGACCGTGACATGATCATCAATCGACACGTATAAGTTAACAGACTCGGCATGGTTTTTCGCTGTTTCTGAACATTTTTCGTATTTTACAAAGGTGCCTGTGTCCATGATCGCATAAACTTTAGATCTGCCACGAGAAGCAGAGAAATACCTCCATTGCAGCGTGACCGGTCGAATCCCAGAACGGTTTCCTGTTAACCAATCAGATCCCGCCTTATCACTGTCGCGGGTACAATGCGAGCAAGCATTATCTCTACAGCGTTATTCCGAGAACAGTTAATACAATGAAACAGCTCGATGAAGATCTCTCTCAGCTAAACACTCTTGTTGAAAATGAGGATGCTGGCAAACATGCAAATACGCTGTAAGAAGCTTATTATGCCACATGTACGTACCACATGAGTAACGCTATGGTGAAGCCATGCTAGTAACAGAAAACGGCTCTCGTCTTGGAAACTTTAGTCTTGCCTCATCGAGGCCCTCTGCGTGATTATTGATATATAGCCTATTTTTATTTTTATTTTTATTTTTGAACGATGCCCTTTTGATGTAATGACAGAGGATGTCAAAAGACTTCTATCCCTGCGCAACGTGAATACAAACGTAACTTGTCAGGGCCTCCATGAAGCGTAAAGATGAGTGGCAAGTTAAAGCTAAAATCAACCTTCAGAAGCGTTACACTATCGTTGCTGCTTCTCCAAATGGTCGCATGGACGCTTGGACTACTATATCATTGTTGCATTTTGTGCAACATGGGCTTTACAGGGGGGAATTTGGCAGGTCACAGACGTTGTAATCGGCGGCTGTCACATTCTTGTTGCCTAGAGCTTTTATAGTTGTTTGCATATGCTATAAAAGATATTAAAAAAAGATCAACCAAAAGCGACTCAAAATATTGACAAGAATCACTCCCTTATTTGGACGTTTACATAATGGATTATCGGTTACGAACTTGGCAGTATTACTGACTATCAAGAGAACGTTGTTTACGTCTGTTCGAGCTTATTCTTTTTGACCTTTTGGTTTGTCATTTATTTCAAGGTAATGCTTCAGTAAGAGTTATCTTTGATAATCCTCATTCGAATATAAGATCGTAGACATTGACGCAAAAGGATGACCGGGTCAGTCAAACAGCAGCAATGAATTAAAAATCAGAAAATAGTAGTAGGATAATTAGATGTTATAGCGGAAATAGATAGCATTCTTTTATGGATTGTCGCCCACACCCTATACAAGTCAAGAAACACGAAATTAATACCTGTATACAGAACAGAATGGCGCATTCATACGTACCTTGTGGTTAAAACCGAACCACCAAACAAGGATCGCAATGACGACACATAGGATGATGACGATAAAGAAACAGCACCATTTTTTCTAATACAAAATTCTGTTAAAGGCAACAGGTCACTAGAAGAACGTATGCAAGAGACTTACTGCTCGAGTCGCTTTTGCGCTCTTGATAGCTTTCGTAATGAATGTATTGCCTTTTTCCAGATCCTGTTGAGTTTGCTCTGCATGTTGATCAATCTGAGTAATGACTTCTCCTTGTTGTTCGACGAGCATCTGCATATCCATGAATAATTGATGCAGTTCCACAATCGTCTTTTCAATCTTCTTGATATCATCATGGCGAGTCTGAACTTCCGATAAAACCGCACGAGCTTGACCTCTGCGACTCGTTTGCATTAACTATAGATCCCTGTCAGCAAATAAACGTGGATCAGACTCCCTCCATGTTAGCTACCGATTGTGCAAATATCTGGGGCGAATCATCCGAATCAATCCATTGATCGATTTCTTGCTCCGTCGCTTCAGGCTTGACTGGAAGAGAAAAAAGAGAGTTTAATGAATATTCATATTGATTTATAGTGTATGAAGGTTGCACAAACCGATGCGAATTTGACGCTCCACACGTTGGCGATACTTTTGACGATACGAGCGTTCGATATCCTGGTATCGCTGAATCGTTTCCATGAATCGTTTTCTCACGGCATCCACCTAAGTGATGAAAAAATGTTAATAATGAAGGTCTCAGGAAACATGGAATGATACGTACCTGAGTTCTGCGCATTTGTCCATTGGAATCATTGGGCAGTCGAAGATTGGCGGTATCAAGACCTACATTTGGGGGGATCATTCAGCGTCGATCTCTGTTTATCTCCGTCGTCGCAAAAATCTCCGCTGTGATTGTCCGCACAACCTTACCTTTGATACGGTTTTTTATATCTTGATTACGTCGTTGGGTTTCCGATTTAAGGTTTTCTAAATCGGTAGCCATCTGATTCCACTGATGTTCATTGTAGCTTACAAGGGCCGAAGTGTGCAGGTTTTCGATATCATCGACATTTTGGTTGATGGTTGTGATTTCTCTCTTCAAATATTCAATCTAGGGAAAAATAGGTTGCTTAGCAAAACAACAGTCGCGTGGATTTCGTGATACTTGTTCCAAACCTCATCAAAAAATCCCTGCATTGAGTCGACATCATTAGATGGTGTCATAGCGTTCATTTCATAGGATTCATGTCTGTTAGCATTGCCGCGGTATTCACGACCTTGATGTTGAGGCGGTGGCGGGGCTGGTGAAGCATGTCTTGGCGAATCGTAAGACTGATTGTATGATTGCGGAGCACGCTGAGGACTCATGGGCGGACTGCGATAACCAGCCGGCTGACGTGCTGGGCCAAAGTCATCACTATGATAAATAGAATGTTCAATATCTTGGCCTGTTGTCTCATACTCAAGCAAGAGGACTGAAGAAGAAAAAGGAAAAAAAAAGAACTATGCTATCGAGAGGTATGATAAGCACCTGCTTCTCCGGCCTTCGTCGTAAGAATCCTACGCGCCAATGTTAATAGATCAAAGAATATTACATCATTATGCCAATGCATACCCTGATTTCGGCGGTACGGTCTCTGCTAAATGAGAAGGACATGATAAAAGGCGACTGGCCATGAACGATTACCCAAATTGGGTTATGTGTACTTGGGGAATTTTAGGCCTCTCGCAGTCCGGGCAACGAGCCTAATGTGACTCCGTAAGCCTGCGCCGGACTTCCGGACAGAATGTTGATAAAATCCTGCGAGCTGGATTGTTTTTGTATCTCAGTGCCAAGCATTGCACAGTGAGCGAATACTGATGCCATCATTAAATCGTAAACAATTTGATATGGATCAGACATGTTTCCGAGTTTTCTTTTGAGAAGATCGGATCGCATGTTGACGAAATCGTTCTACTATAACAAGGAAAATCGCTCCCTACAATGTCTGTGTTTCGATGCAGGTGGTAATGCAGGCAGCATCAAAGTGTTTCATCCCCATCATCATAGCTTCTTTGGAAAAAATATTGCTGCAATCTCAAACCTAGCTTAATTTGTCCACGGAACACGATCGTATTTGCCATTCAGCAAATAATACAGTAATTCAGCATGTGAAAATTTATTCAAAGGCACCAATAGCAATTTTATTTGGCTTCACAAGCGAAAATCTTGTTCAGCAGAGATTGTTAAGCAAGGTGTGGCGGAAAAGCTCCGGTAGTCGATAGGGTATCCATCCTTCGGTTAAGAGCAAGAGGATTAATTTAAACTACTCAGGCTGTTTCACAAGAAAAGAGATTTCTTTTTTCTTCAATTGCGAACTTTATCCTGTTATGCGCGTTCACAGTGATATAAGCATCAAAAAGCCTTATATGGACGGTTCAGACTCTCGAAGCGAAAATGGCGGCCCGTCCTTCCTAACAAACTGGCAACTATCCCAATGAGTTTAAAATAGTAGACTGTGCACCTGACCTCAAAGTGGTAATTCCAGAACAAATGAAATGAGACTCAGGCCATTAGTCTTTATGACTGTGAAGTGCAAGGTCTTTGAAGAAGAACGTTTTTGAATACTGCCCTCAGCTCACTAGTAAATGATTTCACCACTCGCAAAGTGAAGGCAGGCCAGCCTAATAATTTCACCGAGTCATATCCGACATTTCGCCGTGACAAGACATAAAATTCTTAGATAACGTCAACCAATCGTGTTAATAATAGGGTCGATGTAGCTTAGTGCATCATTAATCATACATTGCTCACATGAAACCAAGTTTGTAGCTTATGATTTCATGAGAAAAAGAAGTAAAGGCTCTCCAAACTGTATTATAATGGGCTACTCTTGGTTTACTTTCTCCGAAAAAAAGATCATCCAAAACTCTTTCGCTGGGAAGGTTGCAGTGGTAATCTGGTGCGAGTCGTGGCATTGTCATGGCAACTGCTGACGAGGCCTTTGGCTAAACGCGGTACTCCTGACACTGTTGAGAGGACTACAGTGGAATATGCATATGCCGATAAGTCCTATGGGAATCATGAGAACAAGGTTGCTATTTATCAATACGCGGATGTGATAAAATGCCGAAATTTCATACAGCTTTGAAGTGGCTACGCTGTCGTTGACTGGTCTGGCTCAAATGTACTTGTAGATCAGTTTGCCGGTATTTGTGAACGCAAATATGGATTAGGATATTTGAATGTTTTTTAAGATACATTGGCATGTTGACGAAATTGTGTCTGTATTTCGATGAAGGGTGATAAGCAGGCACATCAAAGCATTTTATCCTCGGAGTCAAAGCTCTTTCCAACTCATCACTGCGAAGCCAAATCTGGTTTCCTTTTCCTCCTTTTGTCCACATAGTATGATCGTATGTGCGATCAGCAAACAATATAGCAACTCGGCGTGTGAGGATGTAGCCGACATTAGCAGCGCTATTGAGAGAATAAATTGACCTTGGTAAGCAAAATATCTTTAACTCAGTAGACATTGTAAACAATATATGCCGGAAGGGTCCGCTAATCACAGGACACTCATCCTTTGGTTGAGCTGCGGGACAGCAGAACCAAATTTTGAACGGCCTGTCAGAAAATGCTTTCTTCGGTTGCGATCTATATCCAGTCATGGTCGATTATAATGATATAAGCATCAAAAAAAAAAAAAGACATGGAATGTCATGCACCAAAATACATTGATCTTATCATAGCGCACCGGATGACATACTGTATATACTTTCGGAATTCCGAGAAAGTATCAGGTAGCTAACGCCAGTGGATGTTTTGGCCATCTTCACTCTCAAAAATGGTATGTCATTACTGATGAGAGTCTGAAACAGCAAGAATGTTAAAAGTCGGCTTTATAAGGTCTTGCAAAGTGTAACATGGATAATGTACAATAAGCCTCACCCATTTGCACACAGAAGTGCGATACCAGAAAGTCAAGTGTACAATTCTGGCTTCTAGGTCACTTGCACTACTGGTCAGCCTGCAATAAAGCGCGCGTCGCTGTCATCACATTGAGTCTTCGGCAATATCATTGGTCATGCCATCGCTTACATAAATCCGAGTCCATAACTATATAATGCTTTATGCATCCAGAATATAAAAAAAAGCGTGCTACAAATTTAAATATGGTGTTCAATTCTTCGTTCATGAATTTTTTTCGTAAAAAGAAAACATCCAAGTACCCTATCGCTGGAAAGGTTGCGGTGATAACTGGTGCGAGTCGTGGCATTGGCAAGGCAGTTGCTGAGGCTTTGGCTGAACGGGGTGCCAAAGTGGTGATAGGCGATGTTCTTGATACTGTTGGTCAAACGACGACGGAGAACATCAATAAGCGCTATGGAAGCCATAAGCACAAGGTTGCCGTTTACCAGCATACGGATGTGTCCAAATATCGGGATTTAATACAACTATTTGCAGTGGCTGAAAAGGAGTTTGGTTCTGTTGATGTGAGCTGAAGTCATTATCACAATTGTGCGATTTACTCAACGATTTATGATTAGATTGCTATACTAAATGCCGGCACCACCAAGAACATGAATGCATTATTCACACCGTTGGATGGTATAAAAAAAAAGTGTGAAAAATCGATTTTGTAATACACACTTATATTATTGTTTGACTCGCCAGATGAACTCGAAATGGCCATCTACGAAGTAGATGTAGGCGGAGTCGTCAAAGGTATATTAAACACAAAAAGCTACGTATGCATAGAAGGCTTAATCACAAGGTGCAAAGGGAATAAGGTTGCCATGTTGCATATGGCCGAACACGGTGGTGTGATTGTAAACACAGCGTCTATGGCTGGATTGATGCCGGATATGTACGCTTTTCATATAGAACAATTGAAGAATATGATATCGGCTGACGTATCCATAGATACTTGAATGCATACGCTGCATGTAAACATGCTGTTGTCGGTTGGACTCGCTCTCTTGCGTTTGTAAATAAATTTGCCGGTATTCGTGTGAACGCAGGTGGGTTGTCGCTTTTGTTCCAATACATGAGCAGTGACTAACGAAGTCTACAATAACTGTTACTCTAGTGTGTCCTGGGTTTGTCGGTAAGAGGGATCTATCTTTTGATACTGTAAGCAAGTGGTTAACTCTTATAGATACTGACATGCTTAATGTTCCACGCGAGGGCCCAAATCGGGAGCCCTACGCTGACGTCGCCGAGGTAGCACCAAAAACCCCAATGCCTGTAGTCGTTGAAGCATTTCTGAGATGCATTACGGACCCATCATTAGCAGGTCAGAAGTACAACGTAGAGAATCACATACGGAAAACTCAAGGTTTACCATAATAGGTGATCTTTTGCTTGCTCTGCCGGATGGCGTCAAGAAACAACCACCTTATCGTCCACCCGGTAGGTCTTTTAAAACTGTGCATCATAGGCTTCGAGCGTTCCTCGATTAACAGAAAGGAGATGTATGAGCTGACCATCGCATGTGTTGCTTCGTAGAATCCTTGACAAATAAACAAATGGAAGAACGCAGGGTGAAATATGAGCGCGAGTTAAAGGCCAAAGACAAAGCCGAGCTTGCAGAGGCAGTAAAAAGATTCAAAGCGACCGGTCGATAGCGTACTTTTATTTTTCTTCCCGAAGTGAAAATGAAACCAAGCCATTTCTCAGTTATTGTATCGATTAAAGTAATTTTGATCAGCCTCGGTATAATATTGCGTCCATGCGACAAAACCCCTTTACTGCCCTGCGATTGTAAAACGGCTTTAAATCTTAATACATTCTTTATGGATCAATCGCTTTTGAGCTCCTTTTGAGAAGATGTTGCATGTTGACAAAACTGTTTACTGTAACGCGAGAAATCTGGGATCTACAAAGCATGTGTTCCAAAGCAGATGATAAAGCATGCAGGATTAAAAAGGGTTTCCTCCTCATAATCGTAGCTTCCTTCGAATATATCGCTACGCTATCAAACGCTATCATAGCTTTTTCGTAGGCGTGACGCGATCATAAAAAGTGTCGCAGGCGGTGCGCCAGATGCTAAAATATATGGCAGAATATTTTCTCTGAATGCAACTGTATCGAATGATACGTGATGGCAGTAACACGGAAGTCTAACAACATGACACGAGCTGTGTATGCATGAGATCACATATGCCCTATCAATTGCACGCGGGTTCATGTTATATTATGCACATCCTGGAGTGCAATTTTAGGTAGCAAATACTCGGTAAATTAGTAGCTACTTTACCTTTCAAAAGCTGTGATTCATTACTTACGAGAGTATTTGCGATCATGCTGTGATAATGACAAACACGGCTCATAGAACATTGGGATTCATAAATGCAATTGATAACTGATCTTGAGCCCCATTCATCTATGCACGATGTATGATATTGCAGTTAGCTGCAGGATTCTGAGCTTTCCAAGTGCAATGCCAATTAGTCTGCAAGGGAAGCAAATATTTTCACCATATTGAGTCTTCATCAGTATCATTGATCACCCATTGCTTGCATGAAAATTTGAGTTCATGGCTATATAATGCTCTATGGAACTCGAAAAAAATCAGCTGTCCCAATTCAAATATGATGTCGTATTCCTTTTTAGCAAAATTTCTTCGTAAAAAAGAATCATCTAAACTCTCTATCGCTGGGAAGGTTGCGGTGATAACTGGTGCGAGTCGTGGCATTGGCAAGGCAGTTGCTGAGGCTTTGGCTGAACGGGGTGCCAAAGTAGTGATAGGCGATGTTATCGATACAATTGGTGAAACGACGACGGAAACCATCAACACGCGCTACGGAAACCATGGGAACAAGATTGCTATTTATCAACATGCAGATGTGACAAAGTACCGAGATTTGATACAGCTATTTGAAGTGGCCGAAAATGAGTTTGGCTCTGTCGATGTAAGCTATATAACCGGCTGTTTCGAATGTGCAACTTACTTATATTCATCATAAGATTGCTATTATGAATGCTGGAACTAACCAGAACTACGATACATTGTTTGCACCATTAGATGGTAATAAAAAAAAAAAGAAGATCAAAACTCGAGTTTGTTAATACTGTATGTACATATTGATGATACTTATTCGACTGGTCAGATAAACTCGAGATGGCTATCTACGAAGTGAATGTAGGCGGAGTCATCAAAGGTAAGTTAGTCACAATAGCCACATTCGTGTGCGAGGCGTAATCAAAGGCTTGAAGGTAATAAGGTTGCTCTATTGCATATGGCCAAATATGGAGGCGGTGTGATTGTAAACACGGCGTCAGTGGCTGGATTGGCGCCGACAATGTAAGCTATTAAGTAACTAACGATATTCAACGAAGACAATATCGGCTTACAGATCCATAGATATTTGAATGCCTATGCTGCAAGCAAACACGCTGTCGTTGGTTGGACTCGCTCTCTTGAATATGTAAATAAAATTTCCAATATTCGCGTAAATGCCGGTAGGTTGTCCACGTCCTTTTGAATACTTGAACATAGAATGCTAAGCGATTATCTAATAACTACTACTATACTGTAGTGTGCCCTTCATTTGTCGGTAGGTTGACTCCATTCCATTCGTTGGTGTTTAAGCAATTGTCACTAATCGTTTTAGACACTGACATGTTTCGTAATGTTCAACGCGAGGGTCCCAATAGGGAGCCCTTTATTGAAGTTCTTGATGCAGGAATAAAGACAAAAATGTCCGTGGTCGTTGAAGCGTTTTTGAGGTGCATTACGGATCCATCATTGGCAGGTCGGTAACATGACGTAGGCTATCATATATTGGTAGACTCATTGTTTGAACTTAACAGGCGATCTTTTGCTTGCCCTGCCGGATGGAATCAAGAAAGAGCCACATTATCATGCACCCGGTGAGTTGCTTTGTATATTCAACGGGCTAGTTTTAAATTGCTATCCGTTTATTCAAACAGAAACATAAAATTAATCTTACTGCACTACACTGTTTTGTAGAATCCGTTATGAATAAGCAAATGATTGAACGCATGGTGAAATATGAGCATGAGATAATTGACAAATACAAAAGCAGACTTGCAGAAGCCATGGAAAGGTTCAAAACGACTGGTCGATAAATTATCGATGCCATCCTTGGACAAAGTCTTGGTGTAATGAGAAGACTTCTATGTATATTCTTGAATAAATGAAACCCACATAGGCAGGGCTCACATGCTACAGTGAAAGGTTTAGTGTGTGTCCTACCAAACTTACGGCCTCGGATCTCATCAGTAGTTTATCTCAGCACCCTGTATCTTTAGCTTTACGCAATTCCTGGTATGCATAATATTCTGCTAAAAAGCAATCCATAAACAAGCACTTATCTATGGTTCCGACAATTCAATGACGGTTGATAGGTGCATTAGGATTTATGGTATGATACTAATAGAGCACAAACAAGGATCTCGTGGTGAGGTGCACATACCATTGACTCACAAAACTTGGTGCATAGGACCGGTTCATATCTCATTGCAGGTAAGTATAAATGTTATTACAAAAAGAAACGTATATAATGCCATGATGCACTAGCTCGACGGCTCCCGCATTGCCAACAAAAAAGTCACTGATGTACGATGAGATGCGGTCATGCCATGTGCGCTATAAAAGGCAACTGAAAACCGCCTTACGGTATGTGGCGAAATGCGGAGGCCAAGTTGTCATCATCAATGCTCTTGATGACTCAATTTTTCTGACCCCAGAACAGTTCCATTTTGGTCTGGATAGAGTCAAATTCCCCTACCCCAACAGAGGATGACCCATCTCTGAACAAATATAAACTGCCAGCTCACTTGCGACGGAGGTCTTTTACAGCATAAAAACCAGGTCTCACGCAGACAATTTTTATTTACTAGTCTTACTTGATATATCCTAGTTCGCTTAAGCTTATATTCCAAAAACACCCGGGCAGGTTTAAAGCGTCGGCTGAGTTATACGACAACGAAAGTGTTACGGAGAAAATTAAGCTTGTTGCGCCGTTTACGAGGACTCGCGTAAGTTGAGAAGCAGTGGATGTAGCCTAGTAATATGTCTCCTTAGGGCTAGGTATCTGCATTTTGTATGATTATCCATGCGATATTGAATAGGCCAGATTTTTTTACGTCTTTGAAACCATCACTCAGCGCAGATATAGTGAGGTCTTAGCCTGGTGTCTTCGGCATTATTCATGTGACAGCTCGAACCGGAAAAGATGCAATTTTAGACAGGTTAAGTAGTTTATATCCGTTGGCATTTACTAAAAGGGACAGTTTTTATCCAATCGCAAAGAAGTATGCTGCAGCTATTTATTTGCCGTGCGACGGGCCATGTAAAGAGGTCTCTGTTTTTAGTGTCAAGGTTGCACAGAAACCAGGCACCTCTATGGTTTCTCCAAACAGTCCGCATATGCTTCAGAAGCTATTCTTTATAAAGTAAGCATTACATCATTAGACCAATAAACAAAGCGTAACGTATGAGCTCCATAACATGTGTGTTGTCCAGATTTTGGGGCTGCTGGTGAAATAGGCGATTTAATAAGGACAGGATTTTTTCTTTTGATCTGCGAGTAAAAATGATGGAGGATCGGAAGATATCGTCATTCGGAGGGTTATGGAACTTTGCTACGCGCTTTTCCATTCCGAAACCCTGCGATCGGGCCCTCGCACAGACTTTCCCGCTACCAAGCAAGTACGTGAATGGAGCACAACTGTAGCTATGGGAACTAAAAGTGAATTTGGAGACTTAGGGGCCCGATATTGTTCAGGAACGAGGACAGTACTTATTTTATTTCTTTTTATTACACGGTTATATTTGACAATGTCGGAAGAGAGGACATTATGCGTCCCGTCTCTGAGTGAGGTCTTTGATATGTTGGCTCAATTGGAACTGCTGAAGGATTTCGGTATCGATGTATCGAGCTCCTTTCACTGTTTTGATGCACTGCACAAAATAGGAGGATAAGATATTTAGTGATCATCAATAGCAAGCATGTACTCATTACATAAGCTTATTTACCTTGTCAGCGCCGCACCAGCAAGTAAAAGGTTGCGCTATTGAAAATGGTCATTAGATGCCACGCAAAGATATTTCTGACATAAAGTGCCAAAAGGAACTCACCCATATCCCATTCAGTGGAGGGATAGAAAAAGGTCATCTCATCGCCGGCTTTTAGTTCTTTGAGAGCGATGATCGCTCTGCGCTCAGCGCTCACGTCCACATCGACGGATGGATCGCACGAGTGATTCATGTACAGCAAATCGCTGTTCAGTTCAATGTGATCATTCTCTGAAATCTGCACTGAAGAGTAACGCTTCGGCCCAGGTGTCAGACCTGTGAGATTAACAATCACTGCACCCTTTTCAAACGGTCGCTCGGTGACAAGTTTGCTGGAAAACGCCTCTGGTGGACCTTGTCGAACAATCTTGAACAAGCCTGGGTGGCTCTGCTTAGGTTCCTTTTGTTGCTGTTGTTGTTGAAGATTTTGGTGCACTTCTGTAGATACCGCCATGATTTTGTTTTATTCGTTGCAAGAGATGATTAATAGAAAAAACCGAAGGAACTACCCACTTAAATAGCTCAAAGACAGGCTTAGACGACTGACTTTATTTTTTTTACAGTGTGGCTTTTTCCTGTATTTTTTCCAATTCCAATTGAAGACGCTGTTGGGACGGTCAATGAAGGTTACATCTTGTTTGAAATGACCTGCCAATAGCATGAGGTACATGCATTCAATCTTGTGTTACGCTGCACTGCCTTTTTTTTTTGTAAGGGACCAGCGGTCCGAATTTTACTTGGGCGATCGCTCTACCTGGGATTTTTTTCCAGCTGCACCAGTGCTTCTATCAAGCAATGCCGCAGCCAATCAGATTGACATTGCATTTCCAGAAATGGAAATTTTTATTTTGGAAACCATGTCGCGTTGTGTCACCATGAATTTGGTTGAATCGTGCAAGCTGCCGAGCGTAATGTTTCTTGGCAATTATAAAAAACCAACCAAGACTGCTATAACAGGCCACTACATTAGCTTTTTTAAAACCCACTCTCGATGAAATGGATAGTACTGGCATATGAAAGGACACTACATAGTGATGGACCATACACCCATTCATACGCATGAAATAAAACAAACGAAAGTAACTGAGTATCGAGGATACAGAATGCGGGCATTTCTAGTTGCTCTCCTGAGCTTAATCCAATGAACAATTCTGCGCAATGATAAAAGAGTAAGGTTAAGCGCCATAAACTGATGCAAGTAGGCGCCCTATCAAAAAGAATCACGGAAGCTTGCCAAAGTGTCGAGAAAGTTGTTACTTCAAAGGTTTTGTTTCCCATTCTTAAGAGTGTTAGGATAAATGTCGAGACGAAGAGCTCATTTAATGGCCATAAACGACTTTATAGAATCAGGTAAGCAACAGTATCATTTGACACCTTTTTTTATTTTTATTTCGTTGCTGATGGAAGTGGATGTCAGGCAAAAGAAACGCTTCTTCTTTTCTTTTATTGACTTATGTCACGTATACAGTAAAATCAAATGGTTAACGAGAATGAGATAATTAGAGAAATCGTCGCCGAGCGGTGCATGCGATGTTTTGGTTGGTGCTTTCGATAATCGTACGAAGGAGGTGCCCTTGATAGTCTTGAACGATTGGTGCCAGTAGAAGTTCCTTCTTCGCCACACAGTTCCGTCTGCTGCTTGATCGGAGGACCGATGATTTGCAAATCTTCGCAAAATCGAAGCAAGGCCTTGAGGGTATCTGCGGATCGCCAGATGGGGTATTTGGGGTACAAGAATGCCATGATTTTTTCTCACCAACATCGGATCCTGTTTGCGAACGTGCTTTACAATCAAGTAGCTTGGATCAAGCTCTTCGATTTACAAAAAAAAAAAGGAATGTTAGGAAGACATCATTTTTTATTACTCTTACCATGGCTTTGTCGTGTTGCAACGCGGTAGCACAGAAGAAACATCCGAATCCATAAAGGTCTCCTCCACCATGAGCTGATGCTCACAGTTACCTCTGAGTGCTACCGCTTCCCCCAACCCAATGGTCACCTTGTAGTCCTGTTGCCACCAAACCTGACGGCTGGGATGTTCACCGCAGGCAGTCCTAACAGGGCTACTGGTTGGGATGTTTTACAGTGGCTAAAAAAGCGTGAACAAAGAAATACGAATTCACAAGACTTCCGACCAATAAAATCAAAGAACTTCAATTGTATGGCTGTTGTCCCTATTTCTCCATCCCTTTGTTCTTGGTCTCTTCTTTATCAGATGCGAGAAACATAATTTGTCATCCCTCGTCATCACTTCCCGCGAGTAAATTTTTCCCGTTCCTTTTTTAATTACGTTCAACCATTACGAAGGAAGATCGCAAAGAACTCTGCCAATAGTCGAAGCAAGAAGGAAGACCGTTTTTGAATATCACAGGTGGCGTTCATACAAGCATAGTATGCGAATTCCTTCGACGTTCTCTGGAAATCCTTTCGGGATTGGTGCTGATGTAGCGATGCCGAGGCTACCTTGCGTTATGGAGAGCGAGTATTATCCAAAACGGCTCTGCTGGTCCAGGATAAGCCGACAGGTACGAAGACTTGGTTTTAGATGTATCTCGTTAGCGGCTGTCTGACGACATTATTCAATTAGATAATCTTGATGATGTGCGCTCGTAAAAAATGGGCGCGCGTAGCCATGTCGGTCCCGCCACAGGATTTTACAATATTTCAATAGCAATTTGAAAAGTGGAGTATAAGCAGCATATTTGCCAACATACCGTTGACCGATTGGACCAAGGTGACCACGGTCTGTGAGCGAGTTTTGTTGACACAGTGCCCAGGCATTCAATGTTCGAAAGCACAAAATCTGGTGCAGAAAACTCTAGCCTCGATCTCACCAAACGTGTTTTCAAACTTACTGTGAACGCGTCAAAGTATATTTTAGCAAAGTCAAATTGCTGTTCGATGATGATTTTGCCAATCTCACGACTCAAGCTGAGCTACAACGCAAGAAAGTTCGAGCCGCGCTTGGCGAGCCATCCTTATTTGGTGCCGACCGATGTAAGCAGATGCAGAAGCTTTACAAGGACAGGTGCAAGATGAAGACTTTGTTTTCCCTTGCATATATAAAAAACGCCTGGGATCATGTTGTGAAGCTATGTGAACATGGCAAGACGCAAGGCGCAATGTCATATTTGGCCAAAGCGATCGATGAGCGTGATGATAATACTACCATCACTGAGGGTCTTGGGTCATTTATCAATTGCTCACTTCTCTGCGTCGTCATCCATTGCACCTCGACCCGTTGAATCCGACAGGTCCTACTGAATATGAAGTTTCCTACAAACTGTAGCTTCCGCTCACGATTTGTCTCGTCGATGGTGGTCCATATATTTCGACTCGCGTCTCTGAAACGACCAAAGAGTACTCGTCCTGCGGAAAAAGACAATGCCCACCCAATCACACCCCACTACTCATGGCACCTGTCAAAGGCGTGCAGTTAGGTTCAAGGTCGACATCCGATTCGTGTATCATTGCCGTCATTCATCAAAAATGACTGGTCTTGGAGCAGCAGAGGCATCCGAGAACAACGACGATGACAAGGTGACAAAGAACAATGCCAGGCTTCTTCGCGAAGGGAAAGACATTGTGGATCGTCTCCTGTTGACTCTGGTGGAGCCATCAGCACCAGACAAGATGAAGGACACGATCATCCAATCAGCATGCACGAAATATGACCTGTTGACTAATGTATCGTCGTGGCTGAAGCGGACAACGTGTGAAATGGTAATCAGCTTAGCAGCTTGCCAAGTACAATCATTCTTCTACGAAAATCAATGGAGGTGTATTTGAAGAAGACCTAGAGGAACTCTACCACTCTTTGATCATGGAATAGGCCGAGTATGATACGAAGAGTGGCTACAGACTATTTACTCCGTTTACAAGATCCAACTATGGGAACATTACCTCAAATCTCAAGAGCAAAATCACTAATTACCGCATCCGACAATGATCAACTATTACGCACGAACGGACGTATCTGGCGCATTGCACCCAAGCTGAGATGAGCGTCCTGCTGTTCATGGTCATGGACACCTCGGTATCCAGTCAACATGGAGTAGATTATACAGTATCTTGGCCGTTCAGCTCTCCACCCTTTTACGCGTCTCCCATTACCCTTTCTTGGACCATAAACCGATTATGCACGTATAAATATCCCCTCAATAAAAGAAAATTTTTTTACTTTACTTTAGTCTTCTTGCTTTCCACTCTGGTGATCTTGCCGCTATATCAGATCCAAGTGAAGTACGAACACCTCAATACAACGTAATAGCGAAAAGATCATCCACCGAAAAAGCTTGATTCTGATTGGCCCAAAAATATCGGCTGGGAGTAAAAAGTTGCAGACTGCGAGATTCGAACTCGCGCCACTTTCGTGAATACGACCTGAACGTATCGCCTTAGACCACTCGGCCAAATCTGCTCAATTTTTTTCTGGAGATTGAAAATAATATAGTGAATAAAATATAATGACGTCATCATTTAATTTCAACCAATCAAATGGCCCAATGAATTCCATAGCCAATCATTTTAGAGCTGAAGAAGGGAGGTTCAACTTGCTGCCTTCGCCCTTGATTGAGTTTTTAACGTAAGTGCAGCAGAATTGGTTTAAAAGCGTTCACGTCTTCGTACTCTTTTTTTTTTAACATTTAAATATGTTCCCTTGTAGTTTGAAACGACGTGCGGAATCAGGTCCAGGTAGTGCATTGAAGAAAATTGATAAAATGAAAGTGTTTAATGATATGGGATGTTGAGATTAAATATCAAATGAGAATGTATCTACATTTCTACGGCAAGACGAGCCATATCAAGAGCGCCTTGATAAGATCTGTTGCCACCAATAAAACCAGCGGCATGAACGAAAATGCAGCCATCGACGTTGGCGATCTTGTCCAATTCATTGTCACGGAAACCTCTCCATGGTTCGGGAAGACTCTTTCTGTTTTCAAAACCTTCAGGGCGAGTAGGCACACACTGAATGCGCCAGTTGCCTTCGGGGCCGTTTTCGGGATATAATATATACAAAATTGACTTGTCATCGATCAAACCACGTTCTTTTTCCAACTCCATCAAATGCTCCTTCCAGGGACAAGACTGTTCCAAAGCAATCATACGGCCCGAATGGTGAATTTCAAATCGTCGTTCCAAGGCATCCACGACCAACTTGCGTGCAGGAAGCCAGGCATTGGCCAAAGACATAATATAATCTTTCAATTCTTCACCGGCCATATCAGAGGCGGCTACGAAACGGGCGTCGATTTCGGGATCAGACAATTTTTCGTTCCATGCAGGATTCTTTTTGGCCACACGGGAAGGTAAGCTTGTAGGGCTTTCTTTGAAAAGGGGTGTGAGGTTGCTGGGGTAAGCGCTGATACCGTTATCGTTGGCGTCCAAAGATTCGACAAAATCGTTGTAGGTCTTTTCAAACACGGTTTGAATCTGAGCATCGTCTTCCGAGCTGCCCAAGATGGTGGCAATCAACTCACGACCGAAATGCCTAAACGAACAGAAAAAAAAAACCCAGCCATAAGCCAAACGTTTCCTCAAGGTGAGAGAAAAATGAGAACAAACCAACACTTACTTGTACACAAGACCAGCACTACTCAACTTGGTCTTATGGTCTGCGTCAAAAGTTTCGAGGAAACCTCGCTAACAAAACGAACATCAGATCAGAAAAAGATCTAGGCCACCAAAAACAAACGGAAAAAAGGATGCGCTTGACCGCGTTCATCAAAATGCGCATCTTACCTGGTGATGGTCATATTTGTTCTGCTCGGGATCATAGACACCGCCGACATCGACGACAACATCGCATTCGGCAAGTTTGGCGGGGTCACGGCTACGGACAAGGCTGGCATCCTTGAATTGAGGGATCTGCTTAAGCATCCATACAGCTAAAGCTTCATCGCAGTGGAAGTGACCGCTGTGAGTACCAATGATCTGGAAATAGAGATTAACAAAAACTGTTTTGTGAAATGGTGACCCGCATTGAATGTGTACCTTGGGCATAGTTCGGTAATGTAAGAAGAGACGAGAGAGCATAATAAATTTTTTTGAGCGGCGGCTTTCTATTCCTGCCCGCAAGCCACTTTTTCCCGCTGCAAAAATCAGTCAAGCTTGATCTTTCCTTATTCTTTTATTTTATTTTTATTTTCTTGCAAGAAACACTTGAAGTTTTTAGACTTTATTTATTGAAGAATTTCGGTTTAATACAAGAGGAAATTGACGGAAAAGACAAGTGTAACACTTTTTGTACGGATAACACCACAATATTAGAGGACACAGACGCTCCAGGCAACCTTATGGTTGATAACCACAGTAACAGGCGTTGTCATAGCACACACTTAGGAGGATCTTTTGCACACCGGATCTATCGCAGCGTTGTGAACAGTCGGCATTTTCGGGACTACATGTAAAATCGCATCCACGTTTAGCAAGTCGTAACGGGCCTGTTTCTTTGGAAGCTGCGACGAGGGAAATCAATAAAATCACTGCTACAAAAGCAAACCAACGGTCGGCGAAACGCATATTCGATAAATGTTAAAGGAAGAAGCAGTGAAGTCTTAAATGAATTCCGGGGTCGTTTATATACGTTGGCGGATTATGATGAAAGTCTAGATTATAGTCAACAGGGGGGAAAAGGAAAACCAGGAGAAAACGTTAGGAGCGTTCCTCCAAACCTGTGTCGAAGTGAAGACAACTGTACGGGTCAAAATAGAAGCAGGAGCACGTGTAAAGGAGAGACAGGTGGCATTCGTCGCCTGGAAAGAACTAAACCATAAGTTTAAAGGTTGTATTATAAGTGGAATATTTATTTGATGAGAATAATCTATTGAGTATAGTCGGAAGAATGAGTATGAGGGATTCTTAGATAAAAAGACATGTGTGCATTAAATAGAAGGATGTGATAAAACAAAAAATGACCAGGAAGAAAAATAAATAAACAAATAAAAACAGAATAAGAAAACGAAGCCAAACTAGGTGAAGAAAAAAAAGAAGAAAGCATACAAGGAGGAAATATCAGGATCAAGAAACGAGGGAGTGGGGTCGCATAAATAGATCTACGGATCGATTAGCTAGGATCAGTTCATTCATTATCATCGTTCGCTGTATCTGGGTGGTGGACCCTGCTCCGGCTGAAGCGAAGCACATTGGTTCTCCTTTTCTTCCTTTTTTTTCGCCAAAGAACGTTTAATTTGACAAGGACATTGGTCGCACGTCCCCCATCCCTTCTGCAGAGTAATCGGTTGTCTTTGTTCCCAGAAACTCATCGGTTCACGTGTATGCTCACTGGGACTGTAGCTCGGTGGTGGTGGTAAAATCGTCTGCCGTTCGTCATCTGGACTCACAAGTCGACAGTCCAACATGCGCATTGGAGAGTCCAATGATATTTCAAACGTCTCGTTCCCGTGCCTGACAACCGCAGCTAGCTTGAGCCAATGATGGATTTTCACCGCACCGTCGTGCTCAATGCTTGGATACAGCATATGATCACATGCAGGAATCGGCAAGACAAAACGACCTGAAAAGTATTCACCTACTTCGATATCTTGTCCAATGTTCTTTAGGTTCAATAGCTGTCCTTGTGTATGTTGAGGGTTGACTTCTGCTTGCTCGGGTGCGTCCTTTTCGTCTGGATCGATTGTTCGCCATCGTGCTTGCTCGGGCCATTTGGTGGAAGTCTTGGTGCGATAAGGACCAGAAGTTTCATTCGCAAATCGACGGTGTAGATACGGTCGGATGTCAGGACGGTGTGAGGGTGATGGTGTGCCTGACTTGGATTCATCATCGGCATAACCGTAAGCCCATTTGAGTACCACTTTGGACGCTTCATTGTTGTATCGGGTTTCCGCCTTTCCAGGCACCATATGATTTTCGGGAATTCGTATGGTATATTCGCACATTTGGGTAATCACCAAAACAACGGACTGCAGTTTCATCTTTTGAAGTGTAGGCTCGAGCATGACTCTGACCCCCACACTGGTACCCAAAGCAATAGCTGTACGATCGACACTGAGCTGATAACGTATACCGCGGTCCTTTTTGGGATTTAATTCAACGTTGAGGTTTTCGGCTGTTCTACCGGCCATTGAGAACGCCAGCAAGTCATGCTGTTCGTCAAGCGATAATCGGTAAGACGTTCGATTCTGTCGTGCCCATGGATCTGAAACAATCATATCGCTGGATGGATGTTCAGGATGCTCCGACTCCAAGGGTACCGTTGGATTGGTAGTGATGGACTGGTGCAACGTCGTCGTCGTTGGTGGAGGTGCCAAACGAGGCGCAAGGCTGCATACCGATTCGATGGCTCGAAGTAGTCGTATTCCAGCTGTTGCAGTGAGTTTCTTTTTGCTCATGGTGTGTCGTGCTTTATCGAGCCAGTGACCATCGGCATGAACTGATCGTCGTAAGGACGCTGTGAGTCGGTAAAAGATGGATAGACGGTTGGCGATGTGAACGGTGGTAGGAAGAGAGGAAGGAATAGGAAATTCGAATGGGAATCGATGGACCCCCGCTGGTATATATCCTTGATTATTGGGCGGTAGCAGTGACAGTTCGATCGTTTGCAATTTCGTTTCAAGCGGACCACCTAATGGTCGATTGACCATGATAGCTAAAGAAGATGGATTATAAGTATTCTGTGTTGATATCGATAAAAGCAGTTCACATACCCGGCCAAGGAATAAATCGCTGTATGCCTTCAAATAAAAGTTCGATGGGACCTTGGATGTGGGTATCTTTAGGAAAGCTGACAATGACTTCCCCGCGGACCATGACAGATTCCAAGCTGTCTTCCAAATACAGGACTTGCTCATCCAAGATTAATTGCAGAGGGCATTTCTTATGTAGCAATAGATTCGCCATATTGTTCATCTTCTTTTCTTTTTTCCTTTTTCAATTCTGTTTGTATTTTTTTTTCTTGGGCACTGTAGGCTGTTCTCAGACAAGTGAGAATAAGATGTGGACTTTTGCATGGAAAATAAAGTAGCCGGTATATTTATACAAGAAAGGGCGATTTTGCCGCTGAATAAGCAGATCGAGATTGGATATTGTTTGCTGCGGTTGGAACTGTAAACTGCGTTTCTGTGTTACAGATGTATCAAAATTTTAAAGAGATAGGACTTGCAATATTGTAGCCATGACAACACGGAGTGAGTCATCCTGTCACGCTTACTGCTTAGGGAGGAAATTTTCGGTGGAATGCGCCTCCACAGCCACAGGTCCCGCCAGCGATTTAGCAGGAATTGGGATTCCAGATTGTTCACGAGTTCAAAACACGGGCCGTTCTTTCGGCGATGAATGATTACCTTTTTTTTTTTGTTATTTTAAAATACACAACTCCTATGACAATATATTGTTTCTTTTTCACTGTGATTTTTTTTCTCATATGGTTTCTTCGTTCAAGTATATGACATTTCTGCTATTGGCGATGTGATAGCTCCTCTCTGTAACGCCAAACACACATGGAATATGCTAGATGATATAGAAACTCAGCTGTCATTTCCTCCATAGTCTCGGACATCCGGAATTAAACTGAGAATAAGATCGCCCAATGGAGACCTGTGAGTAACGGTCGATCAATGGGTTCGACGAACTGGTTGCTTAAGATATATCGATACATACATTATTTCCTTGATGTGGTTGTCTCCTATCTTCTGGTTCTGCTGCGTTACCAGTGGTAATGCATTTGTTGATTATAAATTTACCTGGAGGATGATTCAACGCTATTCCGAGGAAGAGAGGAATCTGCAACAACTCGTTCTCGAAAAGGCAATTTTCGTCCAAATAAGTGTATCATCGTGCTTTTTTTTCTTTTTTCGCGGTAAACATTCAATTATTAAAAGCAAACGACCATCTATCTGTGGATTATGTATTTATTGGATGGTAAATTCACGAGCCAAGTTTCATTTCCTTTCTTATCAGTGTAAGCAATCCACAGTGGTCCGAATGAGTGAATTTGACGTCCATCTGATGCACTCTGCACGGTTCTGTGTAACCTGCCCATTGACTCATATTGCTTACAGTACGACGGTTTTCTGCGAAGATAATCTGTTGCAAATATCCGCATTTGTTTTTTATGCCGAACATTGTCATCAAGAACCACAGCAAAAAGCACCAAAAAAACGATCATTTAAAGAGTGTCATGCTAAAACTTTTTTGTTTATGGGTATACAGTGAGCTAATGTGGCAAAATGCGATGAAAAAAAATACAATAAATAGAGGAAAGTGTGAGAGAGAAGAAAAAGAAAAACAAACAACGGGATAAGCAATAGAAGAGAAAAAAGGGCATAGAATAGGTTGATGGAATGGAGATTTCTGGGATAAACAAAATAAAAAATGGGAAGATACCAAGTGCAATGCAGGTCTAAAGTCTAGTGATGACGTTCATCAAAGGACTGTTGTTGAGAGGGTAAGGGTAACGCATAAAAAGGTGGCGCACTGGGCGTATATGCGGGTGGTGGTACATTAGGCAAGTCGGTAAATTGTGGCGAGTGCATGTCGCAGTGAGGACATGGTGAACGTGGCGAAACTCCGGCCGCTGACGAACTTTCCCCACAATTCATTCGAGTCTCTTGCACATCGGTGAATTCTTTGGCTGACGGTGCGGAAGGGGTGACAATCGTATCGTCCGGTACAATGGGCGAATGGATGGAGTGGCTGCCGTAATTCGATACAGCCACTGCGTGCTGGTCGTCAAAAGGTGATATGGTCCCAATCAGCTCAGATGGGGCAGGTGGAGCCGATGGCATGGGTAATGTGGAAAGGTGCGGCATATCAGCTTCGTTGGGACCATAGAACGTATTTGGAACACCTGCATGACCACCGGGGCCGACACGATTACTGGGATAAGTGGTGAGTTCGTAACCGGAAGGACCGTGAGCATTCTCGTTGCCAGAAGGCTCAATGTCGTCTTTTTGGTTTTGCCTTTTAAGCGACCGTTTCCGAATAACAAGAATCAAGGTCACCATGACGGCAACGGCACAGGTGCCGCCAATGGTTGATGCCACGACCAGTAAGGTATGCAGATTATGCTGATCGGTTTCCAGGCGCTGCTGGTCGCGTTCCTGATTGGGATCTGATATAGGACTTTCGGAAGACGGTTCTCGCTGGCGAGCATAAGTGCCGTTATCACCCATGTCGTGGTAGACTTGATCCGGGGAATCGCTCGTGATAATAATAATGGTGGTGACGCTTTCAACGACTGTGGACCCTCCACCATGGTCAGATTCTGTTCTCACAATACTGGTACGCTTTTTGGCTTCAGTTGGGCTGGTGATCTTGGTCTTGTCACCGTCATTATGCTTTTTCTTGTCATCATCTGCATCCTTCGTCTTGTCATCATGACCATCGTCCCGTTTCACCAAAGCGACCAGCGCTGTTGGTTGCGAGTATGTGGTTGTGGAATGAAAGTGGGTCGGTGTCTTGGTTGCAATGGAAGGTAAGGATCCCGCTGCCGATGCAAACGAACTACTTAGAGCCATGTAAAGCAGTATGAATATCCCAGCATAGCAGACAGGATAATGTCTTAATTGCATTCTCGAAATGAGGCAATAAACAAGTAGAAAAATAAAATTCAAAAAAATACAGAAGTATTGTTCGGGGCACTGACAACAATGTCGGTTTCCTGGAAATTGGAGCTACGAGAGCGGGCTTTTTGCTGTGACGTTTTTTTTTCAAAAAGTCGTAACCACGAAATTCTAAACCTTTTTCTTTCAATACGTTCTTCCTTTCCGGCAACAACCGGAGAATAACATCCGAGCAAAGGGGTCCACTTAATCCGCCCAATGTTTTGCGAACAAAAAAGAAACTACATAGTAATAATTACATTGTATTTTGAATGGCAAAGGCCAAAAAAAAACCTGAAACAAATTTTCACGGGAACGATGCATTGCCCAGATAAGGTTAGTTATTTTCTGGGATACATTGGCTATCAAATGGCGAGATTGATCTTGACAGTAACGGAGCAAAGTGAAAAACCTTTGTTATCATTGATCGGAATTCCATGTTCAGGACAAGTTTCAAGGCAATATACAGCACAAACCAACATTTGAAACGTTTTGTGTTGTCAACATGATCCACCTCTGCGCATAAACAAATTTACCGGTGAAAAAGTGGTCTCGTCCATTACCTTGAGATTTGTTTTAAAACCTGCGCTTTATCGAATCTACCACTTACGACGTGGAGGTGCTGGTAGTTTAGATTCTTCATAAGAGGCACGTATTCAATCTTCTGTAGATCAGAAGATATTGCAATCAACTACCACTTGTTGTCGAAAAATCACATCAGGGAAAATATGTATGCAGACATTGTTCGAAATTCTTGATCTCCGACGGAAGGCTTTTTCCACGAATTCTACAATTGAAAAAAAAAGTTGGATAAAAGGAATCCCCTCCCCGTGCGCAAAAAAGTGCTGATACTGCCGCGCATCTTAACTCATATTTTGCCTTTCTTTACGTAATTGACGTTGACCCTCATTAAGAGGTACATTTCTAAATGAAACGTATTACCAGCTATCCAATTTCTGTTCCCACACAGCTGGGACGAGTTGGACTTGCAACCTAGCAAGGCAATAGAAATTTATGCTTCAGAAAAGCAATTTCCACAGCAACAATTTTAACTAGGCAGGCAATACCTCCCATCTGCAGTCATTAATGCGAAGAAAAAAAAAGATATCTACACTAGAATAGCAACAAAATCTCGTTATAATGAATTGCTTTTTTTATTTTGTTTTATTCTTAACTGTTGCGTGCCAACACCCCCCATCACCATGTACAACAGCCATCGTCGCGCCCAGACCCCAGTGAATTTAAGTCAAGTATCAGAAACAAGTTTTCACTTCACAATTGATCAGGCAATGTAGATAAGGAAAAGTTTTGTAAATTCATCATTTTGACTTTTGGCAGGAGGAAAAAGCCATTCACTGTAGTATTGTTCGCCGAATCCCACTCCGAAGAAAAAAAAAATTCGAACAAACCTGGCTAATTTGGAAAAAGCCACCTACTCCACGTTAGTCAACTCAAAGGAAAACAGTCGGGTCGAAAACAAAAGACGGATCATTCGAATGCGCAACATGCGTTCATCCACAGAGATTGTGATTTGTGAGCAACAAAAAATTTGCTCAGCGGGTTCGTTCTCATCTCACCCATGCTGAAGCAATTTGTTTTTTTATTAAAAAACAACGCTTATTCCTCATCCTCGGCTTCCTCATCGTTGGCGATGTTGAAGTAACGGAGCTCGAAGGTCTGCTTGTCGGTAGCAATGACGCGGAGCCAGTCACGGATCTGGTTCTTCTTCAAGAACTTCTTGGTGAGGTACTTCAAGTAGCGCTTGGAGAAAGCAATGTTGGCAACCACGGTGATCTTGTTGTCAGCACCACGGGTGATGGTAACAGCCTCGCCCAAGTTGTTGGTGCGACCTTCAACCTTGATACGGTCATGAAGGTACTTCTCCTGTAAAAGTAAAAAAGAAGCGAACGACGATGAGTGAACCATTCTTTTAACAGCGTGAAGCAGAAATAGATAGGATGAAGTAGTGATAACTTACGAAGGCAGCAGCATCGAAGATCTTGTCGTTAGCGGGACCGGAGCAGTCGATAACGAACTTGGACTTCTTGGCAGCAGTGGGAGTAGCCTTGACGGGAGCCATTGGAATTAAGTGATCGAAAAGAGAGGAGGAAACAACCTGGTCTGCCACCCCGTTGCTGATAAAAATGAATCAAAAATTTTTTTTCGGTGGCTTTGAGTGACGTGGCGTAGCTACGCGGACTTTAAATTTGTAAATTTTTTCTTCTTCTTTGCAAGTCCCCTCCAAGTGTGTGGCTGGATCCAAAGGTTTTGCTTCCCCTTGCAACGGAATTCAAAGACAGAAAATTGAGTAGCCATTGCACCAATCGCCGGTTTGTGGCAGACAGCACTCCATAAATGTAATGAATAAGATCGCGTATTGTGTACAAAATGGTGGAACAATATTGCATTCTTGTCATACACTATATGATTAGCAATGGCTTTTTTGTCCGTTCATTATCCATTCACCAGAGACATAAGTGAATCCAAAAAAATAAAGCCCATCTTATGAGTTGCAAAATTTTATACTGCAAACTTAAAAAGACATATTCGCTGATAAACTCACTTGATAAGAACGTGACTATTCAGAGTTTATCACATTGGTTGATATCTCTATTTTGCACTCACAAAGGGGAGAGGCAAGAATAAGTGGATGATAGGGCAAAAATGACTCAAACAGGTCGTGGGGGTTCTCAGCCACATATACGGCAAACAGCATGAGGTAAAGGTAAAAATAAAAAAAATTACTCAAGTCCAGGGACTTATTCCAAAATAGACGTCAAAACCGAGAATTGCCACAGTGTCGTCTTTTTTGATGTCAAGAGGTAAGATATAATGGAACACTTGAATGCATAGGGATACCGGGTTCACAAGATAAAACATGTTTTGTTTAGAGAGACAAATAAAGTGAGCGACGGGATATACACACAAATATACAAATAAAAGATGTACGAGTACGAGAAACTTCATGAAGACCTGATATTGACAAGCAGTGATGTAAGAGGCGGTGCTTTCTTTTTTGTGTCATGTGTTTAAAAGTCACTATTATTTAGCCCAAAAAAAATCATAAAAACCGTTCTGTCACCATTTCTTGCACTTCCTTCTGTTCCACATGTTATATAGAATCATCATCTTTGGCATCCTTTTTGCGTTTGTATGGTATCTCCAGCCGATTCCATTTGAGCAGCTGTGTGTGCAGACGCGGGCGATTATGTCCTATACCGCAGCTTGGCATCATGGTCAAGTGCGACCGCCGGCACCCTTCAAAAGATACGGTTACTTTCTGCATATTACCGATTTTCATGTATGTCGATCACTTCTTTCAAGTAATCCCCATCTTTCCATTTTTCGTTGGTCGTCAAAAGCCCCCTTTTTTATCTTTGTTAGTGGACGTCAAAAACACTGAAACTAATATATATGATAAAAAGATGGATGAGGACTATGTTCCTGGAGCAAGTGTCCGTTCGGATTGTCACAGTTTGCCAGCTTTGTACCACCAAATGAAACAGCCGAAAGTGGCGGGATTGCTGGGTGCGCCAGGGGAACGGTGTGACGCTCCTGTCGAACTGATCCAGCAAACGTTGAATTGGATCGGCCGTGAATGGGGTGATAAACTAGATTTCGTGATATGGACAGGTGACAATGCAAGGTTTGCCAATCATATTATGCCTTTCAGTCACAATGCAAGGGGTTTTTTTTTTGATCTTTCCGTCTAATAACCTTATTTCTTTCTTGTCCAATTTTTTTTCATGTACCGATCCTGAATCTTTCTTGTCATGTTTTGTCATCAGACATGATTGGGACAAGAAAAACAGACGAAATCGAAAACAGGTTTATAACCTTAACCAGCGAGCAACCGATATGATGATCGAAGCCTTCTGGCGCCCGTCTCGCCGCATTCCACTCATCCCCTGTATCGGTAACAACGACGTGTATCCTCACAACCGACTGGATGATAACAGGACGGATGCCGACCTTCTCACGTTTTATGAACGCTTATGGCGGCCCTGGATTCCTGTGGACCAACGCCCGGTGTTTCGCCAAGGCGGTTACTTTGCAGTCGATATTGCTCCACGATTGCGAGTCCTATCGTTGAATACAATGTACTTCTTTAGCAGAAACAAGGCCGTCAAAAACTGTGTTTCGGAAGGTGCAGCTCGTGATCATATCCGATGGTTTGAAGACGAGCTGGCAAAAGCACGCCGCGACGGTGTTACAGTTTATGTGATGGGGCATGTCCCTCCTTCACCTCGCGATTACCGCAACACATGCTTGCGCGAGTATCTTCGTATTGCTTCGGCCTATACAGATGTGATTGCCAGCCATTTGTATGGTCATCTCAATATGGATCACTTTCTCTTATACGACGGCCGAGACTATACCACCGACAGCCAAACACCGGAATTCAGTCTATTGGAAGATGATATCGACGACGACAGCCACGGCCACTTTGACGTCAATCGTAATGTTGGAAAATACGTGGACTGGCTTCGTAGCATGTATGAGGCCATTGACGATATTGAGGACATGGCAAATTTGCAATCGGCTCCTCTTGTCGCTATCCAAGTGATACCGTCCATCCTACCCGTCTATTATCCTGGAGTTCGCGTATACCGATACGAAATCAACGATAACCCTTACTCCCAACGGCCAGACCAGAAACCCTACGGCACATTGCTTGGCTACACGCAATACTACGCTAATATCACTGACTGGGAAGAGAAGCATCCGAACGAGCCACTTGAATATCAAATAGAATATGAAACAGGGGAAGAGTACGGTCTAAAGGACCTGACATCCGAAAGCTTCTTCCAATTGGCTAAAACCATGGTGCAAGGTGATTTGGCCGGTGATCGTTTGTGGTCAAACTATGTGCGTAACATGTTTATTCAGACAATGAATGATACCTTTCTCTATTGACTCTTGATATCATAATCCCCATTTCTCCAATTTTTTGTTTGGACTTTTAAAAGTCCTTGTATTTTCACAACGTCAATAAAACATTACTGTAACATTTTCTGTTGATGTTCCAAAATTTTGACCGCAGTTCCCCTCCCCACCCCTTTTTTCTTCGACTTCCCGACACCTTTTTTTTCTGTCTCCGTTTCAGATCGTCCAAACTCCATGGTCCTCCAACGCGAGGAATGTGCCAATCCACTTTTGCAGCGTTGGCTTGGTGAATGGCTCGAGGAGGCGAAAGCTTTGCAGAGCAAGGCTTTTTACACGTACAAAAAGGCCTACGATTCCATTACCAAATGTCCCATTGCATTCGCGCACCCTTCCGAAGCCGAGCAATTGAAAGGCATTGGCCCAGCACTTACGGCACGTCTGGAGAAACGCATGATTCAACACTGCCAAGAGAATGATTTGCCGATTCCCACCAGAGTAAAAAGTACGCGTAAACATATTCTGCAATGGGCATTTGATAACCTCACACATAACTAAATTCAGAGAGGCGACGGAATGACGCGAATGGAGACAACGATGCCACAGCAGAAACACCAAAGAAACGTCGCACCACATCAAAGGCGTACGTACCACGTTTACGTACCGGTGCCTATGGGATCCTGCTTGCTTTGCTGGATTTCAAAGAGAATAATCAGCCTCAAGCAACAAAAGAAGAAATCATGTGGAAAGCCCAAGATCACTGCGATACATCTTACGATTTGGCAGAACCGGGCAAAAGCTACACGGCATGGCATAGCATCAAAACGTTGTTGAACAAAGAATATGTTTGGAAAAATGGAGTGCCCGCCAAGTACATGCTCACCGATGCAGGCTATGAGATGGCGAAGCACCTGAAAAGACACTCCGGTCCCCATGCGGACCAAGGAACGACCATGCCTCGAGTTCCGCGTCGTTCTGGCCGGGATCTAGACGACGACGATGACGATGATGACGATTTGGATACGCATGACGATGTTGATCTCAGTCTGTACGTATTGGATCCCAACAAATACACAAACCAACAACCATCGCCATTGCTATCTTTAGCAGAAAACACGAATTCATCTGTGCAAAGAGAGAGCGTGGCGGCTGAGAGCACGTCCTCACGACCATCTGATCATGCTGCATCTGCCAAACCACACACGTCAGCAAAGCCAAAGGATATTGGAACCTATAGCGATCTTAGCCCTCGGATTTCGGTTGATCCTCAAGACAAAAGACGACCATCAGCATCTATCGCAAGCACTACGTCAGTTACTAGCGTTCGTTCCTCTCTCGGCACAACGAGTCTATCAACCATGCTAGATGACATGTTTCCCCATCAACGACTTTCTTTGCCCACTAGGCAACGTCCCGCCAACCGGACAACGAATGCAGAGGCGGTCCACCTCCCATCCAAACCTTCTACATCGCTATCTGTAACCGAACAAGCTTCATCCTCGAAAAATACCCACCAGCGCATGTCGCTTTCTCCTTTTGCTCCCCATACAGATCTCGAAAGTTATGAAAACTGGATAGCAACATCCAAAATTGTTAAAGGCAAGGGCCGCGCCCTCGATTCGTTGCCTCAGCAAACGCCCTATGTACCGTCAGCTCAACCTCATTTACTGGAGCGGGAATTGCATTCTGTGGATCGCTATCGCGACAATGTTTTATCTTCCCCGACATTCGGTTCCGATTCCTTATACCCATCACTAGATCTCACATTATCGCCTGTAGCTACTGCACAGCGAGAGAACGACGACAATGTTATTGTGCTTTCATCTCCTTCTCCATCGCCTAGTCTGCCGCCCTTATCACCATTATCTTCTTTGCCCGTAATAGACCCAGTTCAAGAGGATCCAGAATTATCTACATCGTCGAGCCAGGTTCCACCGACCGAAGCACTGAAATACACTTATCTGGATACTGACAATCATGCTGTGGCTCGTATTCATCAAGCAGAGATCGCCATTGATGGTATGTTTCAAACAAGTGATCCATCAACTCGGTAGAAAAGGATTGCTAATATGACTAGTAGAAAACCGTGGTTGCTTGGCGTACAAGATCCGATTTTCAGCGCAACAAAAGAGTCATCCATGGGTAACATGTATAATGAATGCGCAGCCTGATACCAATCATACCTATGTGGGATACCTAGCTGAAGATTTGGCCACACCCTTCTGCCCTGGGCTACAGGATGACTCAACAATACCTCAGGTCGATGTACCAGCAAAGGGGCATTCTTTGACGGGTGGCGGAGCGGTTGATATATCCGAAGAGATGGAAAGTTCACAGACCTCAATAGTTTCAATGTCCCACTTGAGCAGCACCACTCGATGGGTGTCTTTGGCACCGGATGATTACGAGATTCTGCTGGTGCTAGACAATCGAGAAATTAAAATGCGAAGCAATCGAGACTACATCCAAGATAAGCTGAAGGATAAAGGAATCAATGTTGTCAAGCGTAGCTTGGAGCTGGGCGATGTTATCTGGGTTGCACGTGAAAAAGGGTCCAACAATCCCAGTCAGGAAATCTTTCTTGACTTTATTGTGGAGCGTAAACGCATGGACGATTTAATCAGTAGCATCAAAGACGGACGATTTCAAGACCAAAAGGTAGATCTATCTGGGATCCCCCCTTAATATGGGATTCGTTTATTGTAATTGCAATAAGCCAAGATTATTGGTAACGATGGAATTTTACAGAGACTGACTTGTTCTATTTTTTCTTCTTTCTTTTAGCTACGATTGCGGCGGTCGGGGGCAGAAAAAGTGATCTATATTATCGAAGAATATAACAAAGAAGAAGCAATCAATTTTGGCGCTCAGGCCATCCAGTCGGCCATGTCGACGACGCAAGTGATGGATGGGTTTTTTCTAAAAAGAACTGCTACGATCGATGATACCATCAGTTACCTTGTGAACGTAACTAAAATGGTAGAAAAGAAATATCAGGTATGACGTAAAATGAGCATGTTTTTCAGCGATAAATATGTTAAATGCATGTGTACAGGGTGTTACGCTGTACAGGATTCCCGAACATTTGATCAGTCGAGAAAACTACTCTGACCTCAAAAAACAGTACAACCAACCCGGACAATTTCATGCCATTTCGTATCCTGTATATAACCAACTGAACAGCAAATACGGTGCCTCTATCTTGCAGGATTTATATATGCGTATGCTGATGAAGATTCGCGGTGTGAGCGCCGAGAAAGCGCTGGCCCTGATCAAAACCTATCCTACTCCGCATGCGCTCCTAAAGGCGCTCGCCAGCCAATCGACAACACAAGGCAGGTTGCTGGCAAGGGATGTTACCCGAAATGGGCTGAGTCGTCGTCAATGGAATGCCAGTTTGAGCGAAAAGCTGTGGCAGGTTTGGGGGCAGCCATCGTCATCACCAACCTCATCTTCACTCACTTGATCGTTAAAACAATTATCATCACAATTTGCAATCCCAATCACAGTCCAAATAATCATTATTAGCATATTTTGCATCGTTAAACTTATTATCATCGTATCACTATCACTTGAAGAAGAAGAAGAAAAAAAAAAGATCAAACTATTGCCGACAAAGTAATGGCGAAAAAAAAATAACTTAAAAAAATGAAAATGAAGGGAATCCAAGAAAGAAATAGTAAAAAGGACTCAAGAGCAGAAGTAAAGGAATGATATTAGGGTATTATTTGTTTGTAGACGTGAAGAAACGGAAAAAGGAGCGCCGTTTCTTTTGTTGAAGCAGTGGTTCCGACGATCGTCGAAGTGCAGGGGAGTCATTGCCCGTCTGTTTGCTAGGCGCTGGCATAGATTGGCGGTTGTGAGAAGAAGAGACGTCGAGATCCGGGTTGGAAGGTTCAAGTACTTCGGAGGGTGGATCGACGGGAGAGTATTGAAGCGGTTTCGGCGGATACTGTCGTATGCCATTGCCACTTAAATCGACGGGCAAGGGTGAGACAGAAAGGGGAGGAAGTGTGGTTGCATCCTGGTCCTTCACCGTAAATTTCGCCATCATTTTTTGTCGAAGAAAGGCCGAGGATTTACGTAGCAGGTTCTTTTTGGATTTGGTTGGTGAAGCCTGGGCCGTTACCGGCGTTGAGTCAGTCAAGGTGGGTGTCGTGGGTGTTTCGTCTACAATTGCTGTAATGGTGGTGATGGCTGTGGTAGGTTCTGCATTTCCTCCTACAGCTGTGGGGTAAGGAGGTGCGGTATCCTCTTCTGTTGGTTCATCATAATCATGGTCGGCTTGCATAGCCTGATTCTCTTCTACGGAGTTTGCACCGTGGTGAAGAAGAGTCGAAGCATTGGTAGACGAGGGAGTAGGTTCCTCATGATATTCCCCTTGATTTGCCTTGACGGCACTTTCATTGACTATACTTTCATCAACTGGAGCTTGATTTTCTTCTCTTTCGTCCACAGATTCTTGTTCTTCATAGCAACTGTGCACTTCCTCATTGATGGATGACTGATCGTCCTCGTCGATTTGTGGACTAGGAACCGGTTCTTGCTTCTGTTCCACTACCGCTGGGGCGGCAACTTCGGTTGAGAAACAGCTGATATAAATATTATCCTTGTTGATGTCCAACGGCGAGGCATGGTCTTCACCAACGTCTTTTTCTCCGACCGAGACATTCGAGGATGAAAGAGGAGCAGATTCAGGGCCCTAGAAGAAAAAGGATGAGTGTTACCATACGATTATAAATGAACAAAAAGTGGATTTCTTCCATTTATCAGTGGGACTTTTTTACTCTATTCATTGGGTCATGTAGCTATGAACCAAGGTTGTTCTATTTACCTCTAGTGTAAGATCCAGTTCCCCTCGTATCAACGAACGTTTGCTGTCGAATTGCTGGATTAAATCATCTCCGAAAGAGTCCAGGGCATCAAACTGAGGTGGTGACCACAAAGTAAAATCGAGTACAGAAGTCTCGCTTGGCGCCATGAGTTTAATTATAATAAAAATTTCGTGCAATATTTTTTTTTTCAGAAAAAAAAAAAGATCAATCGGCAGCTGTGGCGATGATGCTAAAGGAAAGAAAAAGACGAAAAAGAAAACTTTTGTCGCATGCAAGGAGTTTTATGATGTTTGGATATATGTCTTGAAAGACCAAGGAGAAACAGGTGCGGAAGGGGCAAAAAAAAAGGCAAAAAAGAAACCTTCACGGATGTGCTCCTTGGATGGAAAGAAAGGAGGAGTGGTAGTAGTGCGGTGTGGAACGAAATAATAATCTATTAGAATGTATCTTTTTTGGTTTTTGGTGAAATAATGCAAGTAATCCATTGGTTCTCTTTGGTCCCTTCTTTAAAAGATCATCTATGGATGGAAAAAGAAAAAAAAGCTGTAGGTTTGGAAGATGGTTGTCTAGATGATTGAGTGAAGGAACGACTTGGTGGGAGTCCTGATGGGTTGTAAGATGTGTAATGTCTGTCTTTTTCCTTATCTTAGGCTGTTTTCTCTTTTTCAATCGTGAGCCGTAACAAGATCTCCACCAACCCGTATCGCGTAAGGAACATATTGATGAGTGCTGCCATGTACATGATGAAACGATACCATGGACCAGCTGAAATAAGGAATCCCACTGCACGCATAGATGCACACGAGACAAAAAAAATTCGACGGTTAAACAAAGATTCGGCAAAGAAAACAGCGATAGGAAAGATGATCACTCACGTGCAGGAGGGACAAGCACATAATTCAGATTAAATCCCGAAGTCAGCGATAATAGATGCAAAATAGGACTGTGATAGGCGGCATAGAGGAAGAAACTGAAAAGTGCCATGTCGACGGACGGAGGCAGGACGACGTAGCGACCGGTGGTCAGTAGATAAAATGGAACGACCAGAATCAAGGCATGCTCTACACAGCATGGAGCCGGATGAATATCGGAAAAACACCTAGAGCATGTGTGACGGCTTACCCAGGAAGAAATTGGCCACTTCACCAAACATATCGTGGTCCCGAAGATCGGGGAAGACGAGGGCCAAGATGGCCCCCCAAAGCGTATGAAGGTAAATGTTGAACAAAAGTCGGGGTACCATTAGATTCCAAGAAGAGGGCCAGCCCATAATGATGATCAAAATAAAGGCACTAGCATGGCAAGGCTACACAAAATCACTGTTTATGGCAGGCCCTGTCGACCAAAGTAACGTTGCAAACGTACCTGGAAGAGAAATAAAAGGGTTTCCGTGTAAGCCTTGTGAACAATTGTGACGCCCAACGATAGCACCAATAGGAACAAGAGAATATTCTCCAATAGGGATGCTTTCACCGTTGGTAAGGGGCTGTTGAGTAGTTGAAAAGCTCGCGTCCTGCATCCCAACGTAACTTAGTAACAAAAATTAAAAGATCAAAGTAGTGCGAAACAAATCCTTACGTAGGACCAAACGCGCGCCAACCAAAAAAAAGAGTCAATGCCAAAAACAGTGGTACCAAAATCACGAACTCTAATGCATGATGAGCCGGTGAGATATACCTAGATTCATTCGAATTACAATGAAACCAAGGGGGGCCAAAACAAAAAAAAAAAAGCAAAATGCAAGGCAGAAAAAAAAACGTCAGAACTATAAATTTAAAGGCTCCACGTGCAAATCCAACCCTACCAGGCACCACCTAGGGAATCTTCGAAATTCGTCTCATGTCCCGGAGGAAAGTCGAATGACCAATATTCAACGATGGCGCCGAGTTTTTGCAACACCCTCATGAGAAGGAACGGAGTGGAAAAAAAGAGAAAAAAGGACGAAAGAGCACGCAAAGAGGGAGACCAGAAAATGACGGACTTTTTCCTGACGTTGCCATATTTAGTGCGGAACCGTGTGACTTGGGTTGTCACCATCCCCCGTTGCGCTTGTTCGACTGTTTTCCCCGGTGCTTGAATGGATGGTGATCTTGGAAACAGTTATCAAGTTGGCTTTCACTATCTTACAAAAAAGGAAATCACGATACCTTTAAATAGCGAGTTAAAATTATAGAGTTTGCTTGCTATTGGACGAAACAAGCTTCTATTGGTGAGAAAAAGTGAAAGACATAGTGATCAAAAAGATGACGGAAGTTGAGAGAAGGTATAGTAAATTGCATTGGATTCGGCTGATTATAGTGAAAAGAGTTTGGTTGGGCACATGTATTTATGGGAAAGATACAGCTCCACTGCTGCAGTAGTGTAACCATGGAGTCGTTTTTGCTAATCTTCCAGTCCCAAATAACAATATCTTCGTTGCCGTCACGTGGGACCTGAAAAGCCAAATCGACGATTCTTTGCCCTTTTTCACTTCTTTGTTGGATTTAATCTCCTGATGCCACTGCGATTACAGCTGCTCTTCGCACTTTAAAATCTCGTCACTCCTTTAGATTGCTCAAGACCTGAATCAGTCGTCAAGGGAGCAGAAACTCGACAATGCAAGTGAGGCGACTGAATGAACCGCTTTGACCAACGAAAGAAAAACACAAAGAAGACGCTTCAGATCTTGTCAAGAAGCTTTAACATCAAGCCTGATCATAGCTCCCGTCTCCACTTCGGATGTGGCTCGATTGTTAAATAAAGGCAAGCACCGCTTGTACAGCGATATCATGCGAAAAAGGATGAACCCTTCTTAATTCCAATCAATGAAGTACTCCTCATGACATTGCCGTATCTTCTGCGCTTATACAGCAGATACGCTTGTCTTGAAACTTGCGCAGGAGTCGCTTTTACCGAACCTGAACTGTTGATTCCGAAACCGGTTCGAATCACTGCCAAATGCATCGAGGAAACTTTGTTTGCGAAAAAGACACCAAAGAAGGACGCGAAAAGTTGAAAAGCATATTGGTCCATAGATGACTGACTGGAAGTAGATACATTTTAGTTTACAGACTTGATTGGATGCGCATAAGCTGCGGAGTGCCCCCCCCCCCCAAAAATGAGCCTTTCTGGATGCCAAAACCAGATAAAAGGGGTTTCGCGCGTCTTCATGCTGCAGGGATGGTTGACAGCCAATCACCATCCAAAATGATGAATATTGGTTGTGGTGGCAATTCTAGTCATATCATCAGAGATTCGGTGAGAAATGAGGCATTCCATGTAGGGTCCCGTCTTAAAAGACTTTATGAGCATCAGAGGCAATGTGCTTAATGCTTAACAATGCACGAACGCCTAAATTGTTCATCCACGCAGACAGTTTTTTTTGCGGATTTGAAATACCGATTCGCAGTGCTTGGCTTATTTCCCCAATAGAGTTCAACCCACCCTTCTTGTTCGTCGGCAACCTAGTATAGTATTTTACACTGGCTATATAACCATGAGTTATATAGATGATTCTCTGCCTTCGTCCGTCGATAATATTCAAGCGCCTTTACAACCTACCAGTGTCGCTAAACCGTCTCGCACGCTGCCTCCCGACATTTGGATTCGGGCCTTCCAATTCCTACCTGTTCCTTCACTTGCTAATGCTGCACTTGTGTCCAGACGCTTCAAAGTCCTAATATACGACGATGAGATTTGGGACGATAAATTGCGTACCATGCTACGTTTTGATACCGGTTACTTGGCGACTATTTTAGGTGAGCTGAAAAAAACATAGTCGAGCAGGACGTCTTCAGTGTTGCGTGCGTTCATCTCATTATAATCGTCGCCCACTACAAGATGAATCCAACGACAAGGGATCCCTCATCGACAAAGAGACATCGTTTTATATCAACAACAAACCGCTGAATGCGTTAATACCCGGCATGTCGACCGACCCTTACAATGCCCGATCGAGAGCCAAGTCCACAGGTCATGCCCGAGAACAGTTCAAAGAATTGTATACCCGACTATTGCCTTACTACCTTGATCTTCGACAGCGACACAAGGAATCAAAGATCCTCAAAGACTACGGTTCCAAACCGGAAGAATGTGGCAAGATATTGAACATGTTGAGGGGATTAGGCGCATGTTGTATTGTCGAGGATTACAAGCAGGTGAGGGTCACTCTGTTTGAGGGATGTAATTTATTGGCGGGCCATCGTGTTGATCGTGTCCTGGGGTGTAGATCAACGAAGCGGTGGAAGCATTGTGCCAATATTTCGAGAGCGCTTCATTACACGAATTCGAGCTGGCTTACGATGTACATAATTTATCGGATATGAAGGTAATTGTTCGTCATCATGAGATATGGAATGGAAGAATACTGGTTGTTCATGTGATGATTACGTTAGACCTATGCACATGCACTTATTGCGTTAAACGGTGGATCCATTTGCACTCAAACTTTTGTACAGAAGCATCCCATCTTTTTCGATAACCCCTTCAAAGCGGACGCCAATTTTGTGTAGGCATTGCAATGGATGTAAAAGTGCTTTTTTTCCCTTCGATTGCTGACCAATGCTGTTTTGCAGCACATCACCTTCGGATTTAGATCCTTTCGAAAGGTTTATTTCTCTGATTGCTGACGAGCTGAAACAACAATCTTCTATTATTGCCCAAGTGTTTCCGGACACCGTCGACGTATTTTACACATTCACCGATCGTGTTTTTGAGGATGTGGTAAGCGGATGAGAAAATAACGAAATCATGTCATTTTCTTTGAATGTAACGATGGATACAAGATTGCAGAATACGTCGCCCAATTACTAGCTACGGCTCATAACAACGATACCCGTCTGTATTTACATACAATGTCAAAAGTACTGGATGCACTTCGCCGTCTAGTGGAAGAACTGACAAACGAAGAAATGCCCACACCCATTGACAAGGAACGAGGAGTCAATCTACTATTCAAATTATTCTTACCCTTCCTTGACGATTATCTGTACGAAGAGAAATCTTATGTAGAGGAAGAATGCGCCGACAGTATTGCTGCCTGGGTAAGCATATTGAGAAGCCGGGTTCGCAAAAGAAAACAGATATCGTTGGTATTAATCTGTGGTTTATAGAGTAGTCGTTCGGGAATACGACGAGAAGATGCTACGCGATTAAGCAATCAGTCCCGTGAAACATTTAAAAGGTAGGTCATCCACTAGCCTGAGATATGTGCTATAGTGTCTCATCTTGCTGCGCAGAAATTATCTTTCAGCGTTCAAAAAGGTGATCGCTCTTCCCGTCGATCTTGTATCAACCGCTGCCACCACTATCGCTTCGCCGTTCCAGAGAGCTGGCACCCTACCCAGCAAAGGCGACGATGCTGCTTCCATCAAATCCAAAGGCAAACGTTCATCCACTATCGCTTCAACCGATTCTGCCACTGGCACTCCTCATTCTACGCCACCTTCCACACCAAAATCATCCATGACACTTTCACGGCAAGCCAAAGCCAATTCTGTCATCTCTTTATCACAAAAATCAACTGCTGATTCAGCCCACTCGCAGCCCTCGTCCAAACATGCGTCCAAGGAAACCCTCGCCTCTTCACCGGATGTCCAAGCCAAGGGCGAAGAACTGAGAGATGAATTGGAAGATGCGCAGCAGGAACTCAATTTGATGCAGGACCTGCTAAGCTTGGAAGTGTCTCTTCATTTAATTCACGTGAACAAGGATTCCGAACGAAGGGTACAGCAATTCATCAGAATTGGCTTTCCTGGACGAATGAAGAGTGACATGTAAGGATCTATTCCATGTAAGAAACATTTTCTGCAGTGATAAATTCATTGACGGTCGTTTGTAGCCAACGGACCTATGAGCAGATTTTTGTTCGTCTTTTAAAATCTTTGAGCACAGAACACATTCAGCCAGCGTTTACTCGGTAAGCAAGAGGATGATTTGAGTCAAACCAGATTCACCCGAAAACTGATATACAATCATCAGAGCATGCGGACGATTGTCCACCTATAAACCAAACACAGAAGCGCTGGGAGCAAACAACGACGAAGTTCCGCAATTGACTGAGTTCTTTGAGTTGATTCACGTGGCGGATGTCATTCAACAAATGGTTCAGCTGTACTATGATGAAGAAATTGTGAGTCAACGCTGTACCCGTTGTCATGGCTCGTTTACTAATAAGTGATCTGTTCGTAGACGAAACATATTGACAAGATGGATTTTATGAACGATGTCAACAAGGAAAAGAAAACCTTTGAGCGTATTCTGGATGATTCGGTTGCGCATGGAATGGACCGAGGTATCCAGGTAAAAAAAAAAAAAAAAAAAAAAAAAAAAAAAACCTGCATGCACCTCTGCTGCCTCAACACTGGTAGACCTAACTACTTTTTACAGGTGCTCCTGGCTCAAGTGGAAGCGATCCTTGTGGGCGAGCAGCGCCCCGATGATTACAATCCGTCCGATTTCGCCATTGATCTCAAGCCTACCAAGGTAGCCTACCATGAAGCGTGAATGTAAAAAAAAGAAACCGCTTATTGATCCAGAATCGGTTTACTCTAGGCTTGCCAAGATACCATTCGATGTTTGAAAACCAATACCAGCATGTTAAACGGAGCAGCCGAGAAAAGCACCATGGATTTATTCTTTAGCGAAATTGGTCGACGCTTCTTTGAGTATGTGGTGACACAGTTCATTTTCGTATTTATTTAAGCTAATATGAGGATATAGGATCCTGTGCAAGCACTTGAAGAATCAAACTGTGAATGAGCAAGGAGGTTTTCGATATATTGCGTAAGTCCTTTTTAAAAAGTGTCATGAATACAACTGGATCCTGACGAAAGGCCGTCTATTTGCAGAGACATGAATGCGTATTATGATTTTATTGCTTCCTTGCGGCAAAAGGCAGTGACGCCCTACTTTCTAGCGTTGAAGGGTTTGGCCAACATTTACATCATCTCTTCGGCACAGGATATCAAGAGTGTAATCCATGATCTGGAACGATACCAAGGCCTTTTCCGAATAGAAGATTTGTTCGAGTTTGCATCTTGCCGCAGTGATTGGTCCGCCATTAAAAAGGTGGTGCAAAAGGATATGACCGATTGCTGTATCATGTAGCCCTTACTGTTTTTATACGCTTATACTTGTGTCTTATTTTTTATTTGGGGTTCAAGACTTACAACGATTTTTACTTACAATATTAAATTCATTAATGAATCATGGGATTTTTGTTTGGCTAAAAGAGTCGTTTCCACTATTTGATTCAAACTGTTGAGCTTTTTTGCTCTTGATTCTGAATCGATCAACTCACATTTGTACCTCCATTTCCGGTTCCCTTACGGCTTGCCATATCTCTCCATTTGTCATGCTCTGCAAGTAGGACCATTCTTCCTCCTCCACGGGTCGTACAAGCACTGTGTTATCCAAGGATTGGACCCCTTCCACGGGAATATCCTCCACCAAAACACCTGTGTTTTGTGTTTCCCTTTCTTTATCATCCATGCCCTTTGATTTCTTTCGTTCCAATTGGATGTGAACGCATGTCTTCAAACCTTGAGTCTCTGATGGTTTTTGGATAAACTGCAACCGACTGCCCTGTTCAACAATACCGAAAGAAATTTCATGAGGCATGGATACCACGAGTCATAAGAGCCGTTTGTCAGGTATTCGTGACTTGAGGATGCTTCTGGGTCGCGCGGCGGCAGCGGCTGCAGAGACGGTTGACTGAAACGTAGAGTGTTCATCGTCTTCCTCAAAAGGCATATTGTATGCATTAGGTTCACTGTAGATGGACGATGTTCGATATTTTGGTCGACCATATCTGTAAGAATAACCAGAAGATCGGGGATCGCGGGTATAAGGGCCGTCTGGCCAGTTGTTCGCACTTGGTGAATCCCAGGCTGGGTCGTAATAGGGAACACTGCTATCGTCTACAGAATCATAATCATCATCTGAGCTGTAACCGGAGCTTTCGGGTCCACTATAGGATGCGCGCTTGGGTAAATAGTTGTACGGAAGATCATAATTCCACTGTTCACGGTATATAGGGCGTGAAGCATATTGAGGGTATTCATCATAATATTTCCGATACATAGGATGGTTATTGTAAGGATGGCCAGCCCAACGGTATGACGGTCGCGCCCAGTAGTCGTTATCCATGGGTGCGTCGTAAAATTGCTCGCTGTTGGCATCTTCATCATTGAAACCATGTTCATTGTAACCGTCATAATAGCCGCGGTCTCGATCGTAATCGGCGTTTTCGTCTGAGTAACCTCTGTCAGAGGAATATCCTCGATCTAAATCTGCAGCTTCATCTTCGTGATCAATATCTGTAAGCAACGGCTCAGAGTTGCGATGGTCTTTCGCATAGGTTGAGTAACACAGTGATGTTCCATCTGGCTGAGAAGCACGAAGAAGCCTTGATAATTGCTCAATCTGCTGCTGCTGTTGCTGCAGTGTGACAAGTAGCTTCTGTTGCCGGATTCGGTATGCTTCTTCGCGTTTCGATCGTTCTTCTCGCTCTTTTTTGAAGGCTTGCAATTGCTGCTGGATTTTGGCAATTTCGGTTTGATTCTTCAGAAATTGATAATCCGATGACTTCCATTGGCGCGATTGGCCGTTGGCATCGACCATATCGTCCTCGAAAGTATAGCCATTCGATGGTACCTCCTCGATATACGCCATGGAATCGTTTGCTCTAGAGGATCCAACGTTACCTGTCAATGCATGATCGGTGCTGGCACCAGCTAGCATTTCGCCGCAGCCAAGGGGCGACCTAGGCGGCCGATCCATCTTTTTAGACATGATTGACTGTGCTTGTTTCGCCGAATGACGGGCTGCTGTGCGCTCAATTTCCGTTTTATCGCTTGATGCTGGACTTAAGGATGGATGGGTTGCAGCGGGCTTCAGTTTGGGACCGGTGATTGGTGGAGGGTCGTCCACTGCGGCAGAGAGCATGGACGGAGGTGTTTGTGACAAGGTAGTTGCAATGACTCTTTTGGACTCGTTACTCTTCGAGGAGAGTTTGGAGGATGGTGTCAAAGAAGAAGGGCTGCCATTTTTTTGATCTCGGGCGGGTGGGGTATGGATAAATCGAGGATATCCGGCTATGTCAAGAATGTCTGAGGGTGACTTGGCTCGTGATTCAAGGGGAGGAAATGGCTTGGATAGAAACCCAGAAGTGTCTACATTGGCTGCTTTTGTAGGTCCTCGGCCAGGCTCTTTCCGAAGTTTGGACTTGCTTTTAAAAAATCTGGCTATAGGCATCAGCAGAACTGGAATTCAACAAAAAACAAAAAAAAAAAAATCAAGAAAAAGACGAATGACCCGCGCCTAGTTTACGTTTTATGTGACGATTTCGGTGCGAGTCAAAACAACCTCGTCGTCTCGATTCCAAGTATGGTAATTGTCACACAAGGGCCGATTCGGGTAACAGCAATGGCACCCTACATGAATCAAGTGATGGTACCAATCAGCGCAAGAGCCGTCATGCGATAGACCATTTACTGCTTCTATGACATTAGCTGCTGAGCAGATTACCATGGTTCTCACCAGCATTTCCCCTTGAAGAGAGTAGCGATATCAGGCAATACTACAGACTACCGAATAATTGTAGCCGATCCTGAGCTTAACAGCTTTTTAACGTGGGTGTGGTCGCTTTTTTGACACAACCCTGAAATGCATGACACAAGCGTACAAATTTTAAAATGAGGCAGCCCAAATTTTCTCAAATCACATTGTTTCTGGCTAGTAGCGCGACCTAAACGAACGTCAGTGGTCGACATGTTCATATTATCAGACCCTTTTCTCCATATTCATAGCCATGTCAAGCATGTCAACAGACTTGCTATAGATATTCATGTAACCTCCACCCAGAAATCATGGTGGTGGTCGATCATTACAAACTGAACTGCGCCGGTGAAAATGTCCCTTGAAGCGGCTATGATCTTGCAGATTGTTTCATTCAAAAAACAATTGAATAAGATCGATTGCTTGGATAAATAGTCGTCTTATCAGATGTAGCCATTAGCCATGCAAATTTTTCGGGGTCTGATGAAATCAATCGAGAAAGGAAAAAAAAAACAAATGGCTTTTCTGTATTCTTTATATGAATGATGTGCTGTTACTGTGTTATCACATGCTGAATGTTGCATGCAGAACGGCTTCCGGATGTGATATTTATCCTATCGTTGAGCACCGAGTCGATCCGCATTGGCCTATAAATAACTCACTAAGTTTCAAAATCCATTATTGTTGATCGACAAGGCTTATCTAATACCGCAAAGGCAATACTTTTTATCATCAACATAATAATGGGCAAGTTTCAATTTGTCTAGATGCCGCCATGATAAAGCAAGTGGTCCAAACGTAAGGTTACCAAAACTCGGCGTAGTAACGCGATCAATCATTGGAGCGGAATCGGCGGAAATTCAATTCTGCTTTTCGATGATGTGAGACGAAGAAAAAAATTTATACTATTTCATTGGCCACCTTTTTAATTTCTTGCTGGGTCTTTTTTTTTTTAGCTTCCCATCTTCATTTCTTTTCTTTCTCTCTTTCCTTATCATTCATTTTATTTATTCAATCATTAATCATGGCACAAAACAAACTTTCATCGCCCAACGAAATTATTCGAAAAGTGTTTGGATTTCTTCGTGGACACAAGTCCAAATCGGCAAGGAAGTCAGTTGGTGCTGCTCCTGAGACTACCCGTGAGGCGGCCCCTGCTTCCTCGGCTACCAAGACCACCACAGCGCCAGCACAGACCACTGCCGCTGCTCCTGTTGCACCCGTAGAACAGAAACCCAAGAATGACATTCAGACTCCCTCTCAAAGGACCAATGCCGACGGTAGCATCTTTACCGAACAGAGTGCGCCAACGACCGCTCCTTCTGAAGTCGACGATTCCGCTTCCCACAGATCATCTGTGCACGATAAGCCATTGCCGGTCCCCGATACTAAAGTATCCGAACCCGTCGTTGCCGCATCCAGCAAGCCAATTGCCAGTCAACCGAGTGGATCTACCAACGTCGGCACCACGCAACCGGTCGTTACTGATGCTACCCCCGAAACCAATCAAGCGCCGGTGAAATCCGCAAAGCAGTCGCAAGGTGAACCTCACTTGTTTAAATGGGTTCACGGTGGAAAGGAGGTGTACTTGACGGGCAGCTTCGACAATTGGGCAGGTAAGATGACCTTATTGCACAGTCATGTGGTGACATTTGGATCCTGATGATCCTTTATCTCGTCAAATCTTTATAGTTTCTATTCCCATGGAACGTAGTCAAGAAGACCCTAATATTTTCCAGGCTCAAGTGTCGATCGATGAGACTTCGCCTGTATCATTCAAGTTTGTGGTGGATGGTGAATGGCGATTCGCCGAGGATTTGCCCCATGAGACCGATGCCGGTAAGTTGGTCTAAAATGTCGGCTATTTTATCACGAAATAACATGTCACTTACGGTGGTTTGTTTTTTTCTTTTTTCCTTAGCGGGCAATGTGAACAACGTAGTGCGTTCTGTAACGTTGTAAACTCTATCTGATGTTCTTTTTGCTTCCCTCATGAAGAATCGTATTGTTTCCAATTGTCGATTCAAATTTTTTTTTTTTAATTTTTCTGTCTCAACTTTTACCACTTACTTACGCTTGTGTTAACATATTTGTATATTCATACTATTATTCTTATTTCTTGTATCGTGTAAATTCATAAAAAAAAGTTCATGAAAATCACTCCTTAATTTTTTTTTTCTTCTCGACCCCTTAACGACTCGGCGGCGTGGAGATCCTCTCATTGGATAACATGGATGGTTTATTTTCTCCTTTCTCAAGTATTCTCCATGAAAATGTTTGTTATTTTTCTTGCCTGATAAATAAGGTCGGCCGTATGACCATGAGAGGCATGCCGTCCCCAAAGGATGCAAAAGTGGAACCTGACTTTGGGGCTAAAAAAACTTTTTTGGTCGGATCAATCGGGGGAAAGAGGAAAGAAGACTTTTGCCAAAATAAAAATTCAAGGTGTCACCAAACGCAAAAAGGTAGTACAGCAGCCTAAAAGAAAGAAAAAGCATCGATTCTGCTAAAATAGGGAATTTGGGGTTTTTTCTTTTTCCAATAGCATGCTAAACGGGCTGCCCTATTTCATAACATCGGATGGATTCATTCCATCACTGTATTTTCTTTAATTTAAAGCAGCTTTCCATTGTTTGACGCTTCGATGCTTGTTTCCAATGCATATCCTAGCAACCGCTGATGTACCCTCGACGCATACGAAACGCTCAGTGACATGGCATAACACGACATGCATCAAGGTCTGTGAAAGCACAATTGGGTTCAGTAGATAAGTTTAGGCAGCCTCCGTGTTGCGCAACGGAATCTAGGATAGGGTCCGCCATCTTGCATCACCACATGCATCTATTGTCCTTTTTTTTTAATTAACCGTGCAGTAGACGGCTGATGCCGACATAAAATATATGTTGAGCCCATGCAACGTCGTTTCAATTTTGAGATAACAAGGAATAACAAGGAATTAGTAACAAACAAAAAAACAAGGCAAGAAAAAACAGTAGACCAAATTGTTCCAATGGTAATTGATGCCATAAAAGTGTTTATACGCAATAACAGACAAAGGCGGGAAAGTGAATAGTGGTGAAGAAATCTTTCAGCAATCCAGGTCCCTGAAATTGTGTGACTGATCCTTTTGTGGCACCATGGTAGACAATGATCCTGATTGACAACTGCCAATGTTTTTGCCTAGGGATCCATGGAAACGCCTGTTCTATGAACGAGCGAAATGAACAAGTTTCATTAGAAACATAATAGGAGACGATCTCCTCTTCGGATGTTAACCTGACCCATCATATTGACGTTTGTCTAAATTTTAATTTAATGCAACTGGTGAATTAGCTTTTGCTGTGTCGTTTTCTTTCAACTTCTTCGTACTGCCATGTATTGCACGTGTCATACAACGCGTGAGTGGCAATTTTTTTATGTTACCATGCCTTTGACGCAAGCGATATACCGTCCATATTCACATGGTAACCACACAAATCGCTTGTTGTTATGAACAAGGGCGTTTTAAAAATCTAGGCGACGATACTAGGCTATGAATATATCTTTTGTTACCAAGGTGAAATGCTAGCGTCACGGATGACAAATGATAATCTATTGCTGCTGCCACAATAGAAACGGTTTAATTATTTTGTCGTTACTGCTTTTGTTTTCAAAATGGTAAAACCCAGGGGTGGTGGGGGGGGGAAGGAAGAGAGAAGGAAGAGCAAGTATTGATAATCCAGGAGGTTGGTTGCCAGTGATGATCTTCAGACGAATGGATGTATATATAAATACTGTCATCGGAACTTTATCTAATAAAGAGGAAATTCCCAAAGTGCCATATCCTATACATTCAGTTGAATGCTAATGCAGAAAACAAAGAAGGATGCTGCAGTCCATATCGGACTGCTTGTCCTTGTTCAGTGGACAAGTATTGCCGTAATCGCCACCAATTCTCTCGCATTGTTATACGTGCGCAAAGCTCCTGAAGGCCTGGTGTCCTCACGCGCAGGTGCACAAGAGTACCTTTTGATCATTCTTGGTGTATCGTCACTGCTGTGTTCCACCTTATTATTATGCTTACATTTGCACGTCTTTTTCCGCTTGGTCGCTGGTCGCCCTTTTGCTCCCACGAAAACGCTGCTCACTTCTGAAATGGCCGTCGGCATTCTCTCCGTCGCTCTGTGGACCGCCGCTACATCCATTGTCATGACTCACTTTCATGGTAAATACCATCATATTTCTTGCAAAATTATTTTTTTTCTCTCACACTAATTCATTTGGTTTTCGCTTGTCTTCGCCCTCTGTTCTCCATTGCATGATTTCCTTTTGTGGACGTCATTTTTCACTCCTGACAATTGCCCAATGCGCTGGATTGCTGTGCATAGTATCTTCGTCATGTCGATTTGCACATTCAGAATTTGCTCAGACGTTTAATAATGCTTGCAACTTGGTGGATGCTACAATCATCCTAGGTTGGTTATAATTTTTCATTATTATTGCTCTGACTGTTCTCACTCGCTTTTTTGCATAGCCTTCGTGGTCGTAGCAGGGTGGGTGCTTGTGATTCTTGCTTGCTTATTGACATTGGCACGTTCGCCTTTACATGCTTCTACCATTTTCACCATTGAAAATCCGTCGTCCTTCCGAACCCTCAGTAGAATTCGATCAGGAAACTATACAAAGCCATTTTCCAACGCCATTACACCAGCTCCCATTTCAAAAATCACCAATATTTCCGCACCAATTCTGAAAGAAATGCCGGCATCCCTTCCTACCATTCAAGATACCTCGGTGATATCCAAACCCACCGATCTTTGTATAGCTGATGAAATCGATTATCGATGTCCATCATATGCTTCTTCGCAGCTTCGAAATTCGTATCCATCGATTCTAGAGGCCATTCCATTGGATCTGCCCACTATCCAAGTGGGCATGTCACAGTTGGATGTATCATTCATGTTTTACGACGATCGTAATTCCTTTTCGTCGACAAAACCTTGAGATATCCAGTCAACTCTTTCATTTTTAGCTTCTTCCTTCTCACATTCATAACTGGCATTTATTGTCAAATAGCGTTTTCTTTTATTTGTTATCCTCACCTGGTGCCCCTTTCTATACTAGTTTCCCTTTTTGTTTTCATAAGATGTTTGTTTTATGCTGTGGCCAACAGAAAAAATTTGCAAAAATATTATTGTCCATATAGTAGAGTTATAACATAGCCTTTTTCCTCCTCGTCGATCTCCCTTTTTTTTCAATTCAACCAACAAACCATTCACTCCTCAATTGAATAAATGGTGCTCTCTTCCTATTTTTCAATGACATAGGATCCAAGATTTTCACCATTTCAACCCGATTATGATCACACCGCAGAATTAAATAATTGTCACCACCATTCAACAAAGGAGACCTTCAAAATGATCTATTGTTTCTTTTTGCATTTTTATTTTTTACATTTTTATCACAATTGTGGTTTCATTGGATAAAAAAAAAGAAGAGAATGTCAAATGGAAGTGGGGGGAAAAATGATAAAATAAAATTGGTGCTAATTTACTGACCACCCATTTCCTTGGCGAGTTCTTCAGCACGCTTCTGGACATCGCTGATATCACCCTGCATGTAGAAAGCAGATTCGGGAAGAGCGTCATGCTTACCATCCAAGATTTCCTTGAAGGAGCGGATGGTATCCTGGAGCTTGACGAGACGGCCTTCGTAACCAGTGAAGACTTGAGCGACAGCGAAAGGCTGGGACAAGAAACGCTGGATCTTACGGGCACGTTCGACAACGAGCTTATCTTCTTCGGACAATTCATCCATACCCAAAATGGCAATGATATCCTGAAGGGACTTGTAGTTCTGCAAGATCTGTTGGACATCGGTGGCGACCTTGTAATGTTCCTGACCGACAATACGGGGATCCAAGATACGAGACTTAGAATCCAAAGGATCGACAGCAGGGTAAATACCCAATTCAGCAATGGAACGCGACAACACAGTGGTGGCGTCCAAATGGGCAAAAGTGGTGGCGGGAGCAGGATCGGTCAAATCGTCAGCGGGGACATAGACGGCCTGGACAGAGGTAATGGAACCGTTCTTGGTAGTGGTAATACGTTCTTGCATACCACCCATATCGGTAGACAAAGTGGGCTGGTAACCGACAGCGGAGGGAATACGACCCAACAAGGCGGACACTTCAGAACCGGCTTGGGTGAATCTGAAAATGTTATCAATGAAGAGCAGCACATCCTGGCCTTCTTCATCACGGAAGTATTCGGCAATGGTCAAACCGGTCAAAGCGACACGGGCACGGGCTCCTGGGGGTTCGTTCATCTGACCAAAGACCAAAGCACACTTGGAGTCACCGTCGAGCTTGATGACACCGGTTTCCATCATTTCGTGGTACAAATCGTTACCCTCACGAGTACGTTCACCGACACCACAGAAAATGGAGTAACCACCGTGGGCCTTGGCGATGTTGTTGATCAATTCCTGAATCAACACAGTCTTACCGACACCAGCACCACCGAAAAGACCAATCTTACCACCACGGGCATAAGGAGCCAACAAGTCGACAACCTTGATACCAGTCTCGAGAATTTCGGGGGTAGGAGATTGTTCAATGAATTCGGGGGCATCGGCGTGAATGGGGCGGTGAGCCTTGGCCTTGATAGGACCACGTTCGTCGATGGGTTCACCAATGACGTTGATGATACGACCGAGAACTTCCTTACCGACGGGAATGGTGATGGGAGCACCGGTATCCACGACCTTTTGGCCACGAACGAGACCTTCGGTACCATCCATAGCAATGGTACGGACAGTGTTCTCACCCAAGTGCTGGGCAACTTCGAGAACAAGACGACCACCAGCGTGATCCTTGACTTCGAGAGCGTTCAAAATGGCGGGCAAGTTTTCTTGTTCGAATTGGACATCGACAACAGCACCAATAACGGAACTAATAACGACCAAAAAAAAAAAAAGAAAAAGTCGGTAAGTGTTCCTGAACTATATGTAAAATGGCAGAATACCAGATTCTGTTCTGATTGTGGGGGTTGATGGCTTACCGAATACGACCAGCAGTATGAGCTTCGGTGGCGTAGTTACGTGCTATAAGAAATCAATGGATGATCAGACTTTTTGACATGGTTTAAAAAAGAAGGGAAAAAGGAAATTCCAGGATGGATTCGAGCTGAAAGAAGAAATGAGCAAGGGGTAAGTGCTTACCATTGATGGCGGCCTGAACACCAAGAGGCTTGGCAACAGCCTGAGCAAAGAAGCGAGAGTTGGCTCTCTGAGCACGAACAAAGTTCGTGGAGGCCTTTCCAACAGCACGGTTAAAGTTCATTTCTAGAGCGAGGAAAGAAAAGCTACTGTCGAACGGTTCCGCGTATAATTGATTTTTTTTTTTTCGACCAGGAAGGGAAGGGGACCCTCAAAAACAAGTCCCAACGAAAAATTCCAATAGTGACGTCATCACAAATTTACGTCACCAACTTTTTTTTTTCTGGAGAATCACTGTCCAAAAATGGACCAAGCAGCGTATTTCGCCGTGCCGACGCTCAGATAATCCTTTTGTTAGTTTGTTCATATTTACGCACTACTGTCAATCACCCATGCTTATGCTTTTTACAATGTCATCGTTGGTTTTATATTATGGTAAACGGTTCGTGGCGGTATATGAGTGAGGTTGATACGGAGTCGCAGCGGTCTAGCATGATCAGTATACAGCAGGACAAAGGATATTTGACACCTAGTTCTCGGGATCAGTATTTGTTTTGGTAATCGACACAGAGCAAACGTATCCCACAGAATCCCAGGGTCGTTTCGGTGAGCGCAAATCAAAAGTGTTACGAACAGCTGACAAAGTGCGGGAGCTCCTGGTCAAGACAGTCGCAGCTTTTACTAGCAACGAGAAGTGCTCTCGAATGAAATCTGCCAGTTACAGTGCTGTAATAATAACAACAGCTTTGGATGTTGGGCAATCATGACGAAAAGCTTGCATTTTTATCCAATCAACTCACGAAATTGTACTGGAATAATGGTAAGAGGAGTAAAATAGAAGCATTTATCAAATGAAGAAAAAGTGAACCCGTGATGTGAACAATTTTATGCACATCTTCGATCTTGTTGGGACCTCGGGGTGCCGATCTATTGGGAATGCCATCAGCCTTGGCCCTGATTGGATACAATCGTTTTGATCTCATCACAAAATGGCATTAAAAACGGTCACGCCATCTGGGTCTTTTTTTCTTAAATTTAAAGTGACACCAGTTCGAATAAGGGAATCTTTTATTGCAAAAAAAAAAAAACCTTCTTTTTTACAATGGCACAAGACACTTCGAACGATGCTGCTGCTATGGACAAGATTCTTCTCAAGAACTTGGTATTGAAGAATGTGGTGGGCGTCGACTCCTGGCAACGGCTCAAGTCACAGCCTGTAGTCATCAATGTCTGGCTTTACACGGACGTGACCGCCGCTGGAAACTCTGATCAGGTGAAATGTTCTATTCATTACGGTCATGTCACCAAAGCCATTACCAAGCTGGCGGAGACGGGCACTTTCAACTCCATTACCGCTCTCGCTCATGCCGTGGTTCACTTGTGCTGTGTGGAGTTTGGCGCTCAACGTACCAAGGTCCGAGCCGAACAACCCAAGGCGCTCCTGCATGCTGCTGCTTCCGGCATTGAATTGAGCCGATCCCGCCGTGATTATGAAGGTCTTGATAAATCAGTGATTGAGACATTGGGCGATGTTTCTGGTTTGGGTCATCAGGATGTACTTTTTGTCAAGGATCTGCGTTTACATACAATCATTGGTGTGAATCCCTGGGAACGCGAGGAGAAGCAAGTCGTGGTCATCAACTTGACCTTGTATCCTTCCAAGCTGGCGTTGGAGGGAGAAGAAGAAAATCAGAAAACGCACAATTTACGTACCGTGGTCCGCACGCTCAGTCGATACATTGAGCAGTCGGATTACAAGACCGTCGAAGCGTTTGCTGTGGCGATTGCTCGTGTCGCTTTGGAAAAATGCCATCTCAACAAGATCACGGTGCGTTTGGAGAAGCCCAGTGCTATTGTTTTTGCGGATGCTTCCGGTATTGAAGTGACGCGCGACCGTGCGTGGTTAACTCAGGTTTTGAATGAAGAGAAAGCCGCAGGTCAGGTGTTTGCGCACCATGCCATGGAAAATTCCGTTCTTCGTGAAATCCCGTCCGACTATACTCATACAGCGTACATCGCGGTGGGATCAAATATTGGTGATCGAAGGGACAACATCTATCGCGCACTGGACCTTCTTGAGAAGGAGTGCAACTGCATCGTTGCCGACACTAGTTTCCTCTACGAGACTCCCCCCATGTATTATACCAAACAAGATGCTTTCCTCAACGGCGCATGCAAAGTGTTCACCAGCCTGGAACCGATCGATTTGCTGGCCAAACTCAAGCATGTTGAAAATACACTCGGCAGAGAACCTACTTTCCGTAACGGTCCAAGACCCATTGATCTGGATATCATCTTCTTTGATGATTTGATTCTCGAAACCGAAACATTGACCATCCCACATATCAGCGTGCAAGAACGCGAATTCGTGTTATGGCCATTGTGTGATATCGCAAGAGATATGGAGCATCCTCGATTGTATAAAACCTGCGGTCAATTACTCTCTCAATTACTCAAAGTGCAAGCCGAGAGCGAGATGGGAGCCCTCAAAATCGACAAGGTCGTTCCTATGCAGACGGTTTCAGCAACACAACAGCTATGGCGCTGGAATGATCAGACTTACATCATGGGAATTCTGAATGTCACACCCGACAGCTTCTCCGACGGAGGCAGCTATCTGAACGTGGAAAAGGCCGTCGAGGCAGCTGAACGTATGAAGGAGGAAGGTGCTAGTATTATTGATATTGGTGGTATGTCGACTCGTCCTGGAGCTGATGACACTTTCCCCGAAGAAGAAGAAATCCGTCGTGTCGTTCCCGTCATTGAAGCTCTCCGTGCGAGAAAGTTTGATTTGCCGATTTCTGTCGATACCTTCCGGGCCAAGGTTGCTGAAGCCGCTATTGCTGCTGGTGCGACAATGATCAATGATATCAGTGGTGGTTTGCGTGATCCTGCCATGCTAAGTGTGATGGCCAAGCACAAGTTACCCGTGTGTTTGATGCATATGCGCGGTGATGCGAAAACCATGATGTCCAAGGAAAATACCACCTACGAGCGTGACGATGTCGTGGACGAAATTACCTACCAACTGCACAATTTGATCCAGCGGGCGATTTCGGCGGGCGTTTATCGATGGAATATTGTCGTGGATCCTGGTATCGGATTTGCCAAGACGGCTGATCAAGACTTTGAAATTTTACGCCATTTGAAGGAAATGATGACTGCACCCGACTCGTTGCTGGTGGGCTTCCCTACGTTGATGGGTCCCAGCCGCAAAAAGTTCATTGGTCATGTGACAGGCGTCACGGATGCCGAGAAACGATCGTATGGTACAGCCGGCGCTGTGGCTGCAAGCGTAGCGGGTGGAGCCAACATCTTGCGAGTCCACGATGTTAGACCCATGTGGGAAGTCGCTCGTGTATGCGATCAAGTGTGGAAGCGTAGCAATTAGGCTCTCTAGTATTTTTTGGGTAGTCTTTCGTGTCTCATTTCCCGGTATATTTGTTTTTTGCTGTTACTTTTTCCCATATTTGCTGTCTTGTGTTTTTTCTTTCTTTCTTTCTATTTTCTCTCACATGTATATACTTTGCTATATTGGAATTTTCACTTTCTCACCGTGAAAAATGAATCAAGCTATGCATTTTTTTTTCGCGTCCAAGTTATAATTGTCAATTTGCCTTTTTTGTGTGCCGCGATGCATAACTCAAGCAAGCTCGAGATCACTGGTACATGTTATTAAGAGACGAATGTAGACCTCAGCGACGGCTTGTTATAAGCGATACAAATGAAATAATAAATAATCAAATCGCAAAATGACCATGCATACATAATATGAGCATTCTATTGTATAACATAAAACTATATAAAAATTTTGAGGTATTGTAATATACATCGTTATGAACTGTATCCATGTAAAATCAAAGAAATAAAAAAAAAGGACAACTGAATTTGATTGTTCCAGACATGATACGAATACATGGCACGATAGGACATAATTCGCTTTCAGTTTTTGCTGGGTTGCGCACTATTTAGGCAAGGGCATGGTACAACTTCATCCACCACTTGGCATCTCTGGCGGCCTCTTCTTCGTCTTCCTCATCGAGATGAGTCACACGACCGGTATCGAAATCTGATCGAATAGACGTGATGAGATGCAAACTTCGTCGATACGATAGGTTCAAATGATACTTACCAACTTCATCCAAGGGCACGACCTTGGATTTACCAAAGATTTTGAAGCCAACATAACATAAGACGACGGGAACGAGACCGATGTAACTCTTGAAAAAGTCAAGAGTATTCCATTTGGGATAGAATGCAATGTAACCTTGACCGAGGATGATCAAAGTACTAAGAATGGCGGCGAACAATGCAGAGAAAGGGTGAGCCATGGATTTGTAGGTCAAATCCTTCAAATCACGGCCCTGTCGAACGTAGGCACGTCGGAAACGAAGATGGACAACAGCGACACCCCACCAACTGATGAAACCAGTGACAGCGGTGATACTCAAGAACCAGACGAAACCTTCGGAAGCACTGTAAATGGAGACAAACACACATGCAAAACCAATAACGGAAGAGAAGAGCACAGCCCAATGAGGCGAACCGTGCTTGTTCACACGCGATAAGATGCGCGGAGCATTTCCGTCACGGGCGAGAGCCATGACCATACGCGAACAGGTATAAAGTGAGGAATTGGCGGCAGAGAGCACACTGGTGAGAATAATGGCGTTAATAACGTGAGCACCTGCTTCAATGCCTGCAAGTTTGAAGACCAAGGTGAAGGAAGCAACGGCGGCATTGTCTGCTGAGCTGGCAAGATCAGGATCGGTGTTAGGAATACACAAGCCAAGCAAGAAGATGGTGACAAGGTAAAAGAAAATGATACGCCAAAAGGTATTGCGAATAGCACGAGGCACTGTCTTGGTGGGGTTCTTGGCTTCACCAGCCGTGATACCGACAATTTCAGTACCCTGGAAAGAGAAACCGGCCGCCAGCAATACGCTGATGGTACCCAGAACACCGTTGGCAAAAGCACCAGGGTCTTTCCAGTATTCAAATCCAATAACGTGACCTCCCAGACCACCCGTGGTGACACAGATCGCTATCAAATAAGGGATAAGTTACGATGAATTGAGCCGGATTAGGGGCTTTTCTGCCAATTTCTCTTACCGATGATCACAAAGACAATGACAATGAGAATCTTGATAAGAGCGAACCAATACTCCAGTTCACCGTAGATACGGACACCGAAAAGATTGATGGCAATGATCAACACCAAAAAAATCGCAGACCATGCTGCATCTGGCATGACCGGTCGCCACCAGTTAATGATGGTGGCCGCCGCTGAAAGTTCAGTAGCAATCGTCACAGCCTAAATTATTGCGCAACAACGGTTAATGTCATGAGAATCATATTTACTCAGAACCAAAAAAAAAAAAAAAAAAAAAAAAAAAAATAACCAACTTACCCACTAAAAAAAATCAAGGAAATTTGATAAACGAGCAGAAAGAATGAACGTGAGAACGATGTGTAATAAAAATAATAAGCGTGTCATTTGATGCGGTCTGCGCTTACCGAAAACCTAAAAAAAAGAGCGGTTTTAGCTTCCAAAAAATCAATATGCATTATGCAGGGATGGTGCCTTACCAATAATTCCAGCCTAATGCAAAGCCCCATGCAGGTTCAATGAATCGGGTGGCGTAATGACTGAACGATCCAGAAACTGCAATGTGAACGTGGCATTTAGTATGATGAGGATACAAAAACATAGTGGCAGAAAAACCCATAGGGTGATCCATCAAACATACCTGGCAAAAAGGTGGCCATTTCTCCGAGACATGTCATCATACAGTAAACCTAAAAACATTGATCGTCAATTATAGGTATCCTAGACTACTCGCTCGCTTGGAAAGAATGAGAGGGTGGGACGGTTACCATGAAACCAACTACAGAAATAAAAAAAGCAGGATGAGATATTTTTGCTTGATTAGGGTATTTGTGCGGTAAGATGGCCTAAAAAGGTAAAATAAAAAGTAAAACGTACCGATGCAGTAAGCGATCAAGGCACCTGCGGGACCAGCCTAATAATCGGAAATCAAAGAATAGACGAAATTATATCAACAAAAAGTACGCTAAATTTGCTCTGACAGGATAAGCTTACCTCAGCAATGTTACCGCCAGAGTTCAAGAACAGACCAGTACTGTAAAAGAAAGCCCGCAAGATGAGTCAATATTTGGAATTTGAGATGATGTAAAAAGCGCCAAAAAGATATCAAGGAAAAAGTCGATAGCTACCCAATGGCACCGCCTAAAGAAATCATCTGGATATGTCTGGCATTAAGACCACGCTTAGTGCCTTGTTGAATATCATTATTGTGTTCGGATTCGACGGAAACCAGAGTGGGGTCACGATTGTAATTTTCTATCTTTTCGCCATCACCGGAATAGGTTCGATAGGGATCATAATAATTCCCTGTCTCAAGTTTCTCTTCCATGATCGTGAGGATGATGCCGGCAGGGAAAAGAGAGTGATATTAAAAGGGTAAACAGGCCAAAAAAAAAAAAGGAAGAAACAAACAAAAACCACTACAGTGAAAAAGGGGATCTGAAAAACCCTCCAAGTCTCTTTTTTTTTTTTTATCGCGATATGAAACCAAAGTCCGCCAAGCCATCGTCCAACGATGTTTAAAAAAATTGGACGTTCATCCAATTAAAATTGTTAGAAGGGTCCATTCGTAGAAACAGAATCTGTCTTGTTTTTTACTGCAAAAAGTTTTTTATTATTACTTTTGGAGCCAAAAAGTCCAAAATGTCAAATAACATGCTTGTGATCATTATAATCCCCACGGTCTCATGGTTTGTTATTTCTCACGTTCCCAATTACAGTATATTTTCCACCACGATAATCCTTTTTACTCCAAACCACATGCTGCCACTTTGTTTTAGGTCGCTTCCATGCTATAAAGAATTTTCTTGAACTGAAGTTGTTTGATCTATCGAAACTTGGAAGGATTTTAACGATTGATCTTCCGCGCTGAAGATGAGAAGAATCGGGCGAATTCTTTTCTGGTTTTGAGTCACGCGCATCAAATTACCCGGTGCACAGGCTTCCAAATTGGGACCCGGAGCATGGAAAAGGACCAATCCTTCCATTCCGCCAGATAAGGTTCGGTCTTATCTGGGCACAGTGGTTCAACCTGATTTGCTCGAAGCAAATCTAAAAATCGTTAACCTAATTTGGACATGAAGCCAACCATGACACCGCTTCTTTTGTGTTGCTGCATATCCTCTCTTTGCCACTTTCCCTACCATTAGCCGTGGGCGACGGGGCACTTGATAGCATTCCAAAACAATACTACCAAGAAGTTTTGCTTTGTTACTATGCTGTAAGACCCACAGTGTGTCCCGTTTTTCTTCCGGAAAGTAACCATGGGTCGTATGTAGATCATCGGGACAGCGCCGATTTTTTGCTTTTTTTTAGTGCAGTCGCTCATTGGGCACTGCGGTGAAAAATTGGCGGCGTCCTTTTTGGAAGCTTATGCATGATATGTGACCAATTAATTCGAGATCATAACCGAATAACCCAAAAAATATTCCCAGGTATCATCATGCTGCATGCGCCTTGATAGGTCCGATAAGTTTCTTACAGGGGCACACAATGCACCTTTATATCAAACTGTTTCATTAGTTTGTTAGTTTTCTTTCAATTTTCTCATCAACCCTGGTTGCAATCAAAAACCGTAACCAAAGAAATTGTCAAGAGTCGCATAATCTATTGCGCAGAATTCATTGATATTCATATGAAACGATCTAGGACTTGGTCGCAAAAAAGTGCGTATGCCAATTGTTACCAGGCCTACCAAGCGTGCAAACACAGCATCTATAATGGGCGCTATCTCCGGTGCATTTTTGATTGCAGTCGGCGTGAAAAAAACCAAGACCGGCAAAGAAGAGAAAAGCCGAATGATATATCAGCTCAAGGGACTGTAACAGGTCATTACGTTGGTTTTTTAAAGTGACTCTCGATGAAATGGATAAGCACACTACATAGAAAGATCATATATAGTCATGGATAATGCACCTATTCACACTCATAAAGACATAAAGAAATATATTGAGTATCGAGGATATAAATGTGTGTATCTTCCTACTTGTTCTCTTGGACTTAACCCATCCAATAGAACAATTTTGAGCAGCGGCAGAAAGTAAGATGAAGCGCCATAGGTTTCTACAGGAAGACGCTTTACGCAAACCAATCAGGGAAGCTTGCAAAAATGTGGAGAGAAGTCACTTTATAGTTTTGTTTCGCAATTCTTACTAGCGTTGGGATAAATGTCGAGACAAAGAACACATATAATAGTCATAAACGACATAGACAAAAGCCAAAATGCAGTGGCAAGAATTGGGTACGCAGTAGGTTATAAGAAGCATATAGTTATTTGAACCAGATCGTAAATGAGTAAAAAAAAGGGCTATGTAGGTTAGAAAGACAACTCTAAACTGACTCATCATGAGGTAATCGATTTTCTTGCGACATTTTTTGTTTGTAAAATGCTTTATTTTAAACTTGCATCATTATTGTGCTTGCTGAAAAACACAACATTCTTTCCACTTTCATAGCATTGCTTCCAGTCCATCGTTTTGACAGTTTCTTTGAATTAGTAGACATATTCCATATCCGTCTTGGGTATATCGATGTCGGATCGCAGTATCTCACCATTGCTACTGTCCTTGAAACTGGTTGCATTGTTGTTCAGTCGTGATGGTGATACAGAAAGGTCAGGGGATGCTGGCATTGGTGATGTCGACGGTGAGTTTCGTTCCGAATGCTTTCGTTTGCATGCGCTCGTGTAGAGAAATCCGTCATCCGCATACGCGAGTATTCGCTCTTGTAGGATCCTCTCGGGCACCGCTTCGCAACATTCATAATTTTCTTGAACTGTATGTTGGTCTGATGACGAACTTCGGTTAACACGTCCGTGGTAATTGATGTGCGGCAACATCGTCCATGACCCATTCTTTTACGATTTGATAAAGAGACGGTATTTTCAAGTCGTCTCATTGCGCGATGGATGGAAGTGACAATTTTTGACTTGAGAAAAAAACTTCAAAAGCCACCATGGGATGTAAAGGAAGTTCCTTTGCGTCATTTTTGATGGTGTTATGATCGAGTATGTAACATTTCTTGGCCCAGCATTTGCATGGAATTGGTTTCATGAAGGGATACGAAGTTGATTCGAAACCTTGCACAATATTGCTACGTGTCGCTTCAACACCGAATACAACCACGAATTCGACCACGGATTCGACCACGAATACGACCACGACTGCGACCACGACTGCGACCACGAGAATTTCCACAAGAACTAGTGGAAGAGTGTCAGATGGCACGGACGACGTGTAGACAGCATCGGACTCTGAACGATTCGGCCATTCGGTTGGCCTAGCTGCGTACATTGAAAGAATTTGGGAACCTACAGTATACAAACCATTAGCACTGTGAAGTAAAGATCAAAACGATAACTATTTACCAACTACTGTTGTCACTATGCTATCTATAACATATGGATCGCGCAGCATTAACTTGGCCATCATCGCTTCCCGGGGGGATGCTTCGAATGCAGTCTGAAAAGTAAGAGCCCGTGATCTGACGACAAAAAGTAGGCTAACATTTGGTAGACTCCAAAATTCGCACCAAAGCCAAAAGAATTCCCAGAGAACGTCGAGAATTGGCGTCTTCTGCTTGGATTAACCGCCACCTTATAATGCAAAGCAGGCCGTTCTTCTTGCTTGGACGATAGGCATAAGCATGAGGTTCCTTCGAACCTTCTTCATAATGGTTGAACGAAAGATGTACACAGGCGCAGCAACTAAAGCAGAAGGAGAAAAAAACCAGCTGCCTACTTTCTGCCTTTCTTGTCAGTGAATCGTATTCAGCAAGTGGTTATTTCTGCCATCAACGAACATGCACCTAAGCATATTGATGCCTGGATCGACGTTGAATACATTGAGTATTTGACATGGGTCATGTTGCTGCTGGTTATCTTCACATGCAAATTGTCTGATTGCAAGGCGTACTGGCGTAAAGGTGATTGCCCTTACCACATTAACATGGACATCACCGAGTACATATCGCTGGAGCATCTCTCAAATGCATGTTTTCGTGGTTCCCAATGGTCAGAGGTAAGTAAAGAATATGCCGATGGAAGAGAGGATAAAGTGCTATAAAAGCGATAAGTCACTAAGATCATTCATAGTAGAAGCAGAGATGGCGTGCTGTATCAACCGCATTTATTCTTGACTACCTTCAACAATCACTTGGCGAAATCCACATAGCCTGGTCGCTACCTATACGTTGACGAATCAATGAACCAGTGGCTCGAAATGGGGATGCCCCTCTTTCTTCCTGGGGATTGTCGAAGGAAATGCTTTCTCGGCCTACAAGCATTTTGCGGCCGAAGGTCAAGGAATTATACATGGGGCATTTCGCTGGAAACTGACGTTTTGCGAAAGCATAAATGAACGTTGTTTTCACATGGAGCCAACGACAGCGGTTGACGCAGCATCCTTTGGTCTCCTTGGGTAGAAATGCGACGGATAACTACATCCGACGTCAGTGCCAGCGATCCATCGCGCGACGAGACGACCTGACCATACAGTCTCTTTACCGAAGAATGGATCAGGGACGATATTACTGCACAACAATCCACCACGGACGTGTTAGCTGAAGTTTGTCATCAAACCAACTTACAATTCAAGAAAATCATGAATGCTACCTAAGCGATGCCGGAGAGTATCTTGTGAAAACGAATCCTTGCATATGCGGATAACGGATTTCATCACAATGCAACCAGTTTCAAGGACAGTAGCAATGGTGAGATACTGCGATCCGACATCGATATACCCAAGACGGATATGGAAGATGTCTACTAATTCAAAGAAACTGTCAAAACGATGGACTGGAAGCAATGCTATGAAAGTGGAAAGAATGTTGTGTTTTTCAGCAAGCACAATAATGATGCAAGTTAAAATAAAGCATTTTACAAACAAAAAATGTCGCAAGAAAATCGATTACCTCATGATGGGTCAGTTTAGAGACGTCTTATATCTCATCTTCGACAACCCACATAGTCTGGGGGGGGGTTTTTTTACTCATTTTACAATCTGGTTCAAATAACTATATGCTCTTATAAGTTACTGCGTACTCGATTCTTGTCACTGCATTTTGATTTTTGACTGTGTCGTGTATATTTAATAGAGAGATGGGAACAGATCAGAAACCGTTTCTGCTACCAATAGAAATACATGCATCCGTGGACTTGATGTAGAAAGAAACTGTACATCTTTATTTTCATTTATTGAGGAAAAAGGAAAAAGAGAAAAAAATAAAGGAAACCACAAAAGAGAAAGGACATATATAAAAACATTTTTTTTGGAAACGGCTGTGAGGATGGGTGGATTTCATAAGATTATTATTTAATCTTGTTCCATGGCGTCTTCTTCCTCACTTTCTTCTTCGCTCTCTTCAGCTTCGGCAATATCCAATTCCATATCCAGCTCTTGATCGCAGCCATTGTAAGAGTCAGACATCAGGAATACCTTGAGATTGTGATGACCGGCTTCAGGGGCAATGAAATCGAGTTTCATAGTAAGCTTGTGCTGCAGAGTAACACGTTTAATCGCAAGCAGGGTCTTGGTCGATGGTTCGCCAATAACGATCCACCAGCCTTCGTCTTTCTTGTGAGGGAAGTAGGGCGCAACCACAGGGCCAATCGGTTCATCACCTTCGCCTTCGCGTTCAAGTTGTACCTTGACATTCACGATTTCGCCTGCTGCCAGTTCTTCGGGATTCGCCACGTCGAAACCAATCTCCACATTGGGATATCGGTCCACAAAACGTACGACTTCGCGCAACTTGCGTTGATCCATACGCAACGTATCCTTGAGTACGTCATCTTCTTGCTCCATAAGATCAAACACAGATTCGATTCCCTTGGCTTCGCAGCGTTTGATGATATCATTGGTGAAGTAAGGAATCTGTTTCAACGGAGAATCGCGATCCCACATGGCCTGAACACTCATCTGAGCAAGTTCCATGGCCGACAGTGCGGGCGCCAACCACCCGTTCGATGAAATCACATCCACACACGCTTGCAGTAATGGAATGATGCGACCAAGGACCATGGATTGATCCGACTGAAGATCGGCAGGCAATTGCATACGGGCAAAGTGTGCTTGAAGCAGAATATTCGTCTTGATGCGAGGTGTGTTGAATTTGGGTGTCGCCAGTTTGACGGGAAGACGTTCATAAATGCGCTTGAGAACGCCATCTTCGTGATGACGGATCGGGATACCATCGAACTCGGTGGCTGACGAAACAATTTCCAACAGACCCTTGAGCTTGGTGGTGTTCTTCAAACTGACACTGAACATATCCATCGTGGTATAGTTGATGTTGTAGTAAGCGGCAATCATACCCAGGTTGAGAGGAGCCACATCCATCTCGTCTTCAATGGTAATACACTTGGTTTCTTGCAAATCGTTCAACGTGTTTTCTACCAGTTCAGACAAATGATCCGACAAGTGACGGTGACTGGTGCCTTGCAAGCCGTAGTAATTGGGATTGTGCGCCATGCGTCGGTAAAGGAAGGTCCACGTCAAATAGTCGACGGCATCTTGCTTGTTCTCGATCGTCTTGGTTACGATTTCCGCATTAAAGTGGTCGTGCATGAATTGATCCAAGTGAGATTCCACCGGCAGTGCTTCGTACAGGAATTTCTTGTAGAATTCCTTCTTGTTGGCTTGACACATCAATACACACTTGCCTGTATCGTCCTGCAGAGGGCGACAAGCGCGACCCATCATTTGCAATACGTCGGTAATAGGATAATCGGCGTAACGATGTTCCTTGCCTTCGAAATATTGCGTACCCATGATAATCACCATGTGCGAGTTCAGCGGCAGACCCCAGCAAGTGTCGCGCGATGCAACAATCACTTGAATGGCGCCGGATTCGTAAAGCTGCTCCACGATGCGCTTGTCAGACTTGGACAACGCTTCATGGTAGTAACCAATACCGTGCTGCAGCGTCTCCACCAACGCCTTATCTTGAACACGTTCCAACAACGGATTGATTTCTTCCAACTGACAGTGTAAGAATCGATCGGGGGTGTCGTCTCCCACACAGTAAGTGAGAATATCCACGGCGGTCAAGCGACACTGTCGACGGGAGGGCACAAAGACAATCACCGGTTTGTTGCTAGAGTGAGCGGTAATGGCAAGATACGCCGGTTTCGCCATGGCGATCATGAGTGAAGCAAAGTGAGGAATGTTGTAACTCTGAATATGGATTTCCAACGGGACAGGACGCACCGAAGGATGGAAATTGAACACGGAATGAGTCGTAGCACCAATCCATTCACCAAGATCACGAGCATTGGCCAAGGAAGTGCTCAACGCCACAATACGGATCGGTTTCTGGATTTGGGAAGCGATGTAACGCATACGGGAAACAATAACTTCGTAGGTCGGTCCAATATCACCTCCGATCAAATGCAATTCATCGGCAATAAACAAACTGACGTTTTGGACATTCTTGCGCTGCTTCCATCGACGCGAAATCAGATCCCATTGCGTAGGCGTACAGCAAATGATGTGTCCACGTTCCAACAACTTGAGATCCGCACTCGTTTCACCGGTTAATGCGACAATTTCTTTTCCGCCGTCAAGAGCACCAAACTTCTTTTGCCAATCGGCCACGCGTTGATCGACGAGCTCCTGCAAAGGCGCAATGTACACACAGCGAGCGTCCTTGTCCTGACTCCACATGCGAAGAATAGCAAATTCTGAACACACCGTCTTACCGCTACCAGTAGGAGCACCAATAAACACGTTATCGTCGGTACTGTACAGAGCGTTGAACACTTGGGTCTGAATAGGGTTGAAATGATCAATCCAGCCAGCATACACATTTTCGTACGCAGAGTTGCGCAGGGCAGAGACGGGCAAGGGTTGCAAATCATGCAGTTCGGTGTGGGGCGCATACTTTTCAGGAAGGATCAGATGCTTGAACGAGACGGGCAATTTGCTTTCGGAATGAAGCCATCGATCGGAAACCACGGTGACAAAGTAGTTGGGCGGCAGCGGTTCGTACAATGGCACCGTAAAGGTCACGAGATGTTCTTCTTCGGCATATCGCTGCTTCAAAACAAAGTAATCGTGGTAAAGAATATGCTCGCCATCGACATCTTCAACGAGGATCCAGAAAGCTTCGGCCATGCCGTGCACCTTTTCATCCCACTGGAAATCAGGCGTCAACGTCAGTTCCATCTTCAACAGCGATCGAGTAACGGGCTGAACATGAGCCTGGATTTCAATCTTGGGGAACTCGTGGATCAACTTGTGCAGCATTCGTCCCGCCTTGGGTTGAGCAATCAATTCACCCAACTCTTGCGGGTTCAGATCAAAGTAACGTTCCCAAGGGAATTCCTTACGTTCCAAACGTTTGATGATATCCGCCGGCATGGACTTGAACTGACGAAGCGGGGACATGGAAAGCCAAGCACGCTTTTCAACCATTTTGCACAGATCCAAGGCCTTCTTGGTGAGCTGGGCCCAGCCACGCTTCAAGCAAATTTCAAACACGGCACGCAAGATACGACCAGCACTCTGAGTCACATACACCATGTCGGACACCAAAGCAAAACCTTCCAACTTCAACTGCGAAATGTAAGCTTGCAGCAAGACATTGATCTTGGCCGTCGGTTCTTCCAGACTCTCCTTGACAGGCACCGGCACACGTTCCAACAGTTTCTGCAATTCCAGCTTCTCTTCTTCACGGACAGGGATATATTTGAACTCGTCTGACAAGGCAAACACACGGAACAGTTCAATGTGGCTCATCATGGGTCTCAAATGCTGGTTGTAAGTAGCCATGGAATGATGCGTCACATAGTAATGCGAAGCAATGCGGCCCAATTCCGTCACCTGGAAACGTCCGGATTTCTTGTCGTATTTAATAAGGTTGCACTTGTCAAGGATGGCCGCGGCTGAATGGATCAAATCGACGCGCTTCTGTTCCAGATAAGGATCGTCCTTCAAGTCATCGAGCGGAATACTATACAGAGTCGGGTTTCGAAGCATACGCACATACAGGTAAGTGTAGCCGAGCCACTGGACGGCCTCGTCACGGTTACGGATGGTACCCAAAACAATTTCAGCATTGAGGTTATCCGCCAAACGTTTAATGAACTGCGACTCGATCGGCAACTGGGTGTTCAGCAGAGAAAGGTAGTACTGCAGCTCCGCATGCGCGGTAATAATGATACCTTCACCATAGGTATCGAACTGAGGACGACCAGCACGACCCAACATTTGCAAAACATCTTGAGGCGATAATTCCACCCATCGACCCTTTTCCGGAGAATAGATTTGCGTGCCCTTGATAATGACGGCGTGAGCAGGCAAGTTGACACCCCAAGCAAGCGTAGCAGTAGAACACAGCACTTTAATGTGACCGTCGGCAAACAATTCTTCAACGAGGGTACGATCGGCACGGGTCATACCGGCATGATGAATAGCAAAACCGTAGGGAAGCAAATCCTGAAGATTGGCATCTTTGACCGTCGCCGCTTCCGATTGCAAAATTTCTCGACTGGCAGAATCTTGGTTCAAGAAACGTGCAATGGTATCCTTTTCAAGCGCCATGTCACGGATCGTCTTCGCGGTTTTGGCTGTTTCCTTTCTCGAGTGAACAAAGACGAGCACCTGGTTTTCTTCACGATTCTCAATCTGTTCCATGACCTTTTCGTAGCATACTTCGTTCATTGTCTGGAATCGCTTGATAGCCTTCTTCTCAGTGACACCAATAAACTGTTGCTTGAGAGGACAAGGACGATAGGTACTGTCAAAGAAGAAAAGTCCCGATTTCGGATCGACGCGAAGGAAAGTGGCGACATCAATGTAGTTGGGAAGCGTGGCGGACAGACCCACCAAACGAACCAGTTCTTGAGTTTGTTCCATGGTGCGAATGGTACGAGACACAATGCTCTCAAGGACCGGACCACGATCATCGTGCAACAAGTGAATTTCGTCAATGATGATCAAACGAACAAGCGCGGTGTAACTGCGATCGGTTGCTTTGCGTGTAATGACATCCCACTTTTCAGGGGTTGTGACAATGATCTGAGTTTCGGCGATCTGTTGCTTGGTCAATTGGCGATCACCAGTTAATTCAGCGACCTGGATACCGTACGGTTTTAAGCGATGGCTAAAATTGCCGACCATTTCTTGCACCAAAGCTTTCATGGGGGCAATATATACAATTTTGAAAGCATCCAAATCAATCAAACCTGTCTCCGGGTCACGGTTCTTGTCAATTTCATGCAGAATGGTCAACATGGCGACGTTAGTTTTGCCGGCACCGGTCGGGGCACACAAAAGCACGTTTTCATCGCTGCCGAAGGCAACAGGATACAGTCGACTCTGGACACGGTTCAAGCTTTCGGCACCAACAAAGGCGTCCTGAGCCCACGTGGGCAACGTCTTGATGGGGACCAACTTTTCGCCCGTTGCAAACGCCTGAGGCTTGGGAGCCGGTACGTGAATTTCTTCGTAGCCCTTCTTGGAACGCTTGAAAGAACCATCCGGTAATTTAACCTTTTTATTGGACATCAGATGAGCACCCTGTTCAAATGCGAGATCATCCAAATCAAGCATCTGTCTGGGGGCCACTGTGCTACCGGGTTCAATGGTGGTGGTGGTGGGTAGTTGAGCGCGACTACGGGTGGCGGCGGCGGCTGCGCCATCTTCATCGATTTCCATGGCATTTTCTACAACACCTTTGCGTACCAAGGCTTCACCACGACGACGACGATCACCACTCAAATCACGCAAAATCCAACCAAGGCTCTTTCCTTGCATTTCAGCCTCCAGTGCTGCTTTTTCTTCGCCCGTCACTCTCGCTAATCGCGTACACCAGTAGATGAGTTCACGATTCTTTGTAAGGATACGCACAAGATCGAATTTATCATAGTCGAACAATCCCATCAATTCGTTTTCGCAATCACGCATGTTGACAGATTCAGCACCGAGGATATCAAATGCTTTCATGGTTTTTTCTTGGGCGGTATGTGGGTCAGGGTAATGAACGGCAATTTGTCTCTGAAGCCAGAAAGCATCAATGTCGTGAGGCGAAAGCACGTCAGAGACCTTTTGTGTGGTTGACTTTCTCTTCTTCTTCTCGCTGTCGGCACCAGGCAAAACAGTACGGAAACCTTCCTCCTCATCCGGCGATTCTACTTCTTCTTCCTCTTCCGCTCTTCGGAATTGTTGTTCTGCAATCTCTTCGTCGTCGTCTTCCTCGACTTCCTTGACTTCGAACTGGTCATCCTCATCCTGCTCTTCTTCTTCTTCGTCAAACACCACGGCGACACCGAGCTCGTCGTCAATGGCGCCCACTTTTTCGCCATTCTCGTCGACATCCATGGCATCGTCTTCGGCATTATAATCTGTAATTTTTTTGGAAAGATTGACCAGTTGTGCGAATTTGTCGGATTCAATGGGACCAATGACGGATTCGATTTCGCGCTTTTTGTCGAAATCTTTGAGGGTGTCTGTTTTCAGGGTTTCTAATACATCGTCGGCAGCACTTCGAATGACATCGCGAGCTTGATCACCTAAATGATCATATACAAAAGACAGAATGTGTTCATAGGCTGCGCGCGTTTCTTTAGTACGAGGTCGGTAATTCAGGCCTTCCCAGTCTTCGGTGGCGGAAAGCACGGAAGAATAACCGTAGGCCTTGCTGATGGCGCTTTCTTCCTTTTTCCGTCGTCTCTTTTCGGCGAGGTCATCGGATCGTTGAGCGGCCTTCTTCTTCTTCTCTTCAATGCCTTTGGGCGTTTCTCGTTCGGCTCGTGAACCAAACTCTTTAGGATCGATCTTGCCCCACAAACTGTCGGGCTCGCCCGTAGCATCTTGATCTCTGCGAGGTAAACCGCTTCGATCGGCTTGCAAAACCAAGCTGGAATTGGCGGCGTACTGATACTGATTAGCCTTGGCAATATTCTCGGCCATAGTACTTCGTTGTTGAGAGAATGAACGCCACTAGTTGACCAGAAGAGACAGACAAAAAAAAATTTAAGCGTCAATAAAAAGACCAACTATAAAGATGAGCCTGCAAAAGATACTTTACAGTGATGGGTTACTTGTCAATTGACGATTACGACAAAATCAGAAAAGTCAAAGGACGAAGTGTTATGGATAAGGGCACTCTCCGTCGACCTAGAAACCCTTGCGTCATATAAAATTGTGGCTTTGATCACTGCGCCCAGTTTTCAACCTCCGCCATCGGCGGGCAAAAGCGCTCGAGCAGATTTGCCTTCATTTTTTTTTTTTTAATTAGGTATCCTCCAAAAAAACCGAAAAACGTCATGTCAGCTAATTCATCGGAATTGACGGCCACCGAGCCTATGCACCCGGAAGCTATTGTTGCTCCTAATGCCGACGAACTTTGTCGATCGGACGATCCACTTCATCCTGCCAACTTGATTCCCGAACTGTGCCGATTGTTCTATCAGCATGGTTGGGTCACTGGTACGGGAGGTGGTATCAGTATCCGCAAAGAGTATGTATAACTATATTCCCCAGCAGGCCTTAAGGAGACTTGGCTAACGCTTAGGCGTGCAGTGACCTCGTGTATATCGCACCTTCCGGTGTGCAAAAGGAACGTATGGAACCTCACCATATGTTCGTGCTCGCACTCGCCAACCGCACTGTCTTGCGACGCCCTCCCGTGTTGAAGCCTTCTGCCTGCACTCCGCTTTTCTACAATGCCTACACCATGCGTAACGCTGGCGCTTGCATTCATACGCACTCGCAAAACGCTGTCATGGCGACCCTCTTATATCCTGGAGCTACCTTTGAGATTTCGCATCAGGAAATGATCAAGGGCATCCGTCGCGGCTCTTCAAAAACGAATCTGAGATATTTTGACAAGCTCGTCGTCCCAATTGTCGAAAATACACCCGAAGAAGAGGATTTGACAGACCGCATGGCCAAAGCCATCGAAGAATACCCCGAAACCAATGCAGTTCTTGTGCGCCGTCATGGTGTCTATGTTTGGGGAGGTACGATCTGCTGATAAGGAGCTTTTGCAAATGATTCTGTGACTTATACATATTTCATCCAATGTAGAAAATTGGGAAAAGGCAAAGACAATGAGCGAATGTTACGATTATCTGTTCGAAATCGCAGTCAAGATGAAATCGATCGGTATTGATCCTGCTGTTAAACCCGCCAGCGAGCCTGATTATGAGTAATTGATGAAGCTTTGCATCATCGCAGTTTATAGAAAGTTCATCTGTTCTCATCAACCATCAACCTGTTAATTTATGCATCATGGCTGCGCCAATATTGTATTTTTACCCTCAATTATCGATCTTGGTATTCCATTATCACTGATTGTCCAAGTGTTGTAGCATGATGACTATTGTCGTTTGATCGTTTGGCAATATGGGAATCGGTTCCCAAGGAAAGAAAAAGAAAAAGACAAGTGGCAAGACGGAGTGTGCATGAAAGTGATGTGGAGAATTTATTCGGCGATGATGGAGCTAATAGAAAGCATGAGATTCAGAATTTGTAAATGTTCGTCTGCGCCATGGATCAAATCAATGTCGGCGTTGGCAAGAACTTGGGATATCTTGGATTTTTGCAGGGTTGTTAGATTTTCGTTCCGTACAATTTCTTCGTGAAGCTTTTGTATGGTATCATCAGCACACTCATTCCATAGGACGATGATACAGATAAATTGCGTACCTGAGTCAGGATATTTTCGGCAGAGTAGCCTGCATTCATCATTGTCTGAATCGCTTGTTGGATTTGTTTATAATCATTGGTCTCCCATGTGCTGATAAGTATGTTCAAGGTTTCAGGTGGGATAATCTACAGACAGCGTTTAACTTCACAGGAGAAAGAAAAAAAGGCCATGCATGATTTGTTTGCTTACACCAGCCATTTCATTGATGGTTTTGGAAGTGAGGTCTTCGTCCTTGTGTAAATTGGAACCGCTCTGCAAGAAAGTAATCGCTTTTCGCAAATCACCATTGGATGCCCGAATCAATGCATCCATCGCCTGTGACAGTCCCAAGTTGTTAGTTATTTTTGTAACCGTATCACTCCCCGCTCTTCACACAATACGTACACCAGGAGCTAATTTGACCTTTTCGCTGTCACAAATCATATTAATTCGTAAAGTCAAGTCGTCCATCGGTAATGGTTTGAAGCGGAATTTGGCACAACGGGATGTAATAGGTTCAATGATGCTGCAAGAGATAATGAAAACCTAAGCATAACAAGAAAAATTCAATTTTTGAACAAGTGTACTTACCGACTAACGTAATTACAGATAAGGCAAAATCGAGTGGTGGCAGAGTAAGTTTCCATTGTTCGTCGCAAGGCCGATTGCGCATCGTTGGTCATGGAATCGGCTTCGTCAAGAATGACGATCTTGAATCGTGGGCAAGGATAGCCGCTGCGGCAAAAAAAAAAGAAAAAAGAGATCTGATCAGCTCACAGTGATTGCTTGACCTTTCATGCTCCAAAGGTTTTACCTGACTGTTTGGGTCACTGTGGATCGCGAAAAGTCTTTTACTTTTTCTCGGATAATCTGGATACCGCGTTCGTCTGAAGCATTCAATTCAAGAATACGTGATCGCATGATCGGTCTACGGACGAAATTGTAAGGAAACAAAGTCTTTGAATCGGCAAAGATTGTATAGTATAAGTACCCGTAAAGCTCATGAGCCAATGCGAGAATAGTCGATGTTTTACCGGTACCTGGAGGCCCGTAGAACAACAAGTGAGGAAGCTAAAAACAAGATGATCATCAGTACAAGAAGCATTTCAGACTTGTTGATCGCCGAAGAATGCCTTACATTATCTGATTGCAACGCTTTCTTTAGGACAAGAACGGCTTGCTCTTGCGACGCAATGTCGTCCATAGTTTTGGGTCGACTTTCAAGAAACAAGACATTCAAGAGTCAGTGTGTGTAGTGTGTATTGATTGGTGAATATGGGGCTTACTATTTTTCGACCCATGGTTTGTTGGTCTTTTTAGGCACGTTGGCCTTTGTATGTGTTGCTCCAGCGCTGCGTGGTTGGAAAAAGTTCATTATAAGACAAGGCGAGAATGCACTGATGGAGAGACAAAAACGAGTCGCGTCAACTTTTCTTACGCGCGCGTTATTTTTTTTCCCCCGTTTTCCAACTTTTCTGAGCTGTGTCTGAATTGAGCTCACAAACTCAGGATTGACTGACGTCAGGTTGGCATGCTTAATTTTGGAAATCTTGCACGCTTCCCCGTTGTGAGGATTTTAGACCGAGAAAACCTGAGAGCTTTGTTGGGGTCATCATCATCATTTCCCTTCTTTTTTTCCCATGTCCTATCTTTCCTCTGACAAAGCAGAGTCAGAATTGGCTCAAAGCATTAAAAAGGCTACCAGTCCCGAAGAAACCGCGCCCAAGCAAAAGCATGTCCGAAGTAAGCTCTTTTTCCCTGACTCCACCTACTCTTTACTGCTCTTTCTCGTTTTTGGCCTGCCTCGTTTTGAGGACCACTCACACATGTTTTGCTGTTTTCCTCAGATTGTATTGTATACACTTGGGACCATCGTACATCCGCCATTATCTGGAATATCTTGAAAGTACAACCTATCTTATCGGATGAAGTGCAGACTTTCAAGGCCCTTATTACAGTTCACAATATTATCAAGAACGGCCACCCAAATGTAAGAACCTGTTATTTCTTTTTACCTTTCGAGTATTCGGTAATAATCGAGTCCAGATGTGATATTGACACTTGAGCTTATAGGTAATCAAAGATGCACTTCGAGAAACGGGATGGTTGGAAGCCTGCGGACGTTCGGTGAATGGCGATGGTGTCCGTGGCTATGGTACCTTGATCCGTAATTATGTCGATCTATTGTTACATAAACTGCAGTACCATCGTGATCACCCAGAGTTCAACGGTGAATTTGATTACGAGGAATACATCAGTTTGAAAAATGTCGACGATCCCAACGAAGGGTAAGTTTTACACTCTCCGGGAAAAAAGGATGATCTGATCTTGGTACATCTCTTGGGATTAATATTTCTTTTGTCGGATGGCTAGTTTTGAAACAATCAACGATCTTATGACGCTTCAGGACCGTATTGATCGCTTCCAGAAAGTGGTATTCGCCAGCTTCCGTCACTATACCAACAATGAGTGTCGTATCGCTTCGCTTGTGCCTCTGGTGGAAGAAAGTCATGGTATTTACAAGTTTATCACCAGTATGCTTCGAGCCATGCATCGACGTAAGTGATACCTAGGGTGGGACGACGAAATTTGGTGGGGACCAAGACAAAGTTTACAAACACCAAAAATGATGATTTAGGCTTGGATGCCATGGATGCCCTGGCTCCTTTACGTCAAAAATTCAATGTACAACACTACAATCTATTGAAATTCTATTATGAATGCTCCAGCTTGAAATACCTCACCAATCTCAAAGACGTGCCTAAACTTCCTGCTGATCCACCATCTTTGTTTGATGTCGACACTCCTAAACTCCCTAAACGGCCTTCCACAGCTCAAGACGAACCTACACCCCCTCCCGCTCAACCTTCGCCTGAACCTGTCATCGATTACTGGTCTCAGCAGCAGGCTCAGCAACAACGTGAGTACGAAGACGAACAGAAACGGTTGGCCCAACAAAGAGCAGATGAAGAGGAAAGAATGCGTCAGCAACAGATGCAGCAACAACGCGAATTTGAAGAACAGCAGCGACTGATGGCCGAACGTGCACGCCAACAACAAGAAGAGCTCATGCGACAGCAAATGCAGAACCATCAAGCAGGTCGTATCAACGAACTCGAAATGCAACTGTTGAATTATCGAAATCAACTCGAGCGCGATCAAATGATGTTGGAGCAATATGATCGAGTAAGATACTACAAGGATCAATGGGGAGAGACTATACTGACTTACGGGTTTTTTAATGCAACAGCGTGTCAAAGCACTTGAACAGGAATTGAGCATGGTGAACTCCAATGCACAGCTACGTGACCAATCAAAAGACGAATTGATCCGATCCTTACAAAGTAAGCATAGACACATTATGAGATTTGGCTGCGGAAAGTTGAAAAAATTAAATCGTTTGTTGCAATAGATGAAATCCAAATGTGGAAGAACAAGTATGAAGCCTTGGCCAAACTGTACAGTCAACTTCGTAAAGAACACATTGATCTGCTGAACAAATACAAGCAGTTGCAAGTAAAGGCCAACTCGGCTCAGGAAGCTTTGGATAAAGTCGAACGTATGCAAGCGGATATGCGTGCCAAGAATATTGAACTGGCGGATCTCATCCGTGAACGTGATCGAGCTCGGAATGAACTTGCAAGAGTGCACGAGGTAAACACATCTAATGTGCCGACTGTTGGGAAAGGAAACTGATCCGTATTGTTGCTAATACAGAATCAGCGCGATGAAATGGATCGTTTACGAAGGGAATTATCCCAAGCTCAGCAACAAATGGCGGATTCAGAAAAGGGCAAACGCGACGAATTTGGTGCGCTTGTTACAAGATTGAGACAACAAAAGGAGGATCTGGAATCCACGCTTTTGGAAAAGCAAGCACTTATTGATGAGTTCATTCGACAGCTGGAAGATATGGAAGGCAACGCCGATAAAGTGCGAGCAGTAAGTTAACATTCATGTTAAAATGATATGGTGTGGCCAATGCTAATGATTGCGCGTTCCTCACGCTAGGAAAAAGACGAGGAAATCGCCGTTTTGCAGGCCGGCATGGACGAATGTCTTCAACAATTAGCGGATTTGCAGCAGGTAAACTGGATGAACCCTTTGTATTAATGTTTCATCGTAATCGTATTGTTAACTGGGTTGTCATCACAGAATGACAAGCAACGTGATCTTCAAGATCAGTTGGAGCATTTGGAAACTGAACATACCGCCAAGCTGAGCCAGATTTTAGGTAGTGTATGAAAGTATTCGGAACTGAATGGGGCAAAAAAAGATCTGACAATGATGTCCATTTTTGTAGACAGCATTTTGACCACATGTATCCAAAAGATCAACGACGGCATGTACGAACTGGAAACGCCTGGACAGCATGGTAACGAAAATGCTACGCCCGAATTGACCTTGTCCATGATCGAAAGAGCAAGTATTTCATCGGTTGAATTCCTGTCTGCTTTTAGCAAATTCATGGATGGCAGCAATACCGGTGACCATGCCAGTACCATTGCATGTGCGCTCGGTCTGGCGGATACCATGATTGACGTATTACTGCATGCCAAGGGTATCACACGCTTGATTATTGAAGATGAAGATATCGATGAAATGATCAAACTGGCCAGACAATCGGCTGAATCGACCATTCAATACTTTAGCAGCGTCATGTCCACTTACCTTCAAATGCTGCCACGTGCTCAGAGACCGGAAGTTATTATCCAGGGCGATATGCGTGTCCAGGACGCATTGACCAAATTATCGCAGAAAACCGAAGATCTCATCGTGTCTGCTGCAACGGACATCAACAAATTGGCCGAAGGTGAAGTGGGTGATCTCGTTGAACAAGAAATGTCCAATGCCGCTCGTGCCATCGAGGAAGCGACCGCCAAGATTCAAGAATTGATGCGTAAACCCGCCAACCCTGAATTTTCCGCCACCGACCTTCAAGTGCATCAGCTCATCCTGAACTCTGTCCTGGCATTGACCAACGCCATTGCGAATTTGATTAAATGTGCTACTGCTTCGCAGCAGGAGATTGTCGCGCAAGGACGTGGCACATCGTCCAAAGCTGCCTTTTACAAAAAACACAACCGATGGACCGAAGGTCTCATTTCCGCAGCTAAAGCTGTGGCGGTAGCCACCAATCTATTGGTGGAAGCAGCGGACGGCGTCATTACAAAGACTCACTCTCTGGAACAATTGATTGTGGCTTCCAACGAAGTTTCGGCAGCTACGGCCCAATTGGTGGCGGCTTCTCGTGTGAAATCGACGTTCATGTCCCGCACACAGGAACGTCTGGAAATAGCCGCCAAGGCAGTCAAGGATGCCGCCAATGAGCTGGTCAAGCAAGTGAAGAACTTGGTTTCTCAAAAGGCAGACAATGATGACCTCCACATCGATTTCAACAAATTATCGGTCCACGAGTTCAAACGACGTGAAATGGAACAGCAAGTCAAGATTCTCAAATTGGATGCCGAGTTGACCAATGCTCGTCGTATTTTGGCTGAAATGAGGCGAAGTGGTTATCATACAGGTAAACATTGCATCATGTCCGCTGTCGAAAAAGGAACCAATGCTAACCTTATACTCAATAGAGGAGACCGACTAAATGTAGAGTTCATTTTTTCTTGCATATTTCTATACAATAAAACCCCTAAAAACACGACGCTTTTTTCATGCAATGCAAAAAAAAAAAGGCATTTCTAAATTAGGCAATTGTGACCGACCGCCAAAAAATGCATGCGCGAAGTGACGTTCTCTTCGGCTGGCAATTTTCTTATTCAAATTCGTCTTTGTGACACCTTTGGTTAAAAAAGGGGATATGGATACAATGACGTTATCTCCTGTTTGGAAGAAGCTTCTTGCTCGACAGTTGCAAGCAAACATTGAAAAGCTGGGTCCTTCGGAGTCTTATGTATCGTTAGCCACAGTACGCTTGGACGGTACGCCTGCGAATCGAACTGTGGTGTTTCGAGGCTTCGCCGGTGAACATCATGAACACGATTTGGGATGGGAAAGTGACCTGTTGACCATTACATGCGATCAGCGCTCTGCCAAAGTGAAAGAAATAAAGAAAAACCCCAGCTACGAGGTAAACTGGTAGGTTTATTCCTCTTTTTGTTCCGTGTGATAGGAAAGCCTACCTTTTAAAGAACCATCGAAAGGGAGAGCCGTGGCGGGAAAATATCATCAGGGATTAGGCGGTTTTTGGTTAGGATGAAAGAATTTTACTTAACTTTTTTCTACGGGTGGGGTCAGGTGGATGAGTGGAACTCAGGAACAGTTTCGTCTCCATGGCCATATTCATGTATATGGTGATCAACACCAGATCGATAGAAGCTTGTCCAGCCACGTGAGGAATACAAAGGATGCTACTAAAACACCGGTGCAAGCTGACTGGTGGGAAGGCGAACGACGTCGACAATGGCTTGCTCTGGGAGATGGGTTAAGGGCGACCTTTGCTCAAGAAGCGCCTGGCGAGCCAAAGATTCAAGAGCCCGACAATCAAGTACGACGATTGGAAATTGATAATGTGGACGAACAAGGCCGCTTCTGCAATAAAGATGCTGCCAAACAAGCGTTACTGGATAAAGGTTACAAGAACTTTGTCTTGCTGTTCTTGACTGTCTCACGGGTTGATCATCTTTTGCTACCGACAGGTGAACGTACACTGTACGAGCAACAGCAAGATGGTTGGAGAACCGTGCCATTGACGGGATAGAAATAAACATAGCATCATACAAACACGTGGACATCCCATTAATTAAACTCGAGCGATGCTTTTTACAATTTAGAATCAAATTGTATTCATTTCTTTTTTTATTTTATTTGTCATTACCAGTTGGGATATTTACTTTCATTCTTTTTCCCTTTTTTCTCTATCTCTATATCTGTTTTTATTTCCATGTCCCCTATACCCACATTGACAGTGTCTACCGATACCCCTTTTGTCACAGGTGCTACCACCACCACCACCACCACCACCGAAGATGAACACTCGTCTTCATCTCTGGCTTCGCTAAAGAGATCCCGACATACTCTACCAAAGATTCGACCGCCTCTCAGTAAAACTCGCTCAAGTATGGGCACGACCGGTTCAACACGTCCGAAACTGCAAACTGTCCAAAGTTCGGATGCCTCACGATTCATGACAATGGAACGATTCCAAACATATCATAATACCATGCGCATGTTCAAAAAGCCTGCAGTTTCTCCCACAAAGGCAGACGACAGCCCAACTAATTCAACCCAGCGTCAGCTCACAGTGGAACCAGCCGTCTTTCCAGAGCCTTGCATGTTCAATGGCGAACGAGGAGGAGGAGGCAGCAGCAGCAATAACAATTATAACAGCGGACATCAAGTAAGGCCAATCTGCAAAAAGCGCGTTGTTTTCTGGTGGGAAGCATGGTAGGCTCATTGCATTGAATAGAGCGATGTGAAGAGTATTCGAAGTGTGCGCTCGGGGAGTGAATCCACACAGTCGCGTAAAAAGCGCACCAAATCCCGCGTTCATGCAGGTTCCACTTTTATTTCACCCACTGATATTTTCGCGCAAAATCTGAGCGAGGCAGTCATGGAGGCCGATGGTAGGTTGGACAAAGAAGAATCAAGTGCCACGGAAGACTCATTCCAGTTCCTATTTCCAACGCTTTTTTCGCTTTGACTAGATTCAGATGACGAAGTGTTTGTTTATCGCGATAACCAATCAACGCTGTATACCCCTTCTTACCACTGGGTTTCAGACTCCACACTCAAAGAGACAGGCGATGAATCTGCCTGTAGAAAGACAATCAATAAATGGAATATCGCTCGCACACCGATGGCCTCACGACGTCGGCCGGTACTCCGGTCAGCAATATCCGAATTGCCGCCTTCAGGTGGAAATCCGTTTTATTTGTCTACAAAATCACGATGTCATTCTCACAGCCACGATTGGTATCCAAGCGACGCTGACGAAGAAAGTACACCACTGATGCGTCGAAAACGCACCCGACGTTCCAAAAAGTCAAAACGCAACACAAAAATATATGTATGGATTGCATTAAGCGGCTGCGTTTTATTGGGCGTCATTTCAGCCATTTTCATCTTTCTGGCGACGCCCTTGGTGGCGGTGGAAGTGGCAAATATCAATAATGTATTGGGAACCCAAAAACAATTAATATTCGATCTCCAAGTCAAAGCAAGGTAAGAGCGGCGGCATCATCCTCTTTCTTTCTTATACGTAACAAGGACCCATGGCTATCTCTTGCTCTCAGGAACAACAACTGGTGGGCTATTCATGCATCCGAGACTGCCTTTAGCGTTTTCGCTTCGAGTCAATATGTGCCCCTATTAACGTCCAACAATGAATTGCCATTGCCAGTTATGCAGGGTGAGTTTCAGATTTCAGATGAAACACGACGCAATTTGTTGACATGGACAGTAACCATGACAGATACCAATCCTCAATCGAATCCCATCGAGTTTCTGGGGACCATTTATCGCCTTGAAGAGCCACTTATTTTTCAGGCCGCACGATGGTTGGAAAGAGGCCCTTTGAGTTATGCCACCAGTCAAATTCAAATAAAAAATCCAGGTGCCATTCACAACGATTACAGTGGGAATGAACGCTGGTAAGTCGTGGATATTCTCGAATTTCCGTGACTTCCTGCTCACATACTGCCGGATGTATGCGTCATTAGGTCACTGCTGATTAGATATCCGTATGAGCTCACGGTTCGAGGCATTCTCAAATATCGCTTATTCCCGCTTTTACCATATATGCATTCAGTCCATGTCTGTCAAATGTCACGTATCGATCCAGCCACAGGAAAAATTTCAACGATTGCACAGGACAAGCAAGCGCTTTGTGATGAGTCTGTATCGACTCGACATTCATTGAATTCCTTATTCGGTTCAAAGATGGAATGATTCACTTTCGCCAACGCTCTTGCCATTCGACAGACACCTTTCCTCGCGGCTAGCTTACCTCTAGTCTATCACCAAAAAAGAAAACGTTATGTACATACAACGATATCCATTCCAAAGGACCAAAGATGATGATGTATCCGTGTATTTTTTCATGTAAATTGTGTAAATTTTGTCTTGATTTGTTGGGTGTGTAGAAAAGTTTTGAAAACGTGTAGATGGATGTGTGCATATGAAAATAAGTTTGCGTGATGGTTATCTTTTTCTTTTTTTTCTTTTTTTTTTTTTTTTGCTGATTAAAATTACTCTTTGCCTGATAGTTTGACCTTTTTCTTTTTGCTCTGCAATGCCAAGAGACTGCTGTCCGCTCCAATATCCTCAGCATGCGCCAATCGTTTTTTCCGCTCATCTTCCTGTATCCGTCGTCCCCTAAACAAAAACGTCGGTAAGAAGAGAAAAAAAGGCATCACTCTGGCTTTTTCTAATCGGATGCAAAACATACTTTTCCTTTTCGGATAAATGGTTGCGAATTTCGGGATATGTGGGCAAAAGGGATGGATCGGCCGCTATGCAGAAAATGAGAAAAAGTGTTGAGTCACAGATGGATGCATGGTGATTGCAAAAGAAAGTACCTCGTGGGGATTCGGAGAAATAAGGATGGAGAAGGGCTTGGCGGACGGTCAGTCGTGATCGAGGACTGTAGGTGAGAAATCCAGCTAGCATCTTGATGGTATTTTCGCTGTAACGTGGAAAGACAATCTTAATGTTATTGTAACTGCGAAGAAAACAAAGAAAAGATTAAGGTTTGATTATGGAGATTCCTTTGAATATGTTACATCATTTGTATCATTCATGCGCATCCACTTACTCTTGTTTTGGTAATATGAGTGATTTGGCCAGGGGCAGTTTCATGAAACCCTGCCATATCGTTTCTTTCGGCGTGCCCAGTAACTTGACAATCAAATCTAGTTGCGCTTGTTCGTTGTTCCCGGGCAACAGTGGGCGGTGTTGCATCAACTCTCCCATAATACATCCCGCTGACCTAGATGTGACATCAACCCTTTTAACTGTTTTCTTGGCCGACTCGAAATGATTCATACTTTCCCGATGATCTTACCAGAGATCCACTGCTGTTGTGTAATTGGATTCACCAAACAGGAGCTCCGGTGACCGATACCATAAAGTTACCACGTTCGGCGTCATTGGCTTGCCCGGTAAACTTACTGTTCGTGCTAACCCAAAATCAGCTAATCACTTTGCACATCAGTTTCTGAAATAAAAAAAGCTTCTTCATTCTCGCTGCAAACTTGATTTGTCATACCGATTTTCAGTAAGCCAGTAGATGTTAATAATAGATTCGACATTTTCAGGTCTCTGCCAAAAAAAAAAAAAAAAAAAAAAAAAAAAAAAAAAAAAAAAAACGTCTCGTTAGCAGCCATACCAACTGCATATATTATGCACACACTTGTGAATATTACCGATGAATTATAGAATGATCGTGACAATATTCCAGCCCTCGCAGTAATTGGAGCATAAGGCACTTGACTAAGACGTTCCCGATGCAATGAGATCAATGGGAAAATTTTTGAACTCCATAACGTTACAGAAAAACAGCTTACTTTCTGAAGGGGTATACGGTGTTGGTACCATATCCAACAACGTTCCGAGATCCTGCATTCGACAATCGTTGTTTCAGCATTCGGGGATCACTGACATCGGTGCAAGTCTGTCTTGTCCATTACCTGTTCACAATACTCCATGACGAGGAAAAGCGATTCCAGTTTACCGCCAACAGCGACGTCCGTGACATTGACGATGTTCTGATGTCGCATTCGTTTTAATATACTGATCTCTCGTAAGCTCGATATAGGCACCCCATCAGTTTCTCGTTCCATGCGAATCTTTTTCAAGGCCACCACTTTTCCTGATCTACTGTCTTTCACCCTACTAGAAGAATGGAAATAAATGTGAGCATGATTGATTCTGGTGGCTGTTGATCGGCCAACGGGAAACGACAGTTACTAGACAACACCGTAGGTGCCTTCCCCGACTCGGTTCAGTTTTTCGAAATCCTCCACATCGCGACAATCGCCGTAAAACGGCATTTCTTTGTATGGAACTTGCTTTCCTTTCACAGTAGTTAGCACAGTTTGCCGTTCCTCATGACGGCGTTCGGACATGGTATCGAGTGAAAGAAATGTATAGCGCGATTATTTTATCTTTGGCGTAATTTTTTTTGGCACATCTCGAGTGCGTTGAATTGCTCACCCAACACCCCGCTTCCGCCGACAAGTCACAACCAATTGCAATCCCCGCTGCGCCAATGCACATAGCTTGATATCCGATCCCCGGGCATTATCACGTAATTAAAGAGTTCACGCTTTTGATCGAGTGCAAAGAAATGTCTATCCCGAATAGAATCGATACAGTCGTTTACTGACCATTCCATAACACGGCAAACCATTTACTTTGAAAGAATCAAGGTTAATAATAAAGATCTGATACTTCAGCCAAAAAATACCGGTATGTATAAAATGATGCAAATCAGTACTCTGTGTTTTTATATCTGATATGGAAAAAAAAGAAGAGCCCGTATGTAATGAAGAGCAAGCAAGACCAAAAATAATGTAATATGTGTACAGAAAAAAAAAAGATTTGCAGCATCGTTTTTTATGTGAATAAGCCCCCACAGACGCATCGCCGTTTCAGGCTTTGTCGCCACAGTGCCCAAGCACTGGGATCTTGGGCTTTGCTGACAGACGACGCAGGTAATGACGATTGATGACACCTAATCCAATCCCAACGATTTAATTTCAGTGCTGCGTTGTAAAACTCCCGTAGTTTCATGCACGTTACCTGACGCATCGCTGGACGTAAGTCACCGAAGGCGAAAATCGAATTTTTCGTATGACGTCGAAAGGCTGTTTATCTTCTTTGTACAAGTAAATGGCCGATGGCGCACATGTGTCATTAAATTTCGCAGTAACAGCTCGCAACTCCTCAATTTTGTCTTTGGGCAGTTTCGACGACAAAAGTAACGATAGCCGGTCATCTAAAAAGTGTCCCTGTTTAGCATATACACCGATAGACCGACGAGTCAGGACGAGAAGCCAACTTACGTCTCTCAGTAGAGGGTGATGATGCGTTATCGGAAGCATCCAACGCTTCCAAGAACGCCAAGACGTCTTTGATTGCCACAGGTTCGGAAGGAAGCAGTGAGGAAGCGTAACGTTTGAACATTGGCAAGGTTTCGGGAAAGTGGGTAAACTCGTACGACGAAGAAGTCGCAAATCGAATGAATTGGTGAACCATCAATAGATCTTTTCGGAGCGCTTGACGTGAATCTTTATGTATGAATAATACCGCATGAACCGGCCGTTCGTCGATCGCTAATAGTTCTTGAGAACAAAGCCAATCAATTGGGTGGGGTTACAATGATAACGCAGGTTTCCAAACTTTTTGACTTACTGGAATCCTTTGGTCGTTTGCAGTTGAACAGCGTATACCATTCTCGTAATCCCCATCGAACGTGGTCTAATACCCATTGTGATAACGAGATCAGAGACCACAGACTATCTATACAACATGTGAATAGCTGTTACATCAACGTAAAAAGGAAAGAATAGATGTTGTCATTGTGTCGGTGATGGTTTTGTACCTGGATCAAATGCCAGGGCTGCGGATTTATCGTCTATTGTTCGTGAATCTGACAAGATGGCATAAGTAAACAGCGATCGTAAAATTTGACATGAATACTGTACCTAGTACTTTGAGTATCTCGGCGTAGTCGGAAGTACAGCTTCCGATGAAACATTCTAATATGATAGGCAGTTGAATCGCTTTGCAGAAATTAATATATTGTGTATTCTTATTAGACAGTCGTCTGGAAAGCAAGATCATTGTTAATTATATAGTGTACCACCAGACATGTTGGTAGGTTTTGTTCGCTTACTTGTAGGTGCCAAGTGCCAATCCATAGGCACGTCCCAGCTGTGCTAAACTCCAATCTTCCAAGCCGACCTCTTGGTTTGGCTTATCGTCTTGTGATACATTGACGGAAATACAGCGTTGTGAACAATGTGCATTGTAGACCGCCAGGGCCTTTTTGATGATATTCTCGGGTACATCTAGGTTGTTGTATTCAGTTTCTGAAAGATTACCGTGTTATAAACTTTCAGATCTCTGCTTTTTACCTGCGTTTTCGGTCTGGCTTAATCGTACAAGCTCAGAAATTAGATCGGTATCATCCGTGTGATTCAACAAACTGCCAATCACTAGGCATTGAATGGTTTCCACCGTATCTAACACCCAGTTGAGCTTTCATGCTCGAATATCCTTCCATCCGCAATGCCAAAATGGCAACTTACTCGCTCGAACAACCGGTATTCGAGAAGACCCCACTTTGCCAGAGGAAAACATGTATACAATATGAGTCTCATTTGGGGAGAAGGCGATCCCGGCAATGGCATCTATGTTACCATGTAAAATTGATGTTAAAACTCTCTCTAAGACCATGCATCGTCTGTTATTCATTACCTGAATAGCCATCTTTGTATGTATGAGGTGCAATCACTTGGAAAAAGCTGGAATGCAGTTGTTCGACTTGCTGAGCATCAGGAGGAGACAATCGAAGGTCATCACTATAGGCAATAAATGTTAAGTCTGGGTATATCCTTCTCGTTAAAACCACCAAGTAGAAAACGATCACTTACCCTTCACTGCAGTGCATATGGATACTGCCATTTGATAAGCCGACTGCCAAGATACCTTGATGGGTAACAGCCATTGATGTGAAGAAGCACTTGGAAGTCGTGAATCCTAATTGAAATTGGAACATCTATCCCTATGGTTAGCAAAATACTTGATTGTTCTGCTAAATGGCTCCCACATCCATAGTTACCTGTCTAGTGGTTTTCATCGTTGCGTTGGAGCCGTAACTATTATCAGCATCAAAAGCACTGGAGATCTGAAAAGAAGTTTCTTGCAGAAGCCATTTTCCAAAGAAACTAGAATGATCACCATCGGACACTACAAACGACATAAGTTTTGTTTCTTCCTTTCCTCGCCCCATAGCACCCAAGACAATTCGCCTATGTTTACCATTCTTTTTCGCAAAGGTCGCTGCCAACTGAAGCCCCTGCTTCCCTGGAAACAACAAAAGTTGTGTGACGGAGCATGAGGGATCATGAAGATAATCAAGATTCGAATCGGTCATTGTGTTATTCAGTCGCAAGGTGGTGATCAGTTGACAGAGCAATGCTGTTGACCGTAGTTGGGTTAATTGAACCGTTACTATTGCTTTATGAGGACAATTATACCATACCTCCTTTGTCTGTTTTTCCAGGAAATCGAACATTGAGTTTATACAGATGAATCGACTTGAGATGCGATGTAGCATAATGCGCTGCAAGATAGATATTCCCATCTAATCATGCCAAAAAAAAAAAAAAAAAAAATGAGAACCATGGGCCGCCGTCCTCTTACACATGCCTTCTTCTGCCCATCACTAAGTTGTGCACACACAGGATTCCCATCAAGCAATAAGTGTCATTACCGTTATCAAAGCTGATGGAAGCATGTGATATCCTTTGCCAATCGTCCTGACCCACCAACGTCGCGCCAAAACAGTTACCACTGGTGGCCATGGGATGTTTACGGCCAATTTTAGGTAAGGTAGTGGAGAAGCTGGAGAAGATGGTGCCGTTGCGTTGATAATGCACTTGGACTTCGCCCTGAATAGTCACCGTAACAAATGAAAGATGACCATAAGGATTGCGTGGACCAAAGACCGGATTACGGACAAACTGTTCCTGATCACTGGATGTTGGTGTGGCGTACTAGTCGGATTCATCTTGCGGTTTAACAGCACGCTTCATCAAAAAGTGAGAAAAAGGAGGATTCAACTTACACGTCGTTCGGCATTGAGCCACAGGAAACAAGCGAGTGGTTGATGCACATTGGTTTGATAGATTAGTGACCATGTCTCTGCCGACCCCTACGGAACAACCCAGTCAATCGATCGCAGGTCAGTAACTATGAGGTTTCCATGACTTTCTTTTAAGGAACGCAAATTGTTAGACTTACTTGTAAACTCCAAAGTCCTAGTTTTCCCGTTTCGTCGCTGGTGGCGAGACAGTTTCCTTGCTGATTCCATTTGACATGAGTAATAGTATGCTGGTGATGGTACTGTTCTGCGAGTTTGATAGGTGATTTGCGAAGTAACACGGGTTGTCCGGAAATATCCAAGGTATAAAGATCACCGGTAATGCAGTTGATGGCTGAACGGTTAGGTTTGGGTGGAACAGTGACAACAAGACTTTGAACGCTGGTGGCAAGACACCCGGCAGGTTGTCTGTAGGTAAGACTCGAGAGCATAAATGAGAGCGGGTAACGTGCAGACAGGTTGGACGAGCTTTTTGGCGTAAGCCGTCTTCGCTTGGTCGGCATTATTTCCACAGCCATGACACACACACACACACACCAATCGGGGTCGGGCTATTGGATGGCTTGGTCAAGTACAAAAAAAGAAGGAACGGTGGACAAGCAAGATTTGCCAAAATTAAGTGAGAAGACGGTAATGACGGAAAAGTCGCTTGCTGCCGCATCACGTCCGAACTTTTTTTTTCTGGCACCTCACAAAGGGAATTTCCCAGCTCAAGGCAAAATTTTGGCCTCGTCCAGTGTAGTCAACATTATTGGTGCTGAAATTCAATACCTTTTTCCTATATGAAAAAAACCGATGGCCATTGTTTACAGCCATTTCTCTCTCCCTCTTCAGCCTCCACCTTTGAAGGAGCGACTATTTCGCACATGAGGCCCCACTTGTTCTTATGGTATATTTCTTCTCTTTTTAAGAATCTTGTTCATATTCTTTGTTATGCGATCATTATCCATCGTACTTCTCTGTGCCTGTTTGACCCCACAGTGCGATGACGAGTATAACTTGCAGAGAGCTCTTTCATGTGGTTTTCTCCTTTTTGGTTGTGCTGATAGGGGCGTTGTTGCTTTTCATTGGGGAAGCTGTATAAGGTGTTTGTATCACAGTTGAAATCATATGCAGAGAGGATATTGGCGCGTCCACAGGATACCATATTTAGTAATGATTTGCTTCGCTGTCAGATGAAACTGCCAGTGAGAGAACGAACCTACAAACACTGGCTTGTTATGGATTGAACTGTTTGGTGTATCATCATTTTGAGCTCGCTTATATAAAACGAATGGGACGCAATCAACAGGCAGGTGTACGACAAAGCTTAGAAATGGTAAGTATTGGGCGGTCCAGAATGAAGAAAACAAGCAACATTCAAATAGCGTGGAAAGTGGTCATGAAAAACCAATGGAAAAAGAGCATCAGGCATCGCTCCCCAAGTCACGGTGCTTTTGTTCATTTTGCCACAGACCCATTTTTAAGGCCCTCTTTTTTTTCTTTTTATTTCTTTTCTTTCTTTTCTCTTTTGACACTCCATTCCCCCAATCCCTTTCTTTCAAAATGTCTGATCAAAGAGCAAGACTCCAAGCTTTAGCTGCTAAAAGAAAGAATCAAGCTCGCGACGACAACAAGGATACTTCTGTTACCACCAAACGAACCAAGGTGGCTGATCGGTAAGACGCGATCATGTCGAATTCCCCCTAATTTCCTTCATTCACTCGTTTTGTCATGTGGCAGTTCCACCAAATTAGAAGCACAACCTCGCCGTGAAGACAAGTATAACAAGAAGGATGGATTTATCGTAGACGATGATGAAGAGGAAGAAGAAGAAGAAGAAGACGAAGACGACGAGGACGATGAAGAAGAAGAGGAAGAAGGTGCGTAACCATACCTTACCACTGTCTGAAAGACTGGATTGGATTGGATTGGATCGATTGATTGAACTGATTTTTTTCGAATTCTCACAGAAGCTTCTTCGGATGAAGATCGCAAAAAGAAAAATAAGAGCAAGAGCAGCCAGAGAAAAGCACCCAAGTCGGCTCCTTCCAAAAAGATCCAACAAAAGAAGAGCCGCGACGAAGATAATTCAGGCGATGAAGATAAGAGTGACATTTCTGGTAGGGATCAACTGCATCTTGTTAGAGTTTCGCCTATTATTGACGATGTATGTATGTTTATAGAGGACGAGCTTTCGGCACTTGACACTTCGGCCATCATCACGGGAAGCCGAAGGACGCGTGGAAAAAAGATTGACTATAAACAATTTGGCGCTGATCCCGAGGATGAGGAGTGAAGGGGGCAAAAAAACAAGGAACGCATTCTCTCGAATCAATTTTCTTTCTTTTTGTCGTTTTGAACAAATCCCATTTTGACACTTGAAAAGGAATCCCTCCCCCAAAAACAAAACAAAAAAAAAGCGGAACGAAGGTTTTATTTTGATGACGATGTCGCATTTGAGCGATCTTTGCTCTCTTGAGGATCCGAAGGAATATGCAATTTTTCTTCCAATACTTTCGCCAGCGCTTCGATTTCTTTGTGTTGTTTTTCGTCTTCGGACTTGGTCTCTTTCTCGATCTGCTTTTCTTCTTCTTCTGCTTCGTGCTCTTTCTCCACCTTTTCTGCCAATGTTTCGGCTTCCCATATCGATTTTAATTTAGCATGTTCCTTGTTATACAGTGACTCCAAATCGTCCTATCATCCATCATCAGTCATTTCGTCGCATCACGTCCGGCACTACTCCTTTACCTTCCATCCCATCAACTCTGCAAACTTTTGTACGCCTTCATTACAATCGCCCAGGAAGAGCGCATCCCGTTTTTTGCCATATTTCCATTTGAAGTCAAACCCACTGTGAGACGTGTGATGCTGCGAATCAAAAGAAAAATAATGGAGAAAGCAATTAATTTTTCCATGCACCCAGTGGTTTTTCTTTCACATGTATAATCATCACACTTACATCACCGGCCTTTTCTTTGTTAATGAGAAGTCGGGGGACATAATCAGGAACATCGTCGATCAATGAAGCAAATGGTTGCACCTGAAGACTGGTGCCAATGACAATCAACAAGTCGGCTTCACTAAAATCCTGTGACAAAGTATCGTTTAGCCGATCTATCCCCGCAAAAAATTGTTAATTGAAACCTTACATGTAATCGTTTGAAGAAGCGCTTTGGAAGGTTTTGGCCAAAAAAGGTGATGTCTGGTTTGATAAGACCATCGCATGAAGAGCACCGTGCCACTTCTCCTTTCAATACTTTTTTCTTCACTTGGGCTGGATCCGCCACATTCTTGCATTCGACACAAGACGCAGTGGCAAAGCTTCCATGGGCTTCCACAATAAGATCTTCATCCAAACCAGCCAGTCGTTCCAATGTATCAATGTTCTGTGTAAAATTACGTAACAGCATGCCCTTTTCGTGAAGCAATCGAATAAAATAGTGAGTTTTGGTAGGATAGTATTTTCCAGGATATAATTCTTTTGCCAAAGCATAGAATGGTTCGGGTTTTTCCTGTAAAAAGTGGGGGGAAACTGTTGTTCAGCATGCGTGGTTTGACAGATCGAACCAACCCAATATTCCCTTCGTACCATGAAATAATCGATATCAAAAATGGCTTCAGCGTAGGGTAGATTGAACTTTTGCAGATTATCATATAAACCTGTGCCCTTGCTTCTAAAGTCGGGTATGCCCGAATCGGTGGAGATGCCAGCACCGGACATGACAATAATACGTTTCACTACCATCAACCCTCATGAGTCCATGTCTCGAGTGATTTCAGCGTGATCCCTGTGCATCACCTACCGTCATTTTTCTTTATATAATTGACGATGCCTTCTATTGTTGGCGCGTCCAGTTTGGCAGCCGCTGTTTTTGCTTTATATTGCGATCGCGTTCCCGGCATGACCACTTGTGGCAGAACAGAAAAAATAAAAATAAAATAAAAAAAAAAGGATCCAATAACCAGAAAAGGCAAAAATTGCAAAAATTTATCGCCAGCTTTCTGAAGTTAATGTTATGCCCACCTAGGTCCAGACATCATCATGACGGAATAAGTCTCTTTTTTCATCGCAATGATTTAACGTACATAAGAGACAAAAGGGATACTTAATTGTTGCGCACAGTGTCCCCTTTTTAACTGTCGCAGTGGATCTAAGGGTTGGTGGAAGAAGCATGTTGGATTTGTGTGACCCTGTAGTATTTGGCACCTAAAAGACAAAGATGATACAGTTATTCCACATCTGCTTTTGGTTCTACTAGCAAGCTTTCTATAGTTGCCGAGACAACTAATGGCGACGGTCGTGGTACTGAACTGTTGCATGCAAGGCCATTTGGGGTCACCGGGATCATTTCATACTCCGTCAATCAAACGAGGATATTGGGTGCCGACGCAACAGTGTTGAAATTGGCTTTTCTGTCCATAAGACCCATCATGTCAGAAACACTCTACAGTCAGCGTCCTGAATGGGCCGATATCATACCAGTAAAGCAAGATGACGGGCCAAATCCCTTGGTTCCCATCGCATACTCGGCCGATTGTAAGCTCTTCTTTTCCTAAACCATGGGTTGGTTAGTCATGCTTATGCTTCGCTCTAGACACGGATGCCATGGATTATTTTCGAGCAGTGACGCGAATAAACGAGAAATCGCCTCGCGTTTTGGGATTGATTGAGGATATTATTGACATGAACCCGGCGCATTACACAGTCTGGTAAGCCAATGCTCATTGTCGAGACGGCTGGCGGGCAGGATCACTGAGCACTTTTATACGTATATATATCACACAGGCAGTATCGACAAGCGGTGCTGTTTGCTCTCGAATCCGATCTTGAAAAGGAACTTGATTATATTGATGACATTGCTTTGAATCAATCGAAAAATTACCAAGTATGGTACGACTAAAATTCCTCCTCGATTGATGGATCAAAGCTTACAGAACGTTTCCATAGGCACCATCGACAAGTCATTGTGGATAAAATCGGGAAATGCGATCGTGAACTCCCATTTATCAACAGCATCTTGGATGAAGATTCAAAGAATTATCATGCATGGTCTTACAGGTACATTTCGGCGGAAGATACCGGTGTGGAAAAGCGCATGGAAGCGGGTTCTCACATGAAATGATCAGGCAATGGGTGGTTTCGCGTTTCAGCCTGTGGGATCAAGAATTCAACTACACGGACGATCTCCTGACATTGGACGTACGCAATAACTCAGCCTGGAATTATCGATTTTTTGTGCTCTTTCGAAATCCCGTCAAGCCCACCTCAGAACAAATTGATAACGAGATCGAGTCAGTCACCAATAATATTACAAAGCAAACATGATATTCGGGATATACTAAATGATATTTCTAGATTTACAAAGAACAAGATCCAGTTAGCGCCGAATAACTCTAGTAGCTGGGCTTATCTTGAAGGGTAACTGGGCCTGTTGTATGACTGTCTGAATATGCGTAATAACTTGTGCCGTGGATAGATTGTTTGAAAAAGCGGGAAGATCTCTTTCCGATTTGAAGCCATTTTTGGATACTTTACGCGACAAAGACGTTGTTTCGCCTCACACATTGTCCATGTATATCGATGTTTACGAACAAGAAGCTCGCAATAATAACACACCGGTAGATCAGGAAGCGTTCAAGGTTGGTCCCAATCGAACAATTTTACAGGGATCTGTACTGACTGGGGAACTCCGTAGCTGTGTGATGAACTTGCCACGAAACTCGATCCCATACGCCATAATTATTGGTCCTACAGAAAATTGGTGTTGGCAAAACAAAATAAATAATACCAGGATTCCAACTATCCAGCAACTGGCATCTCACGCCCAACAATGCATTCTGTGCTAAATTTAACGGAATTCACGCTTTATACTGGTGAGAAATTTCAGTTGGTATTGCCTTGCTATCTGCATCTTTGAAAAGGACAAGTTCAAAAGAACGGAGGAACAAAGAAATGAATTTCAGGCCATAATAGGTTCATGTGTGCAGTCCAGATGATGCAATTATCCTTCAATGATAAAGTGTATATTTTTTGTGGCTTTCATTTTCTATAGAGCCACCATTCTTTTATTTCATTTTGATGGATCTCTATTACAGAATCTCAAAATTACCCGATATTGGCGTAACCATAAAGTACACGCCTTGCGAAACTAAATGGTTTCTAATTAGCCCTTATCTCCCTCTAAGAAAATGGAATATAATTGGTATGCACAGATTCAAAATTCTAAGAGAGTAAAGATTCATATCAAGAAAAGCCGTATTTGTGCCTTTTTTGTTTTATCAGTGCGCAAATCAAAAAATGGATCGCTTGAAACTTGTCACGATGCTGGTGCCATACTACGCCGGATGTATCCGACTCTGATTTCCTACGTAATCAAAACTCTCTATGACAACGAAAATTACATGAAGGTTCATCCGTCGTGAATGTTACCGGAAACCGACTTACAGCAACAGCAAATGCTCCTGTTCACAGAAAAAGACATACACTCGAAGCTGGAATCGTTTGAGCGTCATTCATGCAGCGGGAATTAAATAAGGTCCGCAGCATCCCTTTTTTTTTTATATATATATACAGATGAACTTGGCCAAGTAATTTTCATGCCTTCTTTAACCCTGACACTTCACTTTTTTTACATCGTCGTTACCTTTGTCAGCGATTATGTATGGTTCCCCACTTCCCGCGTCTTTTTTCATCGAGATGGGAGCTCGTTAGAAAAGATGGATTTGCTAGGCATGCCCTTTTTGGTAGCCAAGAACCCGGATCAAGAAACGACGGTAGCCAAATTTGGGCCATTCTTGGCAGTAAACCCAGGGATGGACGTTGTCGACGTGATGTCAATCATGTTTCAATCCAATGAAATGAACAGAAGCAAACTTAATGTGAAAAAGTTTTTCAAACGACGACGGAAAACGATGAATGATAAAACGAAAAAGGGCGTCTTTTTCCTTTTTTTTTTTGGCTCTTCTTCGTTTTCCTACTTCTGTTACTCTCCGGCGGCTCCTTTGATAAACTGCTAATGAATCATCATGTCTTTTTTCTTTAGATCTTTTTTGAGGATGATGGATGACAGCATTTCTTTTCTTCCCAGTAATTTATGGCTACAGTTGAAGGACATCGTTTACTGATACTTGCTCTTTTTTCCCACTTTTTACGATAGGTCGATAATCTGAACGGCCTCCTAAACAAGTTAAGTGAACGGGGTTAGTGAACGGGTAAGTCAAGAAGGTAAGTGATCCCCAACCTTCCCTTTCCTCTCTTTCCGACCCTTTCATTCCCCTCTTTGTCTATCTTACTTTTCTCTATCCTTTTTCCTTCTCTACCCTCTCTTCCCTTCTTATTCTCTCTACCCTTCCTTATCCTCTCTACCCTTCTTTATCCTCTCTACCCTTCTTTATCCTCTCTACCCTTCTTTATCCTCTCTACCCTTCCTTATCCTCTCTACCCTTCCTTATCCTCTCTACCCTTCTTTATCCTCTCTACCCTTCTTTATCCTCTCTACCCTTCCTTATCCTCTCTACCCTTCCTTATCCTCTCTACCCTTCCTTATCCTCTCTACCCTTCTTTATCCTCTCTACCCTTCCTTATCCTCTCTACCCTTCCTTATCCTCTCTACCCTTCTTTATCCTCTCTACCCTTCTCTTCCCTTCCCTACCCTTTTCCCTTCCCTACCCTTTTCCCTTCCCTACCCTTTTCCCTTCCCTACCCTTTTCCCTTCCCTACCCTTTTCCCTTCCCTACCTTCTCTTCCCTTCCTTATCCTCTCCCCTTCCCTACCTTCTCTTCCCTACCCTCCCTTCCCCTCTTTCCGCTTGCTTTCGGTGCCCAGTGGCTGACTTCATGGTAAGTTGCTTCCTTTTTTTTTGGCTTGTATGTTGCTTGTCATCCATCATCCTTCGGCGTCGACTACCTCCTACTGCCTCTATGGCTCCGGTGACTTGCAACTTCCACTATGGTTTCTATTGGTCGGTCTCAAATGCCTTTGGTCCAAGTTGAGCTTCCGTTGGGCGTTTTAATATAGTCATTGCACCATAAATATACTGTCGTTAATGCTTGTAAATAAAAAATATTTTCTTTTTTCCCATCCACACGTAGTTTGTAATGAAGACTTTCGATAAATGGTTTAAAGAGCTTGAAAGATAAGCCCAAGCTTACTTCGATATTTAATCCAAGAATGACCTCCGTGATACTGGAACGGTCACTTGAGATTCGTAGCAATATTGTTTTTGCTGTCAATTATGAAAAAAGGGGCCACTCTGATATTTTTTGATGCTCTTCCGTCCGTTCCTGAAGTACCCCGTATCAAAATGATATATGCGTCCTCCCATCGGATTAAAGTATGCAGAGATGTTTAAAAACGCGGCATTCTCACGGCCTTTTGTATCGTTTTTCAAAACTTACTGTAAAAGCATTCAGCCTCAACGGCGCGTACAATGAGTGGCAACCAAGCGTTGAAACTGCTAAGGTACTTTGGGCCGTGAAGATTACAAGCGTGAATTTTTGCACGCGAAATGACAAACTCACGCACAAATGCAGATCCTTTCCATTTTCGAGCATTACTGATTCACTATATGAGGCGCAGGTTGCACGCATAGCAGCGAAATAAAAATTTGTTGCGTTGGTTGCAGCCGCATAAACTGGGATTTCACAGATACTGACAGATAAGCATTTATCGCTCTCCAAATAAATATGAACGGTCACTCTTTTCTGAACCTAAAAATCTCATGTGGCCTTGTGAAAAGACCTCGATTGTAACGATGTCCGAATAGTGATCTAACTGTCCCGGAAGCAAAGTTCAAAGTGGATTTACTTGAGACATTTAATGGTAAACATACGATCTGCTTAAAAGCAAGCATCACAATTGCAAGCTCATCCGGAAGTTGCGTCATATCACAGTTAATCTGTATGCAAGTATTTTTTTATCGGGTTCTGTCCACTGCATTTACAAGTTGCCATCCAGTAGAACTAAATGGAAAAAAAGGGGGGCCTCCCACGGCGGGACATGCCGGACATCAATGAACAATCCCGCCGTCGATATCGAAGGTGATACAAAAGCATGGTGAAGAGATTCTGGAAATCATCAGCACAGTTCAGAAAGCCGCTTTCTCGAAATTTCCAAGCACGACAACGATCCAAGGAAAAAATTCACCAGATCTCTACTATGAAATTACCCTTCAAAAAAAGACACACAGCGACATGATTGCATTGATTGCCGGAACCAAAAACTTTATTCTAATTGTATGTCTTTTTTACAGTTTGGTTTCCAAAACGTCACGACATAACAAATAAAAAGGGGAATATACATATTTACGCCCGGCACGGTTGGCCTTTCTTTTTACAAAATGCCGATGACTGCTGAAAGATCCCGTGGCATGGAGAGACAGGACCAAGGCTCTGGAAAATTCTACAAAGATGCTGCAGTTGGGGATGGAAAAAAAACAGAAGTCAGCTACGATCAATGAAAAAAAAAAAAAAGATCGCTCAGACTCAGATACGTGCACGGATGACACCGATGATTGGAACACCATGGAAAACGCAGAGTGACACAGAAAATGACGACAGTCAACGGAGGTCTATGGGGTGATAAAACCGGTTCTTACATAGACCTACGTCAGGGTAAGCTCATTACAAATTAAGTAGGTACATCCAATTAACATGATTGTAACTACGGAATATTTCATTACCTTTAGATGGCTTCCGCAAGTTACGGTTACTTTTGTGAAATGAGAAAGTGGGATTTCTATAAACTAGGCAACCGCACGAGCGGAGTTTGCAACACATTCCGTTTGGGAGCTGCTTGATGTCATTGGATAAAGATGCCTTGTTTGAAATTGTAAGCTCCGAATCAACTGGATTCAGGGCGTCATTGACGAGAGACCCAAAAGTTTCTTGTTTAATAAATCTATGACAGTATAAACCAAAGTGGACTTGTCAGATGGTAAGCCTAAGTATTAATTATGATTTTACTTGAAAGTGGCTTGATACGGTGTTTTTCAGTGAAGGGTTTTTTTTTATCGACACAATGAGTTGGTATGAAAAAATTGGGTTATGAAAGAATGGGGTGGCGGGGTGAGTGGGTACGATGATGCAGAACTGATTTGTGAAACACCGCCACGGGTTCGAAACATTACCGCCGTCCGTCCCCCTCCACAGACCACACGTCCCATGATACCCGAGATCGGTAAAGATACGAACGACATCATACTTCTATTTCCTTACTTGTGTATTTTCTCTTATTGGTTTCTCCTTCCTTTCTCTTTCTTGTTAATCTTACAATTACTTTTTTATTTGATTTTTTTTCTTTCGCCTTGGGTGTTCCTGGTTGCCTATTTATCTTTCATTCTTTACAACCACTGAGATCCCCTCTGTAACCTAGACAAAAAAGAATGACACAACAAGCCAACTCTCCTCTTACCGCCGAAAAGGTGGCGAACTATCTGCCTTTGGCCGGTGCGTCTTTCAAGGTCCCTGGACGCATTATCCATGTGACTCATCAGATACCTTACAACATTATCAAATCGGCCGATATTTCTGAAGCACGCGAGGATCCTGACCCTGTCAATCCCGACGCTTCGCTCACAGAAACTGATGATGTGGCGGCTGCCCCTGTGTCCAAATTGGCCCGCCATCATCGTCGTGGCAAGACCTTGCGTGCCAAATTCCGAGCCGCCAACTGGACGGTGGTGCAAAGTCGAGGTCATAACGCTTTATATGCCGGTCTGCAGAGCTTAAGCAAGGACCACGAAACGATCCATATTGGCTGGACAGGACCTATCCAGATTGAAGAGACGAAACGGTGTGTGCAGCACGAAGAACTGTCGCTGTTGGATAAAACCAAACTGGACCAGCTGCTCTGGGAAACAGGCCGTATCATTCCCATCTTTTTGGACAACAAGTCACGCGGTCATTATGAGGGATACTGCAAAGAAGGTATGGAATTTATTTTTTGGGTGCCTATTTTGGGCAGGGTCCGGTTGGACAGATCATCCCAAAGGTCTACGTTTTTGTAACCCATGGCGGCGATTTAATCTTTTTTATTTTATTTTTGCAACCGATGACGGTAGTGTTGTGGCCCCTGTTCCATTACCTTGTATGGTCCAATGTAACCGACGGTCGTGCAGAAAAAGCCAATTGGGCGGATTACGTGGCCGTCAATCGCCAGTTTGCAGATACCATCATTGCCCACTACAAGCACGGCGATGTCAGTAAGTTGAATGGGACTCTTTAATTTTATCCGACAAATAAAAAAGATGACTCAACTGCATGATGTTTCATTTAGTCAATATCCATGACTATCATTTGTTGCTGGTACCTCAGATGCTGCGTGAAAAGATCCCTGACGCCGCCATCGGCATCTTTATTCACGCAACGTTCCCTAGTTCCGAGATCTTTCGTTGTTTGACCAGTAAGTAGCGGCTGCCCTTAACTCCTGGACAAAGAGTCAAATACTGATACAATGGGCTTTGTGCTTTCTTTTTTTCTATTTACAGCACGCAAACAAATTTTGGAAGGCATGTTGGGTGCTAATCTCGTGGGTTTCCAGGTTAGTTTGGGTTGCTGATGGATGGGTGGGATTACGCTGTGAGCAAAAACAAAAAAAAAGCTGACAGAGGTTTACTGTTACGTTAGACTTATTCGTACGCTCGCCATTTCATCTCTTCTTGCACGCGTGTGCTTGGTTGTGAATCAACCCAAGTGGGAGTCAATGTGAATGGCCATATGGTATCGGTGGGAACATTCCCTATCGGTATTGATGCGGATCGTGTCAACAAATTCCGCAAGGAACCGGGTGTGTTACCGAAAATGAATGCTATCCGGGACATGTACGCTGACAAGAAGATCATTATCGGCCGTGATAAGTTGGATTCTACCAAGGGGGTGGTGCAAAAGTTGCATGCGTTTGAAAAGTTCTTGAAAGACTATCCCGAGTGGCGCAATAAGGTGGTGCTTATCCAGGTGACCACCCCTACCACCCACAGTGATAGATCCAAGTTGGAAACCAAGGTGTCGGAAATCATCAGTCACATCAATGGCGTTTACGGTTCGCTTGAATTCACGCCCATCCATCATTACCACCAGGACATTGATCGTGATGAGTACTATGCTCTTCTGTCTGTGGCCGATGTGGGACTCATTACCAGTGTGCGCGATGGCATGAACACCACCTCGCTTGAATACATTATTTGCCAACACGAAAAGCATGGCCCCTTGATCCTTTCCGAATTCACTGGCACCGCCGGTTCCCTGAGCGCTGCGTTGATGGTCAATCCTTGGGATTACGCTGGTGTAGCCCGTGCCCTTAACGATGCCTTGTCCATGACAGCAGACGAGAAGCAGGCACGACATCAACAGCTGTACAACCATATTACTCTCCATTCAGCTGCTTTCTGGGCCGAATCGTTTGTCAAGCAACTGGTCACCACCACTCAGCAATTGTCACTGCAATCCCATTCCACACCTTCTTTGGACAAGAACAAACTCTTGGAAGCGTACAAGTCCTCCAAGAAGCGTCTGATCTTCTTTGACTACGATGGAACCTTGACGCCCATCGTATCGGTGCCATCGGATGCGGTGCCTTCACCCGAAATGCTCAAATCCTTGCAAGCCTTGTGTGATGATCCGCGCAACGAAGTGTGGGTGGTGTCTGGCCGGGATCAAGATTGCTTAGATAACTGGTTGGGTAGCGCGGTGAATCGATTGGGACTCAGTGCGGAACACGGTTGTTTCCTGAAACCGGCCGGGGCAAAGGAATGGACGAATATCCTGGATGATGTGGACATGAGCTGGCAGCAAGGCGTCACGGAAATCTTTGACTATTATACGGAGCGAACCCAGGGCTCATTTGTGGAACATAAGAAATCGTCCATCACATGGCATTACCGTATGGCCGACGCAGAGTACGGAGCGTTCCAGGCCAAAGAATGTCAGAACCATTTGGAAAATGCCGTGGTTTCCAAACTGCCCGTCGAGATCCTGGTGGGAAAGAAGAACCTGGAGGTCCGTCCGCTGTCGATCAACAAGGGCGAAATCGTCAAGCGAATCCTGTCGCAGCGTCCCGATACCGATTTCGTACTGTGTGCCGGTGACGATAAGACGGATGAAGACATGTTCCGCACACTCAGTGCTGCGCATTACGTGTGTGTTCAGCAACAGATGGATAAAGAAACTTCCAACACCGGTCTTCTCACGCCTCCATCATCCGCTCAACTGTGGAATCAACCCAATGCTTCCCTCTTCTCTATTACAGTTGGACCCCCCGAGAAAAAGACCATGGCTAACTGGCATGTGCGCACAAGCCACGAAGTGGTGGATGCACTTTCGATGTTGGCATCCGTATCCAGTTCTCTTTCTGCTTCCCTTTAAATTCGTCATGATGCTTATTTTTTTTTTCTCTTCCTCCCACTCGTACCCGCTTGTCCCTCTTAATATTCCATGTGAACTTTATTGTTTCCTTTCTTTTTTACATTACCGATCCTTTTTTTTTTTTTGCTTGTCATCAAAGATGTCTATCCGTTTTAGAAATTTCATAATTTTTTCTGTATTCCATCATCCTAAATAAAATCAATCAAAAAAGAAGAAAGAAAATGGCTTTTTGAAACCATGCCATCGTTTTCGTACAAAGTTGTATTGTGCTCTCTTTTTCATTGACAATCGCCACGTTACTGAGCGTAATCCCGTTCTTTATTGGTGTTGATCTTCGTCCATGGCGTTGTCAAATTGAGAGTTTTCGTGAGGGGCGACACCGTTGCGAGTAGGTTGTTCAAAAACGCTTTCCAGGTGACGCAGTGCTGCTTGCTGGACTTCATTAAGCTCAGCTTCGTCGCTGGGATCGGCGAAAAACTCGTCGTCGTACGCTTCCTGCTCAGCCATGAACTCTTCATCGGGATGCAAAGCAGCGCAATCAGACAAGGCCATGTAGATCGCTTCCACTACAAGAGGATAACAATAAGTGAAATGCCCACGTTGTATGATGTTCTCATCTCGTGATCCGCGTTTTATCGACTTACAAGCGCCGGAATCTTGAGGAATAAATCGAATCTCGGTCACAGTCTCTTGACGTTCTTCTTCGTTCTCGGGTAATTGCTGGTTGGGAAAGAAAATGCCTTGATCCAGTTGAGCATAAATGCAAGGCTGGTTGCTTTGGCGCGAAATGGCGTGAATAATGATATCAGGATATTCTACCGCAATGCCTGACTTTTGATCCTCCGAATAGAAATATAATTGACTAGATGTACAACTTGGCGTGAGTTTCTTCACGTCGCAAATAACGCTTTGAATCTAATCAATTCACCTTTCGCAAACGAACAAAGTTCCAGAGATACCCTCCGACAGACCAACCAGTGGTGGTGTGATATCTAATACCGTGTTATGTTCGGTGTAACGGACGGCGAGATCGTCGAGAGGAGGAGCTTCGGCAAGAAGAGTTACTGTCATGATACGAATGGCTGCTCGACACGATACAAGAAAAAAGCGCAATTCTTTTGACATTTTAACCTTCTCCACGCCCACGTGACTGCCATGCAATATTTCAGAAACACTGGCACTCGGCGATGTCTATTTTCTTCTCAAATGGATCATTTTACAGTTGCATAAAAATCAAGGCATTGGAATGACAGTATCATACCCATTTGAAATACACCAAAATAAAAAAGAAAGACTCTTTGATTTGGCAAGATGAACAAAAGAAAAATACATTGTATGAACTGTTAATGTTGATAAATGAAACGAGAGAAAGATAGATCGATATCGGGTGGGATAATATGTGGGTTGAAAAGTGCAAAAATACGAGAAAGACAGTGAGAGAGAGAGAGACAGATTAAAGGTACGCTGCAATTATTTTCTCCACTTGGTGAAGCCTTTGCTCTTTCCTTTTCTTGCTTTGAGTTTACGTGCCTGTTTTTGACTGCGAGCACCACCCGTAGAGATCTTTTTGGGCTGTTCATCGTCCACCATGGCATCCGCATTCTTTTCCTCGGTCACAGGCTTGTCCTCCTCCATATGATCGCCTACTTTGGGTTTGTTGGCCGCTTCAGCTTGTGCTTTCGCCAATCGCTTCAAACGTGCGTCCTCCACAGGCTTGAACACTTGTTCTCGCTTAATAGCTATTTGTCCAATGAAGATCCATGAGTATATTCAAAGTATAATGATTAGTGAATGCAAATTACTTACATCGGTAGCGTTTCTTGGTCTGCGATCGTAAACTTCTGGCCATGCTTTAAATGAGTGAGATGGTTAACAAGCCTTTTTTTTATTTTCTTGTGGAGCAATTTTTTTTTTATAAAATTTTCAAAAGCGGAAAAAATGTGACGTTCACAAATCAGAGTGCTCAGATTTTCCTCAGAACAAGCCAGCTTTTTTTTTTATTCAACTCCGGGATATTCGGTCAGCATCGCATTAGAGTCGTATGGACAATGAAAGCAGACAATATCAATTTCGTGCAAAGACCGTTGATAGACTAATAACTGGATTTGTGATCTTCTAGAGAATAACAAGAACAAAGACATGCTACCAAAACTACTGGTGTGTATGCTCCTTGTTCAAAATGTCACCGTAGAAATTTCAAAATTTCTTAATTTCCAAAAAAAAAAAGAAAAGAAAATGCAATGATATGTTTCGATGGACAGCATCCATAATAAAAGGCCATCCGAACAATTACAAAATTTATAGATGAGATACTCGATAATCTGGGAATATATATAAATGTATAACAAACAGTATTTAATACGACGTTTGACCGCTTTCTTTCTCTATTACAATGCAGCACCTATTGGGCATCTAATCACTACGGGGCTTGCAAGCACCCTTCCTTTTTCCGCATTCTTTCTGGTCCCGTCCTGCTGAAAATGTCTTTTTGCTGGTGGCCCCCGTCACGAAGATTTTTTCTTTATTCTTTTTCCGTTGTCCGCGTTGCTTGCCTGTCCCTAGATATAATTTTAGTGACGACCCTTGTTTTCTTTATGTCTTCTTCTCCCCCTAATCTGGTCATTTTCCAACTCGCGAATTAAATTATTTCAACCATTTTTACTTGTTTATGTTTGATTTACTCTCATCATTTGATGTTTATGCTTTTTTATGTCTTTTCCTTGTAGTGCCATTTCTCTTTTTTTGGGCGATTTCTTTTTGTAATTTCAAATTCCCTAAGGTGGCTATTGAAATAAACAGTAAGCAGCCTATAAAGAAAGAGTAAATTTTGAACATGTCTTTAGATAAAAAAAAAAAAAAAAAAAAAATGTTGAAAACAGTGCCGTTACAAGTTGATATCGCCATACTGTAGAGGTTTTATACCATTCAACTGAAATGAATATCAGCTGGATCGAGTGACAGTTTGCAAGCAAAATTTGAAGCAATAGCATGAAATACGTTTCGTGCACACAGAGAAATAGTTGTATTTACATAATGGAAATCCATCTTACGGCGTGTATCAAATATATGGTAAAAGGAGAGAGGTATGATGGTTAGCTCTTCGTATTATGCTAGGGTTCCGAACGAAAAGTTGAGCCGGCAGGATCTGTAGTGAAGGATGCACACACATTTTTCACCATATCGTTTCTGTTAATTAGACAAGTCAGTGCTGCAACAAGACTGTGAAGTTTTTATCCGGCTTTTTTTTTTTTTTTGTCTTTTACCGTTTCTTAAAATTAAAAATCATCTCTTTGAGGCTGTCAACATTGCGAATAGGTTGTAAGCTTTCGATGGCTTCGCTGCTACAAGCGACAAAAGGTCAAAATTTATGGGGGGTCATCAGATCCTTGACCGGTAACCGCTTACGCTTTAGGGGCTGATACACCATCAATCGTCAGATTTAATAAACTGGTACCGTCTTCCAGCTGATCGCTTAACGTGCTCTGTTCCAGACGACAGTTGGTCACTTGGAAATGAGGGCTGTAACTGTCAATGGCGGCCACATTGGTAGCGGTGTCGTCAAGATCCACAACAATAAGATTGCTTTTGGGTACGTCCGGAAATTCTTCGTCTTCAAAAACGTAATGAAGCACAGGCTGCTTGTAGATATTGTGTATCTCATCTCGTATAATCACAAATTGTGGAATGTCGAGTGGTTGCGGCGACGCCATGATGTTTCGGTCGATATGCTGTGAATTGAGACAGAGAAAAGAAGCAAGAATTACCGGTATTAGGGAAAAAAATGCTGCTCGTTCAACCTGCACGACAACACGTGAACGCCCTTTCAGTCCACCTTGACCAGCTGGATGCCAACCATGATAGTCCAGCGAACCATATTGGTTACGATCAGGCATTAGTCGCTGTCCTTCTCCTGGTATAGAAAATTTTGGCTTCTCAACATTAAAAGGGTTTCAATAGGCCATCAGTGATGAATATCCACATAATATTATGCACTTGCATAGCGCCGGATATGGTTGACACTCCCACACTGCATCATGCCTTTTTAAGTAGGATTGATGCGCTGGTCTGCGTTCGCTTTTTGTAGAGGGATCATCGATGCATCCAAGTACGATATACAGTTCCTGCACAGTTTTTGAAAGCATCCTCTCAAGAAAATAGCAAACGCTGAGCTTCCTATGCTTAGCTTCGAATCATTTTAACAGGCTAGCTCTCGTCGCCGAGGGCGTAAAATTCGTCGAATCCATTCACTATAGGTCAGTGCTGCATAATTTCTCAAAAAGAATAACATGTTTCATGAATACACATTGTGATTAGGTGAATACGCCTACAGCAGCTTTGTTCATTGAAAACCAGTTAGTCTGAATATAGTCAGGATTTTTTTACCTTGGTTGAAAACGGCTATATTTCATACAGGGGGTGGACACATGATCTGTCCCACTGTTGAGGCTACTGCGCAGAAGGCACGGAGATAAGATAAGGCAGAAAAGTTGACTGCCGATGAATCAAAGTTGAACTTGCTCTTTGAATGGGTGAAAGAGCCCAAAGTTCAACTCAGACAACTTTTGCCTTTTGAAGCAAAACAAGAAAGCAAATCATCCAATGAGCTACCGCTAAAATTTCACACTGATCCCGCGAATGGTGGCGCCCCCCCCGGATAGCGTTTATAATATAGTCATCCACTTCCGTCCGATTCACTCTTTTTATCGTTTGTCTTTTTTGTTTTTTTCACACGTCCTATTTCTCTCTATATTCTCTCATACCTTTTTCCATAATCAACATGTTACGTCTAGCTGGGACAAGTACGCTGGGTTGGTTGCCATCTCGACTAATCACAGCCACAACAGTGTCATCGGCTGCGGCCATGGCAGGTTGTCGTCATTATTCGTCTTACCGCAATTCTAACAATGCAAAGGAAGAAGAAGAAACAATGGAAACCAAGCCGGCTACATCCAAAAGTAAAGAGGCTTCTCTATCGAAATCTAATGGAGCCACCAATCAACCGATATCCCATCCTTTCATGCCCGTCATCAACATTCCCGAAACCGAATTTGCTCACAATGCCTTTTTCTCACTTTACCGACCATTGCTCGGATTATCCTCAGACGATGAAAAACCCTTCTTTCACAATCAGAACCAGGACGGCATGATGGGCGACGAGCAGGATGGTAAGTGTGTGTTTTATTCACTTTCTCAAAGCCAGTATGACCAGGAGGGACTGATTGTTTTGCGTTCGGTTTGTTGGCATTGGCTTTATAGATGAAGAAGCATTTGCTCAATACATGATGGATTTACGACCATTCGAACCACCATCGTCTAGTGATGCCGTCAATGAGACATACCATGTCCAGCAGGATCAGCGACCAACGATATCCTTTAGTATAGAAGAGGAGCCCATTATTCCTATGGAAAATTCGTTACCCATGTATCATATGCCCGACGGTGACGATATCATTGATTACTTGACGGATGTCCAAGAGAAAATGAAAGCCCAGCATGCGCAGGAAGAAAATTCAATGGGAAGGAAAAGAAACCATGGAAACCACTCACGGAAAAAGAACGCGACCGGACCTAAAGTAGACTCGTCGTCAAAATCAGAAGAGTAACTTCATGGAACCGGGAGTGTGTGAATATCCTCCTTGATGTATTATTTTCAGCCCTTGTATATATCTATATTCGTTGGGATATCTTCTTTTGTTATAGTTTTTGTTACATTATTTCAAATCATGTCATCATTGTTTCCCCTTTGCGCTTATTCAGTGGCAATTTTAAATTTCACCCAGTCAACATACAAGCTCTTGAGATCACGGTTCACCGAACAGAGCCGATACAATAAAGAATTACCTGCGTATACCAATGGCAGGAAATCGAAGAAGGCTCTGCATTAAAATGTCTTGTACAACAACAACGGATAGCTGATTACATCATCAAAGTATTCGTTGACTCTTTCGCGCCCTGTAGGAAGGTTAAAAGACTTTTTGACAAATACCGATTAGCAGAATGTTCTTGGATCAAGACATCTCCCTTGGCATATGTAGCCCGTCTACTGTGATTATGCACATGATAGTTGAACAAGTCAACCAACCGCAACTTCAATCTGTGTGAACCGTTTGCGGAATGCCGGATCTGGATGTATCAAAGTTAAAATGTAGATTAACCTTGTGCTGGCATCATTGACTTGTTATGTAGGAGCGCCGCCTCTATTGACGGCAGTGACATGGTGCTTATGTATTGGGCGCGATGAAATCAAATGCGGTGATTACTGAAGATTGTCACAGGGTAAGTACTAGAAGGCTTAAAATTTGAAGCCTGCTCGATGGCTTTGATTTTGATATAACACTGACTTGGCGTCTTTCTGAATTTCATAATATGCTTTGAAATCCCGTCGCTTACTGTGTCGTATGCTGTAAGATACGACCTTTAAAAATCCAATTACAGTAGAGGACAAAGTACTGAACGTACGGATATGAATATTTAGATCCATGGCAAAGGGGATTAGCAGAACGCGTTGCATTCATTCAAGGTACAAGTTTTCGAGAATAAGGCAGACGAACCATGTCAGCAGTACTGTCATGGTTACTCTGATCCGACGACACGGACAATAGGAGTTTGTGAGCTTAACATGATTTCGAACTGGAAAAAAATCGAACACAGAAGTTTCTCTCTCAAAAAAAAAAAGTATTTTTAACTTTTTGGATCGTTGCCACGTACCACAAGATGAGGCTGAACCATGGAAAACCCTATAAAAATTAAGGACACGGCGGGGACGTTCCGCCGTTCCCAAGGTTCGGGCAATGGCTGGTGCAAGGCCACTTAAACTCAGCCTTGTCATTTGTCTTGGCATTGATTTTGTTTTGCTCCCCTCTTCTGGATCCAGCCACCGTAATTGCCCACCCGATCCAAAAGCTTTGCCAAGATACATCTCAGTGTCACAAAAAAAATTGATTACCTTCCATGAGTAAACATTCCCGAAAACAAAAACAAAACATTGTCCGCCATGGAAACCACCACATGATCCGATTGCTGCATCAGCACCGGGCCGACAGCTCATGCATAGCGTTTGCAGGATAACACCGCAAAGCATAGCATTGTGTCACCCATCCTTACAATATTATGCTTTTAGCGTTTGTCGGACAGCATGGGTCACTCACTGATTATCGATTCCCATTTTCTGCATGCATCATTGATGCATTTACTGGGTGCAATGGTGTATGCCATTAACCAAAGTGCACAGGCACCGCCGATACTTGCACATAAGCCCCTGTATCCAGCAGAAAGGCCGGTCTTGCTAGCTCTTTTCCAGTCATCTTTCAGCGGCATGTCAGTAACACTCGATCTCGTTTGTAAAAGTAGCTGTAAGTTGCAATAATAATTTAGGCATCGGACATCTGAGGGTCACTTGGCAACTGTTTTGACCAACTTGCATGAATTGCATTTGTTGTTATTAAGCTACCCTGTCCAAAAAGTCTTCTTGACCATCAACAATGCAAACCATTTTTTCTGGGGGGGGCTTGCACACGAGGTGTTTCACGTCGGACGATTTATCTTACCAAAAGTGCACCTGGCATTAAGGTAGCTCTTGGTGCTTGGTGGATTACAATTTACTTTGCTGATCGGAGAGGGCCAGCCCGAGCTACAACCCATAGTAACCGAAGCGGATCGGGTCTTACAGATATCATGGGAAACTTTAAAAGACTCTATTTTTAATTTGATCATGGATACCTCATTCAACTCATTCTAGAATGACACGAAAAAAATTATTTCTCCAAACACAAAAAATGGAACAAAAAAATTAGAACCGTCATATAAATTTCTTTGGGGGAAATTCCCAACAATTATGCGTATAACCAAAGCACCCAAGTTGAACACGACGAAGAACAGATTATTTAAGAAGAAGCGGAAGCAATGTGTGTATTGGTACGGTCATGACATGTATTGCAACCAATGTTCACTTTTTTATTTCCACGTGAGTGGCGCCACATAGAAAATTGGGATGAAGAGCCGGGTGGTCTGAAGTGAAACTGTAATAATGTCTCGCTGAATGGCAATTGAAAACAATCATAGGCGACAAAACGTGGGCACACTCTCACGCAAATGCTAAGCATGAATTACCACTCAAAATGAATTATTGCGTGCAAACTAATCAACAAGCACATACTGTTCGATAACAAGATACTGCCGAAATCCCCATTTATTCTCCAGTGTCGGGGTTAATAGGATAAGTTGTGTTGTTTGTTCAAAGGATTGCAATGTTCTTTAAAGTTTCTGGTTATTGTGTTCCCCACATACACGAGGGTTCTTTTGGGGGGTGTTATAAGGCAATATTGTGTGAAAACGTCATTGGAACATGGGATGAATCGGCGCCAACCGTCGTTGTTCCAGTAGGTCTTTGACTTGATTTTACACGAAAATATAATTTCCCTCAAATAGCACGATTAAGCTACTCGCTGTTGATAATGCCTGTTTCGAAGTAATGCCATCACATCAAACAAAATAGCAATCCATGCTAAAAATAAAAATGGGAAGATAAAATTGGTCACCATCCGATGAGAAGAAAGACGTGAACGGTCTAGGTTGAATAAAGTGTCACAGGACACTGAGGTTGGTGTGAACACTGGTATTGTTTTGTTTTTAGAAAAAAAAAGACGCTTTGCAGCCAAGTTTAAACGAATTCTGCAATGACGGAGGAGCCGGCTGCCAAGCGTTGGGATGCATGCTGAAAGAAATCTTTGAGTTTCTTTTTGTGTAAGACTGGTCGGAGTGATTCGATCATCTTGTTGTTCTAAATTTGGCATGGTTCGGTCTGGGCATTTCGTCATGGCAAAGGAAATACCAAAAAAGGCAACGTTTGACATCAATATATAGCAGCATCATTTCATTTTTTTTGGGTTTTCTTCTCGTTCATACAACAACTCTATTTATTTTCTTTTTCCTCTAAAAAAAAGACTCTCTTTCTATTCCTCTATCGAATTTACTGTCATGGCGATTCTTGCATTTTGTGCCTCGTTCTTTACGTTTGCTTCCTTGGTCCTGGAAATTTTCACATTGATCGGCAATACTTACAATCGTCCATTTTTACGGAACCTGTATTTCGCCAAACTATTTCAAAACAACCGATCCGTGCAATTTGGCTTATGGTAAGGAAAGATGGATCTGTAATGCTTGGGGTTGGATCTCGGAAGGCTAACTAGTGATTTGATTTGATTGCTCTTTTGTTTTAGGAATTCATGCTCTGGTCAAGGAGGATATGTGACCGAGTGTACTCATCCTCAACCTGCCTACGTGTGGAGCAATGCCGAAGGTCTCAGCGGTTTGGTGGATGGCCTCAACGGACACGATAAACTGTTTCTTGCCAACTTTATTCTTTACTGGATCGCTTTCGGTCTGACGTTATTCGCTTTGGTGATTACTCTGTTGTCCAACTTCCGTCGCAGCTCCGACTTGTTAGCTTCTTTTGCCTGCTTCATTGCGTTTGTTGTCATGCTTGTCGTGTTCATCATTGTCCTCGTGATCTCACTTCGTGGTATCAATGCTGCAAAGGGAGTCGATAGCAGTATCAGTGGATTTTTGGGCCCCTCTACATGGATGACATTGGGTGCCATGGTCGGTCTTTTGCTCGCCTCCTTATGGTACTGCTTCGCTTGCTGTTGCGGTTCCGGACGACGCGTTCGTGATGCTGACAAGGCTTAAATGGGAAACAAAAATATAAAGTTACATACGCAAATCCATCTAACCCCCCTTGTTTCACTTTCTTCTTCTTCTTCGACTCTATTTACTATTTAAATATATTCTCTACTTTTTATTATTATTCTTTTATCTTTTCTTGTAGACATGTTAATATCCATTTACCTTTTTGAATAAATATTTTTAATGAACGATGGACTAACAGTTTACAGTTTTGGTATAGAAAACGTCAAGTGATTTTTTTTCCAGTTTACATGTGAATAAGAAGAAAAACTACGGGAGCCGAAAGTTCCTTCTTGGTAGTGTGATCATCTGCATGAACCGCGGTGGGTTTGCAGGTACGCAGCATGTCTCGTTTGTAATACCAAAAAAAAAAAAAAAAAAAAAAAAAAAAAAAAAACATTGATAATGTTCATCGGAATACGAAAAAGAAAGATAAATAATGCAAAAAATAAACAATGGAAAAACGACCAAGAACTGGCGTGATACGGATATTGATACTGATAAACAGTGGGATCAGCTTCAAAAGGTACGACCGAACGGTCCGAATATAAGCCCACGATTGTAAATTTAGCCAGGAGAAAAAAAAGTTCTGGAGCCATGAGCGTGAGCTATCAACGCTTATCAATCATTACAACTATGCCACAGCCACATTAGATATTGCATCCTCTGTGCGTTTAGTGACTATCGGAGTTGACGACAACGCAACGCATGGCCCAGCTGAGCATCGTCACATTGGATCCCTTGGCATTGAATGACGGAGTTTACATAGCGCTTTTTTTTATCTTCTCATTTTGACAGCTGAATATGGATGCCCAGGCCAGCATGGAAGAAACGGAAGCCCTGATCCAACAATTGGAAGAACTCATTGCCATGACACCAGACGATGCCAGTCTTCAACAGATGCTGAGTGATCTCTACGACACGCTGGCAGTACAACAGCAACAGCAACAGTCATCATCACCCAACACGCCATCCGCGTATCCAGCCGGTAGCAAATGCGCTGTCGTATTCGTCCATAATGACCGTTATTACTTGTTGCCTGCCGTGGTAATAGAAGAAGGTGCCACGGAAACTACCGTTTTAATTTTGATGCCTATCTCGCTTGATACGATACCCTGCGCTGAATATTCGCGCCAAAAATGTAGAGAGCCTTGTCCTTTTGGTCAGTCACATGGTTATACGGTGTCCAATGAGATGCTGCTACCGTACGAAGTCTTGGAGGTCAACAACCTTGAAAATTATGCCGTTTCCAATGCTGTGTGGTGCAAGTTGGAAGACCATGATTTATGGCGCAAGGCGCATGTAGTCGCGACCGATCCGGAAGAAATGAGCTGGGAGATTCGTTTTGATGGATCAAATCAAGTGAACACAGTCACCATCGATGGGATTATGCCTCTAAAAACGCTGGATAATGATGACCACGAGGATACCCAAGCCGTCTCACTAGCGGTAACAGCCAAACACCAGGACGAAGAGGAACGACCGAGTTTTGTAAATACACACATGCTGCATTCTCTTCCACCTTCTACTCCAGAGTCTTCGTTCCACAATTCAATAGCATCATCAATGGCAGTCTCCAATTTAGGCTCTTGGGAAGCTCACACCAAAGGATTCGGGGCCAAAATGATGGCAAAAATGGGTTATGTTCATGTAGGCCTTCGCAGTGCGATAATGCAATTTGAGAGTGGTACAATGCTGACGTCCTCATAGGGTCAAGGATTAGGAGCGGAAGGTCAAGGCAGGATAGATCCCATCGAAGTACGACTGCATAAGAAAGGTTTAGCGCTGGACTATTTATCTAAAAAGAAAAAGCCCGCGGAAACACGGCAAAAATCAGTCAAGGAAACCGACGCAAGCATCTTTACTTTTATGAATGATTTGCTCAACACAAGCGGCGACGAGTCGTCGTCAAAAGGGGCGGCACCCTCCATACCCAGTTCGCGCGCATCGCGTCCAGATACTTCCGATCCCAAAAAGGCACATCAACGGTTATTACGGATGCAGTCGGACATTGAATCCAAGGCGTCCGAGCTCTCCAAAACGCTCGACTCGCTGGCACGGAACAAAGGGCAAAGCTCGGAAACCCATTTCCGGTCCAAAGCGAAAAATCTATCGCGTGATTTGCAATCGCTTCGAGAACAAGCACAGACATTGCAGCAATCCATTAAACGAACAAAAGATCGTGAAAAGATGATTTCATTTTAAGGATACAAAAAAAAACAGTACTATACAACTGACCAGCTTTAACAATAGACGACTAAAAGTAATACGAAGAAAAATATAAAAGAAGATGGGGATGTTTTCATAAAAAAAAAAAAGAGACAAGATAATGCATGGATGAAAAATAGACAAAAAAAAAAGATATTATAGTTATTCTAGAGTTCAACTTCCTCACCAGCCACAAACACACGTTTCACACGAATTTCACCCTCGCTGTCGTCTAAGAATACCAAATCGGCATCGGCTCCAGCGTTCAAAGTACCCTTTCTATCCTGAATGCCCAGCATCTGTGCAGGATGAAGAGTGGCGGCCTCAATGGCTTCAACCGTGGTACAGTTGGTGAACTTTTGGAATCGGCGAACACACTCATCAATGGTGATGGTGCTACCAGCGAGCGTACGAGTGCCCTTGACGTAAGCACCTCCGTTTTCATCCACCTCCACATCGCGACCACCCAAACGATAAACACCCTTTGGTAAACCAAGAGCAGATAAAGCATCCTAAAAAAAAAGGCAACACACTCAATATCCATATCGTCCTTTTCAAAGCCGCCACACAAGGCATATTAGATAGATACTTACAGTCACCAAGACGGCACCACTGGGATGAGAATAGTAGGCGATACGGACCGAGTTGGGGTGTACGTGAACACCATCACAGATCAGACCATAGAAAGGGCGAGGATCGGGCTTTTGACGGCAAGGAGAAGTGGCGGAAGCTTGAGGATGACCCTTGCCCGCTTCGGGAAGAGGCAAATCAGCAGCACCGAGAACACCAATAAGACCAGGGTCACGATGATGGAACTAAATTTTAATTGGAAAATGAGAGAAAAAAAGATATGGATGAGAAACATGACTCCAACGATTTTATCACCGTTATTGTGGCAAAAAAAAAAAATTACTTACGGCCTGCATGGCATTGAACAAGTGAGTGATGCTGGTGGCACCATTGCGAACAGCCTGTTCGGCTTCAGCGATACGGCAGGCGGTGTGACCGAGAGCGACGGTGATGCCACGTGCAACGAGGTCAGGGATTGCATCACTGACGCCTTCAATTTCTGGTGCAACCGTCATGATGCTCACGGCTTCATTACCCTTTTTCAATTCCGATCCGTAAGCGTCATCGAAATCTTTCACTCCGTTCTTTGCGTTTCTGAAAACTGCCTGGTTGTGAGCTCCTTTCTTTTCCACCGAGATGAAAGGTCCCTCGACATGAGCACCGAGGATTTCCGAACCGCCCTTGGCACAACCCTTGCGTCGGTTCAACAGAGGCAACACCTAGATTTAAAAAGCGAAAAGAAAAAAGCGGTTTCCCGGGTTTTAGTCGATGTACTTGTCTCATCTCTCGAGCACCATCCGCCATCATCCATCACCAACGACAACAGCATAATACAGGATCCGGGTTTTTACCTTTTCGTAGACGGCGGCAGACGAACTGACGACGGTGGGACAGAAAGCCGTGCAGCCGTATTTCAAAAGGCCCTTGGCCACGGTGTCGATATCCTCTTGAATCTTTTCGACACTGCCATGATGGTCAGCGAAATCGATACCGTAAGCACCATTGATTTGGGTATCAATGAAACCGGGAGCAATCAACAAGCCCTTGGCATCGATGATTTCATCGGCTTCCCGAAGATGGTCGAAAAACAGGTTCTGAGGATGCACAATTTTGCCGTTTTGGAACCAAAGGTAAGAGTTTTCGACGATTTCATGGTTCATCAACAGTCTTGCATTGACGATCTTGTAGATCTTCTCAGCCGAAGTAGCAGCAGGTGACATGGTTCAATGAAAACAAAAGGGAAAGGGACAGAGATGAAAAATGCAAGGGAAGGAGGTGGGAAAACAGGAAAAGAAAAAAAAAGCTCGTCTTTTTCCGCTTTTTTTTATACCGAACCATTGAGCTGAGCACCAAATTAGTCATGTCTGGTGATTACTTAATAACCAGGGTCCAGCGGGGACTAGAATAATTCAAAATGATTGGAGAATTCGATTAGGTAATCGCAAATTTTTATCCACTCCGCCGCCCATCCGCTTGATGACTCTTGTTTCGTTGGCTGGTCCCTGATTCTTCAAAGAAAAAAGGACAATGGAAAAACAAAAGCCGCATTTTTCCCTTTCCAAATTTCTAAAACTTTTTTTTAAAAAAGTTGCACCACTTATTTTTTTCTGGCTAAACGTTGTTTGGTGGGTGTCAGTAAACGATGTCAAGGAAAGTTTCCTTTCTTTGTTTACATCTTTTTTTCTACATGGTAACGAATAAGTTTCTTTTGAATAAGTTTTAACCCTTTTCTGATCTCTGGTGTTACCACGGGATAGGGTAGCCTGGACTATGCAACATAACCGTTGGTGGGTCATGCGTACATTAGCAATTGTGTAATAAATATGCATTGAGGCAGCTTCATACTTTAGTTTTAACCCTCGCTTTTTTACCATAAACAGATGTTTTTGGTTATTTCTTTTCCAAACAAAAAAGAAGAAAGGAAACCCTGAAAAGAAAAGTAGAACCAAAAAACCAATTGAAACACAGCAACGATCACCCACACTGTTGCACTGTTGCATTCCCCAGAGGCACCTGTAAAACGCAGTCACATCCTCTTCGGTTGCCGGGTTTCAGAGTGATGGGCTCGTTGGCTCGTTGGCTCGTTGGCAAAAGCTCCTGCTTCCTTTGGATAGCAGCTTATGCCATTGGCTAGAAGCTTCACTTTTTAGAATATGTTCTTTTTCCCCAACTGCTTTCTTCTATTCTGTACTCTTATAATGGTCCATTAAGCAGATGTAATATACTCACCACCGGTTGCACGTCCGCCTTGTTATTGCATGTGCTTGAATGCGTAGCGCGTGGTTATTGGACAAACGAATCACTTCACACACTCCGCATGAGAAGACGGTGATTGAAACCCAGCCATGAGTATGGTTGGGCTCAGAGCATCACGTCCTGTTTCTTTTTTTTTTAACAACTTGTTCTTTTTCCTCCTCGTTCGCAGTAGAAAAAGAGTTGCTTTTATACTATCAAGTAAAACTTTTACATAAAAAATATGGTACAACACAACAAAGCCGTGGTGAAGAATGTCCTGAGCGGTGATACCGTCATCTTGCGAGGCAATCCCCGAGCGGGTGGTCCACCTCCTGAGCGCCTGTTGGCTTTATCCAATGTTCAAGCACCTCGCTTGGGAAACACCAACAGAGATGATGAAGTGAGTAAAAATTATGGGTTGGCTCTTGAATGACTTGCTTGCCGTGAATTAAAAACTAATGAATTCTTTGCGTATAAGCCTTTTGCTTTCGGATCACGTGAATTCCTGCGTAGATTGCTGGTGGGCAAGGAAGTGACATTTGTGCCCGAGTATACCGTGACTACTACCAATCCTCCTCGAGAATACGGCTCTATCTGGATCAATGGCAGCAATGTGACTGAACTCGGTTTGCAAAACGGCTGGCTCAAAGTGCGTGAAGGAAAGCCCCGTTCCGGTCAAGATGCCGAAGCTTACGAAGACTTGCTGGCATCCCTCCACGATATGGAAGACAATGCCAAGCAAGCAAAGAAAGGTCAATGGAGTGAAACCGACAAGGTAAACCCCTTCCCCTTTTTTTTTTCTTTTGCGAGAATGATTTTTTTAAACCCACAGCGTGCAATATGGCTCATTTCATCGTGTGTGTTTTAGGGAATCCGTGATATTGCTTTTACATTTACAGGCGATGCTCGATCATTTTTGAATCAATACAAGGGCCAACCTTTGGAGGGTAAGGGATTCGATTGTCGTGGATGGAAACAAGGGAGAGAGAAATGGTCACTGCGGAAATGCTGATGAATGGGTTCTTTGTTTGTAGCTGTCATTGAGCAAATTCGGGACGCTTCCACTTACCGAGTGCTTCTTCTTTTGCCCAACAAGAAACAGCAGGTGGTTACCTTGTTTTTGACAGGTATCAAGGCCCCCGCTTGCAAACGCGACAATTCGGACACACCTGCTGAACCGTTTGGTGAAGAAGCCAAGTTCTTTGTGGAAAGCCGTTTATTACAGCGTGGTGTCAAGGTTATCTTGGAAGGCGTGGCCCAAAGTGGCGGACAAAACTTTGTAGGCACCGTCAAACATCCTGCAGGCAATATTGCGGAGCTGTTGCTGGCCAACGGATTAGCAAAATGTGTGGATTGGAGTATCACCATGGCCACCGACGGACCCTTACCCCTGAGAAACGCAGAAAAGTAAGTTTCCCTTGACCGATGATCACCAGAAGAAAAAGAAAAAGGCTTCTGGAATACTGACATTGTGACGCGTTGCAGGCTTGCCAAAGAGAAGAAATTACGTCTCTGGCGCGATTTTGTGGCCAAGGAAAAGACTAATGACAGCGAATTCGATGCACACGTGGTCAAGATTGTGAATGGAGACACATTGATGGTAAAGACATCATCTGGCGTTGTAAGAAAGATTCAGTTGGCCAGTCTGAAGCAGGCACCTAGGTAAAAAAAAAAAAAAAATAAGGAGAAAAGAGCATTCAGTCAGTCATTCCATCTGCAATTCCGGATAAGCTAAATATAATGTTTGCTGTTTGCGGAAAATGATAGAGGCACTGCTACTAGCGCACCTGGTGGTAGCTCGAAATCCAAAGATGTGCGAGAAGTCGGCTATCAGTTTGAAGCGAGAGAATTCCTTCGAAAGAAATTGATTGGCAAACAGGTAAACAATTTCGGGCTAGGATGTTGTATACACATCATTATCATGGATTATTGACTCTGACATCATCATGGTTGTTAGGTTCATGTTGTCATTGACTATCACAAACCGGCTCAGGACGGCTTTGAAGCCAAGGATTGTGCTACAGTGGTGATTGGTAATAAGTAAGTGATCAGTGATGGATGACAAATACGGGTTATTTGAAGAATCAAGTGCAAAGTGCTGATATGCCTACTATGGGAATAGCTACATCGCCGAACAATTGGTGGAACGCGGTTTGGCCACTGTGATTCGTCATCGCAAAGACGACGATAACCGATCGCACCGCTATGATCAGTTACTTTTGGCCGAAGAAAAGTAAGTCCTCTTTGCTTCGATACCATAAAAAAAAATATTCTGACTGGATCATATTCATAGAGCACAAACGGGTCAGAAGGGTTTGCACAGTAACAAAGAGCAACCCATTGTTCGTATCGTCGATGCTTCCGAGGTAAAGATTCATTTTAGCTGGTACCTTCCTGCGGGCCGAATCAGGGATTCTCATGCTGCATTATAGAATGTTACCAAAGCACGCCAATTTTTATCCTTTATGAAGCGCAGTGGCAAGGTGCATGCGGTTGTGGATCATGTGGCGAATGGTTCCCGTTTATTCGTATGGGTGCCCAAAGATAACTGTCGTCTGACCTTTGTTTTGGCCGGCATTCGTGCTCCTCGTGTGGGGCGTACTGCCAATGACGCTTCCGAGCCTTACGGACCTGAAGCACTGAATTATGTATCTGACCGCTGTCTGCAACATGACGTGGAGATTGAAATCGAGAATGTTGATAAAACCGGATCGTTTATCGGCTCCGTGTTTGTCAATGGAGAGAATTTGGCGGTATCTTTGCTGAATGCCGGTTTGGCCACCATTCATGAATTCAGTGCCAACGAATCGCACTATGCAAATCAGCTGTTCACCGCGGAACGTACAGCTCGTGTGGAGAAGAAGGGATTATGGAAAGACTACAATGAGGCCGAAGAGGAAGAAGCACAGGAAGAGAAAGACGATGTGGTGATGGCACCTCGTCGAGAATACATTGATGTGGTCATTCCCGAGTTCCTGAGCGGTTCTCACTTTTACGTTCAGGTGGTGGGACCTGAGATCCGTGAATTGGAGAATTTGATGTCGGAGTTATCGCGCTACTTCAACGGCCGTCCGGCGGAAACCATTCGTCCACGCAAAGGTGATTTGGTGGGTGCCAAGTTTACCGAAGACAATGACTGGTATCGTGCCAAGGTCCGCAAAGTCACCTCCGACAGTGCCGACGTCCTTTACATCGATTATGGCAACGTAAGTCTTTTGTCCGGCCTTTTTTTTTTTGGCTTCTCTTAATCATGCTATTTTTCAATTAGTCTGAAATGATTCCCTTGTCCCGCTTGCGAACGTTACCGGACCGATTCAAGACGCTGAAACCTCAAGCTCAGGAAGCCGTCCTGTCGTTTGTCAAGAGCCCTGCCAAGGACGAAGATTATGGTATCGAAGCTTACGAACGATTTGTGGAATTGGCCGGTGTAAGTGGTGGAAACAAAGGCCATTGAATTTTTTACATGATATTGATGGACGGGTTTCATGGTTGTAGGGTAAACAATTGGTGGCCAATGTGGATGCTCGTGAGAATGGTTTGCTGTGCTTGACATTATATGATCCTTCTCTTTCGAGCAATGCCGAGGCGAGTCTGAATCTGGATATGGTTCGTGACGGTCAAGCCTTGGTGACGCCTAAAGTACGCTATGCTCGCGGCAATCCCATGCTGAAATCGCTGGAAGAAGCCTCCGAAGCCGCCAAGAGAGAAAGAGTAAGTGATGGCCTCGAAACTTTTCACATGCATGAGGGACCGTATGACTGATGGGCTTTTTTTTTCTTTGGTTTTGTTTTAGCTTGGCATGTTTGAATATGGTGATATTACCGCTACAGAAGACTAAATTTTGCATCCCTCTTTTTGCTGCAGAACCACGATACTTTTTCCATAATAAATTTCCAGGATTCATCATCCATAAATTTTTCAGATCTCATTTACCACGCGGACGGTTATTTTTTGCACGTCCTCAATCCCTTTAGAAAAAGTTTTGCTTGAGCACATCAACCAAGGCACTTTTCCATTCCTGTTACTCAATAACAGCGTCATGCACATGCTTAAAGAGGAAGCCTACACACTACAATGAGAGTCGGTAGGGATGAGCAAGATAAAAACATAGTTGGTCGACTGTTGCTTGCTCGTAACTAAGATTGTCAACAGACGGTATCCATTCGTCTAATACAGCAGCTTTGCCAACGACGAGCATACATCGAACGCCGATTCAGATAGCGTTCTTTCTGTCGGAAGCTCATCTTTAAAGATGGGGTTGCTTGGATATCGCATAAATGACTGCCAGTGTCCACCATTCGCATCCTAAAGCACTGGGTAAGTCCACTCAATTTGTATTATAGCCTACCATAAGGACGAGGTTGGCTCCGATATTAGCCAGAATATGTGCTTGTCAAGACTTATATGCTCGTGTTAAGCCAGCAGGTGTTCGAGCAGGTTTTGACTGGAGGACCAATGGCAGCGTGAAATATTTGCTGTACATTTTTCTTCCAATGGCCGTAATAAATTGTAAGGTGGACTTTTTCCTCCAACAGCGCGTCGCTGATATGTCGCTGTTGGTGAATAACAACCGATCCACGGATTGGCCTACGCAGCAATTCCGATGTAAAGTCATTATCAACGTATGTCCAGATGCTCTTGAGGAAGAAGGGCACTGGGCGCCCTAACACTCGTGCTGGCAATCTCGATGGCGAAGGATGAGGAGCCGGTAGACGAGTAAGGTGCAAGTTCTTCTAATACAATGTCAAAAAACCAAAAGTTCTGCCACCGTGTCTGTGTGTAGGGGTATCGGTACGGTCTTGGAAAAGTCATATGATCGCTCTTTGGAATCGCAGCGCACGCTCGCCTATTGAATCTTTCAATATCAAGCAATAAACCACTGTGTTTTCAAACCAGCTTTTGCTCACTCTTCGAGGCGATGTATCACCTTGAAATGTTCCTACGCTTTGCTGCCCTCGGCTGAGGAAGATGAAGAATCTTGTTGGATCGATCGTACCCTTTAGCAGCTATTGCACCGACCCGGGTAGCTAGAAAGAAAAAAATAACACCAATATGGACGTCCTCTCCACGTAGTCTCAGAAAAGTTACGTGGTTTTGGATTGCAGCCATCCAAATAAAACTAGGTTCTCTTTGTTCAACTCTGGTTGTCCTCGTACGCGTCGTTTTACTCACATCGAGGAAGGGAGAAAAAGACATGGTATTGACTAGATAGACAGAAGATATTCAATATTTTGCCTCACTTTATTGCTTTGTATATTGATTCACTCCTATTGCTCTAACTTGACTAATCTCTTTGTTTTCCAATTGACCCACCAAAGATCGTGGGATCATTTTCTTCAACAGAAAGTGTGCTGCTCTTAATTTGTGATTATGTAACAGTAAGCTTTTGTAAATATAACAGGGAACTTACTACCTAATATTATGCTTATGCTGATAAAGTGCGTTTGCTCAACAACTTAGGTGAAATAAGTTGTGCGAAGAGGTGGCTATCATGCAGAGAGATCTTCGCATGTGTGGTTTTTCATTGGATCATCGCTGGGTTTCCTTTTTTAGTGGACAGAAACTGGCGGGGTTGGAAAAAGATTACATCACACAAGAATCGCGAGCGCTGATAGACTGTTTTTCCAACCTTCGAAGGAAATCGTCTTTCTCTTTGTGTATCCTCGAGTGAACTTTCTCGTTCGGTTCAGTCTTTCCTTTTTTTCATATTCTTTCTTTTTTTTTTTCTGTAATCCACACTTTGTAGACGATGAGCGGTAAAGGCGTCGTACGAAGCATGTAGGTTTTTATTGGTTGTGGACTTGGATAGTCTATTACCGCTTGTTAGGCTTATTGTTCTCATCATCTCTTATTGTAAACTTGGTCTTGGTAATACAACAGAAAAAATTACGCCAAAGGCTTTTCCGAAGTGCAGATTAAAGTGCGTGAAGCCACGTCCAATGATCCGTGGGGTCCAAGTGGCACTCTCATGAACGAAATTGCCCAGTTAACAAACAACCAGTAAGTAATCGTTATTGTCTCTGATGAACAAAGAGACTTTGGGATGACCACGAGATGAGAGTGTTGGACACGGTTAGGAGTCATGGGCGACTTGCTGTTCTCTGACCATGCTTACCGTCACGGTTCATGATGAGCATTGTTTTCGTCATGACTATTCCTTAGTGAGACGGTACAAAAAGACACTGGATTGACGTTTTGTTTTTTGAATTTTTAGACATGATTTTGTGGAGATCATGGATATGATTGATAGACGATTAAACGATAAAGGCAAGAATTGGCGACACGTGTTCAAGGTAAAAAAAGAAAGCTTAATAGGGAGGTCTGATCGCTGTTTTTGTAAATTAAACTGAATTTTATTATAGGCTCTGCTGCTTTTGGATTATTGTCTACATGTGGGATCGGAGAATGTCGTGCTTTATGCCAAGGAAAACATTTATGTTGTAAAGACCTTGAAGGAATTTCAACACATCGACGACAGCGGCAAAGATGTAGGCGCCAATGGTAAGATACATGATTTTCATTTCGCTCACGAAAAAAAAAGGTATATTATTGGGCGATGTCTAAAAACTTCCATTCATGAACAACAGTGCGACAGAAAGCCAAAAGTATTACCGATTTATTGAATGACGATGCCCGTTTGCGTGAAGAACGTCGTCAGCGTACGCAAATGAGAGATCGAATGACGGCGGTGGGCGATTATATGAATGAAACGCTCTTGACTAGCCGAGCAGAGAATGGCGAACCAGTGTATGAACGACCCGGCTATTTGGACGAAGATAAAGATTTACGAAGAGCCATTGAAGAAAGTCGACGATTGGCTCAAGAAGAAGCCAAAAAGCGTGAACAAGGGTAATTACCGCAGAGGATTGGACACTCAGCAACTGGATGGGGAATTGTTGTGGATTTGCTCTTTTTTAACATGAGGCTTATAACAGTGATGAAGACCTTGCCAAAGCTTTGCAATTGAGCGAACAAGAAGCAAGGGAAAAGGAGAAACGCCAAAGAGAAAAACTGGAACGTGAAAATGAGCAAAGCTTATTCGGAAATGCTGGCAACGATCAATCATCCAGGTACAATGTCTTTTTTGGATGGATGAAAGGGGCACCATGCCAATCACGATGATGGTAATGTTTTAACATAATGTCTGTATGATTGCTGGCGCGTTTTAGTTTCAATCCCTTTCCTCAGAACCAATTGTTCGACGCTTCGGTCAATCCTTATGCTCAACAGCAACAATTTCCTCAGCCTACGGGAATGACCAATATGTCGTTCTCTGATCCTGTCAGTGCGAATCAAATGTATAATCAACAGCAAGCCACAGGTTTTGGCAATAACTTTGGAGGCAATCCTTACGGAAATAATCCTTATCAGCAACAACAGCAAGGATTTGCCGGTTTTGGACAAGGGCTGCAGGCGCAAATGACAGGCATGCCCCAGCAACCGCAGTACACTGGCATGGCGCCATTCCAAACGAGTGATATGAGTGCTAATTATCAGCAAGCGCAATTCACTGGAATGCCGTCAATTCAGACCAGCATGGCCACCGGGATGACCAGTAATCCATTTGGACAGTATCGTGCAGGCAACGAACAACTGCCGCAACAGACCGGCTTTGCATCGACCGCATTTCAGCAACCACAGCAAACAGGCATGGCCAATTTCCAGCCGCAAGCTTCTCCCTCGTTTGCATCCACTTCCACTACCAACAATCAATCCCCCGTAAGTAAAAATCGAGACCCAAGCCGCAGTAAAGATAGTTGGTGAAGTGAGTGAGTGAGTGAAGGTTTCTCATTTTTTCGTGGATATGTGGGCCTATAGTCTTCCAGTGGAGTTGCGGCCTTTGGCAGTCCATCCACATCGAAACCGGCCGACCCTCGTTACGCAAAACTGAATGCATTGCTTGCATCAAAAGAGTAAGTTGGAATAAGAAGGAAAAGGAAGAAAAAAAAATTTCGTATTGTTGTATTGCAAAAAGTGATATCTGATGTCATGGTGTAACGGTTACACAGTGACGGTATGGACACCTTCGGCAACACAGGAAATCTCCGCATTCCCTAGTAAGTAAAATTGTGTAACAGATACATCGATGGTAGCACACATGGATTAAGATGTGGTCATTGCAGTGGTACGGGCTTTGCGAATTCGCTTCAACCTCAGGCAACGGGCCAATCAAGTGCAACAACCGCCACTGGCAATACTGGCGATCTCTTGGGTCTAGGTACTGATAACAAATCCAATGATAGCAAAGACTCGTTATTTTCTCAGGTAAAAAGTTGAACCTAGATCACTCGTTGATTCTCCAAGTTTGTACGACAGTTCGATAAGAGCCGTTCACTCACATTTTGATATTTTTTTTTTTTTTATTTTCTCAACCCAGCCATTTGGTCAGCAACCGAGTCGAAATCCGTTTGGTCAACCCACTGTAAACAATAGCTCTCCAAATACAAATAATAATCAAAAAAGTCTGCTTGAAATGATGCAAGAACAAAGACAGCAGCAGCAGCAACAACAACAACAGCCAGCGTCATTCCAGCAACCTCAGATGACTGGTATGATGCAGCCACAACCGACAGGATTTGATAACTCTTTTGCGTTTGGACAACCACAGCAACCGCAAATGACTGGAATGCAACAGCCGCAAGCAACAGGTTTTAATGGATTTGGACAAGCATCACAACCAGCTTTTGGACAACAAAATGGGTCATTTTTCTAAAAGGAAAAAAAACACAAAACTGAGTCAGCCGTTAATTGTTTGTATATCAGAAATTTTACAATAAAATAAAGGGAACAAAAAAGAAAACCCAACCGAAAAAAAAAAAGGAAAATGCAAAGCAAATGAAGTTGGTCAGTGATTTTTGATATTTTGGCGGGTTGTTTGCTTTTCGCATTTCCGATGTGTGATTTAGCATTTGAAACGTGCCAATGAATTGAAAGATGATATGCATTGATTAGGATGGATAGCATTTTTTCACTTATCTTTGGGTTGGTTGACTCCAATATTATAATAAGATCTGCAGGTATGTTATCGTTATCTTTAGTGATCGTTCACAGAGGTCGGCTGACATTTTAAACGTGGGCAACCCATTTTCTCATGTTTTGTTTTGCATCCTCATCCAACCTTCCATTGCTATAAAAGGCATAGATAGATAGGATGCGACACCTAACAATAAACAACAAGCAATTTTTGCGCGCCAAGGTTACAAAAACGCGTGGTCTCGCTGAATTAAAAAAAATAAAAATAAAAAAAAAACCTGTAATGTGTGGGAATCGTAGTGTCATGATTGGGTGGACAACAATAGCGGTAATAATGATAGCACGGTGGTAGATGGCCGTACACACACAAGGCGGTTAGAAAGAATCTATCAGGTTCTATTCTAGATTCTGTCGGGCCGATGCAGGTCAGAATGAAGTTTTTTTTTTCTTTTCTTTTTCTATAATTACTTTTTGAGGTATATTTCTGGCTATCTGATCTGATCGCACAATGTTACATGGTTGGCATCCGCAGCGGTATGTCGATTGGTTCATGATAGAATGCAGGGAAAAGGAAAAAGGTTGAGAGGTGAAGTGATAAGGATAGTGAAGGGATTAGCGGTGCATGTAAAATTGAAGTGTGTTTCTTGACAATGTAATACAAAAGCGTTTTGAAACATGCAATCTTAACCAATCCAATCCAAGAATAACACAGATAAAGCGTGAACTGAGGGGGGGTTGGGTGGGGGTGGGGGGAGGGATGAAAAGAAATAAGGACAGGGTCACATTTTCATGAGCTGAGAAACAAAAAAAAAAAAAGTTAGATAAAAAAGAAAACAATAACACCGATGCCGTCATGCACATATATAAAGGTCGTGCTCCACACATCTTTTTTTCTAGTTTTTATTTTGATATCTTCTGTAGTGTTCGTTGTTATTGGTGCCTTTTTATTCGTGTTTTTTTTTATACATTTTTACTTCTATTTTTGCTTTGTTGTTGGGGGGCGACCATTGTTCGATTTTTTTTCTTTTTCCTACGCTTTGCAATTAGTTATTTGTATTTTTTTTGTTCCCTTTCATATTTTTTTATTGCATTTCACTGACATTCGAGTGTTTGTGTGTCTCTTTTTTTTTTTTTTTTTTTTACACCTCAACCCCTTTATCGACATATTTCAATTGCTATTCCAACCTTTAATCTTGTTCTTCTTTGCTCTTCTTCCATTTTTTTTTTTCACTTACTTGAGAGAAAAAAAAGAATTGAACCTTTTCCTTTGTACTTTTTTTGTTTGCTCCTTGGAGATCTTTTATTACATTGATCATGTCATTTGTCCAATACCCTCAACTAAGCCAGCGATATCAGCACGATACATTTGTTAATCCACATGCGTGGAAACGCGTTACACTGTTCAAAAGACAAACATCGACCACTACTACGATTGATACATCGATGACAGACGAATTGACTTCGGCATTATCTTCTCTATCATCTGATCGCCATCACAACCGTCACCGTCTCCATGATAAATTACACATCGATATCCAAACCCAGCCATCCACGCCCTCACTTAAACCGTCCCTGCGTCATTCTCGTTCAGCGCCCGCAACCCCTCGCTTCAAGTCCGTCAAGTTCGATCTCGATCACCTTGAACATATTTGCCTTTTCCGAAAAGCTCAGACTCCGCGGGCCATTCGACAGCAAAGGATCTTTTGGGCTGGCCACACCGATACCGTCGAGTACATCGATTGGCCGTCAGCTGAAGAACAATCAACAATGACGGCAATGGTGCGTGTGGAAAAGGCCATTTGTGTTACGCCAGACAGTCGAACGATCGTCGGCCGGTTGCAAATCCGTAATCTCGCCTATCACAAGATCGTCTCGGTCCGTTATACATGGAATGACTGGCTGACCGTCGAAAATGTTCCTGCAACCTACCGTGAACCTTTGGGTAACGATGCCACCAATAACCTTTATGACGTCTTTGGCTTTTCCATTCCTCACCAATCGGGTCAACATCATCTTTCGTTCGCCGTTCAATATGTTGTCAACGGTACTGAATACTGGGAAAATAATCAAGGCCGAAATTATAAACTCAACCTCACGCCACCCACACAGCCATTGGAAGATTTGGAAGATGATATATCGGACTGGGAGGACGATTGGCAACAAACCACCACCCCTAAAGAAGGCCATGCTCTCCCCATTCCCAACCACAGCCACACCGACCCTTCGCATTATCTGGCTCCTCGTTACGATATTTCGCAATCCATCTCGATGGCAAAAAAGGTCCCTCAACCCGCCCTTGCCCAACCCCAGCCTTTCAAATCCGCTACGCCGTTCACTGCACCTTCGCCTTCGCCACCATCTCCTCCTCCTCCTCCTGCCATCCCCTTTTGGGATTCATTTTCATTAGCATCCTCACCAACTGGTTTGGTGGATCTCAATTCTCCCTCATACATGGATCTCGTGAACAAATACTGTTTCTACGGCACCAGTCCCACCCGATCACTCATGCCCATCAATGGTTAGAAAACGATCCAAAACGACGAAATAATAATACCAATGCCCGCCAGCACCCGCACCACACACATTCACGCACATACATACAGACAGACAGACACACAACAAATCGCGTGCATCATTCTACACACATGTATACATATCCATCTGCACCAACGATTTCCTCACGTGCGTGTCATGTACTGTAACTTTGGCAAGAACAGAAGAACAACAACAACAACAACAAAAAAAGTTAAGAAAAAAAGGTTCGATGATCGTCCATTGAACAAGTCAAGAACGCCACAGGGCATGCAAAAAGAAATCCAAAATAAAAATATGAAAAAAAAGGACTCTCACTTTGTTTGATACTACTTTTTCCATCGCACATACCAATCATAAGCATGCATGATATTTTTTTTTCCGTTTTCCCCCCTTTTTTTCCCGTGCCGTTCTTTGCGTCAAAACTTAGAGAATCCCTTCTCTTGTTTTCCCTTGTTTCTTTTTCTTGGGATCGTCAATGATCTATTGTATTTTTAATCACCCAAAGAACAAAGTAAAGGAGACCATATTCTTTGATGAAAAAAAAAACAAGCATCACAGATAGGAAAAAAACATGATAAAGAAGGTGGCCGAAGAAAAAAAAGAAAAAAAAAAGGATGCAGATGCACAATAAATGTTTATATGTCATACAATTTATCATCGTCAAAATCAGTATATGTTAATGAATATGAAAGGATGGTTATTTCTTCTTGCGGTTTTGCATAGCATCAAAGTTTTTGTATGATCGTTGTTCGTATTCCTTTAGCTTATAACGATGCGAAGCCTTGACCGGTAAACGGGGTTCAATGATATTACGTTTTTGAAGACTGACAAATCGATCTTTGAACACGTTGCCCTCCGGCTAAATCCCACCAAAAAAAAAAAAAAGACCTTATCAGTATCTTTTTTTTTCCCTTCTCATGTGATGTTATCAGTGATGTGAAACCAGTGTTCTAATTTTACCTTGAGTTGACGAAGACTTTCAGCAAGTTCATCCTGCAATTGTACTTCCACCGGCATTTCCTGCACATAGTGCTTTCCCACACGTTTCAGACCTTGCTTCTCCTCTTCGGCCTTTTGCTGTTTCTTGGTTGCCAAAAGTTGGGCCAGTTCCTCTGTTCGCGTAGTAATATCCGCCTCGATGTGCTTCAATCGATCAATCTGTTGACGAATCTTCTTTTCTTGATTGCGCTGAGCCTGGATCGCGCGCTCTTGTCGTAATCGTTTCTCACGGTTACGTTCGGTGGTGGTCTTTCTTGCCTGTTTCGCAGCCTTTTTTGTCGGCGTATCTTCATCCTCGGCCTCGGCTTCAGCCGCAGCCGCTTCCTCTAATTCTTCCAATGCAATCGTTTCGTCCAGCTCACTGGCAAGAGCTTCCAACTCTTTACGGTATGCCAATTGTTCATCTAATGCTTTTTGCGCTTCCAATTTCTCCACTTCGATATCATGCGCCTTCTTTAGTAATTTCAAATGCTCCTCTTCTGTAGGATTGTATGAAGCACCCGCATCGGGAATCGTCACTGCAGCTTGATGTATCGCTGCTTTCGGCTTTTGGCTTAGAGTAGCAGGTGCCTACACCGTAAACAAACCGGGAACAGATCAGATCGCGTGATCCTCTCATTAACCCAAACTCTCCTCTCTTTTTTTCCCGTTCTTTTGTTGTGTGGTAAAATGAAACACCCCTCAAAACAGCGCATATTGCTTACCTTGACTTTATGTTTTTTGACAGGTTCCAAGTATTCATTGGTGGTCTCGGCAGGTTCTAATGTGGGAGGTGAGATTGATGCATGACCTATTGTCCAATAAGGTTTATCGTCAACTGACCTTCTGACCATAAATCGTACGATCGTGTATTTTTGCTCTTCTTTTTCGCAGCGGGTGCAACTGCATTGTCCAACTTGCGTTTATATTTGTCTACCAAATGTTTCTGATGCTTGGAAGGTTCCCCTTTCGTCACCGTCGGTTTCGGCACTGCACGTGATTTTAATCCTGGGACAGCTGAACGTTCGGCCAGAATTTGATCCACTCGTAAAGGCTTGTCCTTGGTTATTTGTCGCTTCACTATTGTACAACAACAGCCAAAATAGTTTAGCTTTTTTCTCAATCCTTTTGAATCTCGTCACTGAACCAAAATGATCGATCGTTCCAATGTACCTCTGTTATCACCGGCGGTATCAATGGTAAACAGTTCGTCCATTTCTAATTCTCCAACTTTGCCTCTGTAGACAATAGATCGATGAATACTTGACAATTCCTTTTATGGTCTGCTTTCGGATCAAGATGAAGCCTTACCTCACACGTTCTTCTGTTCGCATAGCTTCAAGACCCACATCGACATCCTCGTGGTCAATATTCTTACGCCATGCCTTCTTTCCTTTACGGCTAGGCTGAGCCGATTTTCGCTTGTCTTCTAATGCCATTGGTTTACTTTGATCTCGGGATCCTCAGTTGAAACTTCCCAATAAAAAAAAAAAAAAGAAAATTTGTTCAAAGGGGAACTATTGTCTAGTCACAATACTAGTCACATCACCAAAACAAGAAAAACGTTTGGACCTCCGCTTTGTCCCCTCTTCTCAAGCAATGCAGATATTGGCCACTGTTTGCTCTCGGTTTTTAACATGGCCTTCTTTGATAGATTTATATATAAGAACGTTACGACGAACTTGATAACAAAGGTAAAAAGGCCTGCAGCCTCATTGTGCGTCAATATGAACTATCATACTGTTGGTCCGCTGTGGTTACGACACATGCAAGTTCGTCGCATTATCCAACTTCAGATTCCACGGAAGAGGATATGTAGTTGGCTAATTCAAATGGAGACTCACGCCGCTTAATAGTTTTTTTCTCCGTATATCAAACAAAAGATAAGCCCATTGAATGGCTATTATGAGCGGATGACGGTCATTTATCTTTTTCAGTTTCTCTGTATGAACAACAAGACAACGGGCATTCGGCTTTCAAAGCAGGACAATGTTTCCTTTATAAAAGTAAGGTAATATGCGTTTTTGCATAGATCAATCCGATTTCTATAAGTGGTAGCAATTATTATTATATGGGCAACCCATCTGTTTCAATGATGTTTACTACTTGGGCCGTCACTGGGTGTACAGGTGCGACACCATGAAGATAGACTACAGGATGAGGTCGCTTACTGTCTGTCATTTGAAAGACAAGCCTGAGTGCCCTGAACGAAATCTTTGGGCGGGGCAATCTTGGACAAAAGGGGGAAATTTTCATCGGCTTTGGGAATATCCGAGAAATTGTTAGCGCAATGACGGCATGCTGATGGGACCTTATTCCGAAAAAGGGCAATGAATGGGCATCTTTTCAATCTCCTCCAACAAAGTCAAAGGTGAGCTTTGGTACTTCCCTTTGTTCACTCATTATCCTCTTTCATGTTTTTCGAAACTACCTATGTCCCTTCACCTCAACTATCTGCCGTCAGCGCTGGTAATGTATAAACGTGAAAAGTCCAATCGCGGCATTGCCGTGATGGATCACCTTACAAACATCATACCATGATCATTGTTGCTGATTTGTTCACGAGCACAGACGACGACTTGACCACTTCGGCGCCGCCGTTGTCTTTGTCTGAACCAGCTCCTGATACCGAACAGGAAATACCTGAAGAAGAACCCTCCCAAGATACTCCCGTAGATCATCTTATCTTTGTTATTCATGCAAGTCCACCTTATTCACAGGCGCCACATCCTTTTTATTCATGCTAATTTTCTCTCTTGTTCATTCTATAGGGCATTGGTCAGGTATATGAGAGACCCAAATTCATCCGTCAATTAGTGTAACGTTGTGTCACTGATGGAAAAATTTTGACTTCTTTATGCATGTGAATATGACAGCAAACTGAACAGTACGGCCACTTTTTCGAACACAGTATGTATGCTTCTGCGGTTAAACGCAAACATGTCGATCACCGACAGATCTAAATTCAAATGATGTGTAGTTGAAAATCTGCAAGAAACCACCCGTCAAGTCTTGCAAGCCAAAGTACCAGACCACAGCGTACGAATTGAGCTGGTTCCTATTGAGTGGCACCGACATATCCACGAACAAGTGGACCCCATTATGAACCAAATCACGCTGAAATCGATTCCTACCATTCGTTTGATTGAAAACGACTACCTGGCTGACGTGCTGTATTACTTTTCAAAAGACCGTGGACAAAACATTGTGGATAACATCACCAACCTGTACAACACCTCTTACCACAACTTTCTGGAAAAACATCCGAACTTCAATGGCAAAATTGCTATTCTGGGCTATTCGTAAGTTTATCGATCATCTTGCTGGCATTTTAGTCTGCGGTGAAAAATTCACATCGGCATTGAATCTTTATGTAGTTTGGGTGGCGTCATTACGTGGGATATTTTGTCGCATCAACGCCAACCTTCTGGACCCGACGAAGAAGCGGCTTACAGCCGACTGGACGTCAACTTTGGAAAATTGGACTTCAAACCAGATTTCTTCTTTGGACTGGGGTCTCCTATCAGTGCGGTGCTGACCTTTCGAAATCAGTCACCAAAGTACTATCATCCAGATTTTGACATTGTTATGGAAAATCTGTTTCACCCCTTTGACCCCCTGGTAGGTTGTTCGATTCTGCATGGGAGTAAGGAATGGCTGATTAATTTCCATCTATTTACGCCTTTTTTTTGTATGAAGGCGTACCGCTTTGAGCCTTTATTCAATGATTATTTTACAGAGCAATCGGCCGTGCTGGTCAAACGGGCGGTACCTATTGGACCTTCGTTCTCCTTCCCTTCCATGCCATCATTACCCGGAATTGGATTCTTGTCACTGTTCTCTTGGAAATTTTCTTCCAATCCAGTAGCCGAACCTACAGGTGCCGCCCTGAGTAACGCAACCGCCGCCGCAGCAGAAGGAGCCCAAGAAGCGCAACGTGGTCTTAATAAATCAAATCAGAAAAAGAATGAAAAAGAAGGGTCGACTATCCAAACGTCATCCTCGAATACCAGTATTCACAGTGCTCCACAACAAGAGCAAGGCAGTATCATGTCGTCTGTATCAAACTTTTTACAGTACTTTACTCGCGGACGAAGTGCGCAGGATCAGCCGCCGTTGCAGGATGGCGAGAATACCGCGGTCGATAACAATATTGGTATCATTACCTGGGATCCTTTGCGCGAACAGACTCGGGAACAATTGCTCGCTCTTCGCGATGACCTCGACAGAACATTGAATGCCAATATGGATAAATTTGTTCCGTCGACACATGATTTTTCACGTGGTATACCGATTGACAACCGGCCGCAATTGCCCTCGCGATCAAAAACGTATGCTGTATCCCAAGATTTGCATCAAGATGACCTCTATTCGTTCTCTTATCCCAAATCGGGCGAGGACCAATTGCGAGAACGATCAGTCGACGACACCTTACTTTCCGGCAAACGTCCCGTGACCCCTCATCGATCGGTGAGTACGCATGCTCGTCATCATCTTGTGGAAGTACTGGGCATCGACGGCGTGCGTATGGAATCGTTGGAACGAGCACGGGCCAATTTTGGTCAATGGGGATCGAAATCGGATGCATCGGTACCAGAGATCAGCATCGCATCTCCGGTCCCGATGGATGACGATTCAGCAGCAAGTCATGCGGAATCCAAGGAAGCGAGAGATGGGGCAAACGAAGCCGACACGAGTAGTACCGGGGGCGAAGCTGACAGCGCGCTGAAAGAGAGTAACACCAAGGCGGAACGAAGACAGGACAAGAAGGAAGAAGAGGCATCCGGCTCGGATAATATTTGGGCGAACCTGAATCAAGAAATCCACGAACCAGGACCGGCCGTGATGTCGCCTGGGGTGTCCAAAGCCGACGTGGCTCGTGATGCAACGCGTGGCAAAAGGTCATCGAAAACAGAAGCAGAAGAGCAAGGTAAAACGGAAGAAGAAAAGGAAATGGACGAGAAAATCCAATTGCAGCAATTGCCGGGTGGAAGGCGGATGGATTACGTTCTTCAGCCTGAAAGTTTCATGAGCATGATTGCCAATGAATATCTGGTGGGATTGCGTGCACATTTCTCCTACTGGACAAACAAAGATCTTTTATGGCACATCCTTGGACGACTTGAAGTTTTGGAAACGGAACAATCCAAGGATTCCTCTTCGGAACGCAACTCGACTACTTCACCGCCGCGCTCCAGAAATCCTTCCGAAACCTCCTCTACCACAAGCAATGTCAAGACGACGTTTTCATCCGGTCAACAGCCACAATCGAGTACATCTTCCATTCAGTCTGGAAAACACTCGGTAACATCCTCTGTCGGTCGCGATTGGTAAGGCCGACCTACCAGTAGAGATTTAAATGTAGCAACAACAACAACAACTACAAGTGACTTTCTTTCATCCTTGCTAATAATCCTATTGCTGTCATTAGAAGAAAAGAAAAAAAAAAGCACATTTCATCATTTAGACATTTCTCATTCATGCTCCGTGTAGTAATAGGATAGGTTGCGATTTTTATAAAAACAAACATATACAATATATAAAAATAATGTATGCTTAGCAGTGCCAGACTGCGTGCTCAGTATTTATTCCGTATTCCCAAGATGAGGGCCGCAAGGGGTTGTTATAGAGGTCGCTTGATAACGGACACATTGGAAGGAGGGACGAATTGGAAGGTACCGATGCAGAATATGGATAGTTGAACATGATATCTTCCATCATCGTATACAGACCGTGGTCGGAGGGTGGGCCAGACGGATGCAGAGGAAACGTCGAAGCGATGGCAGGGAGTGCCAGGGAAGAAGAAGAAGACGAGGACGACGAAGAGGAGCAAGATGGAAGCGGCATGGATGGTAATGGTGACGAAAATGAGGGCCGTATAAGCTCATCCGATTTGGGTTCAATCGCTCTTTTTACCCAGTCGGATTCCATGGGTTTGGGAAACAAGGTATAAGCGAATGGCTCAGCCGTGGATGAACCTCGATCGGTGGGGACGGATTTTTCACTTTTGGACCGCCATCTCCTCCTCCCTGAAACGGGATCAGACGACCATTCGCCAAGACAACGATTTTTCTGCGTGTAAGACATCAGCAAGGCGCGTTGCTTGGCCAGATTGGATTCGATAATGTGGATCCTAGCTTCCAAGCGAGAAATATTCTCGATAAAAGGATCGACAAAGGTAGGTTGATTGCTGCGTGTGCGTCGAGAGGTCGGATAAGTGCATTCAGCGTTGGTAGCGTCACATCGAGCGCACATGGGTCGAGTTCCATTGCAACGTACTTTTTTACGATGGCAACGGTAGCAAGCGACCGGCGCTCTCGGTCGTTTGCCCTTGCTCTGATTATCCTGAGATCCCGCTACTGTTTTGGCGACCAAAGTCATTGAGAATTTGTCAGAAAAGAACCCAAAAAAGCAGAATTAAAAAAAGTCAACACCCCCAATGCGTCACGGCGGGAAAAATAAAAAAGGAAGAGTGTCAGTTGCAAGTAATCAAAAGTATAAAAACGAGTATACAACGGAAAAGGATAGACGCTTACTTTTAAATAAAAGATGGTTTGCATGAATTTCTCTTGATTCTCTTTGTCTCCCTATTTTGGGAATAGACCGCAACAGATTTGCAATAAGAAGAAGGATCACATCGGCCGTGACCAGTTTGCTTTGGTAAGGAACCTAAAAAACCACACATTTGATCCTGAGATAATCGGTTGGAATTGGGATCCTAAGCAACTTTTTTCTGCTCAGGATGGACAACCAGGGAAATAAGGGATCGCTTCAACTTTGGAAGGAATCAGGGTTCAATCCATGCGGCCTTTGTATCATTCAAGTCATACAATTTTGCAATATTAGTTAATATACCATCTCTCAACGTGACAAAATAATTGGAATCCAACGATTTGGGCCACTGTCGTCCTGCCTCAAGCCCATGATGAGAAAACCATGTGGTGCGTGCTGATATATAAAGAAAAAGAGCGATCTAAAACTGTGATCGCCAGCAGTCAGTTCGCAGAAATCGAAGCGATTCTATTGGTGGGTGTTGTGCTATATCTGTAATGAGGGCAGATGGATGCGGCAGATGCGTCAATGTGAGAAGCAGATTGTGCTTAATGCAAGTGAATGCATCATTTCAAAGATGACGCATGCTAGCACAAAAATAAAAGTTATTCTACATTGATGATTTTTTATCATCGCTTTGAGAGGAGATCTCTTTAAATGTTTCCCTTCTTTCATCAAACAAGCATATATGCGTAACGCATCACTTGATACACAAAGCACTTCAAATACACAACAATATTCATGATCATATACGAGAATTTTTTTTGTTTCTTACATATTAATGAAATGAAAAAAAAGGCGGAATCCATACTATTGATTGCTGCTACATGGACAACGATACAAAGTAACAGACATGGATAGAGAGAAAAAAATCCAAAACCAAAAGAAATATACAACGTCTCTTCTTCCCTAGAAACCGTGAACCTTGATTTCTGCCTTCTTGGCGATCTTTTCTTTCACCAAAAACTCGGCGATCTTCATACGCTGGTCACCCGACATTTGTAAAATCTCGCCCAATTCCTCATGTTCCACTACGGTACCGTTACAAGCGAATTCCTTCTTGAACACCTTCAAGATCTTCTTGGCATCGAACTGCTTGGGAAGGCCCTGAAGCGTCGTCACTGTCTTTCTACCGTTTCTCTGTTGGATACGTAAATCTAAAAAGATATTACCAGAAAAATTGGCAAGATGCCACTGATCAGTTCATCCATCTCAGCGAACATCGGGTCATCTGAATACTTACGGATATAGTTGGTGGCCTTAGGGGAGCTTTCCTCTTCAACGTCAGCGAAGGGATCTGCAAAGCAAGCAGCTGATTAACATCACATCACAATACATTCAGATGGTCCAACACCCATTACTTACCGAAAGGGACGTTGAGTTCTTCGACGTTATTGGACATGCAAACTTGGTTTTTGCCTCTTGTTATGAACTTGGGAAAAGGTTTGTTCAAGAAAAACTAAACCGAACTCACGATTTTCCAACTAATTTGAATCTCCGGCTTATGACGTAGGGGCTATTCTCGAACCTGATTGGATACGTTGGACAGTGCTTTTGTTACTTTGCCTTTTCCTCTTTGGTGAATTGAAAACAAAAAAAAATCAGTAAAATCGCACCCGATGGAACACCAGTGAAATTCCCTCATTCCCTTGCAGAAAGACAACATTTCTTTTTTTTCCGCTGTTCAAAAAAATAGGGTAAAACCAACCCCAAGCTCATCAATGGATCAACGCTGTTAGCTGTATCTTTTTTAGTTGGCTCTGTTCCCCAATTGGACGCGCCAGATTCTGGAAACCACGGAACCAACTCGAAACATCAATGCTGCGGCAACGGTGGATTTTCGCCATGTGTCACGTTGGCACGAATGAGTTGAAGCGTCTGTTCGCAGCTGGGCATTTGGGATTCTCTTGAGACGCCTTCCAAATCGTTCGATTTCATGACAAAAACAGGCTTGCAGGTTGTTCGTGTTTCGCGCGTCATGCGATCGTTCTTTTTTTTTTTTTTTTTTTTTTTTTATCACAAGAAGCTCGTCAAAAAAAAAAAGAAACAAGCTATTGTGGAATATCCAATTTTCTTTTACCGGATTTGACGTAGAAAGGAAACCAGCTTTATGCTTTCCTAACATGGGCATGCACCTATGGATGGGAAATTGGCTGGAATATTTAGGTTTACCAAGCATTTTGCTTACCTAATTGTTTGCTTCAAGGAGGAAGGCTGCATTTACAGTTTAAAACACTATGAATTAGTTTTGCTTACCGTAGTGACCTTATTTCCACCATTTCTGTCATTTGCTTTTTTTCGCCAATGAGAAACGGTATACCGGAGCCCCATGCTCGCCGGTCTAGTGCATCCATGAGTCAACATGGGATGGTTCCATGGGTCGAGGTCTGTGTCACATTGATGGAACACAGAAATGGGGAGCAATAGCCACAAAAAACAAGAAAAAAAAAGCGGACCATGGGATGGGGCATGGCATGTGCGCCGCGCCGCGCCGCGCCGCGTCGGGTTTTGCACTCTAAGTCCTCATCATGGTGAGTTTCGGTTAATCGCGTTCTCAAGGGAAAGATAAGCCAGGTAGGTCACGGGAAGATAACATACAGTATAGATCAAAAGGAAACATTGACTCACTTATTCCATCGAACGATGAAATAGATTGGGATGTCATAAAAAAAAAATGTGGTTTTCCCCGACTTCCCCACAATTGAATGCGAAAAAGGTACACGGTTTCCTCTTTTAGATGACCCAAATCAATCTGCAAAACGGCTCTCGTGTCGTCGCATTGACGGCGGATTTCAAGGTTCTCAATCCACGATTAAGTTTCTTTTTACGCATTGCAAGCGAAGCAAGTCGGAAAACAAGATGGTCGACTAAGGCCGACAACATCAATGCATGCATGCATGAGGATAACCTATTATTCAGATCAAATTTATTCAATTGAGTAGGGTTGAATTTTTTTTTCTCCCCAAATGATGGATCGAAATGATCATTGCGCTAGCCATGTGGAATGATCATTGATGGCGGAATCATCTTATTGCATATCCATGGAAGCACGTGAAACCATATGATAAGGGAATGCGCCAAAGATACAAAGCGAAGGTTTCCGATAGTGTGTCTCTGTCACTTCATTGGCCAAACACCGGTTCTCCCTTTGTTTTTCCCTCTCTCTTTGTTATGATCTGAGATTTTTTTTCCCACCCTTAGTGCTTTATCTTTTCGTTAGGCTTGGTTTAAAACCTTGTGATAAAATAAAAAAATAAAATAAAAAAACAGCATCGGAAAGGGTCTAGACATGAGTTACTGGCACCTTGCTTTTTTTTTCTGCTTTAGTGAAAATGAATCATGTGTAACCAGAATGGTTCTCGTCACTGAAGCAATGTCATGGTAACATGAAACAAGAAAGGTTATTTGTCAATGAGCTTGAGTTGGGAAGTGAAGTAAAGAGTCAATTAAAGAAACGATAATCGGAAAATGAATCCAATGGACTGGATTAATCTTGCTTACTCGATCACGCCCAAAAGGGCAACTCAGCGGAATAGAAATGCATCGTTACAACAATTGAGCATTTGTAAAGACAATTAGAGCTCATGAACGCTGCAAGCTTTTTTTTTTTTTTTTGGCTTTTGAGTCTTTTTTTTTTTGGCGATTTGGATCGTCTCTTCTTCTACCTTTTTCTTTATAGTTTTTTTTGGATCCTCTTTATTTTTTTCCCTTCATATTTAGCTGCTTGCTCACTCTCTCTCTCTGTGTGTGTAGTTGTTTTTACCACTCTTCATGCTCGCATAACGAGTATCTGTTCTCTTCTTTCGTAGTCTCCTCCTTTTTTTTTCTTCAACTTATTTTGTCTTAATAATCGGCGTTATCTCTTGTGTCGTCATGGAAGGATATGATCCAGCTACTACCACCGTACCTCACAAAGCCTCCAGTATCACCAGCACAACCAGCAACAGCAGTTGGGATAATCCGCCTTCGCTTTATTCAGGTTCCAGTGTCCACGAAGACGCCGAATCGCCTTATATACATGAAACGTTACCTGACGAAGGTACTGCATGTCAATAGAAAACACAGTACACAAACAGAAAACGCTTACCATTCCACTATTAGACTTTCATCCAAAAATAGCTAATTGGGATCATTGCTCTCTGATTAAGGATAAGGATCAAAAGCAAATCTCTGATTTTCTCGACTCTTTCTTTATCGAATCAACCATGCCTAAGGTAAATAGCAGACCAGATGACAGTGCCGAACAGACAATTTAAGTTTGATTGAAACCTCTTTAGCAACAAAAACGAGACACGACGCACGCGGCACACAGCGAAATGGTGGCCACAACAACGACGATGGAAGACGAAACATCACCTATCTATCTTTGCCAAAGCCATCAGGTGGCCGTTCCTATTAGTTCTTCATGTCTTGTTCGAAAACGGACCAGTCAAGGCATGCCAACCAAGCCGTCTCATCCTCGATACGAGCCTGAACCTGGTGATGTGATGGCAACGTCGCCTGTGCCTGCATCCAACAGCAAATCCCATCATCAAGCGCCTAAACAACGACGGGTCACACGAAACCGTGATATACTAACCGATGATGAACGACGCGCCAACCATATTGCTTCCGAACAAAAACGGCGTAATTCCATCCGTAATGGTTTCAAGGAGATGACTGATATCATTCCTACGTTAAAAAATATCAACAACTCGAAAAGCACCATTTTATTCAAAGCAGTCGACTATATCCGGCACCTGGAAAAACGGAACCGCGGTTTGCGCGAGAAACTACGATCGTTGCAGATGCGTCACGAAGTCGAAAAGCGGATGATTCGTAACAACAACGTGAATTGGTTTCAAAGACGTTGTTTAGCTCAAGATTCACTGCAAGTCCATGCATCACCGACTATGGCCAACAACGAAGGACTGCATCCTTCCGCTATGGCCGCCTTAATGGCGCATAAGAACCAACAAAACCAGCTGCAACTTTTACAACAACAACTACGTGTTCAGCAAGAATTACTGACCAAACACAACATCAAACCGACCTCATCTGCTGCCCCGATATATCATTCTATTTCCATTCCTATGTCTCATGTAAATAACTCACCGACGCAATTACCTCCACTCATGCCTACCAGCAAAGAAAAATGGATGGCCAATGCCTTGAATGCTCCCAGTCTCAATATTCCTGCCGACGACGAATATCCTAAAGAAGCATACAGAGACCATTGATTAAGCCCTCACCGAATATATCATCCAAAATATCACACATCCGTTGACCATGTCCTCAAGCAGCTGAAAACTAGAAAACATAACAAAAAAAAAAAAATTCCTCAAGGATTCAACAAAAAAAAGAAAAAAAAATATCTATGCCCCCAATTTCCAATGACCCATTTCAGTGTAGCATGAATTTCTGATTTTTTAAACTTTTTTTGCGCTTCAACATTTTTTGATTCCCAAACACATCGAAATTCCATCTCCGAATTTCGCATGTGACTGTATTTATGAATAAAGCCATTTGATTGGATAATAGCGAAAAACTTTTTGAGCGTCCACTTGAGAAGGGGGTTTTTTTGGAATTTTCCAATATCGCCCTATTCTTTTTTTTTTTTTCTGAAAACGAGGCTTGGCCCGAAGGCTTATCGACACTCTTGCTTTTCCTCTTGATCAACTCCGTCTTGGCTTAGGAAGTCTTACCTTACTTGCATAAACCAAGACACCACACATACACATATACAACTCACCGGTCAAAACCATAAAAGCCCCTCCGTCTCTGTGCACTTGGACCCTTGGACAAAAAACTCTTTATATACCAACTTTAACCTCGACCGTCACCTAACCTTATTGTATCGTATCCTACCCTATCCAAGCGCTATGGCAAGAGTCCATCTTTTCTCCTCGGCAACGGCTCCTCACAACGATAAACGGCAACGGCTATCAGCAAGTCCACCCAAAGAAGAAATCTATGGTAGGATTTCCGAATACAGCCAGCCGCCTACGCCAGCAGTACTGGACGAAGGTCATACTTTGGATGTAACCGCTGTTCCCACTTCGACTTCGAGTCCATTATCGATGCAACAACCTTCACCGCATGGATCACCGCAACCAACCCACGCTGCAACCTCTTCATCAAATCTATCCTCCAACACCGGTGGCAACGAAACCACCACCGCACCTTCCTCCACCCTCAATTTATCACAATTTGGATCCAGCAGTGCAGCTTTGACAGCTGCGTTGCTCCAAAGTACTCACAGTAACTTGGACGTTGCCGATGCCGTAGCGGCAGCATTATCCCTCAAGCCTGGTAAATATCTCACTGTGGATGGCTCGAGGATCGACACAAATCAATTAACAATTTTCTATGATCCCTCAGAAACTTTACAAACATTAAAAGAAAAGTCACAGCATTCAACACCGCAGCAAGCAACCCAGCAGCACCAAGAGAGTCCTGCAACACACCTGTCCAGCGATGCTGGTTACAATGACACTGGCAGCTCAAGTCCAACTTTACGGAAACACACCGCAGGCGACGGCAAACCGGTCTTGATCGATTCAGCCGCCGCAGCAACCGCACTGCAGTTATTAGAACTATCGCACAGCGACGTCAAAGCGAAACCATACAATGAAGGTGCTGAGGGTCAATCGACGCAAGGCAGCATGTCCAGCAATGCTTCAGCAAACTCTAACGATCAGCTCAATAACGACAATGTCATGTTGATTGCCAACTACCCTGGCTTAACCCAGGCCGCTACGGTGGAAGCGTTGGAACTTCAAAATGAAGAAATTATGCAAGATTATAAGCGAGGCACTTGGACCCAAGAGGAAGATGAGTTATTACTGGCCGGTATCAAAAAGTATGGCTATGGTCGCTGGAAAGATATCGCCAATACCATTCCCGGTCGAAAAGGCAAGCAACTGAAGCAACGATGGGATAACACGCTGGCGTCCAAGTATGTCGATCGAGAATGGCTACAAAACAAAATCCGAAATGATGAGGAACTTCAAAACCAGCAACATCATCATCATCTTCCACATCAGCAGAATAACGATATCCAGGATGCCACGTCGTTTTCTGCAGCAAGTACGCCCCGTCCGGTCGATACGAACAAAGATGATTTGGAGGACAAGACTATGAAGTTGTTTGAATCGATGAACTGGAATGACATTGCGCAGAAGATTGCGGAAAAAGTGAGAGACCGGGATCAGGAAGCGACCGAGGCTTTACTATCTCAGTTACTGCTAGGAACGGTGGGTCATACCGTGTCCAACTCGACATCCACACCGACTACCGCGACACCGACGGCTGCAGCTACAGCTCCCAGTTCACCGGCTCTTGCTTCGGACGCTTCTCCTCTTGCTACTCCTACCACCGAACAGTCCATATCTCTTCCCACTGTGAACTCGGGCGCCAATGCTAACACGGCTCCGACACTGAATTTTGCAGATGCAGCGGCCGTCGCTTTGTACGCTCAACAATTGAGTCAGCATTCGACCCCGTCGTCGGAAAGGGATAATCCCTTGTCGTCCTCTTCCCTGGTCGCTCTCGCGAATCACCCTTACTTCCTGTCCAATCCGTTTGGTCATGCGGGCAATGACAACGCTGTGGCAGTTGCCGCCGCCGCCGCTGTAGCTGCTGTGGCTCAAGCCGGTGGGGCAGTCCCAGGGTTATCATCCGGCAGTAACTATAGTACACCGTCGTCTCCGGCTTCTCGCAATGCCACAGCAGGACATAAACGACGACGATCCGATCCTGCTTTGGCCGAAACCCAGTCGGCAGCCATGTCGATTTATGCTTCTTCAGCGCCCATCACTACGACCATTAATAACTCCACACAAACCGTCTATCCTTGTCTGTTCCCCAACTGCGGCAAAACTTTCCAACGTCTGTATAATCTCAAGAGTCATTCGAGAACCCACACCGACGATCGTCCTTTCACCTGCCACGTATGTCAAACGGCTTTCAGTCGCAATCACGATTTGAAACGTCATGTCAAAATTCACGGAGGTGACAAACCTTACAAATGCTTGGGTTGCGATAAAACCTTTTCCAGGTACAGTCAGTTTTTATATTTCTAGGTTTCTTTCCAGTTGACTCACACTGTGATTGTTTTCTCGTCGGTATAGATTGGATGCACTAAAACGCCATAAAAGTAATCAACGTAACAAGACCGCCTGTATGAACCCCTAATCCACTTATAAATCCTTCCTTTTTAAATATGGCTTACCCAGCCAAGTCTTCCCCCGCTTTGATTTTCTCTCCCATTGTCCACAAATCAATCATTATCATTCATGGTTTTCAAAGGTCCTTCATCCGTTGTCGCATTATTTACACGCATCTTACACACGCATACACATACGCATGTTCTTCCTTTTTTTCTTCTTCGTTTACTTTTAACTTACTGTCATATAAATTTTTGCTTGTAATAAATATCGTACATATACAAGGAAAGTTATGGCTAAAATCCTCAAGGGTATGAAGCTCTTTTTCTTTTTATACTGGTCCACCTAATGCTGCAGTACCTTCTATTACCATGTCCTACATTGCATAAGATACAAAGGACCTTGAAAAAAAAAATCTTGGCAACACGATCCAGTTGAGAGGCCTGTCGTATTTTCTTGGTTTTATGCGTCCAATATCAAGGTTTAAGGATGGCTCAGAGTGTGCCATAATGGTTGATGGAATATGGATAGTGTTTAGCGCCCATCAAAGATTGCTTACAAAACATGATTATATTCTTGTGAAGACGTGCCTGATTGACGCCGTAAATTTTCACTCTAGCCAATGTCAAACTCAAGAATACAAATGCAACGGTAGTTATAATGTGGCGTGTTATTTACTGTATTCCTATGATCATCACATGAATAATATCGTGACATGTGTATGTGTAGAAAGATGAGTCGTCATCGTTTTGCTTTTGAGATGACCAGCATTTTTGATGAGTAGGGTTTAACGGGAGTCTGGAGAACCAAAGCATAGCATCATATCGTCTTACCATATACATGAGAAAATAACATGCCCGCCAGTGATGCTGTGTGTTTACTGTCAAATATGAAGCGAACCTTTACAAAGAAGGGAGAATTATAAAGCAACCTAAGCAAGATAGTTGTATGAACGTCTATGAGTGGGAAAAAAAAAGGGGGATTGGGTTAATTTCTGCAAAAAAAAAAAATTTAAATTCTGTGACGATTAAGCAACATTACCTATCATCCGAGCTACGTTCTAGGTATTCACGATCAATGAGAGCTTCGATTCGTTTTTTGATCATGACGGGATTGGGCATAAACCGTGAACTGAGTTGCTTGGAAACTTCCGCAATCAGAAGATTGTGCTCCATGGTCTTTCGGTCCTTCATAATTCGGACAATTGCCGCTTCGATCTGATGCTTTCGTTCTTCATCCACTTTATCCTGTGTGTGTTTACGTTCACCCTCTGTTTCTACTTTGGTCGCCAGTAATGGGATCTTAATCCTTGCCAGATTGGAGGTGAAACCGCTATTGAATCGGAATTTATCCCCTTCTTTGATATCGCGACTCTTGTTCTCCTTCATTAATATCTTGTATTTGGCACAAGCTAAGGATTGTAATGTGCGCTTAAGGTCTTGCTCCGGTATCATGGTTTGTTGTTGAATATCCTATACAATGGGTGCTTAATGAATATCATGTTGTTTTGCGTGAATGATTTAGAGGATGAGGAACTTACTTCCAACGTCAGATAGGTGTCGTCTTGCGCATCGTTGAATAACAGGAGAACGATCATGGCATAAGTAGATACATTTAGAAGGTGTTTGCCACCGTTAAAGTGGGCACGGATATCTGCGGTACCCTGGGTGAAAAATGCACATCAGCCACGGATGCATTAATAAAGAGAGGAATCGAGCGCATCACTTACCATCTGAGGCTGCCAGGTAAGTCTTCGACCGCTGTGACGGCCAAAATAGAACTTCTCAAAAGATTGGCAAGCGCTCAAAATACCAGTTGGCATGTGGCACTTGGGAGACGACGATAAGTTCATAGGCCAAAATGTGGAAGTCAATACGGTCACTGTAACATCGACCATCGGCTTCTGCGGAAAAAGAACCCCATTATTATCGGTCGAACACCCAAGTATTCTTTTCCAAAGCGTCGATCTCACTTACATCCGCCAGGGCCTTTTCGCCGTAGTCCTTAAATTGACTGGTCATTTCGGAAGATAATCGCATATCATTGAACATGCCTTCCAATTTGTTTGTAAATTGGTATCCGCATTCTCTCTGTCAATTGCAAAAATAAAAGCGAGAACAAAGAGGTAAGTAAAAAAAGATAACAGTATGCATCGCACGAGCTGTGTTATGTCAATTTACCTTTAGTTTACTCAGCATGCCGCGTTCTGCATCTTCGGAAACACTACGGTTGAATAACAGGCGTTTTGCAAGATGCTGTTTGTAATAACGTTCAAACACATCTTTATCACGGAGGAAACGGAATAACAAGATGGTCTTGTCAAGAATATCATCCACCTCGTCTTCAGATTTCTGTGATTTAACGGATAATAAGAAGAATAGCACTGTCAGTCTTGGTTCCTGAAGAATAGTTCAAGGAGAAAAAAAAAACACTTACGCCTTTCAGCCCCTTTTTCAGATTTTCATCAATGAAAAGTGAAATAAACTCAGCCGATCGATTGTTATCATTGATGAATTTTTCGAATGCCTATTATTATTATTGCGGGAAAAAGTCCACAGAAGAAATGGCGATCAATAAAAACCCCAAACTGAAAAGCATGTGAAGAAGTCGAGGGGATATTTACCTCATTGAAAGCGGTTTGAAATGCCTTGTCCTTGTACAGTGCGGTGTCGAGAATCTTATCAAATCTGCTTTGAAGGGCCAAGACTTCCTCGACCCATCCAATGGCGGCTTGAGCACTTCCAGACATCGCTCCTTTCTCTCCCGGCGCTCTGGCTTTCCCGGCCCCGGATGCAAGATCGGCATTGATGTGATTATTGATTTCAGCCCCAAGCTGTAATATGTATTTATGGATAGCCATCCTCATTTCGCTCAGGCCAGCTGGAACGCGTGAAAATAACATGTACATGCGCGAAAGATCTAAGGCAATACCAATCGGTCAGAGTTCCATTTGTTTCCAAACCCTTTTTCTCTTAATATCGTACCTCCGATTTTGTCTGCAGCCAGCATATTTTGCAAACCCGAATTCGGCATCTAAAATTGCATAGTGAGTATGCTCGAAATGCGTTGTCTGATGTGCTTCTCGATGGTGAGATTATGGCTCAACAGGACTGACCTCCATAATTGTCTGTAAATTATTAGCAATTAGTTGGGTTTCTACAATGTGGCGTATCTTTGGCTCCGTTGTTAGTGATAGGCAGTGAACGGTCCGTTCATATTCTTCTTCCATGCGTTTTTCGACCTAACATTCAAGGATGATTTCATCATGAGGATCTCATTGAAGACCAGAGCTCTTCATGTCGTTCGCTTTACCTTTCGCATCATTTCCGGGGCGTCAAAAGATGTTGTTAGGGTCTGGCTTTCGACTTGATAGAACGCTGTACTGGTTTCCAGGTATCGGGTCTCAAAATCGATCACATAGACACTTTCTTTAGATCCTGAATCGGTCAATTCTTCCAGCATTTTGACGGTGGATCGGATGGCACTTCGATCAATGACGTCGCCTTGTCTTTCTCGATGAATTTGGTTTAGCATAGCCGAGATGAGGTGCATTTGAATCGGATATTTGGAGGAGCGGATAATCTTATCACGAAACAGGTCGAGTCCCATGTCGTATACACGCGGTAAGTTATATTTTGACAGTTTGTTGTCCTAGAAGACACATGACATTGGTATCCGCCATCATGACCGTCTATTTTCCATTATTCGAAAGGTGTTTATTTCGCTTACCAGATAGTTGAGGGCCATTTGTACGAGTGACAAAGCGAGGGTATAATCGGTCCATACAGTGTTGACCGTCTTTAGGAAAGAGGCACCTACATCCGCGCCACTTCCACCTGCTGCGCCTGTTTCTGAGCTGTTTACAAATACAGGGACGATATTGTCTTTTGCGACATTTTCCAGATAGTCCGCGATAACGTCCTTGACACCAAAGTATAATCGTTCGCCGAACTGCCACAGGGTCAGGTTGTAAGTGGTGCGATACAGCAGTTCGTAAGACAAGTTTTTTGCATTCTTGTGAAAGATTTCCTTGATCGCGTCGCTTAACAGAGCAAATCCTTCTTCATACTCTTGTTCGCGACCCACCGTAGCCTATTGAAGTTGGCAAGAATCAGGTTAGGTACCTACATCGTGGCGTAACTCGATAATGACCGCAGCCTCCACACACTGCATCTCTAGATTGACGTACATGTCTTTTGGGAGGACGAATTCTAGACTTTCGAAAGGACATGATCGCAGAAACGGATGATAACGCTAGTATAGTTGGCGACGAAATGGAGAAATGGGCGATTATCGGTCTAAGGTGTCTTATTTTTTCAGTGTCGTATCTTCTTATTGGTTGAGTGCCGGAATGGACTAGTTGGTGAGATGGGACACTGAACAAAGAAGAGCCGTTTGTGGCCTACTGTGACTGCATTATCGGAGAACCGGAATGGCTTTTCATTTTCATGCCAACAGGCACCCGGCAAAAGTCTATCACCACTGGACCATGATATTTGCTGCGCCTAAACTCGTTCTTCTTATTCTCATCAAGCCAGACTCGTATGAAATGGCTCACTGATTCTGTGACTAGCTGGGCTTGCAATTCCTCTTAGTTAATAGAAAGTTTCCTAGGAAATGAGGCGTTCCACGAGTGTCTTCTGCTTCCGCTGAACTTGTCGTATCTCTTCAAGTCACATTCCCAGGTAAATGCTATTAGTCTTTGGCAGACCTATGCGTCATGCGCTGAGAAATACACTCTAAAAAATACGGCATGAAGAGTATTTTATCACCTATTCTCATTCATGTGCTCAAGACATGTATCAGAACGTACTCCTTGCTCTGTGAAGAATGTATCGTCCATACTGCTCTACTTTATTAACAAGCCGTACACCCGCTGTGCAATGGATGCCGCCTGCCACCGGAGGTCGCCCTCTTACATTGAGCGACTTTCGTCAGACAAAAAGCCTAACGCATACACGGCATAACCTGGGCGAGAACTCTTGACGGAACTTCGGTATATTAATGACAACCTTATGGCATACGTTGCAACGTGATTTGTTTCTGAACACGCGCAGGGCAGCACTGGTTCCCCCCCTCAGTTCCATCTCGCCCAGGCTATGATAGATCTAGAAAGATGTGTGGGTATGTTGGGTATTTAAAAAAATGAGTTAGTAAGCTCTTTGATTGATTCAAATTTTCGTCAAGATATTTTACCTTTGTTATTTGAGTTTGCAATAGCCATTGATCGCTTGACACGACTTGGGTTATATGACATTGAAAAAATTTGAATTAGTATACGTTCATTACATCATAGCAAAGGAAAAGAAATTGGACTTGCCTTTGAACCAAATGGTAAACCGGACAAAAAAAAAAGATGATACGGACCGCCAGGTAAGCTTCTTCGATGCGGAAAATAAAATTGCTTCCAGGGACAGTTAAGCGATGGATCGGCGGTGTCAGCTTGAGCAGGCAAAAAATATTGACGTGGCCAGAAGTGACGGTAACTTCGAGTTGGATTCCAGATATCGAGAGTCCCCCGAATAAAAAGAAAGAAACAAATAAAGTACATGATGATAAAAAAACAATGGTCGCGTCAGTAAAAACCTCCTAAAAAACCCTGTGGGAAAAAAAGAGGAAAAGACTGCGAAAAGAATATGTACATGAAATATAAAATACAAAATACAAACTATGAACTACAAAATGCAATAATCGGGAAGACATCTCGAATACCATATCATGAGAAGCAATCCAAAGGAGAGGAACATGAAGAGGACACGTAAGCGTTTTTCTGATTAAAAAGAGAGTCACACCACCAACGATGGCCTTTGACGTCATCCGGTTTCGCCAGATGGATGGATGGCGAGAGAAAGTCAACTCGTAGTATCCAGAACTTGTCAGGCGAAAAGAAAACGGAAACCGGAAGCTGGAAGAAGGATGGAAGTAAAGGAGAGGTAATTCTGTTTTGCCGGAGCAAAATCGATGGTAGACCACTCGACGCTTACCATTTTGAGGATGGTGGTCGATTTAACCAAGTTAGATACACGGGATAAGAATGGTCTGGTGGATGGATGCGGATGGGATCTTGATACAATGATAGTGAGGATTTATCAAGCAAACAGAAAGAGAGAGAGAAAATCAAAAGAAGAAAGATAAAATTGAAGACAAAAATATATGGTTTTCCATGGATAAAACAATAGTCGCCCCACTGATGCATGAATTCATAGATCGAAGCACGTTTGCTTATGTATTATTCGATTCATTGAAAATTGAAAGAGAATGAAAGGACATATATAGTATAACTGACAAAAAAAAACAACAAATTGAATGATGCTACAGAAGAACGCCAGTCGTATCATCAACCACTTTTCTTCAAAAAGAGCTCTACTCACATTTTTATTCGAAAAACGACGATACTCTGTTTGACCACAACTGGTGCAAACGGCATCTTGCTGCTGATTGTTTCGCCTATTATCGTGAAAGTGGGCAGCGAGGCATGGTTGAAAGATGAAAAAAAGGTTTAACAGGTCTTGATAACTTAGTGTAGATCATGTGATTTACAAATTGCTAATTTTCCAAAGATTTTAATTTTATTAACTAGGTGGAGCCCGTGATCTTCAAGATCACAATTGGGGATATTTATTGGTAGACTCAGGGTATGCTACCATGGGTGTGGTTAGAATGGCATGAAGGTGTGCCAGTTCTAACGTATGAGGTAGAGGGCGCAGGTGGAGCCCGTGATCTTCAAGATCACAATTGGGGATATTTATTGGTAAACTCAGGGTATACTATATTTTTGGTGAAATGTTCATTTGAACTGCTGTGGATCAGGTATCTTCGCCGATACGATAGAATCGTAGTGCTCTGGCGTCACAGGTTTATCAGCTTCTTTTAAAATGAGTAGAATATGCGCATGAGGCAATCCTCTTTTCTGGAACTCGACGGTATAAACGTAGCCAATTACTTTTCCAAGTGTATGGTTTTTTGTTAGATCCTTCAAAAAGCTCTGAGCTTGAGGTTGAAAACTCGTGCTGTCAAATCTGGCCGATCAGATACTGTCTGTGAAGCAAGAAGCTCATTCCGAATTTCTGGCCATTTTGGATTACACGTGAATGTAATGAAGAGGTCAGGCTTTCCGAAACATCTGACGATACTCATTGCATCTTGGTACAGCTGTTGCATGTTTCGAGGGCTGCCAATGAATAACGACGGAAGGATGACAGGCTGACCGATGGAATTCATATTCATATTGTTGTCGTCAAGTTGGAGAGCATCTTGTACGCCTGAATACATATCAGCACGCAGTCGGGACTGGTTGAGGCGAAGGTAATTGAGGCGGTTTTGTTCCATCTTGGCATACATATCTACGATATACTGCTGAAAGAGTCGGCCAAAGAGGTGCAAGTGGTGTCCATCATTTCGATACATCAATCTGAAACTGTAGTAGTTCATCACGGTGACTCTGTCGTTTCTGGTCGATCGAGTTTCAATGTTCCACCCAGGGTCGCCTTCAGGAAACATCAGCACGTAATGGAGTGGGTCATACAGGCGATGCATCTCACTGATTGATGTCAGTTGGTTACTACGCGTACAGATCACAATATCCCTTCCAGAGGACTCTGCGTTTTCACCGATAATGACACCAATTTCAGAAGCATTTGGTGCATTATAGCGTCGTGGATCTGGGGCATCGTCAGCTCGAATAATCATTTTGATGTTTTAATTTTATTAATTCTCAATTGTATGGTTCTGTCGGGAAGAGCCATCGTTAGTGCACCATATAAATTCGTCCTTTCCCTAAGTGCGTCGTTCAATGCTCTCATCGTGTGAGGTTTTTTCTTCAAACAGGAGTTTGACCATGGCAGCTCTTCGAATTCTTTCTATCATTAATGAACGGCAGATGTAGATATATAATTTTTTCCCTACTCGGTAAATGAGTGCAACACTCACTGATGTAAAAAGGCAAGATGCATAGTGCAGACCAGAATGTCTGATGACGTTGTTTCGCCATGGTCCGTGCTTCTTGATGGGTAATAAGCGTTGGCATTCATATCACTCACATTTCGAAGAGTACAAGGACTTACTATTGCTGAAGAATACTGATGCCATGGCATGACGGCATCGCGCCCCTTTTTAAGGATTTTGGTGGATGAGAACCCGCTTGATATTAATTCCGTATGACAGACAGGACATATGAGGGCATCTCGGACAATGTGACAGATTATCCTTCCATTTGATAATGGCACTTTTACAATAAGATTCTGATGGTATCTTTATTGCGAGGTATATTAAAGCGTTTGTCTTTTGAGTGGCTCTCAGAGACGTGATCAATTTGATTCGCCTTTTTGTGGCGAGTGCCAGCGTTTGGGCGCACGGTGAGTACATCGATTCTCCGACACAGCTCGTGACGGGGAAATTGGGAAATTTCCTCCCACCGGCCCAACTGGAGATGTGCTACAGAACGTGTGGCGGGCATTGAGACACGAAAAAAGAGGTTCACTGGCCTCCGGCGGTTTTCTTGTTTTATCTCTTTTTTATTTTCCCTCCCAGCGTTTTCCCAAAAAGAAAGAAAAAAGAGCTTAGCAAGCAAGAAAAAGGCTGTTTTATTCTTCGTTTCTCTAATTTTCTGTCTATTGCAACCCCCCTTCAGATCTCTTTGTTTTTTCGTCGCCCATCCGGTCACCCCAGAGACACTATCTCTTCTGTCAAACAAAAAGTCATGGCTGCCGAACAACCCGCCGCTGCCGTCGTCGAGAATAAAAACGACCAAGTTGTCCCCGCTGCCGTCGAGGAAGAAGTCCACAAGGTAAGCTTTTATACCCTGCAAGGCCTCATCTCGAGTGAAAAAAAAAAAAAAAAAAAAAAAAAAAAAAAAAAAAAACGAAAACAAATCAGCAATGAGGAAGCCCATCATTAAAGGTCCCCGGTTGTTATTTGATGTTGTAGGTCTTTGTGGGTAACTTGTCGTTCAAAACAACCGAGGCCAATCTCGCCAAATTTTTTGAAGCCTCCGGTAAAGTGTAAGTTATATATGGCACGTGCATGAAAAGAAAAAGGAAGGAAGACTGATCCGACACCGGAGAACATGGGTGGTATTTATTGTGAAAGAGTGTATATCCTTTTGCTAACGCCATCTTCCTGTCTAGTTTGGAAGCGAATATTATCAAGAGAGGCTCGCGTTCCTTAGGTTACGGTTTCGTCTCTTTCCAAACCGAGGAGGAAACGCAGAAGGCTTCAAAGGAACTGAATAAAAAGGAGTTGGATGGCCGTGAAATTAATGTGGAAGCGGCTCGCCCAAAGCCCGAGGGTCAAACTGTCGCTGCTCCTCGTAAATCTCGACGCCAACGTCGTATGAGCGGCAAAAAAGGAAGACGCAATGACGAGGTAAAAACATCAAATTTTCCTATTTTGGTAACCAACGCCTTCACGGCAATAACAAAACCCATTGATGATCGCCATGTTTTTTTTTTCTTTTTTTGACAGGCCGGCGAAGCAGACTCAACCGAGGTTACCGAGAAGGAGGTGACAACTGAAACGTCCAGCGGATCTGAGCCAGTTGATCAAGCCGCTCCGGGCTCTCCCAAATCCAAGCGTCGTTCCCGCCGAAACAAGAAGAGCCGTGCGAAAAAGGCCGCCGCCGCCTCTGACCGCCCAAGCGAACCTTCCAAGACCATGGTTTTTGTCGCCAATTTGCCCTATGCCACCACCAATGAAGGATTGTTGGAACTTTTCAAAGATTTTGGGGTTCAATCTGCTCACGTGGCCCGAATGAACAAGTAAGTTACCGTGCATCGAAGTCTCCTACAGATATATTGACTGGATCATTGTGTCTTTTTTTTGGTTTTCATTGTTCAGTGGACGTTCCAAAGGTTATGGATTTGTTGAACTACAATCAGAAGATGAGCAACAAAGGGCGTTGGTCAAGCTCAAGGATGTGAAGCTGGACGGACGTGACATTTATTTGAAGGCGGCCGTTTCCAAACAACCACGAGAGGAAGAAGGAGAAAAGGAATCAGAGTCGACCACTGCTGCCTCAGGTACAGACAAAGCATCCGAACCGTCCGGTGACGCTTCCAAAACGGGAACAGAAAAGAAGCCCGTTGAAGAAACCAAAACTGAAGGCTCCAAGGACACCGCTTCCAGTGCCAAGTCAGAATCCTCTGGCAAGCCAAAGGAAAAATCAGAGGCCAAGCCCGAAACAAACTCTGAAGCCAAGCCTTCTGCCAAATGACGAGATGAAATCAGGAACCATCCGATATGCCCAAAAAACAAATGACTTGTAAAAAGGCACCTCAAGTTCAAGCGGACAATTAACAAAGCCAGTATAAACTGCTGAGGGATCATTTGGTGATGTGAGAGAGTCGGTGGCCGAACGATGCCCAACAAAATAATACATAAAAAGCCTAAAAAAAGGGGGAAAATAAAAATCACAATGTTTTCGATGTCAAGATATGCGCACGGTTGATAAGAACGATCCAAATCACAGTTATTCATGGCAGTATTACTTGCAACAAAAATGAATGTTAATGATTAGAAACCAAGAAAAAACAGTGCATTGATAGTGAGATGTTTCGCTTTTATTTTTCCACGTATAAATGAAAACTAGATTATGACAAAATATGGTATGGTACAATATGAAAAATGGGATATATAGTCTATAATGGTGGGCTTTCTCTTTCTCGATGCCTGATTTCGAGGGGAAGAAGGTATTTAATGATGTGTGCTTTTGCCTCATTGGATCATGCAAAATCATAAGGGTGGTTCATTCGGGGATAGGAAGGATATTATAATTATCGCCATCGAACGATTAAAATGGAATTGGATGGATTGGCACGAGGCGCGAGCGGTTGAATTTTATCGGGTTGAGAGGGGGTAAGAACGAATAATGGCGGCCGATCGATGTTGTTTTGCCAAAAACGGGAAAAATCATTCTCCTCGTCCTTGTTTTCCCGCTTTGATCGAGAAGGAGGCGGGGAAAGTGCAGTGACATTCACAGAAGTTGGTGAACTGGGCCGTATCACAGGCGTCGAGGTACTGATACGTAGCTTGGGTGGAGACGATGGTCGACTAGACGGTATGGATGGTGCAGAAGCCGTGCACGGTCTTTTCGCATGCCGTTGGGTTAAACTTTTGGATAAGCCCAAGGCGGTCTGACGAAAGCTAGTGGATTGATTGGACGATGTTCTTTGCAAGCCATAAATATCGACATCTTTAGCACGACAGTGGAGAGGAGTGAGGGTGATACGGATAGTCCACAGGGGTTGTTGTCCAGGTTGACATTGCTCACAGTGGGGTTTACGCTGCGTTGCCTTTTTATGCACCCTTTGTGACAGTGAGTCGTCCGATCCATCGATCTCATCCATGGGGAGTCCCAAGCGATGATTGCAAGGGAATCCATACGCTAACATATCGTCGAAGCGATCGATTGCCATAGCCGCACGAAGATATTGTCGTACACGAGGCGAGCCGTAGTACAGAGCACTAGTGGCATAATCATCTCGAGTTTGCGCCAATGAAGTCAGGGGTCTACGATTCCCTCGTTCACTGACTGTCCCCTTTCCGTTTTGTTGGGGCTGAGGTGGCAAACTGTCGATAGGAAAGCATGGGTCTTGATGGTCCTTGGTCATGATAGGTGAACTTATTTGCTTGATCCACTGAGGAAACCGAGTCGGTTTTAGTTTGGCAGGGATTTTGAGAGAAAGCGTGGACGATTTTTGGGTAGACGTGACAGATGTCGCGGATAAACTGGAAGTAAGCTCATGATGAAACATGCCAAGAAAGAGTGTACTATCATCAGGACTGGCGACCGAGGCCGACGAACAGGAATCGGTGGTCGACAGCGATAGAAACGAACAACGTGAATCGGTTCGTCCAAGTGGTTCACCGAGTAACGGTGACAACGGCGACAACGTCGACGACGCAGATGACGAGGGCCCCATGGCATCACAGATTTGCACGATGTCTTTTGAAAGAATGTAAGGAGAGGGTTCTGTCGATTGATGCAACATCCCTGGTGATGGATTAGTCGAGTTTGGTCGTGGATTGGTTGGAATAGGAGACAAGAATACTCGTGAAGGGGAAGCCGTGGCGGATGGTAAAGTGATCGTGCGTTGCATAATGTTAACCAATAGGCGGGGATTGTCCCAGGAACAAACAAGAAGTATGAGAATGATGTATTTCGTTTTGATAAAAAAAAACGAGTTTATCTTTTTATATAGTCTAAGCTCTCTATTCGCTCAATATCAGGGGTGCAAAAGTCAGGGGATGTCATGCCTCGGAGACGTCTTAAAAGCGTGTATTACGTGGGTCGACGATCGTTCTAATAATCGGATAGAGAAAAAATACAACGAACTTTTTTTTTCAACCATTTTTTCCTTCAAAATTGGACTATCAAAGAATCAGAAGCATCCAAGAAGAAAAGAGAAGAGGAAAAGAAGGAGTGGGATCATTGTTGAACCACAACACAAAGAAATAAACACACTTCGTGTCGTGTCTTTAGTATTGAAAAGTAATCAGCATGGTAAACTCAATAGAAACATAACAAAAGCCCCCAAAAAAAGGGAATGCAAAATTTAATGAGGTGCAGATGGCTACGCTTCTGCGGCGGTATTCACATGCATACCCACCTACTGCAAACACATCCACCCACACTCATACTCACACTCACACATACGTACGTAGGCATTTGTACACAACACATACATAAACATAAAGTAAAAAGGAGAATTTGAACTTTTTTCACTATAGATCTTGCTGTCAATGAAAATGATAAAGCGAACAGAAGTATACATGAGGGTTTCAGTTTTGTAATATAAAGTCAACGAAAAAAAAAATAACAACAAAACACATCCATTTGTACAGATATCACCAATGTAAATCACAAAAGATTGTGAAGAAAGAACTTGAAAATATAAAAGCAATATGTCACCTACAAGAGAGCCGATAAAAGATGAGAAAACTAAAAACTATTCAGTGCATTTTAAATGATTTCATTTATCAAAGTGTTTCTTGAAACGAGCCGTTTCGATAATAGCGTGTTGATGCTGGGGAATCAACTGATACAGTTTTTCCCTATAACGTACAATCGCTGAGTTCATCGCTATTGACATGCACACACATATGTTTATGGGGAAAAAGTAACTTACTTTAATGTTGTCATGGCGTGCTGAGCTCCCTGTCCATCGGTCCACAGTTCAATCCGGTCACCTCGGTTACGACGCGATAAGACAAGCCCACGGACACCGTGATCCATGAGGTTGCCTCCAACAAAGGTACACAAGATCCACTCAAATAGACTATCCAACGATGCTTTCGGGGGACATAGCGTGAGTCTTCCACCATGCTGGTTGACGGGATCTTCCCACATCGGTTCCACGTCCGACTCGAAACAATACACGTTTTGGTTAGGCAACAACTGGGAAGGTTTGGCGCGCAGTTGCTTAAATAGTCGCCAACGAGCCGAGAATTGCCACACGGTGGTGCAGTCAAATACATGTTGGATTGTGGATGAATAGTGGACGGGTTTCTGTTTTGTGGACGAAGTATCACTAAAGCAGAATTTCACCGAGAACGGTAATTCGAGTGATGAAGTGTTGGGGAGCGCATTCTCTTTCATGTACTGTTTGACATAGCTGTAACGGGTGGGGTTTTCACGAACTCGTACGGGATCCGCCCACACCGGCAGGTCAAGGTTCTCCGTATCGCTTGGCAGCGGATCCGGGTTTGACTGAGCGGTGGTTTCCTCATTTGGAGACACGGACGGGTGCATCGTGGTACTTGTGTCACGAGCATGACCTGGGTCGTGACCCGCGGGTTCCGCTGCCTTGTCACTGAATACGGTGCTTGTGGCGATGCCGGTGGTTGGACTGTTGGATGGGGCCGTCGATAAGGGAACCGTGGTATCATGATTTTCCTCCTCCTCCTCATTTTCCATGGATGCTGAAAGCACCGCTTCTGGTACCGGTGTCTGTGCGTTTTCTGTCTGTGCTGCGCTGTCGGAACCCGTGACGGTGGACGATGCGTTGGGAGATGGGCTTTCAGGTTTGGCATCTAGGATGACTTGGAAACTGCTGGTACTCGACGCTGCTGTACTTCGACTGCTGGTGGTACTGCCGTTGCTGTAACGTCGACTCATTTCCGGTAACCCATAAGAATGGTTTGCCCGTCGAGGGTGGGGCAAGTCTTTTGTTTCTACTTTCTTGACGGGTTTATGGTGTTTCACTTCGTGTGGCGGCGGCGGTGGTGGTGGTGGTGGGTACACGGAAGTAGGATGATAGGTATAATACTGAAGTGGAACCGGATTTGAGTACAGTGTTGGCTGGACAGGATAATAGGGCGTCTGCAACGGATATTGAAATGGCTGAGATTCTGGATAGGAGAACCTCCGAATTTGAGTATGTGATTTTTGGTGGTGGTGTTTATGGGTCGATTCAAAGGAACGGCGCTTCGAGCGACTGTTATAGGTAGAAATTGGTGCATCGGGTCCATCCGTTGAAGAAGAAAAGGACTTGTGAGCTCCTGGAGAAGGCGAAGCCGGGAGTGTGGATGAGACATGATGACTGTTGGACCACTTGCAGGGTTCGTTATTGGAAGCATCAAAAGGCGATTTTGATCGAACGATCAAAGGGTCGTGTGAGAGCGACATCATGGAAGAATGCATCGAGGTGACTGGCGATAATAATTTAGATGGAGAACGAGGGTGAGGCTGATGAAGGAGTAGGTCGTTTTCATGGACGCTAGGATGAAGCGGTTGTTCTCCTTGAACTCCTTGACGCTGAAATTGCGTGACGTGGTTGGCTGGTTTGGATTGCCACTGTTTCTTACCAAAGCATACTTGTGCACGACCGTTTTTCTGCGTTGCAAAACAGTTTTGTTCACTACGAATCTTGGCGACAGGATCCGCCATCCATGCGGAGTGATCGGTGCATGAAAACCGTTTACGGCGAGACGAAGCAGGAGGCCACTTGTGTGCGCTCTTCTTCACTGTCGTTTCATCAAACCCGACAGCGATCGGTGGCATATGCATCATAGCTTTCGTTTTTTTTTTTTGATGTTTTAGTTACAATCAAGTGAGGAAAGAGGAAATCGACACGTTTTGAGGAAAAGAAGTGGAAGCGGAAAAAAAAAAAAAAATTTGGGACTAAAGTTGGCTGTTGTATCGAAAAAAGGTTCAGAAAAAGGAAGAAACCACAGAAAGCGAGAAACCTTAAAAAGGCGGAACAAAGATCACGCGACTTTTCGAAATACGTCAGCTCGCGTTCTTCCAAACAGGCTAATGCCTAACCTCACCCATTTTGCACTTACCACTATCCACAAAACAGTAATAGGCACTCTGAATGCCAATCTGTAGAAGAGTGAAGAACAGCCATTTGAACTGTTTGAATTGGCGCTGCTGTGACGAATTGCAGCAGAAGGCGCTTGGAGTAAAGTTGAAAGTCCCATGGGTAGACCAAGAACTCTCACTTGGGAAGCAACAAAAGCAATGACCAATAAATCATGTTCAATCGCCAGGCATGTTCATGCAGCGGCAGATTCCGCAGCTCATCAAGTGGGCCGTATCGGAGCTTCTGAAGGGGTCATCTTTATGCGAAAAAGTCAATTGAAAATACTGGTTGGGGATGGCGGAGACCAGAAAGCAAAAAAGCACAATTTTTGCAAAACCTTTAGAATTATCCAGCAAGCATTGTTATGGAGGATTCAGAAGACCAAAACCGGTAACCCACTCTGTGAGCATATAATCAATATTCCAAGTAAAAGTCTTTATACAAGGTTTTTGAATCCATCTTTTCTAGTATGGACATCTAGGCGGCGCAACGATAGAAGGAGTGTCAAACCAGCGATATGGGAGTCTCTTCAATAAAGGCTGGCTTTATGGTATATCATGTGTGATATAGGCAACAGAATTTTGAACCTCCACTGAACTGCCCAACTGCATGTACGACGAAAGTCACTATGACAATAAGAAGGTTATTAGTGAAACACAAGGCATATTTGGGGATAAGCTTTAGAAAACATGTTAAGCACACCCATGGGTTCGTGCACGCATGATGAGGGGTATCCGCTTTTTGACTCATCACCTGGCACATTTCAAGAAGCGCCAACACCGTCCACCTAAGGAAAAGGAACAATAGGAATCATCTCACTGAGGATAGATGTGTGATCATTCAACCAGCATCTCATATTTTTTAGATGAAATCATAATATCTATCCGTCGTGTTCCTTCATGATGACAGGAATGAAGCCACATTGAATAGGTTTAATCATTGCATGATATTATAAGCCAAGTTCATTGTGGAGTCTTGTTTGAGGAGCCATTGATGAAGTAAGCAGCGTTATCTGACCTCCATCAGACGTGTTGTCATTCTGAAAATGCTTGATTATTGCACGACACAGTGTTGTTGGTTGCCTTCCTTAAAGTTTCAGCATTATTGAAAAGCAGTATTGAGAAGGATCAGGGACATATTAAGGTCGATAATTTTCTGAAGATGATGATTACTGGTGATTCATCTACTCTTCTTTGTATGTTTGTTTTACAACGCCTGCCAAGATGGACAAAACAACGAAAGTAAGTTATGCAAAAAACTTTGTGGTTCACATTCATGGCTGTTGTTGTGAGGGGTAAGATAATCAGCACGAAGCAGCAGCATGTGCGGTTTGTACATTATTTGCACTTGAGATAACTCACTCTGCATCCAAATAGATCGTGATACGATAATGACAATCAGGGTTACATATACACACATTTATGGGTATGCATGCGTACAAGTGAAGAAAAAAAGCAAGTCAAACAAACATCGACAAACAATGTAGGAAATAGACCCCACAGGGTAACAACGGTAGTAAAAGCAACGGCAAACCAAAAACAAAAAAAAGAGAAGGCAGCTGATGCTGATAAAAAAAAAAAAAAAAAAAAAAAAGGCATGATCACGTATTGATGTTGCTTTCAAATTCTTCACAGTGGTTTGAAGTGCAACTTTTTTTCCTGGTCGGATAGACAGCATACCTCGATTTTTTGGCTTTTACATCAAATAAGTTTCCGAGTATTGGAAAATTCCCCTTACTATTATCATCCACCTTTGCTTCCCTTCCGCTTTTCAAGCTTGTTGTTGCAACGCCATTCACTGCATTGAACTGCCATGACCACTATAACGCCATCCGTATGCCGACAAGATGAGGTGAGCCCTAGATCGTAACCTTTGCTCCACATTTTTTTTTTTGGTTCTGGTTCCTGCCATTGTGAGAAATTTCTCCTAATTGAGCATTGGTTTGTTTTTCCTTGCTTTTTTTCTGGGGTGGTGACAACAGATCAAATCCAGATCCTACAGCGATTTTGACAGTCGGTATGAACGGTTGCACAGAATCGGGAAAGGGAATTTTGGAAAGGTGTATGTAGCAAGGGATCGCAAGCATCAGAAGCAGGTATACAGGGAAACCAGGATTCAAAGATTCAGCAAAAAAAAAAAAAAGGCAGGAGTACTGAGCTTTCGCCATTAGGTGGCCATCAAAATCGTAGACAAGAGAAAGTTTACCAATAAGGATCAAGCACAACATGCATATAATGAAAAGTCAATATCGGAAATGCTGACGACCTGTTATAAGCATAAGAATATCGTCAATGTATACGACGTTTGCACAGACGGAGATCGCATATGTATCGTTATGGAGCATGTTCGTGGTGGAGAGTTATTTGACAAGATCAGAGAACACGGGCGTCTGAGCGAAGCCACGGCGCGGCGCTGGTTTCGAGAGATCATAGAAGCTATTCATTATATTCACAAGGTACAACTTCCCTAGCTCTTTTTGGTTTTTTTTTTTCTTTTTACGGTAGGTCGTCATTTCCACTTAAGGCTGTCTTTATTGTGTATTTTGTAGCATGGTATTGTACACCGGGATCTCAAGCCAGAGAATGGTAAGCATATCAATTATTCTTATTCATTCTATTTTGCATTGTTCGATGAAAAAAGAACACAACGTGTCTTTTCTTTTTCTTTCTTTCTTAGTGTTGATTGATGTGACGACCGGTAGTATACGATTGTGTGATTTTGGGTTCGCCAAATTTTTCCAACAACACGATATTCTGGATACTTACTGTGGAAGCCCGTTTTATGCATCACCGGAAATGGTCTCCTCTACACCGTATAAGGGACCTCCCGCAGACATGTGGAGCTGTGGGGTGATATTATATGCCATGCTAACGGGGCAGCTGCCATTCCACTCGGAAAATATGCCCTGTTTGTTTGAGAAAATCAGATCCGGTCGGTACGCTGAACCGCGTGTATCGAGTGAAGCGTCCAATTTGATCCACCATTTATTATGCAAGAACCCAGCCAAGCGAATCACAGCCGAAGCTTGTCTAAAACATCCATGGCTGCAGCACAAGGGAAAAGAGAATCCTGTCTCTGGAAAACACACGCGATCCAGCCAACGAAAACCCAATGAAGTTCACCCTGTATCTACACCTATTCTCCCCAATCACAACATCATGTCACCCACGAAATCATCCCATTCATTTTGGCATATTTTCCATGCCAAAAAAGCCCAAATCTATCCTACATTAGCCACCGAGAAGCCCCCTTCCAAAAGAAGCAATGCTCAATTCTCGGATCGTTTCAAACGATTCATCAAAAATGCTTTTCATAAGCGCATCGGAACCAACAATCCATCACCCCAGTTGTACTCATGAACAAATAAATGTAAACATAATGACAATAAAAAACGGTAAAAGAACTCTTACGGGGTATCCCTATTCCTTTTGATGGTCGCTTATGGTTCCTTTCCCATCTGTCGTTTGCCTTTGAATTTCGAAATCCTCCGAGAAAATAAAAAAATACAGCGATCAAAAGCTTTGATGTCGGATAATTTTCCACGTGGTGATCACTATTCATCCGTCAAAAGGTAACCTCCTCCGATACAGGGGAGAGGAACGGCTGGTTTCGATGTCTCGGGCATATATTGTATGGTATGTCGGCTCGTTTCATGGACAGGCGGCCTTTTTTTTGTTCTTTTTTTTTTTGTTTGAGCGAGGAAAACACGGCGGCAAAGCACATTTGCTAGTTCAAATTGCCGCTTTCCCTTGTTTTTTCCTTTCTATTTCTCCTTTTTATCTATCAAGAGTCTCCAAGTTATTTTTTTCTCGAGTAATTTTTTTCTTGTAACTTTAGTTCTCCTGTGAATCCCGTGCTTTTACACCGCCATTATCTTGTGCTCGAATTTAATATAACTGACTCTTGCCAACATGATGGAAACCGAAGATAACCGCTCTACTACCGCGTCCACAAAGCCGAAATCACGCAGCGGTAAGGCCAAGGTGTTTCAATGCCAGGGATATGGGGATTGTCGAATGGTATTCACCCGAAGCGAACATCTCGCGCGCCACATGAGGTGAGTATGAAAAAATGGAGATATTTCCAAATAATTATTTAACGAAGTGATATGAATTTCAATGTCAGAAAACATACGGGAGAGGTAAAGACAATCGTGGTTACAAAGATCTTGATTGGATCCCAAAGGACTAAAGTAGTAGTTTATTCACTAGAAACCTTTCAAATGCATTGTTTCCGGATGTGATCGTATGTTCAGCCGCTTCGATAACATGATGCAACACACGCAGACCCACAACAAATCTCGCGGTAGAGCAAGACGAACGTCGAAATCCAGAAAGCCCAAAGGCGGTCGCCGTGGGCAACGCATGCGGTCTACCTCTACTTCTTCATACGAAGACGAGGAGGATGACAAATACGCTCAGTTACCGCCTTCGCCTCCGATTTCTCGTCGTGGATCGACTCAAGAAGACCTTTACCGGCGCCGATCGCGTGGCCAGTCCCAGTATGCGATGAACGACGACGATGACGATGATGGTCATGACGATGGCTTGGAAGATCAGGACAGCGACGCCAGCTATCAGCCATTTGGTCCAGGTGGACCGCAACCTTCCATCAAGGAACAACACAAGATGTATTCGGAAATGCGTCGCATGAGTCAAGACGAAACATTGGCAAGAAATTTACCACCTTTACGAGTTAATCACGGCGGCTGGTATCATCCGAAAGATTCATATTATCCCGATTCGCCCGTAACCCCCGACTCGCCTCAATCCTCCTCCGAAGAAACAACGGACTATTATTCGTATCGTCGCATTCACCGCGTCGCTCCCAAAGTGTATTATCACCCGTATCCTGGACGCCCATCGTATGACGAAAGACAAGTATTACGGCCAATTATTCCGCGACCTGATCCATCCGATGGCCCCATCTCTCCTCGTGACCCTTCCATTTTGCCACGTTTAGCCAGTTACCTTGTCAGCCATCCAGATGAACCGCCAGAAAATTATCTTTTACATCAGCAAGGGCAGCAAGAGTCCCAAGCAAAAGAGGACAGCGCCTCGGAGCCGGGTAGCCAGATGAAGGAAACCCGCCGCCTTTCGGTGCAAGATCTATGTAATCCTATCGAATGTCTAGAAAATCAAACCGCACAACCAAACTCTGAAGAAGAAGGCGTCAATCTCACTATCGATGAGTTCGAGGCCATTCAGGGTTTTGGACGTTTTCATGCCGTTGCATCCACCGTAGATAACTAACTAACTAACTAGACTAAACCGCTTTATTTATTCTAATGCGAATCTTCTTCCCCTTTTTTTTATATTTCTACAAAACTTAGAGATCTCTTGTCATAGTAATACACGCATGTTTTTGCTAAACCTCCAGTAACCGCGCATAGTTCGCTTTAACTGGTTCCATAGGTCGTGGAATCGGGCGTGAAAAGAAAAGGGCCGATCGACCCGATCTTGGTCATCTGGTCCATCACCCCTCACATACATTCTCCGACCATCAGTCGCAATAAGCTTGCAATAGAAGCATCCAAGGAAAAATACAAACGACGATCTACCTTTTGTATCCCATCCCGAAAATTATAAGGTACATCACATTCAGTTTTCAAAAGTGTACTATGACTGAGACGCGTCCATTGCAATCAGTATTCGTAGAACCCAATATCACTATGCATGCGTTCTGCCAACTTTCTAGAATGCAGATTTACGGTATGAAGGAGCCGATGTTTGGAAATGTCACATGGACCAACGTGCGTATAGGAATAAAAAGTGGAAAAGGAACTAGAATGCATCAGATTGGGTCCCATTCAACGCCAAAACTAAACGATGTAATTGGAAGACGCTATTCTAAAAGTGAGGTGCCGTTACCCCATCGTCCAATGTAGAAAGAAAGGAAAAAATAAAAAAAAACCAAAATAAAGAACTTGATCACATGGGACGACAGGCTTGCATAGCAATGAATTGGCGCCTTTTTTGCTTTTTATAGGATAAGCTACCATTTATCTTCCCCTTTTTTCTCCTCTTTACATCTCTTTTTTCCACCCCTTGCCGTCTTGATTCTTTGCTCTTTTTCCTCTTTCTTTTTCCTTTTCTCTTTCCATTTAGCTTTTTATTGTTACTGTTTCTTTATTTCAACCTTTTCTTTCTATTCTTGTCGTTTCATCCCTTGATCTTTCCCTACTAACGTTGACATCACTCTATCTATTCAACATATATAGCCTCGATGGTAGCAAATCACCAACAATCTCATCAAGAAATGGGTAATAAAGAGCGAGATTAACAAAAACAACAACAAAGAAAAATCTGCTTCCAAGTTGTTAGGCTAATCCATGATCCATCAAAATTTTGGGCAAAAAAAAAAATTATCGTTTAGCTCCTTTCCAAATTCATGCAATTAATCAAGCTGGCCAAGTGCAGCAAGTTTCGCCTGCCGCCTCGTGTCGTTACGATTCTTCACTAGGTCTTCTCACCAAAAAGTTCATTGCCCTCATTCGATCGAGCGATCATGGCGAACTCGATCTCAATCTGGCCGCTGCCCAACTGAAAGTGCAAAAAAGGCGTATTTATGATATCACCAATGTTCTCGAAGGCATCAGTCTCATTGAGAAAAACTCGAAAAACCATGTACGATGGATGTAGGTGACTGTGACATTGTGATTTCGGTTTTTGCAAATCTTATATTAATATGGTCTTGACAGCGGCAATCATTCCACGCTGTCCACCGCGCCAGAAATTGAACGTAGCAACGAGACACAGCAGCTCGAACAACGTTTAGCCTGGCTACGTTCACGTAATACCCTCCTGGAACAAGAACAACATAATCTCACTAATATTCTTCAAACCATTGAAGCTGAAACGGCTTCTGTTTTCGAACGCCATGCATCCAATTGTTATATCACGCATCAGGATCTGGTGCGCTTCCACAACATCATCTCCACGGCACCCGAATCATTGCTCGTTGTCAACGCACCCTCCGATGCTACGATCACAACTTACAGAACCCCAATACAGACAACGTACGAAGATACAACTTCCATGGATGTTCATATCCCACCCTCAGCAAATGCGCGGCATGCTTCCAAGCTACCTTCAATGAAGGTACGTTCAAGGAGTCGCCTCGCCATTGCATAAACTATTCTTCTTATTGGTTGGTCTTCCTAGGTTTGCGGTACCAAATGTGTCATTCAAGTGCCCGAGCATCATGATCACCATGCCATTCGCATTATACCAATATCAACAAAACCAATTCACCAACCTATTTCATCGCCCTCTACATCTTCGGCCTCCTCTTCTTTTACCTCCTCATCTTCCTCCTCTTCCTCCGCGTCATCAATGTTTTGTTCATATCACACGCATGCATCATAAATTGTTTATATTTGGTTCCACATAGTTTAATCTCAATAAGCATTCACAGCCCCCCTCCCCGAGAGAGAGAGAGAGAAAACCAAGGAGAGAGTTCAGACAATGCTATGCTTGTCGTCATCTGCAGTCAGGGAGAAGCTATAGGAGGTCATCTAAAGCTCAAACTCCAAGAAGGAGCCAAAGGGATTATGTACCGCTGCTGCTCCAAACGTTGCATAAATATTTGTGTAACTCAACAATTAATTCGTTGATATGGAGTAGCAGGTCTTGTCATTTGTACCCGCGCCATCGATTTGGAATAACAAGATAGGGAAAGACACCAGACATCACCAATTCAATAAACTAGGATTCATGTCGATTTGCTCCAAAGAGTTGAAAACTATTGATGTTTTTTATCATCACGCTCCAAAATGCAGAAATGCAAAACAATGTCCAGAAACTGTTGTATACGCCACTATTGGCGTAAGTAAATAGCTAGACTTGTGTATGATAGGATCAAAATAAAAAGCAAAAGCTACATTACCAACGGTTTGTCAGTTTATTCGGCTCTGGAAGTGTATTAAATGTTTTTAACAGGCTGCCTTGGTCAAAATATGAAGATATGAAAGCTAGGTCATTTTGCCGCGGAACCACGTCCCTGTAGGATAATGCCTAGGCCAACATACATTACTGGCGATGCATTCTGAATGACAATATATTATGCATGTACGCATGTTGACCTCCTTGCTTTTGCACTTAGAGGTCCCATCACTTGGGGCTATCCGCGGCTACAAGATTGTCGTTTATTTTATCTCTTTTAAATTTTACTCGGATTCGAAATTGTCTGCAGAAAGATAATCTGGGTATTTTTTCATGAGATTTTCCAGTTCTTTCTGTTGCTCTATTAAGTTGGCCGGCATTTCATCATACACATCGGTGAACAAATGTTTTACTGCGGGCTTCTTCCTCCTTTCTGCCGCATTGAAGCTTTTCATGACCATTTTTTTCGCTTCTTTACGGCAAGTTTCTTCATCTTCGGCTGTCCACCAGCCATTCAACTCCATATATCGTCGTAAGCGTGTAATGGGATTATCAAACTGAGCGCGTTGCTCTACTTCCTTTCGATCTCGGTATTTTGTGGAATCATCCGAGGTACTGTGATGACCCACACGGTACGTCATGGCTTCAATCAATACTGGTCGGTTTTCTTCTGTTACCATGGCCCGTGCCGCCTTGACCGCGTTATAAACCGCCCAAATATCGTTACCATCGATGCGAATAGTACTGATACCGTAACCTACGCCACGGCTGGCAATTCCATCGCCTCGGTACTGCTCGGATGCGGGTGTGGAAATTGCATATCCATTGTTACGACTAATTTGGTTCAGGTGATATGGGCGATAGAAAAAACATTAGACGATAGGTGATAAACAAAAATACCCTATGAGTCGCTCTTACCAAAAGAAAATAACGGGACATTGCAAGGTGGCAGCCATATTTAGGCCTGCGTGGAAATCGCCTTCTGACGCGGCTCCTTCTCCAAAGAAACATAAGCTGCAGTTACCTTTTCCAGAGAGTTTCAGCGCATAAGCTGAACCGGCGGCTTGCGGTATTTGCGTTCCCAAGGGCGACGAAATCGTCTGGAAGTTGTGTTTTCGAGATCCATAGTGGACTGGCATTTGTCGTCCTTTGCCCTCATCCAGACCGTTGGAGAAGCACTGATTCATACAGTCGTCCAACGTAAATCCACGATACAACAGCACAAACGCTTCACGGTACTACAAGAGAAAAAGGTTAAATAGGCAACCCTTGACACGCTGGCATCCCGTCTATTTGTTCTGCGCTTTACCTGACCGTGGACAACATCACCAGGATCAAGAGCAGCAGCCGCGCCTATCATGGCCTCTTCACCATAGTGCGTCATGTAAAAGCTAATACGTCCCTGGCGTTGGGCTTCATATAGAATACCATCCATTGTGTACAGTTGCACCATCTTTTTGTACAAGTCAATGACAGCTTCTTTTCCTAGACGTGGGTCATGATCTTGGTTCAAAACTTGACCCGTGTGGTCCATGACTCTATAGGCTTTCAAAGGGACCATGGCTTGAATAAAATTCATATTCGTAATAAATTCATTGTTGTTTGACCACTCCGTCAATGATGTCTTTCTGTTCACTACATTCGGGGTTGCGCTGTAGAAAGCCTAAGTAAATCGGAACCGAATCGGTGGTTGTCCCGCAACGCGACACTGAGCAACCGATGTCTTTCTGCTTTCTTTTTCAGCGTATAACAATACCTTTGAAACACGGGAAGACGATGCAATTATCCGCTGGTAGGCGTAGCGTTGTTTGAGGACTGTGCGTAACATGGGAGCGGTTGAAGGGGTAAAGAAAGTGAAAGCAAAAGAAAGAGAGAGAAGACTATCGCTTCATCCGTGTGAAAAATTCTCAGAGTCCTGACAGCGTTTCTTTATTCGGAAAGTATGCGTGGGAAAAAACAGATGGCCCAAGTCAAGCACTTTTTCTGAATCCACATGATCGTTTAAATGAAGTTGGAATGATTGGTTAACACGTCCAAGTCAACAAAGAGGAACTCAATGCGAATTTTCGAGCCAGCCGCCTTTTTCAGTTTTTTCAGGCACCGGTTGAACAAGAAGGTTGGCTGCCACCGTCGTATTCAGTTGCCGCTCCAATCGTCTTATGCTTACTTCCCCACGCTATATCGATTCGGACAGTTCCCTTTGACTCAGGCGAATTGCCTACAAGCATGACCAGCGCCTTACAATCCTCCCGTGAGTCACCTGCTTTCTGTTATCTGCCATATCACATTTCGCCATTCCTCGTAACTTCTTTCTTTTCTGTTCATTAATTTACTCGCTTTTATATTCCTCCATTTACTCATTCAGTTCGACAAACCATGGCCATTCGTCCATCGGCAACGTACGTTTCTACACGTATCCACTTCACCTGACCCTTCATACTAACCTAGACTTTATAGCCTAATTGTATTGGCTCCTATCCCGTCAAATAAGCTCACCACTGGCGGTAGCAACTATCGTGTATTAATGATGAAACGGTAGGATGAAACCACGGCAGGCATGCATAAGAATAAGATCCTCAAAGGGTGTCTCTTTAGCAATGCAAAGAGCAGCTTTATCAATGCCCATGTGTTCCCTGGCGGGGTCGTTGATCCACAAGATGCGGCGTCTCTGTGGCAAACCACGTTCAAAGGAAGGCAACAACAACAGGATGACAGGTAATGCGTTGATGCTCCCAGCCTAAAGAAGTCACTCTTTTATTCATTCATTTTTCGCTCTTGATTGAATGTAGATTAACCAGTAAAATATGTGCCATCCGAGAAACCTTCGAGGAATCGGGTCTTTTATTAACGGATCCACCGTCTTATACGGCCCAGGGCTTGAATCACGAAGAATGGAGACAACGCGTCCATGGCGACGCGCTGCAATTCAAGGCCATGTGCGACAAGTTCAAATTGACGCCTGCAATCGATAGACTGGTTCCCTTTGCTAGCTGGATTACACCTGTGGGAGAAAAGAAACGCTATAATACGCAGTTCTACTTGACCGTCCTTGGGCAAACCGTGGAAAATGAGCACAAAGAAACGAAATCCTTGGCTGCAGACGGTCAAGAGACTGTGGAACTGGAATGGCTGAAGCCAGAACAGGCTTTGGATTTGTGGACCAATGACGAGAAAATCATTTTGTTTCCACCGCAGTGGTATTGTCTCCATGCATTGAAACAAATTCCCGACCATCGCGATGTGATTGCTCAAGCTGGTATTGATTATTTGCGCACACGCCAAGGCATGCCTGTCACGACGAGGCCTCAATTCCATCCAGCCGATAAGTCCGATCCCATGGTTGAGAAAGGTTACCAGAGTTTCCTTGCCTATCCCGGAGACGAGACGTATGAGGATGACATCCACAACATCGTCAGTAAACCGGGTCAACGACATCGAATCTATTTCCGTGGCCGTATGCGTGATTTCCATCTCGTGAAGAATATTGCACTGACCGATATTGTCCATAGCCAACCCCGTTTGTAAGCTATGTATATGTAACAAAAGCTGTTATTCCCATGTTTATCCACTTTGATATGGCTGGACATTTTGTTGAAACTTTTTTATGAACCATTTTGATAACAAGATAAATGGTGAACTATATGAGAGATGCGATGGTAACATTGGACATTTTACTAGGTATCAGAAGAATGACAGATGGAAAATGAGTGTATGGAAAAAGGGTGTTGCAATATATACAATGCAGGGAAGGGGGAAGGGAACCCAAAGAGAAGCAGAGATTTTGAAGGAACGTAATAGAGAAACGAGCGTAAGGTCAGGTAAGTTGATTGGTGTGGTTGGAGCTTTTACAATGCACGTGCGAGCCAAGTAAAATGATCTACAGAGTGCAAAAACGCATCTTTGTCCTTGACAGATTGTGCCCAGTGATCGACAGTTTGGAGAATTTCGTCCATCTCGGCCGGAGAGTCCAGCCAGTGAGTATCGATGGTGGCCGGGACTTGATCCTGGGATAATTCAAGTTGGTTCGTTGACACTAGAAATTCATTAAAGTGGTTGAGAATCCCTTGCACTTGAATGCGTGTTGATTCGTATAGGTTAGGAAGATCGTCCTTAATCATATCTGTCATGGAATATTTGATATTGTTGCCGATGTAACGGTCGAGAGATGACAAGAATTGATGTGAGTGTTGGGTAAGGCAGGTGTTCGATACAAAGTTCATCCGCGTAACGTATTGCGTATTATCCGTGTGAAAAGGAACAGTGGAAGACGATGGTTCGACGTTGCATAGCTGCAATGCTATTTGCTCAATATAAGACTGCAATGCGATCTTATCCAGGGCTGATGTATGCAGATTCCACAATTCTGGGAGCTGATCTTCAATGTATGCTGTTTATGGAAAATTGGCTTTCAGTGTCAGCATTTTTCGAGGCCAAAAAAAAAACCACTACAACATTTACTTACAACCGACGGCACCTTTGAGTTGGCCTTCAAGTATCTGCATATCCACAGAGGTACTGGAACCGGGATCGACATTGCGCACTTTGACGGTAATGTGGATCGCCTCCTGGAAATGACGAGAAATCTTCTTTGACAGTAAGTTTAAGGTGTTATCGAGATGATCAAACAACAGATGAGTGGATAGAAGTTGCGAGAAAAGGTTCAAGTCGACCGAGAATTCTGTGTTCGTTATTATGTCCGTCATTTCTGCTTGGTTGCCAGGTATCGAATTATCATCAAAGGAGACTGGTAAGGCACCGGCCAGTGTTGCGATAGTGAATAGCCACAACAGCCAGAATGTTTTACCCATCCGGAAGAAAGAACACTTCTTTCTCTCTCCTAGGTAACTAGCGTTTATATGGTGCTCTCTTTTTTTGAATATCCGAAAAAAAAAAAAAAACGTTCTGGGCACCAAGTAGTCCCATAGACTAATTCCAGAAAAAAAATGAACACCAGCCTCTGTTGGTTGATTGATTTATGGATCCAACAGCTTTCCAACCAGTAAGAGGTGAGGTAAATTGGTTTATTTTTTGCGGTCGGTGATATGCGATCGCTTACACGGCTATTAAAAATACTTGTCACTGTGAAAGGAAACTGTTGCTTAGAATACGATAGCCGAGAACATGTCTTGTCTGTAATAAATAAGTTTTGTACCACCCCAAGCCATCTGTATCCACGTGTCGGTGTTTCGATACTATCATGGATAAAGTCATCCTTCAGGGGCTCGGATATCATCAAAAAAAATTGAAACCATCAAAGCACAAGTGTATTAAGTATTTGATTCAGGTCGTTCATAAAAAGTCCCCTCAAAATTGGATGCTACTTTCGGCTTTTTTCGAGCTGTAGTCTCGCATCTGAACAAACAAAGTTCTTGGCCACAGATAAAAATAGCAGTTTGAACAAAAGCAGTACATGATGCTAAATTTCGATCATGCCATCCGCCCTTGACATTTTTCTATTGGAACCAAATGAGTGGTGAATCGAGAATGTTTCGAATATTTCATCTAGAGTGAAACCAAGGTTACTACCATACACAACCATCCTTCGTATAAGCCATAATTTAAGATAATGATCTCATTTCACGGTGTGTAGGCTACACCAATTTCTTGATTCATTCCCTGGATATTACTTTTAGGTTACGAGACCCCTGGCCTGGACGATCATTTACAGTTGGTTCATTTTGGGAGAACACGGTTGGTGACCCCTGGCTGAGTTTATTGCTCCATTCTGGGGCAGTTTCTTCTCGAAATGGAAAATTCTGCAAGCAGTAAAAAACCTTGCCAACCATTTGAATGTTTTGGTCAACGCCTGTTTCACCTCCACACACTTTTGTTGTTTTCTTTACTGAAAACTTTTTTTGATGCCCATTTCATTACGCACGTTCAAGCAGTAAGAGCATGAATAAATCAGAAAGTGCATTACTTCCCGAATCATTCGAAAACTTTCGATTATTTTCTTTCTCTTTTTTACTGTTGGCTGAAAAATTTTTCGCCTGGTTTAACCAAATGACAAGCACTTCACAACAAACTGGAAAAAGAACCTTATGTTTCTATAGCAAATGTATCATGTTCTTGAATGTTAAGCCGTCACTTAACTCTACAACCGCAAAAACCAGTTTTTGCGAAAAAAAAAAAGAATGTGAAAAAAAATAGGGAAATACATTACAAAAAGACCAATGTCTAATCATTTAAGCCTTCAAGTTCTATAAAGGAATAACCGTTAGTAAGCTACGAAAAACAACACACATTCGTCTTGTTAATTTACCTTAATGACAGCGTTGGTGTACTGAGTGTTGGTAGAGCGACCACCCAAATCGGCAGTCAAGGCCTTGCCTTCAGCAATGGTCTTGAAGACAGCCTGCTCAATGTTGGCAGCCTGTTCGTTCAAGCGCATGTGTCTCAACATCATGATACCGGACAACAACAAGGCAGTAGGGTTGGCCTTATCTTGACCCTATGAATACACAAAGATGATCAGTTTCATATTCCCATTCATCAACATGAAACAAAAATCCACCGTTACTTACAGCAATATCGGGAGCAGTACCGTGGACAGCTTCGAAGATGGAAGCGTCACGACCGATGTTACCGGAAGGCGTCAAACCAAGACCACCGATCAAACCAGCGCACATGTCTGACAAAATATCACCGTACAAGTTGGGCATAACCATGACAGTGTCAGCGTAGAGACCAGGGTCAGAGGTGATCTGTATCAAAACAACACGAGTCAAAAAAAAAAAACCTCGTTGAAGCACTATTTAATCGGCAACTTACGTGAAGACAAGCACGATCCAACAAGACCTCATTGAACTTGATGTGAGGGAATTCCTTGGCGACTTGCTTGCAAACATCCAAGAAAAGACCATCAGCCAATTTCCTGGAGAAAAAGTGAAAAAATTCAATATCACATGGAATTACCATATAAGGCAATTTATTTTATCCCTTACATGATGTTGGCCTTGTGGACAGCAGTGACTTTGTCACGTCCAACGGATTCAGCGTAAGTGAAAGCATAACGAGCAACACGTTCGGAAGCTTCCTTGGTGATCAACTTGATGGACTGAACAACACCGTTGACGACCTATGTTTTCCGAAATTACGGTAAGTTTATACACATCCCCGCTTCTCTGATGAGAAGAAAAAAAAAGTTTTTTGTTTTGCAATAAATACCTCGTGTTCGATACCAGAGTATTCACCTTCGGTGTTTTCACGGATGAGAACAGTGTCAACGTTCTCATAGGGGGTCTTGTAACCGACAACGGAACGGCAAGGACGCACGTTGGCATAGAGGTTGAAGGTACGACGGAGAGTCAAGTTGAGAGAGACGTGACCCTTACCAATGGGGGTGGCAAGAGGACCCTTGAGAGCGACGGTGCTCTTGCGGACACTGGCAATAGCCTCATCGGGAATAGCGGTCTTACCGTCCTTGATGATGGGAGTCACATCCACTTCTTCCCACTCAATAGGAGTCTTGGCAGCGGCAAAGATTTCCTTGACAGACTTGGAAATCTCAGGACCGATACCGTCACCGGGAATCAAGGTGACCAAGTAGTTACCCTATCCAAAATAGACGATTTACATGTTGGCTACATTTTTACCGAAAATAAAAAAAGAAGGAAAAAACTGGATATTAAAAATCTTACATTGGCGTTCTTGGAAGCACTGAAGGCCTGAGTGACGCTGGGAGAAGCAGTGGTAATGGCGCGAACGGCATTAACCTAATCGAGCGAGTGAGAAGCCAAGTTCCAAGGAGACAAACCCTATTGCCTGCATCTTTTGCGATTCGAGCATTCATACCTTGGCAGAGGACCAAGCACTGGCTTTCAAGGCAGCTGCAGAAGTGCGGGACAAGAACATTATGGAAGTAAACAAAAAGGCTGGGTTGGGAAAGGAAGGGTGAAAACGGGTATTAAATTTTTTGTGACATACAAAAAATAAGTATATTTTTGCCGGGGGCGGAGATACAATATGAGCCAACCAGGGACCAAGGGTTAATCTTACTTTCAGCACCAACTTGATAATAGTTTTGGCGCATGAGTTGGTAAATTTTATACTCCACAAGAATGCTATCTTGAATCTAATCGCCCGTAGAATAACAGAGCATCCCAGCTTGTACCTTCCTTATATTGCGACATTGACCAAAGTAGACTATGTATATCAAAATAGTAAAAGGATGTCTGTGCAGGCCATCAGTGAGCGGTAGCAGTTACAATTGTGATAACATAAACGAGGGGCTCCGGCTCCGGGGTTAGGAACCTATTTTTTTTTTATTTAATTTGTGGTTGGCTATCATTGATTCGCCGGTATATAAAGCATTTATTCTCCATTGTGGTCACCCGGACTATAATTGCTTGTATTTCCATCTCTTTTCCATTAACTAAGCATCCTTCTTTTTTCAGTATATTTCGTCGTCGTAATACATGTGGAGAGAGTGCTTTACAGTCATCTCATTACCCGATCACCCAAAAAGTGATGTCTAATCATTTGATAAATTTCATATTAAACAAATCCTTGCCCGACATACCATTCATAAATGTATCATATTAAACATACCTAGTTGTATACCATCGCCAGGGTTATTTCTTATTGTGCTTATGGAGCGCTGCTGAGCTTACATTATGTGCTTTCATTTCGCTTTTGTCTCTCGTCTCTCAATGTGTGTCGCTCCATATTGAAAATAGAAATCGTGCCATGACTTTCCTTTCGTTGCAGAATACTGTTAGTCCAACCTGATGATAGCTGATCCAATTGGAGTTTGGAATAGTTTGAATTCAAAATTTAACGGAAACCAAGGAAATGATTCCATAATCGAGCGACGATACTATATCTGCATGCCACCAACGAAATGCACGTTGAAATAGATTCTGCAAGCCGTTTAGGTAAGCATAAGCAAGTAAGACAGTCTTATTATAAGGATTTATCTGCAGGGAATTAGGTGGAGTTTACCAAGGAAGATGGCGCATTGCTCAACAAGAACTGGATGATATCCTTTTTAAGGCGATATGTTTCTTCACAGTTGTTAACGGGTGCCATTCACGAAGATACCTTCAACACTATCATCATCGAAACAATTGAGCTGTTAAACATTACCTTAGATACGCATTACGAACAGTTCTCAACCTAATGTTCGTTACTCTCAACGGCTGGAAGATCCTTAGTTCTGTTAACGTTGTCCTTACTTGCCAATAGAAAGAGAACAAAAATTCCACATTGTCAATCGGTTTGCTATCTTTTAGGCACGATCAGTTCACAATATGATCGCAAGCCTGTGAGTGTGCGGCATAGGACGCATCGATTCAGCTCCTCCTCTGCAACAAGCACCTTCTTCGGCAAATCTCAGTACAAGAGAATAACGATTTACTGATATTTTTCCACCAAATTGTGAACATTTTTTCTAAAAAAGCGATTTATGGACGGTTAAGCAACGGACACATTGCAAATTTTATTTTCTCTTAGAATAACCCCACATACGGACGAAATCTACTATTAATGAAGGAACAAGGTATAAAGTAGTCTACAAGCTTTCTGCGGATGTTTGCAGAATAATTCAATGATTTTTTGGGTCGCCACGAAGACTTACCGGGAAAAAAAAAATTTGAGTGGCGTGATGTCATCGGCGATTATTTTGGTGAGGTTTTTTTTTTTTTGCTTTCAGGCTACCCCCGACTGTTTTACTTCCTCTTCTCCTTTCTACAACGCAACCATGTACGCCAACGTCCTCGCTCGTTCTGCTCTTCGTTCCCGCGCCACCGCTCAGCAGGTCATGCGCTCGGACTTGTATCACTTCTCCAACAGCAACGGTCAAGTAAGCATTCTCCATTCGCCTACATTACCACCATTCTCAATCAGTGTTTATTGATCTATTTTGTTCATTGAATCACCTAGAACCTTCCCTTCTCTACCAAGAACAGAGCTGCTCTTGCTGTCAAGATGACCTTGTACCTCGGTTTAGGCTTTGCTTTCCCCTTCATTGGTAAGCTTGAGCGCGTTGTTAATTATCAATTGCTCGATCACTGATCGTCATTTGCGGTTTTTTCTTTTCTAAAACAATAGGTGCTGCTTGGCAATTGTAAGTTTGTGAAGGGATTTTTTACACACCATTCTTGATTAATTAACCTGCTTTTTTTCACATTATAGCCACAAGGCCGGTTAAATCTAGCGTCTAACCTACCTTTCGATATTATAAAAAAAAAAAATGGGGCTTCACGTCCTATTTGTACACAACATTTATCAGCATTTTCCGAGGTATAAAATAATATCACCTGCGTATTAATGCACGTTTCTTTTTCGATTACAATGGTGACCTGTCCTATGCGATTGCTGGATACAAATGGCCGTGATGAGTGAAAGGGTTTAATCATCGAAATTATATTGGTGCGCGAAAGGATCTGAGAATTCCACAGATGTGATCGGAAAGGCCGATGGAGCTTTCTTTACCTTGAGCGGTTGATTATAATGCCATTTGACGAACAGTTTTCTAAACTCGATTTGAAGATGTAAACCAGACGATGACAGCTATAACGTGAAAAAGATCTTTTCACATTGTCACCCCACGGAATTTCCTAATGTGCTCTTTGGTAAAATTTGTAAAATAAGGTGTCCACAGAATGGCCGAAATAATTGAAGTTTACTTAGCCCACGATCAACGCATAGCCCTTCTATCAGTATCGCGGTTTACAGTATTTCCATAAAGAGTCGTGTGGGATTCACGTATAAAGGATTAAGGACAGACAACCGATGTTGTTAATTACAATTGACACGCCGTAGTGCTTTAATGGTCGCAAGCGATATTTATGGAATGCAGAAGAACTGGTGAATTACTTATGATTCGATTCTGTTCTGCATTATTTTGAGATGATCACGTAACATAATGTCGTTGAGCAAGGAGATATCAAAAAAGCCCTATTTTGCAATTGGTAATCATGGATAAAGTTATGTATGCTATGATTGGGCAAAATGCATCTTGAACCAACCAATGCTTGTTTCCTTTCTTGATTCTGCCTTCAAAATTACCATGGTATCAAAAATGGCTCAACTGATGTTCGACAAGCAGGAATATGCAAACGCGACAGAATGCAGGTTACTAAATCTCTTCCATATTCTTCGATCTCATAAATTCGAAAAACTGGCAAAAAACTCTCGCAAAACAATTTATTTCTTCGAGCCCAGTACCAGATATTCAACCGCTCGATTTTCTTGTGAATTTCCTATGAGTCCTTGTGAATGAAAATTTGTGAAAACTTGTACAAAACGACAAATCACAAGAATTCGCAAGAATTTTACACTCAGATCTACGCATAGAAGTCGATGTTCCTGTTGGTTATTTATTTCTTTTTGTTGATCCGTTGTCGATTCCTATTAGTTTTTGTGCTTATACGATATAATAGGGTTATTCAAGTGTTGCTATGGAGTGATTGCATTTAAAGTGACTGTTCATTCGCACTCAATGTTACAAACTTTTCTTTCATATCACTAGAGGACAAAAACTTACGAATTTCCTATGAATACTCGTGAATTGGGAAAACTTGTGAAAACTTTGTACAAAACGACATTTTACAAGAATTCACAAGATTCTGCACTCCGCTCTCGCATGGTTGTCGTTGCTCCTATGCATTCTTTTGTTGAACCATTGCTGAGTCTTATTAACCCTTGCGCTTATACGAGGTAAAAAGACTGTATCAAGCGTGGTTATGTTATAATTTACTGTTAAAGTAACTGCTTACTTCCTCAGTAACCCTATTTGTAGGCAAAATCATACTTTATACCACAGAACAGACATGCTAGGAGAAGACAGGAGAGGGGAATGGGGCTATGATATGACCTGAGTAAAATATCCCCGTGGAGCATTAAATATGGGCTATAAAGCGCGTTGTGCTGATAAATGGACTCATCGCTCACATGCTCGCCAGTATCCGTGTTGATGCGGGTGTGAAATTGGTACGTTGGTATGCCGATGGATTATCGGCTCTTGCCGCGCTTTATTCTCAGAACTTAAATAAATGAAATTGTCTATAGAATATTCATCTCTTTCACTCGTGATTATGTGTCGTGCCTATCATAATCCTAGTTGGCTCAGCTCCAACTTCCGATGTGGTGGCTCTCTCTCAGAGCTGCGCTTATTTTCCATTGTATGTCATGCCTAACACAATAAGAAAGTTGACGAAGCGAAGACAGAGGATGTGGTATTGGCTCTCCAAGCCGCGCTTTATTTTTCCGTATTATAAGAAACTAAAAAATTTTACTTCCCTACTTCTCTATATCTTTCCTAAGCTGCTCTATGAATTTTTTGAATTTTTTGTGTGCTTTTCGAATTTTTTATCTGGGTGGGGTCTCAGCCGGATCATCGGCGGTACCAGGGAAGGATGCCTAACACATCCTCCGTCATCGCTTCGTCAAATTTCCTATTGTATAATAGGTGAAACCATGTTCGACGATCCAACCATGTAAAAGGGATCCCCTGGGTGTGGTTCCAGTATTGCCTAGAAGGAAACACTGACCATCCTTAAAGTGCCCACAAATAATGGTGTTCGTTTGTGATGAGTGGGTTTGCGTTGGTAATGGATATAAAATAGTAATGGCCGCTTGGCCAGGCAGGACTGGCGGCAGATAGACGCAATGAATGAGATAGGTTCCAACTTGATAGGATAAAACGTATTTGGAGTTGGATGGGAAAATGTGAACGTGAATATGGGCAATCAGGATGAACGAGAAGGCTGATACCCATTTCGCCTCCGTAAGTCTTGGAGACTAGGAGAGCGTAAGTATGAAATTAGGTCCAGTTGGTTAAAAACCGTAGCGGAGGCAGTAGCCAAGTTTCAGTCAAAAATAATAAGTGGGTAGGCAATAAAGGATCGAGTACAGCTTGAATGGTGTGCCGTGCACATTCATTTGCTTTCCAAAGTGTCATTTTCACTGTGTTATCGTTGGGGTTCGGCCTTGTGGGTGCGTCACTCATTGTTGGTTCGCAGGTTCACCGTCACCTGAGGAGTTGTGGATTCGTTAGACTGGTCGTTCTAAGTAATGTCTTCCATAACAGAGGCCTCAGATCAGGCGGCTTTATGAGCTGGAGCAGTTCATGGGTCAGCCATTGGTTGGTTACAAATTGGGCAACAGTAGAGGGTATTGTTGGGCGGAGGAAGGCTAAAACTTTGAGCAGACGGTTTTGATGAATTTCGGTCATTTTCTGTTGGCGATCATCCTCGGAGAGGTCAACAAATTGTTTGTCACGGAGGTGAAGTGCAGCACAGGGATCAAAGTTTCGATCGGCTCGATGATGTGCGCAGCAAGGATCGAAAGTGCAGTGGAGACATAATCATTATGAAGAAGTAGAGCGATCACTTGGTTGGCCGGATAATGGATGCCAAGGATACGAGAATTGTCTAGTTTAAGTTTGGCGTAATTTGGTCCGCAAGTATACATTTTTCAAACTATTGGTTTCAGAAGGTGGGGTGGATGGGTGGTTTGAGTGACGAATATGCCCTCGTCGTTACGGCTGCTGCACAAACCAAGTAAAATTTTCTCCTGAAGCAGAACAAGACATGATAGGTGGAGTAGTAGCGCTGATACCGCTGGTGCAATACAGGTTGATGAACTTCTTAAAATTTAACGTTGTGTTTGTCGTGGTACGATTGTTTCTTCTCAACCGGACAATAAACTTTTATAAGCCAAAGGAGGTCCTCGTTATTTTTCCTTGAATGAGTCTGGAATTTATATTGGTTCTGCTTGCTATTTGAGCGTCCACATTTCATCACTTGCAAAATCGGTGATATACTCAAGCTGTACGTCTCGTGCAAATGCATGTCCGGTCCTTGAACCATTCTCCACCACAACAATGGATTAGGCGTGACCGCGGTGGTCAAGAAAGCTAGGTTAACAAATAATACCTCGGTACCGTTGTGATACTGGGTTTGAGTTCTTGAGCAATGCTGAATGTTATTGCTAGGCATTTAAACTGCCGTAGGCCTAATATGCTGATAACAAATTTTTATGTTGAGACCTTTTCCAAGATTAAGAAAAAGCTCTATGCAGTCTATTGGTATTTATCCTCTCACGGGATATTTAACGCGGCAAGATCTCTTGCATAATGATGTTGTGGATATTAATCTGGTGCTTTAGATCATCTTTTAATTTGGTTTTGTCAATTACATGAGACCTTTCTACTTTTTCTCTCTTCCATTTTTCGTGGTCGAATAATATATAAGCCGATACAGTATGTCTTAATCTGTGTAGCTGATTTAGCCAAAAATTACTCGCCATTCATGCATTGGAAACGTCATCCTAGGTAATCACGTCTTGTCTTTTGTTTCGCTTCTTCTGTATCTCTCAAAAGCCCCCAGATCTTTGCATAAAGTCCACGTCTCCATCCATCATTCTGACTATGTTTACCCCGTGTAGCTGACTGGGTAAATCGATCATCACCATCGAAAGGTAAGCCTCGAGTATTGTACTATCGGTTGTGCATCTGGGAACTTTTTACTGTCCCTTTTTCGGTTTACTCTGTTTTCCTTTCGTCTGGTAAGCCTAAACTTATGCTCTGCTGATCCGAAATCTGGTTGTCAAAAGGGTGCTCACGGTAGACGGTGTTAAATGGACTGATAAAGAAAATGAAAGTAGAGAAAATGAGTTTTTCGTAAGTGCAGTAAAATCCATATGTAGACGCGAGAATACGCTTCGGCCTGAAAATGCTACCAAAAAAAAAAATCCAGGAGAGCGACATGATGATCAACTCTTGAAAGCCGCCGTCGATGTCCCGAACAAATTGAAAATGTCCGGGAGTCCGGTCCGCATCGGCAGTCACAATAGCAAGCTAACAACATTACATCCGATTTGTACAACCATCTGCGTCACTATGTCCGAGTGGTTAAGGAGTGTGACTAGAAATCACATGGGCTCTGCCCGCACAGGTTCAAATCCTGTTGGTGACGCAACATCATTTTTGGAATTTTTTGCCCTTTTTTTTGTCGTACCTTTTTGTGCTCAGCCAATCAGCCTCAAGATTCCTTTTCTAGCGATGATCGGCTATCCGTCCCAATTCGGCAACCTTGTCAAGAAGTCCTGGCTGGCTCAGCACACTGCGTCATTGCTGTAACCTTCCATTTTTATTGTCAGTTACGCCGGTTCTTCTTTTGCGCCGATTAGATTTGCTATACCAAA